GTAGTTTTAATAATCGGAACCTCTACGAAAACTGAACATTTGGGAATGTACTACCACACACATTCCACATTTCCAATCCAGAGTCAACCCAAAAGCAAGCAGCTATGACGGTAATGACATCAAATGCGGTCACCACTACCAAATTAGGTGGCAAGGACGGTCCCGTCGTGAACAGGTATGTCTGTTTCCTCATTGAGATTTCCTGGTTTTGACGCAAACCATGGACAAAGCGTTTACCAACACGCATCTCACCTTTAATCAGACTAGGATTCGGAGCTATGGGCATGTACGTTACTGGATCGTTGGCTTTTGCTGTCACAATTCCTTGATGCACGGTTATACTGTTGCAACATTTGAACGGGGCAAGCTGACTGAATGTCTCTGGTTGCTCGTGCAGGTCTGACTTCTACGGTTCCTTCGATGACAAGGAGAATCTCGACGTCCTCCATCGAGTAGTGGAAACGGGCTGTACCTTCATCGATACTGGTACGTGTTGAGATTCTTGTGTGCCATTTGTTGCCACGTCGCTTACCGCATACAACTTATCAGCTCAATGATCTCTTCATTTCCTCCTATAGCTGACATGTACGGTATGTGAAGAAGCACCCTGAGGCCACCATATAAACCCAGTTGTTTTGAAACTCGCTGGTTGTTAATAGGTGCGGGAGAGAACGAGAAGCTCTTGGCCAAGCTCCTCAAAGAACCTGGAATGCGTCAAAAGATTTTCCTCTGCACCAAATTCGCCATCGTTCGCAATGACGATGGTACTCGTTCCATTTCTGGCAAGCCGGAATACGTCAAGTCTGCATGTGCTGCTAGTTTACAGCGTCTTGGTGTTGACTATATTGAGTGAGTAAACCTTGCTGTAGTGTTGCTACTGCTTCGTTTTTTTCGCTTAACTCCATCCGCTCGTATAGCCTTTACTACCAACATCGTGTCGATCAAGAAACGTATGTCATCTCAGCAACCGTTTCTAAACTTAAACAACACGTCGCTAAGTTTCATCGAATCTAGACCGATCGAAGACACCATGAAAGCACTAAAGTCCCTCGTCGAAGAGGGTAAGATCAAATACATTGGATTATCTGAATGCTCAGGAAACACTCTCCGAAAAGCATATGCCATTCACCCTGTTGCAGGTATGTAAAAGTAGTATCTAGTGGCAATTGGTTGTCATGCTGATACTGAGTAACGATTTTTGTCCTTTAGCTGTCCAAGTCGAGTACTCGCCATGGACACTCGATATCGAAACAAACGGGCTCTTGGACGCATGCCGAGAACTCGGAGTTAGTATTGTTGCCTACAGTCCACTTGGGCGTGGATTCTTGACTGGAAGATTCAAAACTCTTGTAAGTGCTTGCCAAGTCTGTTTTTTTTTCTCGTTCGTATGTTTAGTATAGACTCACGTCAACTCTTGTACAGGACGATTTCGAACCAACCGATTTCCGTCGGTACTCTCCAGATTCCAAGGCGAGAACTTCCAAAAGGTCTGTTTCACGCACTCAACTCCCTCCTACACAAAACACTGACACATTTCCAAATCCAGAACTTGGAAATCGTTAAAAAAATCGAAGAGCTAGCTGAAAAGAAGAAATGTACTCCATCAGCACTTGTTTTGGCATGGGTTCTCGCTCAAGGAGAAGACTTTATCGTTATTCCCGGTACCAAGCGCATGAAGTACCTCGAAGAGAACGTCAAGGCTTTGGATGTTAGTATTACGAGTGAAGATGACAAGGCTGTGAGTATCGTTAGATGTAATGGCGGAAATGTGAAACCTTTGTTTTGTATCTTCTAATGTTGCTTCTCCCCCGAAATTATTGTAGATTCGAGATATCATTGACAGTATCGGGGTTGCAGGATTGAGATACCCAGAAGGTGAGTTAACGCCATGACAAACACTTTGAGGTATTGGCAACTCACACTCACCTCATAACAGCAATGATGGGAACGGTTAACGTATGAGACCTTTTCTCTATACCTTTTTTTGCTCAAATAAAGCCTTCCTCAACGCCACTCTATGCAAAAGCAAATAAAAATCCCACATTTGACATTGTATTTACAGTGAAAAACTCAAATACTTTTTGTTGTTAACTACAACTAACTACTTAATTACTACAAATCCTGCGACTCCCACTCATGCCCCATATTCTTGACATACGGTGGCGTCACATTCCCACCACTACTGATTGCACTGACTTCACTAGGCGGTGAAGGAGAATCCAGATTCAATACAAGTGGTGGTAATGTACTTGGTATCTCTTTAGGCTGCAACATCTCCTCTAGTCCTTCCGGTGCGACATCCAGCGGTTCAGTCGATGACGACGACGATGTAATGATAGGTGATGATGATATCGGTGAGGCATCAGCAGACGTCGCATTCTTATTATTACTAATATTATTGGTTGGGACAGCACGTGGCCGCGACAAGGAAAACCAGCTTCCAGATGATACAGCTCGAGGTGTATCCTGGCTCGTGGGACTACTGCTGCCATCAGAAGAAACAGCACCACCTACTACTGGAGCGGCTCTAGAAGACATCCATCCACTTGCTTCTCCAGGCCCTCTCTTCCCCCTATTTAAAGAGTCTGTCGACGCCTGTGGCGGAGGTTGTTTAGAGAATCCAAACATGTCTGAAAAGGACGATTTCTTCGATAATCGTTCCTTTTCTCGTCTGGCACGTTCTTCTTCCTTCTTTTTAGCTATATCCGTTCTGGCTTTTAGAGCTTCTTCTCGCTTACGGGCTTTCTCTTCTTCTTCTCGTTGTCGTTCATCCTTTTCTTCCTCATCTTCCTCTTCAAATTTGTTGCCTGTGACATGGAACCCGACATGCCTCAACACGTCTGGTAGTTTGACACGATATTCTAGATGGGATGCCACTATATCGTCTAATGGGACGGATTCGACATTGTGGAGATGCGTTGGTGCTGGTCCTAGACCTGCAACGTCCTTCCACGCTGCGGTGGAAGCGCGATACAAGACTCCGAGGACCCAATCCTTTTGCAAATATCCGTTTACTATACGTCCAGAGACGACACTGGCAGCTGCATCCCATTCCTTTGTTGTGGCCATCAAAGGAGCCTTATGCGAGATGGGTAGATAAAATGTGAGCAAGAGACCACAAACAAAAACAGATCGTAGATGCTTACCCCAAATATATAGGCTTCTTCAACAAGTCCATGGGCACCACGTTCTGCCAATTCTAGCAAGCACTCAAATATCAGACGTGCACCAAGTGAGAATCCGACCAAAGTAACTGGTCGATTCTCTTGTACTTGAAGAATCAGAGTGTCGGCCAAGACCTGAGAAAGTAATTCTTTAGAAACAAAAAAGGCACTTGCGATACGTCGAATGACAATAACCTTTCCAGCCTTCGACGCTTTGGACATTGCAATGCCCCATGGACTACGAATACAAATGATGTTAAAAAAAACCAGAACGTAACGGCGAACCATACAGTGGCTTACTTGTCCATGAGATACGTCAATTTCAGCAGCCACAAAGGACCAGTCAAACCCGCCATCAACACTGGCAGCAAAGTAGCCTGCAGAGTCTGCTGGAGAATGAAACCAGCAGTCTCTGACACAAACAGCGACAATGCACTATGTAAAGCCAACAACTCTTTTGACTCCCATATTAAAGCATACTGATCACCATGAATACCCTGCTCTATAGACAAGAATGGCAAAGCATGATCATCCTTGCCTCGAGCAATCCAACCAGAAATGGTAATAAGCACATTCGTTTGCTTTGGTCGATTATCTTGTTTGGCATGCGAAAAGGTTATTTGCGGCTGCTGTTCGACATCTAGAGTGGATTCTGCTACTGTAGTGGTATCCCAGTTGTCATCGTCTACTTCGGCTCCAGATGGTAGAGATTCGACTGATCCAGATTGTGGTATTGGTGAGTTTACAGCAGTGGCACCAGTCTCGATAGATTTTCCATCATTTGATGCTGTTGATGCATTTGGATTTATAATGTTGGAGGAAGAGGCATTGTTGGTTGTAGTGGGTGACGTGGCGTCAGCAGGTTTACGTTTCTGTCTCTTTTGACGTCGTTTCTCTCGTTCTGATTCATACATTGTACAAGAGTCATCGTAGTTTTGGAATTCGAACTCAGCTACACCTCTGGTTCTCTGCAAATACGAAAAAACGTTAGTTGCAATCTATCGCATGAGTTTTATCAACTTACTTTGAGCATTTTCATTCCTGCCATGCCACCTCCAGTCAATACACCCGAAGTTGCAATGAGTGCTATACCAGTTGTGCTGGCAAGAAATCCACCAACAGCTGTACCTCCCGCTACACCAACACCAGAGAGTGCCAGCCCAATACCAGCACCAATCAATGGAGCAGCCAGACCAGCCGTAAGACCAATAATAGTGGAGCCAGCCACCGTAGCGAGTCCCATAAGCATCCACCTTCTACCCTGCCCTCTATTATTATGTTCATTTTTAATCGATGAAGACTCGACGACATCACTCATACCCTCTGACAGCCTTAACTCTTCAGATATAGCAAACTCTAGTTTACCAACAGTGGTATCATCAATATTTAAATACTTGGCAACGGTTTTCAGGAGATGGCGAGATCGCGAGTCGTAGATTCCATCTGAGATGCTGATTACATACAGATGCGATAGGATGGTGAATCTGATATCTACAGGATGTTCTATATCCGAAGACGAGTCTGTGCCATCAGCGAGGTTGGGTGGAGCTATACCTTCATCAAGCGCAGCCTGCTCAAGAGCCTGTTTTTGGAGTGCGTTTCGCTCGGCAGTTTCAGCAGCAGTTTCTGCATCGAGCAGTAACGGCGATGCGATATCAGTTGGTAGACGTTCATCTTCATCACGGTCATATATAGTCCTCATTAATTTCTCTTCTTCAGGCGGCATGCCCAGGTAGAGAAACAACCTCGTTACAAGTCGTTCACTCCATTGATCGTAGCTTGCAGCAGCTCTCTGTAGCGGCTTTCGGACAGTAGTTTCAGCTTCATACAGACTATTCTTGGTATTCTTTATCGTGAAGAGTGTCAACATTACATAGGCGAGCCTCTGGTCATCTGTAAATATGGAATGCAGGGCAGACAATTTTGATGATTTCGATATACCAGCAGGTCTGTACGATGGTTGATTTGAAGACGATGAAGACGATAGTGCTGGGCCATGCTCGGAAAGGACTGATCCTTGAGCCTCCTCGATGTGTTGATCTTGTTCCTCGTGCTTGTGTGTGTCGTTATCTACATCAGCAGCAGAATGGCCATTATCCGTATCTTCCAGTGGTTTGGGAGCTTCCATGTGGCTGCCTCTCAACCTAAAACATTGCTTCAATCCACTTTGATCTGATTCGTTTGGGGTTTTGTCTCCGGACTTTAAAACTAAAAGGAAACGTGAATGTTTTTGACTTCGTGACAAGATAACCCCTATCGTCGAGATCGTAGCACAATACGAATCATTCTGAAATTCAAGTTGACGCGCTTTCCTGTTTCCACGTCCCGAAAGAACATCCTTCATAAAACACTCAACCTACAACAACTGTCGATTCTTTACCAAATTTCATGTAATATTATAATTGGGAGCATTATTATGCTACTATTTACAAGCTCCAATAAAAACGTGCCCTCGAAGTCTCCTATTTCTTTGAAGCGATAGCGTTCTTGATAGTGGACTGCCACTTTGAGTACTTGAGTCTCGTTTGTGCTATTTCTAGTTCCATACTAGATTGCAATGCTACAAGCATGTCTTCCAGTTCGGGTAGCGTCTTGGTTGCCGGATTGATTTCATCGGGGTTGAAGGCAGGAGCTACAACCTTACGAGGATCTGGAGGTGGTGGCCTAGTCGGTTTCATGGTCGTCGAATATGAATCAGGAGCAGCTGGTTCGGATGCTGCCTTTTGCGCTGCCATGTATTGCATGAATGCTGGTTGATACGCGTCCTTTGGTTCTTTCGAATCTAACATCAAGAATTTGACATGTCAGTTTCACCGTCTTGTAGACAGGCCTTGCCTTCAACAACGGTCAAACCTTTGGAGGAGGAAGGATTCTTGATGATAGTTCCGTCAAGCACCATAGTCTTGTTCTGAACCATTGTTCCACTGGCCAACATGGTACCCATAGACAGCATGGTACCGTTCTGTATCATGGTACCCATCTCAAGCATAGTTCCCGATTGATTTGATGCCTTTTTCGGTGCGGCCATCTTGATTGTTCCATCAAACTCGCCCAACTTGGCCGTCTGCACCGTTTGCTACAAGAATTTGGGATGTCAGACAATCTAGAGTAGGAAACGACCAGGAGAGCCAAAACCAAAACAAAACGTTTCTTTACATATATAGACTCGTCGTCTCTCCCTTCCTCTTCCACTTCATTAAGGGCGCCATTGGCGATTAGCTCTATTGTCGTAGCAACCATCTCACTCAATACCGACAGTCCAGGGGCTGCTTTTATGAATGGATCTTCTAGCAGGGCGTCTGCAGTTGGTCGATCCGCGGGGTTTTTGGTGAGACATCTCGACACAAACGATCTGAATTTCGGAGAGTATTTAGCAGCGTCTAATTGCGGTGGTGGTTTTGTAGGTATCATGAATATCGCCTATGAAAGTTGAACAGATGTTTTTTAGCATTGTTCTTTGGCCCAGCTGTAATCGTTCAAGACACGGTACCCTCATAGGATGAATGTCGTGGTAGGGCGGTCTTCCCTCTGCCATTTCTATACAAGTGATGCCTAATGACCACACGTCCGCGTTCACACCGTATCCAATCTCCTGAATGACTTCAGGTGCCATCCAAAACGGTGTTCCGATTACAGTTTTGCGTTTAGTCATTTCATTCGTGAGCTGCCCCGCGACTCCAAAGTCGGCCAACTTTGCTTCCCCTTGTGTGTTTAATAGTATGTTTCTAGGCATGCAGACGCATTAGTACAGAGTTGCAAGTGATTAACTCAAAACCGAATTCAAAACTCACCCCGCTTTAATGTCTCGATGTATCTTACGCCGGGCGTGAAGATATGCCAGGCCTCTCAAGGCATGCAAGCATATAGTCGCGATTTGATCCTCGTTCAATGTCTTTTTACATAGACGCATGATATCAGACACGCTCCCGGCCGCCATGCACTCCATCACGATCTATAGAAGACAGAATTGAAGATCAGAATACATGTTAGTTAAAGGTAATAAGGTTAAACTCTCTGAGATTTGTCTTGGACCACGTCGAGTGCCAATACATACCCATAAATGTGCTCCTCTCAGAAACGAGCCATAAAATTGGACAATGTAGGGCGAATCGCAGCCCGTCATTATGGATATTTCCTTGATAGAATCATCCAAGTCGTTCTCGATGGGGATCAATTTTATCGCGACTAATGCTCCCGTTCTCTTGTGAATTGCCTTGTGCACAGATCCATATGATCTATAAGGACAAAAACAGTCAGGCTAGCTTCATAATCACATCTAGATGGCTATTGATACGATTGTCCAGAGTCTAGGAGTCTAAACTCCCATGGATTCGCCAAAGTGTACACAACCAGATCAACGTTTACCCCTCTCCAAGTTTGCCTAGTATGGTAAAGAGGTCTATTGGATCCTTATTGAGTTCATCTTCAGTCAGGACCAGCCTCGTCGTCATTTTCTATATGCCAAACGAGTGGGTTTGTTCTGTGCGCGAAATGCGCGAAAGACGAGTGGAAAGGACGTGTTTATGATGTTGAACGTTAGTCAAACCCCGCTTATTCGCGCAATGCATGCAAATACACAGCAGTTCTCTACGGCACGTGACTCTCTCTGTTTGTTCAGATTTTACTTGTTGAATTCGTTACGTTCGTTCGTTACTACAAGACATAATTGTGAGGCGATCGCCGTAGGAAACCAACAAAATTGAAGTATGCTGATACCGAAGTCTTGAACTGGTTCTGGTGGTTCGTATCGGTCAGTCGCCTGGTAGGTAGGTTCCAATCATTGCACGACTGCGCTGGATTAAATTAAAACTAACTTACTCTTAATTTTGGCCAGAAGCTAGGATTCCTGTCATGGAAGACCGGAGCAGGAAGCGTGGATGGCTCTCACCTTTTGCATCATCAGATGAGCTCCGGCGCGACCCAGCAAAGGCCATTTCGACGAATACTGCGCCTCCCAACAACGTAACAAACATCACAAACGTGGCCAGCCCAACTGGAAACAGTCCACCATCACCGAAAACACCATCTCTATTGTTTGCTGGCATCTCTAGTCTCTCTGACGATCAACCGGGCCTACCCAGCAATAGTAGTCCACCCTCGAAACTAATACCACAATCTTATGCTCAAGGAAACCGACCTCTGAGCGATCCGTCTCCCATGGCCTCACCCTCCGGTAGTCACGAACACATATCAATATCACGGCAGTCCTCTGGCCTTCAAACTCCCACAAATGGTAAAAGTGCCAGTCCAAAAACAGCAACACCTACGCACGAGTTGTTGAGTCGCAGTGCTGCTGCCAGTCAAGTCAGTCTACCACATAGCCCTCTCATAAGCGATGAAATGATGATTATTGATCCAAGATGGGCTGGACCAAAGAGTGGGGAAATCACACCATCTGAAAAGACCAGCTCACCGGGTCGTAGCTCAATAGTGGACCTATTTAGATGGAAAACACCTCCGAGCAGTGTCCCACATTCCAGACGAGCGTCTCGTACCGAATCTAGATCTAGAAGAGGATCCTTGTTTAATCCAAGAGGCTCGATATTCTCACTAGCTTCGAGAGCATCACGAGAGAGTCTGAATACGCCGACTCGCACTACACCAACTCTCCTTACCGCAAAATCGGAGGAAGGCCTGATTCGACATAACTCTCAGCTATTTGGAAGTGGTAAAAAACTCAAAAAGGGCAAATCCATCACAAACGTGTATCCAACCAATATGCAACGACGAGCACTGAAGAAAACGAGTACCATGACATCTCTCACAAAGCTATCAGGGAACGACTTTGACTTTATTCTACCACCAGAACAGCAAGCCAACGCACCTAGACCATCCTTAACGAGAGGACCATCGATGGCTTTGAGAGATATGGTTGGAGCCTTCTTCTCGACGTCAACACCTAATGTATACGCATCCCGACATAATGCAGATGATGCTCAACCAACAAGCTTTGCATTTGACGAAACATCCGTTGAACATGCTCGAGCAGCTTCAAGTGATCAGGCCAGACCTCATAATAATAGTAGCAAAGGTCGGCCTTCATCAACTATCGAAGAGAAACAGCGTCCAAGGACATTTTATGCTCTTGAACATGTATCCAGCTCGCTTCGTAACATGGTTGGATTGAGTGTACATACCGACGTAAAGCAGAACCTGTCTCCTCCTCGACCACAATCACACGGCAAGAAGAGCGGAGACACCTCACCAACGTCACCACTATCACCCTTATCCGAAAAATCGTATACGTCGGTTGTGCCCTCACTCATACCAAACAATAGAGTATCGTCACACTTTGAATCCAGTACCATAGCACCTTCACTACCCAGTGCTGGAGTAACAGAGACTCCAAGTGCCGCATCAGCTTCTACAGAACACACAAGGTCGTGGTGGCTAGTGACAAGTACTCATAGAACAGAACGAGTCAGTATGAGCGCCGACACTGTATCATCGCCCCAGACTCCAAGTATGACGCCACGTACTGGACACTCTGCCGTATCCGTATCATCAATCAAACGCAATACCATGGACATACCGCCTACTAGTCGTGAAGAATATGCAAAGATACTAGGACGAGATTCAAAGGATTACAAGGGTGGTTTGACTCCAGATGGATTTGATGAACCCAACAAGCTCAAACAGTCATGGCTTGGACGAGTTGGAGCTGTATGGAGACGTAGCGCTACTTCAATCGACGACTTACAAGGAGTTGCAGATTCGTCAGTGAGTATCACACACTTTTGACTCGGATTTGTTTTTTGCTTCCTGACCAACGTTTGAAACTTGTATTCATGTATTTCTAGGATCTTGCCAACAGCCCAGATGCATTAACAATCATGGTCTGCGGACCCAATGATGTCTCCCATGTTGTCAATGTTAGCGCTACAGACAATGCTCAAGCCATACGAACACGGATATTTAGAGCCTTTGAAAAAGTTATACCTCTTGAAGAGCGTGGTACCTTTTATCTTGCAAAGAACACAAAAGATGTCTGGCTCAGTCATAGCAGTGAGTGTTTTGTGGTCATCCAAATAATTTGAAAGAAGAAGTAGTAACTCTTGTTTTGGTTGTTCTTAGGATCATTTTCCGAAGGAAACGGACAGCCCGTCTTATTAGATAACGACATGCTACTTCAATATGTTAAAGAGCCACCAAACGCACAGAGCCCATTCCCGTCATTAGCATTGATACGAGCCAAAATACCGATACAGACAAGAGCACCACCACGAGTAGCTCAATCGACGTCACCGACCACTGCCGCACCATCTGTAGGTCTGATAGAAAGAGCTCGTCGTAGATTCCATGACTTTTTTGTCGGTGAACGTCCTCCAATGGAGTTACTAGCAGATCAACTGCTGGAATACTTTCCAAATATTGAGGTTGCTCTGAACGATAATGAGGAAGAAGAGCAAAGGCAAGACAATGGACAAGAACCTGATGGCCGCTCTGGTGACGCAACATCAGATCATGCAGTATCACCCACAAATGATATAACAGATAGCTCAAACGCGGTGGTGGATGTATATAGACAAGCCACGTCATCACTACCACGATCAATGGATCGCCTGATATTCTCTGCTACGCCACCTCGAACTGCCATGACGGCACTATTATCAGAGTCACCACCACGTAGTGTAATATCAACATCATCTGCAGCCCAGGAAGCGCTCGATCTCGCCAATGGCAAGGCTCATAGATATTCATTCACAGGACCATCGCCAGCAGTGTCAGTACGATCGGCTCCATCTGAAGGCCATCCATCTCCATTATCGCCCAATGAACCTGCAGGATTCGATGATACCAATCCGTATGTATATGCCGCTAGAAATGATAAGGAGACTGCTCACAGATCAGACGATGGCGGATCAGTCAGAACTCATGATTCATTCACTCGAGGTGGTACTCTGACGGCAAAAGTAGCCTCCACTCGAGCTCTCTCAAATGTCGGGAATGCCAGTCAAAATATACCAGAGGGTACAGAAGTCGACGCCGTATCATATATCCGCAATTTGGTCAAGCAGTCAACTGAGGTGCAAGCTATACATCGAGAAGCTACCCGTCGTAAATCGCAAGCCATGTTGCTATCACGACGGAACAGTCAAATGCCAAGGTCGGAGAGTCTCATCAATCATTTCTCTGTTGCAACTGCACCCAGAAAGATTGAACATGTTGAGCCCGAGACTCTAATATATGCGCAATCTGCTCCTGGCAATTCATTCTTGTCACGGACGGCCAGTTTGCCATACAGACCCGACACTGAATCTCCACGTATTGATATCCGCCGCACTCAAAAGCCAGAAACGGCACCGAGAACTTACAACCACCGATACAGTACAATTAGTATTGCTTCAGATGACAATATCGAGTACAGGAAGAAGAGTGTTGGAGCTTCAGACCCAGCCTTATTTGGCTCCACGCCTCGATCCTACCGCAACCGATTTGCGATAACTGATGCTGCCTCAGAAGAAGACGACATTGCTTCACTCGGAGGCAGATCCGTTTCAGATAATCAAATAATATCTACATCATCTTCTGTTGGGCAAATTGCTCGATCAACCAGTACCAGCATCATCGGCTCATCATCCCCTCTACCGGCCTCCATCGCCCAAGCTATCGAAGACGCCGCCATCGCAAACGGCTTGACAGAAACCAAGGGAGCCAAGGCGCCCTTCAAATGGGTTAAAGGAAAACTCATTGGGGAAGGATCATACGGAAGAGTATATCACGGTCTCAAACTCTCACTCCAACGCTCCAACGGCCAACCAAACGCCACCGAATTCATTGCTATAAAACAAGTCGATTTGGCACCACCAAAGGGACGAGAAACCAATGCTAATCGTGTCGCATTCCGCAAAAAGATGGTGGAAGCCCTACAACGTGAAATGGAGTTTTTGAAAATCTTGGATCATGGCAATATTGTTCGATATTATGGATTTGAATTGACTGAAAACACTATGAATGTGTTTTTGGAATATGTTGATGGTGGTACCATCTCATCCATTATATCGAGACTTGGTGTGCTACCTATTGAAATGATTCAGAGCTTTACGTGTCAAGTGTTGTTGGGATTAGAGTACCTTCATAACTTGTAAGTGTACTTGTGGTTGTTTGACTGAAGTCAAATTCAATTATCAAAACGCGACACCGACTAACTATTTTGCTTTCCAATTAGGGATATCATACATCGAGACATCAAAGGCGCAAACGGTATGAACTTCCTGATGAGAGATCTGTGCTAAGCTCGGACCTCACGCTAACTTGCTTCTTAATTATCTAGTTTTGGTCGACAGTAAAGGAGTTGTCAAGATATCCGACTTTGGTATCTCCAAACGGACAGGATACAGTGAAGCATATCGTCGAGCATCACGAATGTCTGTTCAAGGAAGTGTGTTTTGGATGGCACCTGAGGTTGTCCGAAGCCAAGGGTATTCTGCCAAGATTGATATATGGTAATGGTCTTGTGAAAAAGGGTTTCATTCCAAAGAGACTTTAGTGGCTAAATTTTTTTGTTACAAAATGAATAGGAGCACTGGCTGTGTTGTCGTTGAAATGATATCCGGTCATCGGCCATGGAGGGACTATGAAGAAGCTGCAGCCTTTTGGCAGATTGGACAATACCGTACACCACCGTCACCAGATACCGTTCAATCTGATGTTCGTGCCTTTTTGGATTTGGCTTTTACTATGTATGTATTGCTTGAACAGGCGTTGTGTACATCTGGTTGCAAACTGCAGTCGTGCATCACACCAATACTGACAACTTTTTCTTGCAGTGATCCCGAAAAAAGGCCAAAAGCAGCTGAATTGCTGCAACACCCATTTTTGGATGTCGATCCATATGATGTTGATTTCGAAGGGTTGTACCATCAAGCTGAATTGAGGAGACGCGAAGAAGGCTCCAACAACTCTGAGCTTTCTTCCCTGGCCAGTATGGACTCTGACCAATCTGTACGACAAAACAACTCACTACCACGAGCACTCCGAAAGAGTTCGATCGAAACCGAGTCTTTGGACGAATCCTCAACTAGGAAGGTGACTCTCGAGAGGAACAAACGTGACTCCATCCCCGCACTTTAAAATGGATGCCCGCAATGTAACATATAATAATTTATAATTTACTGGGGTTCACATTAATATATGGAAGTTGTGTTCGGCAAAAAAATCGTCTTGCGTCCCTTTTCTCCCCGTGCAGACAGTCTCTCCGAACGAGCCTCAACGAACGAGAACCTTGTTTGTCCAAAAGTCACAGCCAGATAACAGCGCATTTTTCTGTTTTTCCTCTCTTGCAAAAACTTGTCACGCCAAAATTTCGACGCACAAGTCCGTGAGTGACTGGTAAGAAACAACGAGAGAAGATTGATGCACACAATATTCTAACATATATCCGATCTAACTAACGACCGTCTTACTAGGATCCGGTTTATTTGATTTTATTCGTGTCTGTCAGCACCCCCTAAATAATTGGGCGCGAGACGAATTACCAGCATGTCTCTACTACAAAAGCTAAGGAGCTCGACTAAATCTGGCTTCAGCTCATCGAATTCAGTGTCGCCAACCGCTGCAGCCAAACCAACAACAGCAGAAGCAGTGCCGTCGTCAAAAGATTCCAAAAATGCTGAATCAAGCAATTGGTCGGTCGACACGCCAAACAGCAAGAACCATGCCGCATCAGTAGCGTCCTCACACGGCCACGCAGATCCGAATTCGTCGTCCAAAGACACGAGAATCTCAAGAACGGATGCACCCGCCAGTCCCACGAAAAACAATGATTCCCTATCTTCATCATCACACAAGCCAGCCACCGCGCCACTACAAGATGCCACCAATACAGTCGTATCCCCCACCGCATCATCACCCACTAGAATCGTACGAGCACACAAATATGCATTGCCGGAATTCCATGTAGATCGAACGTTGGGAACTGGATCATTTGGGCGTGTGCATATGGTCAAGTTGAAGAATACCGGGAAATATTACGCAATGAAAGTATTGAGGAAATCTGAAGTCGTGCGTATGAAACAAGTCGAGCATACTGTCAATGAAAAGGCTATTTTGGAACAGCTGGATTTCCCATTCTTGGTCAGCTTGCTCGGTACCTTCCAGGATAGTCATAATGTGTATTTCGTTATGGAGTATGTGCAGGGTGGTGAGCTCTTCTCGTACTTGCGCCGCTGTGGTGTAAGTGATTTTGGTCAATTTATCTGCAACACATGATTTCGGATTTCTATCGGATAGTTTTTGCCTGTTTCTAATTCTTATGTTTGTAGCGCTTCCCTAACAACGTGGCTCGATTCTATGCCGCTGAAGTCATATGTGCATTTGAGTACCTTCATGCCAAGGATATCATTTACCGTGATTTGAAGCCAGAGGTACCATATTGAGATCTACAAGCCTTTATTTCATATGCCCGATTTTTTGCATATGCCAACCCTTAATTAATTCACCGTAGAACTTGTTAATTGACTCTCAAGGACACATCAAGATCACCGATTTCGGATTTGCCAAAAACGTACCAGATGTCACTTGGACGCTTTGTGGAACTCCAGACTATCTCGCTCCAGAGATCATCCAATCTAAAGGTTACGGACGAGCGGTCGACTGGTGGGCATTAGGTGTATTGATTTACGAGGTAAATATTCGCCGCCAGTATCCTTCTTCCGTTTTTTTTTTGGCCAACCATTGACATTTCTCCACCCTCCAGATGCTAGCCGGCCACCCACCCTTCTACGACGAAGACCACTTCAAGCTCTACGAAAAGATTCTGGCCTGCAAGCCCCGGTTCCCCACCCACTTTGACCCTAACGCCAAAGACCTGGTCAAGAGGCTGCTCACCACAGACTTGACGAAACGTTTTGGTAATTTGAGAGGTGGGTCTGGTGATATCAAGCGCCACAAGTGGTTTTTGGGATTAGAATGGCAGAAACTGGTCAAGCTGCAGATTCCTGCTCCGTACATCCCGCCATTGAAGAGTGATGGCGATACGTCCAACTTTGAGGCGTACCCTGAAGATCATGAGCAGTATGGGTTGCCTGGTCCAGACCCACATCGAGACAAGTTCAAAGTGAGTGCTTGGTTGGGTACATTAAACAAAGTATCGGGATCCTTTTTTTTGGCTGTGCTAATTACAATCATTTTACTTTAGGATTTCTAAAGTCTTTGATTCAAAATGGGAAGCAGACGTGCAAATCTACATACATTACACGTCAACCTATCTATTTTTACCTTGAATTCTGAACTGTACACACAAGCCAAAAGTAAATCTCTTCATTTTGAAATCATATTTTATTTTGAAATGAGAACCTGACAAGCTAAATAATACAAATGACTTTGCCAACTCAAAATAATTCTGCGTGTAACTACCTTTTCAAATATTTTGAAGCGTTTTGACTGCTTTTGCTCCAGGAATCACCAACAGAGTTCTCGTCAAGCTCGACGTCAAATATTCGATGAGTTCAGTGTCTGCAGAAAAAAATAATCAATGTGTTAGATACAAGAATGATGCTCAAGAGAACTCAGTACCTACACAGGATTCCTCGTTGGACGACACTCAACTGCATCGCCCCGTCTTGATCAATCCCAGGTACATTCATGATAACTAAAGCCGTTTCGTGCTTCGAAGATCGAGCGTCTATCTCCATTTTCAATGAGGCAGCTGCTACACCGCGAAGAAACAAGTCTCGTCTGTGTTGAGAGTTTGAAAGATGGCGTTGCACATGAGGAGACCAAGTTTTGGCAAAGCTAAATAGACAGAAGCGGCACCTTGGTCAGCTGCTGTGTTTTCCGGCTCAGTATAAACACGATACGTCACGTGTAGTATGATGGAGAATGAGATTGCTTTGGAGATAGCAAGTACACCTCTTCATCATCAGTACCATCAGCTTCTGCCGTTGAATGTCGTTTCGAATCAATTGTCTATGATTAAAATTTTCAGTGTAATTGTCAGATATACACTTGCTGTCGAATGTCTTACGATGGGAAGTTGATGTGCATGATACGGCAACTGAATCGCAACAACCTCGACACTCTCCACTGGTATTCTCAACAAGGTCAAGTTCAATCTGATGGTAGCTTCCAACGTATTATGGTTTTCAGTGGTATGTGCTGCGACGAAGATTCGTATACAGCATGCGGCCCATACTCGATGTTGTTGGAGTATGTAGGCAATCAGTAACGGTAGAGTTTGACTGCTTTGTGTGTCATTCGTCCACCAGACATCGATAGTGCCGTGAAGTCGTTGTCGATTTGATGGGAAGAAGCCAATTCCTACAAAGTGGGAAAGCAGTTTAGATTCGGTGAACAAAAACAAACCAATCGTAGAAGCCAGTCATACCTTTGACAATCATAAAAGTATTCCCTCTGCGAAGTGTCAAATCCATTAGATACTGGAAGCCTTCGTGAAGATTCTCGTCGCCTGTATGATGATGGTGATGGCCATGATGGTGGTGGTTGTGATGTTGTGGCCAGATAGCGACGACAGTGTTGGGCTGTAATTCTCCTAGTCTAAGAGAAAAAAACCCCTAGTTTAAAGCCCTGTCATTTGTATCAAATCAATAAAAATGTACTCTACCCAAGACCATCCATTGTAAGATTCTGAATATCCTGCAAACTCTCTCCAAAAAGACTCTTTGAAAACCCCCTTAACCGTTCATCACGCATAGCACGTTGAAGCTGCACCCGGCGCTGCAACAAGACCGAATCAATACGATCTTGTCGAGCCCTCCACGCTACAGGATCAGACACGAGTGGTGTTGGCAGTTGCGTATCGATATCTTTCGGAGTCGTGGAAGCAATCATGAATGCTAGCCCACTTCGAGACTTTAGTTGAGCCACGAGACTCAATAGTCTCTGGTGGCCGACACTGAATCCGAGATGCGAGTGATCTACGAAACACAAGATTTTGGGTCTCCAGAGTTTGCCTGTGCCTTGCTCTAGGACTGAAGGTAGATTGCATTCTTCGGGTGCGGTTGGAGGCTGGTGGCTAGTCAATCTGAATACGTTCTCGTGGTATTCTTCGGTTTCTCCAGATAAGAGATGACCTGCAAACAAAATAAAAACAAAGAGTGAGTGAATGTTGCTAGATACCACCAGTTACGGTTCACTCCTTACAACGTACCCAGAGACAGATGGAAGAGAAGGGATCGTAATCCCTCTCCAAAGGTGACACGTTCACTTGACACAAAGATCACATATCCTGAGACAACGGAAATCACTAGAGCCTAAGACGAGGAATGATAACATATGAGTAGCGTTTTTTGTCGTTAGATTTTGAAATTGGTAATTTACCAAAAGACTTCCTAACAAGCTAATATATATCATGACGCCAAAGCACGCAAATAGACCAATAAGAGACACAATCCAATGATGCAATTCGAAGAGTGGTCTCCTGAAACTCCCAAGATGATGGCTTGTTAGAAAGCTCTACCACAAAACCTCCATTGCATGAATTGCTGACATTTACCAGTTGGGAGCTTTGAAAACCGACAGCAGAAATGCTGCAAAGTTGGTAACTCCGTAGCACAACAAGAACGACGTTGTAACTATCACAGCCAATTCCTCCAATTTCGAGATAAACAAAAACGGTAATGCCAAGCACATCGTTATAAGTATCGACTTGTTCAGGCCGAGCACAGCCAATCCAGGTAGCACATCCATTAGTGAAAGTGTCTGCAATACCGATGAACTAATCACCAAACATTGCAGCGCACTTCCAATACCAACTAGTAGGACACCAGCAATAGCAGCGTGTCGTACTGGATATGCTACTTCGGCGAGTATCATGGTTTTGGTGAGTAGAGCCTCGCGTTTAATGGTGGCGGCAATGAGTAATAGCATGGCTGAATATAGGGACGTGGAGATTGCGATTGCGGTGAATCCACCTTGTGGAATGGATACGAATGGGTTCTTCAATTGTGAGGCGTGGTTTACTCCTGCGCAAAAGAGGTGAGAAGCATGTAACAGCATCCCGAATGCAACGAGTTGCTTACCAGTATAAATGCCAACAAAGCACGGAAACAGCAAACTCAACATCTCACGCGCATCAAAGTGTCTGGACGGCCAGAAATTAGACGCCAGAGTCTTGAACGACAGTCCCGTGACCATCTCACCCATGTTTCTCACAAAAGGCGAAACAACCAATCCAGTCAAGACAGAAAGAAACGATATTATCAACACCGCCATGAAAAACAACGATACTGGATGTACCACTCTATCACCACACATCACGACGCATGAGATTGCAATCATGCATAGCATGGCGAGCAGCACTTGAGTCCAGTATAGAGATGGTAGCGGCCTGAAAGCCGTAGCTTCAAACAGCCCTTCTACACTACCGACGATTTCGATAGACGTGAAGGATGCTACTGCGACATAGTAGAGGAGCACGATGCCGGCTCCGATCGGTTTACCAAGACTTCGTGTAAGGACGCTGAGAATACCAGCTCTTGGGACTCCCTATTGTGACATAAATTTTCAGTATGCTGAAACTCGTTGATAAAGTGCAAGACTTACATTGGTCGCAATAGCAGACACACTTGACATTGTAAAACTTACGACTATCGCACACAAGACAACGAGCAGCAAGGAATACAAGACTCCTGCTAGAGCTGTAATCAATCCAAAACGAATAAATATAAGCACACTCCACATGAACTCCAACTACAATGCCTTGGTTAGTATCGCTGCCCAAAATACATACAAAACATGTAATCTTACATTTGGAACAATCACACCACGAAACGTCCCCAGTCCCTCGTCGCGAGCGAGCCCCGACAGCACAATCCCACCTCTGTCCTCTACAATCTCAGACAGCGTCCTCTGCATCGGTACTCCATACTCTGTAGCAGCAGACAGCGATATCTGCGCTTGATTCGATGGCAGTTTCACAGCTTCACGATACAAGTCGTCAATATATGTCTTGTGAGGAGAGGACGATGAAGGTGGTGTTGCATCTGATGGAGGCGATATGATGATGTTGATGCCGTAGGCGGATGAGGGTGGTTGGGATATGGGTCGAGGTAGGGAGGGACTTCCAGATTCGAAATGTGTGTGTGCTGTTGTGTCGTGTTGGTCTCTTGAGCGTAGTAGAGATGGTGAGGGAGACGGATTTGGTTTTGGAAGACTCATTATGTTTTAATTAAGATCTATGTCAAATATAGTGGGTATTGCGTTTGTTCCGAGAGTTAGTTAAAAGTCAAATGCATTAAACATGTCAAAGTAAAAATCGAGCGATCGGTCTAACAAAACCGTCGTTTAAAGACTCATCATATACGTCAATGGACAGTTACATGGAACATACAGATAATTTATGCTTTTGCAGCCTTGGAACTCTTGAAGAGGTATGGTGCGACTGACACTGACTTGATTCTTGAAGCTTTGAGCGACGTGCGAACGCACAACCTTCGAAGTGCGCAACGGATACCTTTACATACGTGATGTATATATATTCTTTATACTTTTAATTTTACACGTGAATATTCGGCCTTATAGCAGCAATGACACATTTTGCCCACTTTGAAGATCAAAAGCCCGATCACGGAGCTGTTGCAGGCAAAGTGAGCACATTGCATCAACATCCCAATATCAACAACATCTAATGACTCTAATGAGCTTAAAACGTTGAAACTACATAGGCCCACTACTAGTTGCCAAGAATGAGCAAGTTCCAGTTCCATCTCAAGAGTTCAGACACCCGCTGGCGGATAAAAAGGATTTTCTGAGGAAGATCTTTTAGATTTTGGTGGAGTTTTTCTCAAACTAGTCACACTATTGTCACGCGGTGTTTGAGTAACGTAGGCTGGGGTTCGTGCACTTTTCGTCAACTTTCCAACTCCTACATTCATTCACACCCAAACTCTCAAGAAAAACACCTTCCAACACCCTCACAAGGTATGTAAAGTACTATGCACCACATCTATTGTCTTGCAGTACGAGATGCATCAAGCTTGTCCAGTGTTTTTGGTGTTTCATGTCGCCCACGATTCACATTCACCGCCACATGTTTCGTCGGTGGAAGTCAAATCAAAACGAGTCATTACCTCTTACATCAACATACTAACCCATACTTCCCTCGCATCACTCTAGTCCACCCCATCCTAACTCAAAAATGGTCAACTACGAAATCGCACAAAAGGAAGCTGAAGCCGCATACGCTGCCTTCAAGTAAGCCTCGTCGTTCACAACACACCATTGTACCAAGCTGCACCTCTCGCTTGGCATCGGAACGTTTTCCTGGACCGAATATTCCAACTGAGCCTATTTCCTCACACCTCTCTCACGCTTTTATAGCAAGGGTGATGCCGCAACCATCATGTCCTTCTTCGTCGGCCCCGACATCCCATGCCACACCAACGTCGCCGGCCTCGTGTTCCCACAAGAGACCACTTTCGGTGACTTTTTGGCCAAGGTCGGAGCTGCTGCTGCTGCCACCCAAGTAAGCAAACCTTCTGCCCCCGTTTATGCTTGCACATTGTACTAACAAACGTCGCTTTGCGTAGAACTTCATCGTAACAGTCAACAAGTACGAACGTGGATCCATTGAACACTCTATCTTGGTTACTCTACACGTCGAGTTCACCAAGGATGGCAAGAAATACGTTTCTGACGTAGACCAACAGGAACTTGCTTACGATATCAACGCCAAGTTCAAGGACTTCAAGAACATTTACAAGAACATGGATGTTGTCAACGTGAGTTATACCCGAAAAGGTGTGACTGGGAGACAATCTTGCTAATGACAATACTTTGGTTGATAGGCTTACCTCAAGGCTTAAGTGCAAAAGTAGGAACACGGGCGGTTTGCCTCAACCTCATAAAAAAACCCATTCAAATACTATTGTTTTCTACCCTGTTGAAAATAGAACAATTTAGTACTATGATACCGTTGTGTACTGCGATTGTCGAATCTATAAGCGACAAGCAAGCGACTGAACTCAAGTTGCGTCGCTCTTTGAGGAAAAAGGAATGGCGGCACAAATTCCCAAGTTCTGTTTTGCAAACCTCATGTATTGCGCTATTGATATACACATGCATGTTTCTATAACCACCACACCACTACTCGGCACCCTGTGGGTTCATACCATACAAAGGCATAAACAAATCATCAAGTATCGAATCACCATAAAACGCATCAAACTCCTGCTGCTGCTGGCCTCCCATAGGCAATGGCGCATTGGCAGCCGCCCATCCCTGAATAGTATTCATGGTATTGAGTGGCAGTTGAGGCGGCAGAACCTGTTGTGGCTGAGAGCTGGCATTTGATGGCATGGAAGGGATTGGCCAGCCGCCTGGGATTGTAATGCCTATGAGACGAATATGGGTTAGAAACTTGCTATACTTCCAATGCGTTTCAGTACTCAAAACACAAGAAAAAGCACGTTACCCTTTTGCATAAGAATGACTCCAACGACACTCAACAGCCTTTCAGCACTGGACGACACACGAGACAAGCGCAAGAAGATTTCCTGTACTTTGCGTAGTGGGACAAGGGCGCTGAGGTCGCCATTCAGTGCGTCAGAGACTAGGGAGCCAACTGCAATCATTACGAGATCTAAGTGTTGTTAAATCCATAAGCTTAATTTGATGTATTGAGGGATCTTGTCTCGAGACTGAATGAGCGTCATAAGGTGACAGAAAACACTCACATGGTAGAAGCGGAAAGACTGGATCATACTCTTGCTCATTCAGCGGAGCGGGTTTGAATTTCGACACTACTTGCACAATACATTCCGAACTGGCACGAGTCGTGGCATCAAATCTTCCAATCGAGAAGCGATGATCAAGTATGCAAAGCTGAATGGATTTCGTAGATGTTAGTATGGAATCGCTGATGACCTTCATCGCATATTTTTACATACACAGTGATATGTTGCGACAAGACCAATTTCAGTGGGAGTGCCGGGGATAGCAGATCCATTCTCATCATACCAATGAGTGAGTTTTTGCTTGATGTTTTCAAGCTCAAGAGCTCGTTCACTTTGGGAAGAGCGTACAGCGTTACCGGCTGAACAAACTTCACCGATGAGAACGCATAGTTCTGCTTGGCTTTTCAGGAGACGCAGTCCTTCTGTAGCTTGTGGGAATGGAGTGTCTGGAGTTGAGAATGAGTGTAAGAATGTGGTTCTCCGTGTGAATTTAGCTTATTAATTTCGTTCCAAAGTGAACTGACCCCAATCTCGATCAGGAAGAGCAATGGGCCTTCCAGACGACAATGAAGAATATCTGTCCACCACATAGCAGCAAAAGAAGGTATCGACCATCGATTTAGCAGTAGCGTCATCAAAACTGAAGCGTACTTGATGTCGTTCAGTATTTCTATGCAATCCCAGTTCTGACAAAACAAGACCAAAAGTCAGCAAAGACGTAGATTAAGGAAACAATCTGCAGCAGCTTAGTTACCAAGCGCAACTCTCATTGCCATCCCACTATACACCCACGCATTAGCACGTTCCGGCGAAATAATTCCCACCAACGCGATAAACAACAGCCCCTGACATATATGGAGATTGCTCTTATCCAGATTCTCAAACAGATAGCCACGTGCGCGGGTAAAGCAGGCAGCTTGGAAGGCCGCAACGTCGCTAATGCCAAATGCTGCAAGTGAGGATATGTTGTTGACTGCATGGCCCATGATGCATTCTAGGAGGAAGCTGAAGGTAGATGATCTTCGCTTTTCTTTCGATTGTGTTTCGAAATCTTTGACGTTGATGCAAGGAAAGACGGGATGTCTAGTAGAAAAAAAATAGAGGAAAAGGTACAAATGCTCCAAGTCGTTGCAAGGGGAGGCGATTTCACATACACATGTTTGAAATGCACATCAATCAAGTACTGTACAAGTTCTGCAGATGGTTGTGGGTGAGTTGAAGGAGCTGGTGTAGGTGGGATGCTTGCCCATTTCAGTACACCCTTGTTGAATGTTGGTAGCAATGGAAAGAGGTTGCTAGCTCCTGACGATGTGGATCCAAAGTAGCGGACAAACTGAGATGCATGTGCTACATACTAGTGGTTGAGAAAAAGCAGTGTGTCAGCATCTCAACAACAAAATATTCAAGAGGAACGACAAGACCTGTAACATACAAGCGATTCAGTAGCAGCAGGATGCGGAGACTTGGGCTCGTTCTTAATAATATTGTTCACGACAGTCGGTGTACTAGGCTGCGTTGCGTGATTTGCTGGAGTTCCTTGCGACATGGCAGCGACTTGGGCTTCCAATTGGTGAAGCCTTTGTTTGATTTGAGTGATTTCATTTGCAAACGCAGTTGGGCCTAAAAACTCGCTTTCGTTAATGAAGCTGCCACTAGAATTCAGGAAAGAAATGAATAAGTTACCACGTCTCCTTTCACTAGGACTGTAATTGCACTCTATGCCTAGAGCGAGACATGAGATACAAGTGGGTTCAGATCCTGAGCATTTCGTACGACGTTTTCGACACCTGAATTCAATTGAGCACGTTAGTGTTGCTGTAAAGATGTACAAAACAATGGTTGCAGTTAAAGGTTGGAACGCTGCACTTACTGGTCACTAAAACCAGAATGAAACGATAGATTAGCTTCAAAAACCAACGACAAAACGTTTGAAACAGGAAAACAAGTTGTTCTCGTACCAGGCCTTTGATGCCCTCACACGTTTTCGCTTACTACCCTTCTTAGCATCCATGTCACCATTATCATCGTCAGAGTATCCTTGCGAGTCATCGTCTTCCATCCTTGACTAGAACGAGATGCGATTCTTGTAAAACGGGATGTGGTTTCTATGTTGAGAGGATGCGAGGCTGAACATTAGTTGATTGTCAAAAATGGTGGGATGGCACAGGAATATAAAAGGCGTGGAAAGCGCGAGGACAAGGCCTGCATGTTCTGCGGCATAGAATGCACTTACATTGCTTACAGAACGACCTCGCGACAAACAAAGATTCTGTGTCAAAAATCTCGCTAGTTGTTGGCAACCACTAGGAGAGATTAAGCGAAGACACAGAGGCGTCCAAAGTGTGGCGTAACGAGACCTGTCTCACGTGAATTGCCTGATAACTTGAATCGTCCTTCTTTAACTGACGCGGGCCGGTCGAACTCTGCTCCACTTGAAACACACCACCAGATTTATTCACGAGGTTGCAGATTTTACTTGATGAATACAGGTTTATCCCAAAGCTTCGCGTATTTTGTATCCGTGCTGACTCTTGGCTACGTGGCAAAGCACGGCTTTACGACCTGCAAATTTAGAAACCATTTGTTTGCAACGCAACGGAGGAACGTCGCTTAATTTTCATAGTTAAGTCAAGATAATTTCATCAATTTCAATTGATTTGCACGTTCGCATCTATTAAAACTCCCTCCGCGACTACAATTCAACACTCTTGTTCAAAAAATTCGTCATTTCTCCAATTTCTTTGACGACAAGATGAAATTCAATGATGCGACGTTGCTATACACATGTACCAGATTGCATTTTAATATCTGGAACTCCAACTCCAGCCAGAAATACCTCTTGGACTCAACAACAACATGACAAACTTGGTTTGAAAGGACGCAATTTTTGTCGAATGGTACATCCATCATCTTGTCGTCAAAGCAAGATAGCAGTTTAACAAAGGTTCACTGAGATCCAATAGACGCTGTTTCCGTCTCATCGTCTGGCTCCCAGGTAACAAACAGAACAAGACTCCCACCATGCCTGCCGCAAAAGTCTTGACTTCATTTCACACCTTACGATTTATAACAGGACAACCAGAATCTACATCAATGAGTGCTTTTACTATCGTTACTTGCTCTTACTCTTACTCAAAGCTCTCCTTCCCCACGATGCGCACGACAACGAGAAAGAGGAAAACATCGAACAGCAAGACATATACAGCTATTTAGGAGGATCAAAACGCGACCATCTTTTTTTCAAGAGGCGTAACAGGCAGATTGGGAACTCTGCGAAAGGTTTCCATCGGCAACAAAGCAAAACAGCAAGGTATGCACCTCGAGAGCTTAAACTCTGCATCATACTCACAAACATGTTTCGTAGCTCTTTAAACTCTCCAAATAGCAAGACAAATCCTCAACACCCACACCATCCCATCGCATAACATCAAAGTAGCCAAAAAAAGCTCAAAGACACCAACCAACACTCGCGAGCTTCGAATTCTCAACAAGTGTCCGACGCTACCAGCAACGCTTTACATTGATAAGCGAATACGATTTTATTCTGCACCATATCATCATAAATTGGGGGGTTTTAAAGCTTGGTGGGCTTAGGGTCTTCGGCAAGTTGGACTGATAGCTTGCCAATGTTGGAGCCTAGGGAATCGAGGTTTAGCATATCGTAATACCTCATAATAAAATATAGATGGAAGCCATGTAAAGAATTCGGTCCCATTGTATTTTACCTTCAAAGAGTTTCATCAAACCCTGTGGAGCGTTCTCAAGACCCTTGATGACCGTCTCACCACTCTTGAGTTTTCCCTCTTTCATCCATGCTAGCATTGTTTTTCGTGCCTTTTGGGAAAAAAAGGAACGATTAGTTACCGTGAATTATTTACAAACTGTTAACGACAGACACACCTCAACAAACTGCGATTCATAATCAAACACAATGAAACCTTCCATATGTCCACGCTGGCCAATCAAGACCAGATAGTTGTTGGGTCCTTGCATTGCAGTGGATGCATTGTATTGGGAGATTCCTATCCTCAGGAAACATAGTGAGACACAGCAACGAACGACCAAAAGAACCACTTCATTACCACCACATAAAGCTATACGACCCTTGAAAGCAAGACGTGCTAAGCAGGCGTCCAGACTAGTAGAAACAAGTCATGGAATCTGTCGTTTTGAACTTTTTTTTGGTTGTCATTTCTTACATGTCACCGCCAGTATTGTCGAAATAGCAATTGATAAAGTTGGGAGTTGCCTTTTGTAACTGCTGTCGGAAATCAGCAGCTAAATTGATGTGATGCTTTAGCATTTGACAATGATGAGCATCAACAAAAAACATCGTGTCAACTCTAGCTTATACCTTTGTAATCGACGGCAACATCACAACCAAGCTCCTTAGTGAGCCATTCGCACTTTTCTATAAACGAAACGGGCCCCATTGGGTCAAGCTGCCAACAAAAACAGCTTGCAAACCCGACTCATACCTTTTCCACCGGCTACACCAACGACTCTACCACCAAGTGCCTTTGCAACTTGGCATGCGACAGAGCCCTAATTATTTCAAAAAAACGGACGCTTAGATTCTGTACAATGCTCAAATAGTGCAATGCATACTCACAGTAGCTCCTGCTGCTCCTGAGACAACTACAGTGTCTCCAGGCTTGACCTATCCTTGTACTGTGTTGGAACTGGCTCGATTTGGATCGTGTAATTGTAAACATGTACCTTGCAAATATCAATGATTCCGAAATATGCCGTGAGTCCAGTGATTCCCTATCAAACGACACACCAATAAGTTTCAAGTCGTACAGAACGAGCAATAACCCGTTGAACGATTACCAATGGGCCAAGTTGAGCCTTGAATGGAATCGACGAACTATAAAACAACAGGTCGATTCAATGCATTTGAGCGAGTCAAGACAGTAGGCAAACGTACTCGAACGTAGAGAACCCCTTCCCATCACTGAGCGTGTACTCTTGCCACATACCATCACCATCGACGTGTGCGCCGACAGGGAACTTTGGGTTTTTGGATTTAACGACGATGCCAACAGTCCAGCCCCTATTATACCGATGATTCAATTATCTTGTCGTAATATTTAGCACATCCTAATATGTACCTCATGATATCTCCTTCGTTTAAGGGAGCAATGTATGAGCGACCAGGTCTCATCCACGATCTAAGAACAGACGAGTTGTCAGTATCACAGGAGTTTCGACACGGCGACACGTACGTAGATGCTCACGAGCATATTCTGAAGCAAAAAGACTAAAAATGCAGCGACAGTTCAAACCTCATTGCTGGATCCAAACTGAGATAGATGTTCTTGACCAAGAATTGGCCATCTTTGAGAGTCTCTGGTACTGGCGATGTTTTGAATGCAAATTGTTCTTTAGGATTAATCTAAACGTATAGGAGATAAGGAAAGGGTGTTGGTTGGATGTAATGGAACCAAGTGTTTTGGCCAAATGTTCAAGTTTGGCAAAAGCATATAGCGACACGCCACAGTTCCAAATATGACGTGGCCAGCCGATAAATTTTAAGGTAGATACGTGTACTAACTCTACATCTTCATCGTTCAACCTCAAAGCTTTGGCCCATTTGACTCACCTCTCCCAATGGACGCTTGACAAAAAGGACTTGAAGATTCTGTGTTGAAAGAAACGAGTTAGTCGATAGCAAAGCAAGATGATGGCTGAGAGTGCTCACCTTTTGCATTTTGGCTACTTTTGAAGTTTGTTTTGCCTGTATTTCTGTTTGCGTATTACAATAAAACCAGCACGAATGCAACACAAGAAGGCCATATCAGCCGAAATCACAAAAGCAAGTCGTATTATTCGGTCTGCAGAGCTTTAACGCGAAATAAGATGGGCGATCGCTATTACTCTTGGGGCGGAATGGTTTGAGTGCAGCGATGCAGTCATGACTATATTGCTCAGAACTTATTACAATCGAGCAGCTTTAGCTGGCTCATCGTTGATTTGGACCATCAATTTACCAGTGTTTCCTCCTGAGAAAGGACCCAATTGTCAATTCTTGTTGAGCAAAAACGTGAATATGACCAATCACAACATACCTTCGAACAGCTTCAATAAAGCATCAGGTGCGTTCTGTAAACCCTTGATGACCGTTTCAGTACTCTTCAGCTTTCCTTCTCTCATCCACTGCAGCATCTTGGTTCTAGCTTCCCCATATCGACTTGCGTAATCAAACACAATGAATCCCGTCATTGAGCCTCTCTGTCCGATGAGAGTGAGATAGTTGCCTGGACCCTTGGGTTTCACTTCATTGTACTGACTGATACCACCGCATAGCACAATTCTTCCTTTGAAGGCGATTCTGGCGAGACAAAAGTCCAAGATTTCACCACCGACGTTGTCAAAGTAGCAGTTGATGAATTTGGGAGTTGCTTTGCCGAGTTGGGCTCGGAAATCTAAGCAGTGTTTCGATGTTTGAGAGATTGAGCGTTCACGGTTGTTGTATGAAAGACAGCCCAATACCTTTGGCCTTGTAGTCCAAACAGACATCAGCACCCAACTCTTCTTTTACCCAACGACACTTTTCTGATAAAAGCAGTAGGTCAAAACAAGGCCCGACAGCGGGCAGAATCCAAAATTGAAGGAAGTTACCTGCTCCACCAGCGATACCAATGACGTGACAACCCACAGCCTTTGCAATCTGTACTGCTGCTGATCCTGTAGCTCCAGCTGCTCCGGAAACTACAACAACTTCGCCAGCTTTGATCTAAAATGGATAGAGTGTCAGGAAATAACAACGGCAATAGCGGCAAACATTGCATTTCGTACCTTGCCGACTTCAAGCATTCCGAAATAGGCAGTAAGACCAGTTCCACCCAAGGATCCCAAAGCCTCTTTCATGGATACAGACGATTCGACAACCATCCATCCTTTACCATCAGTAACGGCATACTCTTGCCAGTTTCCATTTCCGAACACAGTGGCTCCAACAGCAAACTTGCTGTTTTTTGATTTGATGACTGTGCCAACTGTGGATCCTCTCATAACCTCGCTACGAGAAAGGTAGGAGACGTTATACGATGTGATGCCAACAAGCCACCAAACGGAGATTTCTACCCAGGTTGTAAAGGTGCAACATATGATCTGACGTCGTTCATCATTCCTATTGCGCATCATCAGTTTAGATCTTGCATTCCTGTTGCAAGTAATACAAGATAACGTACCTCTCATAGCTACAAAATGGAAAATCGTTAGTACTTGCTCACATAGCAAATATGGTCGTTTTTTGCAAACTTACCTGGGTCCAGAGACAAGTACACATTCTTAACAAGGATTTCACCATCTTTGATATCTGATGGTGCTACACCAGTCTTGAATGTGAATTGTTCCTTGGGTTTGATCTTGAAGCAAATGACGTGTTAATGATGCAGCCATTTGACAGAAATCCAGGGACGGAAAGCGAGCATACCATGCCCAAAGGCCTTTTAGCAAATATAACTAAAACTATGTGTTAGTACCCGTGTTGCATTTGATGCTTTAATGTTTGCTCAAGAGCTTCAGGAATGGTTCATGTCACGCAAAAAAATGTTGTATTTGAAGGGCAAAGAAGCTTGGAGATTCGTAGCGTACCTTGAAAGTTTTGCATGATTATAGAGTCGTGCTGGTCTTTTTGATCTTGGCTAGCCTTGTTTTTGGGTATTTGCGTGTTTGTCAAAGATGTTCGCACCTGTGGAGTTGGGATTCTAAATAGACGTGTTAACACGTATATATCTCCTCAAAACACTATATATTATTCATTAATCCGCTATTTTGATAGTGCCACTGCAACCTGAACGCAGAATGCTCCTTAAACCAGAGTAACATTAATCCACGCTTCCAATATGAGTTTAGGCACCAAATTACAAGATCGCGTCGCGATCATCACGGGAGCCTCTGCTGAGAATGGTTTAGTACCATCATGAGCTCCAAAACGACCAACAATGGACTTTGTACTCACTCACGTTCCTTGACTAGGAATTGGCTACTCAACTGCACATCTATTCGCCACTGAAGGGTACCTTTTGATCAAAGCTCTCCCTCTTGTAGCATATTTAACTGAAGCTAGCCCTTCCTCCTCATCACAGAGCTTCGGTGGTGTTAGTTGACATTGATCTCGTGGAGGGTCAAAAAGCCCAGCAACGACTGGAGCGTGAATTCGGGACTGGAAGAGCGCTTTTCAATCGATGCGACATCACCTCTGACGATGGACTTCCAAATGTGTTTGCTGAGACTGTGAAACGCTATGGACGAATCGATGTTGTGATATGCAATGCAGGCATTGATGGATTCTTTTCTATTGATGCTGACTTTTCGTAAGTTTCTTGAAGGGGGCTTTATTGCTGTCACGTTATTCCGGTTTTGTTGTGGATGTGATAATTGGTCGACTCTCCCAAGACGCTGTAAGGGAATCTGATACCAATTTTGCCGTCAATTAGATCAATTAAACGTGTCATTGACATAAATACAACCGCTGTGCTACGAGGACACCATCTTGCTGTACAGTACGCGAGAAAACTGGGGAAACCGGCAAGCGTCAACGTCACATTGAATCTCAGAATCCGTCTGAATTCCCTTATTCTAGATTGTGGTGGCATCAACAGCATCACAAGCTGGCCTATATGGCATAAACAAACCAGACTATGCCGCATCCAAATGGGGTGTTTTAGGCATCGCAGCATCAATGATGCTGTGGGTTGAAGAGCAACGTGGGCTGGGCATACAGCTGCCTGAGGGTATGCGGTTTAACTGTGTATGTCCAGGAGCGACTCCTACGAATATCGTCAAAAATTACGTGGTGCCGCCTGGTGCTGATCCGAAAAAGGTTGAGGATCAACAAAGGAGGCAGTATGCGAACTTGGAGAAGATGGTGAGATTGATAGTTTGAAGACTCTTGAGCATTAGTCTGACCTTGTATTGTGAAATAGGGCTGGATGACACCTCGACAGATGGCGGATTGTTTTCTACTAGCTGTTACGGATGAAAGATTAAACGGAGCTGCGATTGAGATGGGGGACCCTGTGTCTGGCAAACCAACGATCCATCAGCACTATCTTCATGTTCGTGGTGGAAAAGAAGGTGCTAGATTTGTTTCGCGCAGGCTTCAACAGAAGCTTGAACAAAAGTTGTAACCAATGTAGTAGCTTAAGAGACCGAGATTCGCTTGCAGCACGCTTCAAGACATGTTTTCTATGTGTACGGTTCGGCGATCGCATACCGTCAAAGCACCAAAAATCTTGAAACCTTTAAAGAAAGCTGTAGATCACGAAGCACGATACGTGTGGCTTGTAAGGCAGCCACGATGAGGGAGCTAGAGGACTGGGCAAAGCTGCAAGGAGCAAGTCTCGTCTGCAACATAAAGGAAATCAGCCAGGATCACAGGATATTGGCAGCTTCTGACAATGTGAAAAAAGACGAAACAGTCATGTCCATCCCCAATAGCATGCTTCTCAGCATCCGCAACTGTACAGATAGTGGAAGAAAAGTATTACAACTGGTATTCGACGCTGAGGACTTGAACAAGTATGGGCTTGACACGACATCAAATAATCAACCATTAGTGTCGGAATTTGACGAACAGCTGGGCCTCATACTGTTACTATTACACTACAAGTCACAGCCTGAGAACAAATGGACTTTATATATAGAATCGCTGCCGAAAACGTACATGACACCGCTCTCCTACACCCATCAGCAAACAGCTTTGTTGTCTGGATCACCCCTGTGCAGTATGATTGACCTGATACAGAGCAATCTCCAAGCTGCATTCGATCTCGTAATTCCGCAACTGATGCATATAATGGGATCATCATTCTCGAGCCATTGTGAATTCTCAGACTTCATATGGGCTCATAGCGCAATAGAGTCAAGAGCCTTTCGAATAGCCACAGGACCAGATACAATCGAAACCGTAATGGTGCCAATGGCCGACTCGGCTGACCACGCTCTGGTTGCCAATCTATGCATGAATGTGACGGAAAAGAGCTTGGATTTTAGAGCTTCGAGAGATATAGGTGTTGGCGAAGAACTTCACCATACGTATAACAGACTCGCTAACTGGCAACTGCTACTGTATTATGGCTTCGCACTCGCAGATAATCCGAATGACACTGTTAGTATAGAGCTTGAAGAGGAAGGGTATGACGAGGATGATATGCTGACGTTGAAGAAACAGCTGTTGCTTGGGCTCGACTCGGATGTAGTTGGTACTAGCCACTCTATCTCGGTGGAACATCTCATGCCAGCTGCGCTGATATCGACACTGAGACTCTTGACCGCAAATGAGAGTGAATTGCAGTCCGTGACTATAAACAACATGTCTGTCCTAGAATCGCCGCTTAGCTTAGAGTCTGAGCTTAGGTCGGTCACGGTACTAGAAGAGATACTGAATAGTCTGGAATGCGAGTATTCGACCACACTCGAAGAGGATGCAGCCGAGCTGAATAGCTGTCGGCCAGACACAGTAGAACGCTACATATATATATACCTCATCGGACAAAAGCAGATCCTTCAAGCCGCAAAGGCACAACTACTCTCATATACAAAGACCCTCATAGGAACATAGCCTGTACAGTATATTTATATAGAACAATGCTCTTATGCGACAAAACGATGTACTATATATTTAAAATGCAACTCTTCAATCATCATAGTCCTCTTCATCTTCCAGTATCCTGTTTATAGCCATCACGGCCTGTGGTGCTTCATACGGAAGCGTCCCAGCAGGCTTTGGAGCATTCAGCGGAGGAGGAGGCAAAGTAAGAGCAACGTCCTCTTCACCTTGTGAATCCGAAGTTGGTACCGCAGCTTTTGACTTTCTCGGTTTCGTTGGTTTGCTTGGCTCTCCGCCTTCCTGTTTGGGTTTCTTTGCAGATGCCTTCTTCTTCTTCTTCTTTGGGTCTCCATCTTCTTGTGCTGGCAGTTCGGTGCCTGGTGTGTCGGCCAGATTCTGAACCTTCTCGCGTAGGAAGTCGAATCTTTCTTGGGCCATGATTGTTTGTTTTCTGTAGACAAAGCAGTCGATGTGTGAGTATTCGTTCGACAGAGAGGAAATCCCTTCTTGTTTGAAGCGATCATTGTTTACGAGGTGTTTTGGTGGCAAACGATGATGACACAGATAGAAAGGCGACTTACAGATGAGCAGGAGTAACTCGTTTGGCATTTTTGGATTGAGTGACTTTACACATTTCCTCGACGACTGTTTCCAGAAACATTTCCACGGCTTTTGCTAATAAACACGGGTTGTTTGGTAAGAAAATCAAAGTCTTGTTTCGGCGATTATCAACAACCTACATATTAGGATGGGAGTTGCTTGAGCTACTTTGCCCACCTCCTCATCGATACGCATTATTCGTTTGATGCGAGCCTGGTTTCGAGAATTGTGTTTGGATTAGTACAGGTTTGGACAAGTACAGGGATCAATGCAGGTAAGATTCACAGATGAGCTGTAGCAGATCGTTTCATACCTGTGGAAATCGGGTCTTGTTACCTCCTTTCTTGGGCGGCATGATTCCTAATGTGAATGGTTGTTGTCAGAAAGCTGATATTGGGAATTTCAACACATAAAACAATCAAGCTTGCAGGAATAGAGCGTGCTATATACTACGTGGTGAGCTACTGCTTACCTTTTATCGTTTGATTCCAAGTTGACGAGCTTTTCGATTGTGAAGTGGTTATGTTGAAAGTGAAAGATGGGCATTTAGACTAACACGACTTGATGCATTAGGAAACGCCAAACGGCACGTTCATATATGGACCTCACATTTTGTGACGTTTCTTATACCGTCGATACTCAAAGGAGCAACCGGTGGATTCGAAAATCTGCAACATCTGTCACTCCCGAACGCAATCGCATCCTACAACATGTCAGCGGCTCGTTTTCTAAAGGAGAACTGGTTGCTATAATGGTATGGATTTGTCTGATCGTTAACGGCTCGCATCCGACGCAACGGTAGCCAACCTACATGCAACCCATAGGGTGCGTCAGGATCTGGCAAGACCTCTATAATGGACATACTCGCTAATAGAGCGAAAAGTGGCACTATGAGTGGAGAGATCTACTATGTACGTGCGACGCGTGTGATTCTCCTGGTAGTTTCTTTGAACCAACCTTAACACTATAGATTCGTTGACAATAGGATGGAAGTCCGGCGTCGCTCTCAAAAGCAGACACCGTTGGTTACGTTCAACAGGATGACGTGTTTCTGAGTAAGGTTGTCTTTTTGGTAGATCTCAACTGTTGGCTAACATGGTCAGTGTAGGTCAACTCACTGTACGAGAAACACTCATGTACGCACTAAGACTACGAGTCTCAGACTCACTCCAACACCACGCCGAACGAGTCGCGAACGTAGAGAGCATCATTCGCAAACTCAACCTGACCAAAGTAGCCGACACTAGAATCGGTTCGCTTGGCAAACGAGGAATATCGGGTGGTGAACGACGCAGGCTCTCAATAGGAGTCGAGTTAGTGACATCGCCCTCCATCCTTTTCATTGACGAAATCACAACGGGGCTTGATAGTGGAAACGCTCTCCGGACAATGTCTGTTGTGAAGGACTTAGCTGCCAAGCATGGACAAACCGTAATATGTACAATACATCAACCACGATCGTCTATATTCTTTCTCTTTGATCAAATCATGCTGCTCGATGACGGTCGTGTAGCTTATATTGGACCTGGAGGACTAGATATAGTTGGGTACTTCTCATCGTTGGGTCTTGAGTGTCCGAAATTTAGCAATCCAGCGGACTTCTTGATTGATTTGCTAGAGGATGCTAGTGCCGTGCCTCCTGCTAGTGAGAGCTTGGACTCTGCATCGCCTGCAATACAGCTGGATAGAGACCTACCAGCTGAATTCGAGACCTCCGAAGTTAAAAAGAATCTAGACGTGAAAATCGGAGGTATAAGAGGTTCAGCTGGTATGCCTCTTCGTAGCGGGAAACCCAAACAGCATTCTCTTCGTGTGTCGTGGTGGCAACAATTATTAGCTTTGACTACACGGATATTCACACAGACCATTCGCGACCCTGCAGTGATATACACCAGGACCCTCGCGGCTTTGATGATTGCATTGCTGGTTGGTGGTGTGTTCTGGCAACAACCTGATACAGTAGACAGTATAGGCAACAGAGTCAATGCTCTCTTGTTCCTTATGTGTGTCTTCTCATTGGTATGTATTCGTACACTAGATCAGCCTCAAACTTCTCGCTAATGGATTGTCCATCGCCAGTTCTGTTTACCGGCAATCAGTCAAATAGTAAACGACAGAATACTGTTTGAACGTGAACGTGCTGCAGGATACGTATCGTCTGGTGTATACTCAATAGCAACTCTGATTGTTGAGCTGCCGACACTTGGTGCTGTTGTGATTCTTTATGGAGTTGTTGTTTATTGGATGTGTGGGCTATACCCGAGCATTGGTCATTTTTTGGTACTTATTTCGGTATCCTTTTGCAATTGCCACTACTGAAATTACTGACACTTTTGCTAAATCTAGTTCTTTATGCTGACCATATTCTTGGTCATTATCGTTGGGTAAAAAGTTTTGCCTGCTGGCCTTGTGCTAATGTATCGACGGTGTCTGAATTGTTCTTTGCATCTAATAGTTTCTCAGCTGCTCAGGTATCTGCCACCGCAGTAAAAACCAATAGCCATGCAATTGCCATGTACATGATTATCTTAGTATACTGTAAGTATTTCATAGGTCAATTCTACTCGCCATCTTTGTTTTTCGCCAACAACCACTCTCTCTTTTAAATAGCGCTACTGATGGGTGGCTTCATATTCCCTCAATCGTCTCTACCGAGTGGAGCTCAATTTCTTGTCTACACGTCCTGGTTTTACTTTGGATTCCAAAGCCTGCAGATCAACGAGTTTCAAGATCGGTCGTACGGACCGTCTGAGGTTACCAACGTAGATCCGTTTACGAAATGGAGGGACTTACTGGCGCTCCTGGGAATCTTCTTGCTCTTCCGACTCGTGTCATATGTCCTCTTAACAACGCTTCACCGAGAACGAAAGTAGAAAGGAGGAAATGACTGCATTTTTACTGCAGATGACTAATTGCCATATGCATTCTAAGATAATCTTATATACCTTAATTAGTGTCAGAAATATATACGTGGATGTCCTATACACTGTCTTATACTCGACGATTTATCACTACTGGAGCCCATTACCCAATTACTAAAGTTCAGCTTCAGCGCACCACCGCACCACGTCCCTGTAAAGCCCCGCATGAGCCTCCCTCCTTCCAGCCTTCCCTTTCGCCTTTCCATTCTTACACCTCAATCCCTCCGCAACACCCATAGCCTTCAAATGCTGTCTCTTATTCTGAAACCATATCTGCACAGCCCGTGGATTCATATCCAGTCTCTCCGCCAACAGCTTGCGTATTCTCGTGTCTGGGTAAGGAGTCACTGCGAAGACTTGAGTGAATACTTTAACGGATGATTTCGTGAGTCGGCCTGAGTGGTAGGGAGTAGTGGTGTTTGCTGGGCGACGACGTGGTTTTGTTGATTGTCGTTTAGGTGGATCTACGACGTATTCTTCATCGTCTGAATCTTCCACGGTGTATTCGTCATCATCCGCATCGTCTCGTCGTTCATCTTCATGAGGAGAGTCCGTTCGGGATCGTACTTCAATAGCAGAGTCCAAATTACATTCTTGTCCAGGACTAGATGAAGACCCACGGCAACGTGTGGTACATCCAACCGTGGCAGTAGCCAAACTATTCGAAGCACTTAGTAGCGTCAACGACGTTTCCAAGTTGCTGCTACCAGAAGTCGAAAGTTCCACTATAGGAGTCAACGCAGGCCTTCCAATGTCCACTTCATACGGCGCCTCTTCATTTTTACTACTGCTGGTCCGAGTCAGCGACGACAAATTACTAAAAAGGCCATTGGAATAATCGAAATCCGATTCCAACAATAGCGATGGCAGGTTAATCAGATGAGAGTCCAACACGAAGTAGCTATCTTCGTTCTACTTTCAAATTAAAGAAACATATTAGCCCTGTAGATCTCCTTCACTTCCAAAGACTGAAACACCAAATAACACCAAGCGATTTAATTAATGAAGCACGCAAACTGAACAACACTCACCAAGTCACTTGAACAAGGCGTATCTTCCCAAGAAGTCTTCATAATTGGTGTCATTAAAGCATCTTTCAACAATAAGTCTTGCTCCAGAGGCTCCAGCAATGTCGAATCAATCGACTTGCCATGTATCAGCCACGATTTAATCTCGACTGCATTTTCAAGCGGTTGGAGCAGTGGCGTATAGTAGTAATTGGTCTGCATTTGCTGATAGAGGTTATTTTTGTATTTTTGACAGATCTTGATACCAGAGCTTTTTTTTCTCTTTTGTATTCGTGTGTTTGTGTGTTTTTTGATGAATGAAAAATAGGGGACATGTGCTTGCTTTGACAAATGGACCTTGCTCCTTTCAAGCTTTCGCAAGCAAGTAGAGGACTATGGATTGCGTGCCGATTTATTACCAATTAAGCTTGATAAGCTTGGATGACAGTCAAGTAATGGACGAAGCAAATGCCCATTACTTGACGGGAATACGAATCAAGGTAAAGATTTCTTGTAATTAAAATAATTCTTTGATTTCCAATGTCTCCAAATCCCATGGAATTCCATCCTTATATCTATCTAATCGATTGATTGGGCTTGTCAAGCATTTTCAAAATCGACCGAGATTCACAGTTTCGCAGGAAGAAAGACTTGAAGAAAGGTTTCTGTGGTCTTCATACAGTGTTATAAGTGCGTTAAGAGTCTGCTCCTTGCTCTTTTGCGGTCTTCTTTGGTTTGTAGTCTCGATTGCGTACTTATTCTGTTATACTCATGTTCATGAACTCAACGTCAACATCAAAGACAATCGCCACAAAGTCAAATATGAACAGGAGAGATCCAAAGGGCAGTACTATTCTCTCTTCGCTGTCTCTACTACTGCCCGTCTCCGTCTCAGGTCTCATAATCTGGCGACAAATGTCAACGTCAAAACCTCACGAGGTGTCAAAGTCAAGGTCAAAGTATCTAGAGGCTTCAATGTCAATGAAGAAATGATAAGCAATGGTGGCTGGGATCAGGACTCACTTAACAGAAGAATTTTCGGAATTTTCGTTCAATCATCTCCACAAATTCAACCAACAAGCTAAAACTCTAATTCAAGGTAAGAAGAAAGGAGAAATCATTCATTTTATCACATACCACATCTATTAATAAGCCAACTCTGATTTCAAGTTGTGACATTTAAGAGTTTAAACCATCATCAATCATCCAAGTCTTGACGAGCAAGTCTAACGAGGAAACCGTCACAGGAAATGGAAGCTACCAGACAGCTCACCAGAGCATGTGCCGCTGATTTATTCCTTTCAGATCCCAACTGTCGCAGCAGGCTCTTCATGTTTGACAACGGCCAGACTCAACAAGAAATCAGCATTGTTCCCTACATTCTCAAACTGTACAACACTCTCGACAGACATCAGTCTCAAGTCGATCGCTTTAGATAAAACAAGAGCAAATATACTGATAACAAGATACAGCTCTGTACCGTCTGATGCGTGTATAGCAATCCCTCAATATAAACAATCGTGAAGTATGTTTTCATATCAACGCACATCTAATGTACCAATCAATTTCCTAATACATATAATAGAAGATTAAAGTAACACTCAAAATATACTATTCTTTAGCCCCTTCGCCACAACAGCCAGCACCTCGTCCACCTTCAGCTTGTAATTCCTCCGATCCTTGCTAACAGCAGTCCACAATTCCCCATGATGTGGTTCAGCAGCAACACATTTGGCTATAACATCATGTCGTTGCTCTTCACTTCCATACTCTGTTTCAAATGCATACCACCAACCCCACGTGTCTCCCAAATCTGGATCAATCTTGGTAGCTCGTTGAAACCATGATCGGGCTTTATCCAGTTTCCTTTCACTCCAAAACAACCTAGCTATAGTCACTAGTACGAGAGCATCGTTCTCGCACTTTTTCAGCGCATCGGTGGATTTTGATTTACGGGTTGGACGTGGCTCTGATATGATTGCTTCAGACCATAATAAACCTGATGTTGGACATTCTTGTAATGCTTTTGCTGTTAATGCTTTAGCCATGGCTGCATTACCACCTCTATGTTCTACTCTTATTGACTCGGTCCATAGTTCAGGATTGGCTTGGTTTAATAGACGTCCCCGTTCCAAGATGGCTCGTGATTTTGTCAACATGTCGGCTTTTTCTTCTAGTCTAGATGCTAATATCCATAGCGGTATACTCTTTGGACACTGTTTGAGTCCCTTGGCGTAGAATTCTCGTGCAGCAGCTAAATTACCCTTTTCATCTTCTTCTACTTGACCCCTCATCATCCATAGTTTTGGCGAATGAGGAAACTTTACAAGGGCATCAGTCAATAAAGCAATAGCTGCATCTGCTTGTCCTAGCTGACGTTCAAATACTACAGATTTTATCCATACACGCTCGGTATTGGCATCTTTCCGAGCACGTTCCAGTTGGACTCGTGCACGACGATACTCTCCATTCTCAGCTTCTAGTTTCACAGCGGCCAGCCATATCTGTTCAGAGTTGGGATTGGCAACAAAGGCTCTTTCGAGAATCGTTCGAGCACCATCTACATCTCCTAAGAGCCACTTTTGCTTGGCACCCATAAGCCATAATACTTCAGCATTCGGTACATATCCAACAGCTTGCAGCAAAAGAGCTTCGAGTGATTCGTCGGTGCCGTGTTCCTTTTCCAAGAAGGCAGCCTTTTGCCATATCGTGTTATCTTTGGGAAGTTTTTGGGCAGCAATGGCATAGATGGCCCGAGCTGTGGCAATGGATCCGTGGGCTGTACATGATTCCGCATCTTCAACAAACGTTACTTTATAATCTTCAGGCTCAATACCCTGGTCTACAGTATGTTTGATGATGGCCTGACATACAGCGACAGCATTATCCCTTTCACATTGTTCAGCTTCTTTAATCCATGTTTCTCGATCAATGTCCGATCCTTTTCGAGCCAAGACACCTACAGCACTACGTATGATGGCATCTACATTGGCAGTGTTGCCCTGATGTTCTTCAAGTCTGGCGGCAGTGATCCAAATCTCGTGAGACGTTGGATTCTGAATACGAGCTTGATTGAGTACCTTTTTGGCATTATCATACGATTCTAGTTTAGCTAATGCGAGCCACAATTCAACTGCTAGTGGCACGTCTTTGACGGCTTGAGAGAGCAGAATACGAGCATCTTCTGGATCTTCTTCCAGTGACACTGTGGCCTTCCACAGAGATACCGAGTTGGGAATAAACTCTAATGCTCGTCGTAATACACGTTTCTTTCCTTTAACTTCATTTTCCAATGATGCAGCTCTCATCCATATCTTTACAGATTGAGGCAGTGATCTTACAGCATTGGCAAGAATAACTTTGGCATTATCGGTGGTATTAAGACGAGCAGCCTCCAGCCATACATCTTCTGACTTGCTACATTCTTCACATCCCTTTGCCATGATTTCTCGAGCTAGGGCTAATTTACCAGCGACTTCTTCTAATCGTGCGGCAGCAATCCATCCCGGACTATGTTTAGGGTTGGTTGTGGTAACAGATCGTAACAGAGTTCTAGCCTTTTTGATATCTGATATTTCGGCATCAGATTTCACTTGAACAGAGCTCAAGTCCGTCAAGTATCCTTTCGGGTCAATCGTGGTTTGTCCAGACACCGAATCAGATGCCTGATCTAGTTTAAGACCCAGCACTTTATCACGAGCCTGACCAAACTGTACAAAGTCAGTCTTGGTGCCATCTACAGGAGTTGCGACTCCGCCCATAGCCTGGTCTCTGGCGTTTATCACATTACTAAACCCACTCGACGCAGCAGCGCCAAGCAACACCGAGTCAGGAACAGGCATATATCGTTCCTGGACCTTCAAATTGGCGTTTTTACCACGCTTCCTAACTAAATCCCCAACTTCAGGTATCGCTGCCCACTGATCATCTGTAATTACAGCCAGACCACGTTTCAAATCAGCAAATTGCTGCTGAATTTTTGGTCGCTCTTTACGATATCGTTCTTGTTCTTCTCGTTCACGAGCTTCACGTCTACTTCTACGTCGTTCATCCATTTTCTTATCGATCGCTTCGTATATACGATCTGCTTCTTCATCATCCATTTCATATGGCGCTGATGCAAAGAGACCGGATTCATTGTCGGGATCTTGGAAGCGTCCATCATCGTCACGATCATCGTTTCCTCCTGCTCCACTACCACTTCCAGAAGGAGCTCCTGAACCACTTGGACCACCGCCTGGAGGGACTTCTCCGGGAGCTGCTTCTCTGGCTGGACCGATATCTGACCGCGTAGTACTAGTAGAGGGAAAGCGCGATGTGTTAGCTTTCGTTGGAATGTCTTCGATGTTGATTTTAAAAGTGCATCGCAGCAAGAACTTACAATCCAGCGGCACCTCTACCTAGACCGGCGACATAATTTGGAGGAGCTGGCCTGCTCATAAAGTCGGGCTGTATGGGGATGATCACGATTTTAGACAGTGATTGTGAAAAAGGAGCTAGATATTGCAATATTCACTTACCACTGCCATCACTTTCAAGCTGTTAAAGGTAGCCATCGCGACCTTTTATACGTTTAAAGCGATTAAATATCTTCTTTCGTCCTTCGCCTTGTGCCTTTTCGAAAGGATTGTTGCTTTTGCGAAACTTGAACATCAAAAATCCAAACGTACTTTGTACACAACAGACGCGTGATTGAATGCTATTATGCAAATTCTATAATATATTCCTAGTTTACACGTTCTGAAACAGATTTCTACAAAAAACCGACGCGTTTTCTAAGTTTCTGATTCGCCACTGCTTCCCCCCGTACCACCACCACTCTCCTCGAACAACCTCTTCTTCATATCCCGATGTCCATCACTTATCTTTGCAAATGCAGAAGGCTGAATCAAAAGCGGCTTGTCTTTACCCATCAGATTGATCTTGTTGACAAAATCCTTGATACCGTTCGGGCGTGTTTCAATCACTGTATGGTGCAATTGTTGGTGGGCGAATACACATCCAGTCATATATGCATCAAAAGCTGCCGAGTGATATACTTCGAATACGGCGGTGGTGGCTGGGAGATTGACTACTATAGGTGGTGCTGTTAACGGGGATGAAGTTGATGCTGGTGGTATAGACGATGAAAGGACTGGTAGAGCGGGTTGCATCAATACATCAGGCTCGTTATGTATGGGTGTTTGCTTGTTAGCGTCTGTTATGGCGTCAGTCTTGACGATATCTGTGGTGTCCTCAGTAGTTGCTACTGTACCATTGCTATCAGTCTTATGATTATTCCTCTTCCTCTTCTTTGACTTTCTGGCAAGACCCTTCTCTTCACAGTCTAGAATCACGTCCAGATCATGAGAGTAGAAACATTGTCTTCCATTCTTGCAATATCCAAAAGACTAGTGTGGTTGGTTGATTGTCAGTCGTTCACCAAAAAGGCAACAAACCATATTCATTTACCGCGTAGTGTTCACAAAACAACCGATCAGCTCCTCTCTTGCCAGATAGCAGTGGTGGTGGCTGAATCTTTACATGTAGCGGTGGATTGGCTTCAAATGTAAGAAAGTGTTCAGTTCCTTTGAGCTTCCTAGCCACCTGTTCCCGCTCACTAAAACAAAAAGCATCAGCTACCAATTCATACTCAATAAACATGAACAAACAACTCACTATTTGCGATACAGGTAGGATAAAAAACTAGCCCCCTCCCGATCAACATAATCTGCAATATACTTGGTGTCATACAAGCCTCCAGCAAACAACTCGTACAGATCTACTATAAACGAGTCTAGCGTATCTGGCAGCTCTGTATAGAAGGCTTCATACAGGAAGCACAAGTCGAGCAAACCGTTGTGGATGATGAAGGGGACTTTACGGCTCAACGTATGGGTCAGGATGCTACGAAGACACCATTCAGGATTGGTTACAGCGTCTGCCGGTGCCATAGTATTCTAGAGTGAAATCGACGTCAGAAAGCTAGCTGCGGAAACGCGTCTCTGATAAAAACACAAAGTACCTTGTGGGTGCCAGGCATATACGGTATCCCATCCCTCATAACACGAGACAAGTCTAATCCAGTATCAGCCAAGAAGGATAAGCTAGCTGATGAGACTTGATAGTCTTTTTGGCACTTGAGTAAGAACGCGAAATTGTTGACTGTGTATCGATGCTCCAAGTCGTTGCCCTTTGATGGAGCAAGCTCAAAAGTAGTCAAGCCCATCGTGAGCAGGGCATACCTCTGAGCTACATTGGCTAAAGCCTTGTATCGTACAGCCAAATCGCTAAAGGAGAAAGGCGTTGAGTAAAAAAAAAAACTCGAAATTGTTGGTAGAGATCATTCTGTTTCGAGGCATTTACGAGGATTGAGAGACGATCAGTCCTCCAATTAAACTACAAGCTCGAACTTACTCTGATCGGGTTTGCTGTTTGCGATCTCCTAGTCCAGAAAATTCAAAGTCGACGGAAATGTAGACTGCTCGGTTGATTGCCATCTGAATACCAAACTGCATGCTGGCAATGTTATGGACGGTAACCTCTGTATACTTGGGCACCATCACGCGGGGTCGTCCCTTCTCGCTGGCCATGATGAATGAGCTCAAGATGATGTTTCAAATGTTAGAAACTGGTGCATTCGAGCTTTCATGGTATCCCCACACGGTTATCACGTCCGTTTATATATATTTTGGTTCACTTTGGTATGTTAAATGTACGATTTTCTACACTAAACCACGTCACAAACGTGGACAGTCTGTTCCATTCGCTGTCCTCTACATTGAAGCCATGCCGCAGACGAGCAAAACAGCCATCACTGCGGTGGCGATCGCTTCATGCTCATTCCTTGTATAGCCATCACTTGCCACCTGGAGAAGCCCAGCTACAGCTTGTGTCGCTGCAGCTTGAGTTGTACCAGGAGACGCACCTGGACTAGCTTGATGTCCAGAGTATCTAAGTAGTGAATGAATGAATGAACAAATATGTTTTGTCGTCAACGAGCTTCAGAAGCACAATAATCTCGTGTTGGTTGACAAACAAACCACTCTCTGCTCTCGATCAAACACAACTTACCCAAGAGGAGGTGGACAACTCGATTGTGTACAGGTATTGTACCAAGTGGTGACGGGTTTTCCATAATACCATAAGGTGTCGTCCAAGCATTGAGCAACGGGCATGATCTGATTGGAAATACCTCCCATCGCAACAATATCCTTCAAGGCTTGTATTGCAATACCAGCTGTAAAGCCACTTAAGGTATGTTGCAGACTGATGATTGGCTGGTCAATTCCAAACCACGAATGAATCCTCGCCAACGCTACGTCATAAGCTACGTTTTAAAATATGAATCAGTCTTGAGTTTCTTCCTTTTTTGGCCATATTCAACACAAAGGGCGCAAACTCACTGACTCCATCTGAGTCCAGAGAATCATAGTTTCCGTCCCAAACCACAATACTAAGGATGTAGAAAACAGTCAAATTCGAAAAATTCAAGATTCAAAGGAATTGGCAAAAGTCAAAGTTGAAGATTCAAGATTCGAAGGAATTGGAAAACAGTCAATTTCGAAAGATTCAAGATTCAAACTGGGATGAATAAAAAGCCTTACCGGAATCCAAGTGCGTTGATGATTGCGCGAGCTCTATCATCGATATCACCGTAAGGTGGTCTGAAATAGCGAGGTAACAACCCAGTAGTTTTATAGATCTGGTTTACACAAACAATGAAAATGAGCATCTCGTCAAATTGGACCCAATGGCACACTTACGAAAGCTTGAGTACTATCAAAAAAACGGAGTGTCAGCCCCTTTTCAGCGACAATTACGGCACAGCATACAACGAACTTACTACATCACTTCCGCAACAATCTAAGGAAGGAGAAAATTGGGTTGAATTTATTAGTCCAAATGTGAAGATTGGGCAGTTGCGCTTACTTGAGCATTGGTCAAGCTTGTTGTTGGCTAACGACGGAGGTATAAGAGTGAGTACAGCCAATTCGAACAACGCAGATACAGACGAACTCTAAACTTACATGGTGTGTCCACGAGTGCCCAGCAATCTGCATTCCACTACTGGCCAAAGCTTGAAGTTCAGCTGGCCAATATGTAACATATCCACCAATGATGAAAAATGTGGCTAATGATTCATGCTGGTGTTAGATTGTCTCGGCAGTACAACCAAATTTATTTCACACCTTTGATGTTCATAGAATTCAACTGGTTCAACAAGACTCGAGAATCATTGTAGTGGCTTCCGTTAACAATGTTGTAGGACGGGCCATCATCACTATTGGGAGTATTGTGTAAGACTGAGATCTCCCACTTGAGATGAATGATTCAAGCGTCTCACAAGGTCAGTCCCCATTGACCCGGTTTATCGCAGTAGACGATATCAGGTGGTCCCCAGTTTCCTGCACTGCTACGAGTGCACCCATTACTTGGCTATGTGACATGCAAAGTAATTGTAAGCAATTAGGTGCCAGGTCTGGCGTCGAGCGTCAAGTTTTCTCAAGGAAATGTACATACCCAATAACATGTTTGAGAAGGATCAGCCGAATAATTCACTTTGGCTCCCTGAAAAGGAGAAGGGACATGACAAGTGAGGAAAAGGTCCAAGAATAAAAAGGTCGGGCACATTGTCACATACATTGATATATGTGGATGGCGGAATAGCGAGAGTGGCAGGATCGGCGACCGATTGTACGTAACTAGGAAGGAGTGACAAATACATTCGTTAGAAGAGATACGAAAGATGAATAAAAACAACAAACGTAGGAAATTGGGTGGAAGTTGTATGGAATAAAGACCGCTCCCAAACACAATTTTCCATCTCCGAATTCGCATCAAATTAAATAATACACCGCATCTCCACTTACGCTAAAGCATTCTGGACGATGGGATCGTTCAAATAAACACCATTAATGGGATTTTTTTGATCTGCAGACGGCCAAGCAGATGGTTGAGCAGTACTAGCAGCAGGTACATTTGTAGGCAGTGCTCTACGTCCCACATCAATGGGAGAACGAGCAAATCTGGGTCCCAATATTTCTCCTGATTGCCCGATGGCCAAAGCAATTACAGCAATTATGCCAGATGCGATCATGGCAACACGGATCCATGGGACTCCGGACTGAGTGGGCTGAACGACCTTTTGTTGGCTCTTCTTTTCCCTGGCCATGGTGGTTGTATGTTGTCAAGAATTGGTGGAGCAGAATAATGACGTTGCGAGACGAACGAGCCTACTCGATGCGGTCAATATCCCATTAAAGACCAGAATATAATGTGTATATGACGTAAACACTCGTTTACTCGTGAGAAACGCGTGAAATGTCGAAACTTTGCTTGAAAACGGGCCTCCCCATGTTCGGTCGTCGCATGTGGACTATTCCAAGCTGATCCGCGCCGTTCCGATACGTCACCACGTGTATTTCAATGATTTTTCATTGATCTGATACGAAATCGATCTGATCCTTGACGTGTTTGGCTGCCATCATACAGCAAATCGTGTTTCATTCCAACCGGCGACACGAGCTCGAGAAACCGAGAAAAGAACAAGACCAAGGTTTTGATATTTGATATCCCCATACTCAAAAACACTTCTTTATTAGAAAATGATTGAAACCAAGAATCCACCCAGCAACAAAACCGATGACGATGCCAATGAACTAGCTCCACTAGCACTAGCAGCTGGAACTATAGCAGCTGGTGCTGCAGTAGCAGCAGCGGCATCTCCAGGACAGCCAGCTCCAGTACATGCTTGAGTAGCGTTTGTAGGTGTATCAGTTGGGACTAGACTGTTCTGGTACCATTGTTTATCTGAAAGGCACTGTTTGGAGGAGTGAGGAGCGTCTTAGTTCTCTGAGTCAATCATATTTAACGAATGAAGGTGCTCACTTCAGGTACAGACATCATCTTGTTTGTGATTCCTTGGACACGGATTTGGTTGAGTGCTGTCATGGCGATTCCGGTTGTAAATGTATCAATATTGTGTTCCAATGTCAGTCTTGGAGTTGATTTGTTGAACCTAGGGTGAACAGGTGTTAGTTCATGCGTATTGTGTTCATGTTTGTACGCTTCTGTTACCATGATTGAATTGTTGCAAGGACAGGTCCAAAGTCTGCAGCGTTGGCTACGGTTGAACAAAGGAGCTTCGTTAGCCTTGGATCTTCGTTTTTTTTTATCTTGATGAGCTTACCAACGACGTCAGCGTCCATACTGTCATTGTCCCATATAACAACTCTGAAACCGAGAGCATGTACAATAGCTCGCACTCTGTCATCGATGTCACCATAAGGTGGTCTGAAATACTTGAGTACGAGTCCAGTGTTGTTGTAAACAAGGGCTTGAGTGCTATGTATAAACAATTTATTAGCCAGCCTGTCAACAACAACAATGTCAGCCTTGACACTTACTACATCATTTCGGCAACGATTTGCTCATTGGTTAGAGCAGTTAGAGGATGGTGCGACCACTAATCTCAACTTTCGTTATTGTGTTTCCCGTTCAAACAAATATCATACACAACACCACATACCGTATGAGCACCAATATGGTGACCATTTTGAATCAAAAGCTGTAACGTAGAATTCGCAGAATAAGTGACCTGCGACCCAGTGACAAAATTTGTGGCAGTGACATTAATAGCTTTAAGTGACGCAACAAGAGTGGTGGTGTCATTAACATGGTTTCCATTCGAGTCCAAATTGTCGAATGGTCCATCGTCGTAAGTGACTCCCCAGGAATTCGGGACGGTACAAGTGGAAATATCGGCGAGACCCCAGTTTCCGGTAGTGTTTCTGAAAAAGATACGAGACGATATTAGCACCGTCACTCCAATCATTGCACAAAACACCAAAAACACCCAACATACCTGACACAGAGGTTACTAGGCCAGTAACAATTTGCAGTGGCATCGCCCTTGTAAGTGACTGTGTACTGATCAGAAGCCAGTCCCGATGGAGGAATTGCCAGCACCGATGCAGGGACAACTGATGTAACATATGCCAATGCGTTCACGACAATAGGATCCTGCAAGTACGTTCCGGTAATCTGAACAGTCTCATCTGGATTAGGATATGCAGCAGGTTGCTGAGGAATCATTGAAAATGTGGGCGTCGTGCCATTGTTGTTTAGGGCGGTGCCGTTTGTGACGGGAGCACGAGGGATCTACGCAAACAAAATTCAAATTACTTTGAAGAATATAAAGGAGATGGTAGTCATCGAGTCGTCCTGTAATATAAACAACAGACTTGTTTCGGATGCTTACTCGGGTAGCTGGATTTGAAAACCAAAAAATCTGGCCAGCGAGAACGACCACGACAGCTCCCAAAACTTGCTTACTGCTTAAAGTACTACTCATTGTTTGGCAGTGCAGGGAGTAATAAGTTGAGTTCCTTGGTTATGTCAAACAACAAACCTTGTTTTCAAAACGTACCCCAATCCTACTGCCGCAAACCCAAATGCTGGTTTGGATTAGTATGTCCAGTCCGACAGCTACTCCTGAAATCGAATTTAAAGCTCTCTATACAAAAGCAGTAACGTCGCCTAGTTCAACGGGTTGAGGATTTATGTCTGAAAAACATGCATCTTGTCTCATTCAACGTATGGCACATTTTGAACGTTTTATTAAACGAGAAACCGCAGAGCGCTTGTTTTGTACATAATTTATGTTTTTGATTGTTTGAACTATTCTTCGCTTAAAAGACATTATTGTTCAAAAGTACTAGCCGTTTTCCTCGTTAAAACCACCTTCCTACTGCACTTTTCAGCAACCACGACCCAACATCTCTTTTAAACACATTTTCCTGCATAAGAAAAGGCAGCTTGACATCCAGATCCACAGAACGTAGTATCACTTCCACACCTAGTTTATGTTTTCTTGGTCAGGCACTAAAAAAATGCGCTGGACCCAAGCAAAGCGTGTCAAACGTACCATCCATACTGTGAGCAACAATGAGCAGTACTACCACACACACTAGCCCCACACGTCCCATCCGTACTTGTCGGAAGATTACTTGAAACAGGTCCTGAACCACAATTTTTGTTGAATGAGTATGCTGCTTGGCATCCTGTTGAACAAAATGTGGTTCCGGCACCACAATATCCATATTGAGAGCAGCTAGTGGCAGCAGAAATATTAGAGTTTTGATGCATCCAAACGTCGAACAATTGTATACTCACCAGGGTGCGTTTGCAGCGGAGCATGATCCAACACCTGCACCACATCCGCCAGTGCTTGTGGAAGAGGGAGATGCAGCTGCAGCAGACACTTTGGCTGATGCAGCAGCAGAAGCTTTTCCTGACGCTTTGCCTGATGCTGCAGCAGATGCTTTTGCCGATGCAGGAACAGTAGGAGATACTGGCGGTTTCCCATCACACCCACCGGGAATTGTACAAGAATTGTAGATGGTAGTGACTTGCGTGTTCTTATACCACTGAGTATCCCCGAGACATTGAGGAACCTTAACAACAAAGGAATTTTAGCACGCTAAACGCTTTCTTTGCTGTCCTTCACTCACAGTCATCAACTGATTCTGAATTCCACCCATCGCTTGAATCTTCTTGAGAGCTGCTACAGCCGTTCCTGAGCTGAATGTGTTGATGGTATGTTGGAGGGCGATGAAGGGAGTTGGTGTGTTGAACCTGTGAACAAAATCGTTGAGTTACAGAATTTACAAGCAATGCGTCAAGAGCAATTAAACCCACCATGAAGTCATTCTTGTAATGACGGTTTGATAGCCTGCAGCGTTAGCAGTTACGTCCGAATCGAAACTGTCGTATGTAGGGTCCCATAGCACAATCCTAATGCGAATGAGTGAGTATCAAAGGCCTATCTCATATTGAAAGAAAAAATCCACACATACCTGAACCCCAACGCGTTAACAATTGCTCTCACACGATCATCTATATCTCCATACGGAGGCCTGAAAAACCTCATCGACAGCCCCGTCAGCTTGTACACGATTGCTTGTGTGTACATTAATTCAGCAACGATCTGTAAGAAACCTGTTAAAATCAGACTTGCACTTTCAGCACCACACGTTTGAAACTCACCTGAACGTTCGTCAAACTCGTAAAAGGATGATGAGTCCACGAGTGGTGCGCAACATGATGCCCGGCGTTGGCGACGGCAACTAGTGCAGTAGGGTAATAAGTAGCCTGGCTTCCAGTAACAAAGAACGTGGCTTTTAGATTCATTTTTGTGAGTTGGTCCATGATTGAGTATGTGTCGTTGACGTGTGTGGATCCAACGAGATTCACAGATGGAGCGTCACTAATAAAAAGGCAATAATTAGTTTAGGTTTAACCACAATATTTATACAGATCTCTACTCACTCGTATGTTAACCCCCATTGATAACTGCTCGGACAATACACGATATCAGGATTTCCCCATTTGCCAGCGGTCGTCCGTGTGCAATGCGGAGATGCATACGGCCAATAGCATGTAGTTGTTGGATTGTCATTGTACGTAACGGTGGAAAACGATATGTACTTGGATGTCTTGTATGCCAAAACAGTTGGATCAACAACCGAGTTCACGTATGCTAACGCGCTGGTGACGATCGAGTCGTTCAAGTATGATCCAGCTATGAAAAGCGTTTCATCTGCAGATGGGTACGCCTAGTACGATAAATGTGTTCAAAGAAATGCAAAACTCCCAAAAGTTGGACGAGATGTTTGAGCGCGACTCTACATTCACAACGATGGCATATCAAACCGATCAAAATTCTTCTTACAATATTAATTTCGAATGCAGTCAAGTCGAACTTACTTTGGGCTGTACTGGTATAATCGGCGGTGCAGCAACTACAGAACGTGCTTCCTTGTTTTTACCTCTGACATTGTCGCCCATCAGCCATTCAGACCGGGTTCCAAATAGCCATGCACAGACTGCTACCGTCACGGCGACGTGAACCGGTTTGTAGCCCATCCTACGATTTTATTGATTTTCTTAAAATGTCAAAGTGGACGCACTTAGCATTTTCACAGCACACAATCCCCAATCCATGGCACGAAATCGCCAAATTGATAAGAAAATATTTATTATTATTTGTCTCACGCATAAAATATCACACCCATAGTCTTTCTTTTTGTAAAATCATCAAACACCCAACACTTTCGTTTTGTTTTTGTATACAACTCAGGATATAAACCACCTTATCAAGCACACTTTCCATTGAAAGAGAAAGCGGGTTGGCATCCAGCACCACAGAAAGGACCGTTGACGTCCTGGCCACAGTATCCATATTGAGAACAACAGTTTGCGCCTGATGGACATGACCCTGCGGTGGCTGAGCAAGCACCAGTGGAAGATACGGGGTAGAGAGGAGCTGGATTGGGAGAAGCTTGGGTTTGGGGAGCTTGAACTATTGACCGAAAAGGCCTGTCAGTTTTGGGGCAAAGGATAATTATATGCTGAAGGGAGAAACGTACCAACTCCAGAACAACCAGCAGGCTTGGTACAAGTGTTCCAGACCGTGGTGATTTGCTTGTTCTTGTACCTGTGAAACCGAGAAGAAGGTGTGAGCGTGAAGAACGACACTATTAGAACTCATGTTTGCATTACCAGTTGACGTCACCCAAGCATTGAGGGACAGGCATCATTTGGTTATTGATACCACCCATAGCCTTGATGTTTCGGAGAGTATCGGCAGATGTACCGGATGTGAAGGTAGAAATGGTGTGCTAAATGCCAAGCAACGTCAGCTGCATTTTTGAAAATTTTAAAGCACCAGCCAAACGCCCTTACTTGCAAAGAAATAAATCCTTGAGGTACGTTGAACCAGCTCTTGATAATATTCATGACAGTGGTGTAGGAAGCGGCATTGGCAGTGACATCTGCGTCAGTAGAGTCATAAATTCCGTCCCAGATAACAATGCGGTATCCCAAGGCGTTCACGATAGCACGGACACGGTCGTCAATGTCACCGTAAGGAGGACGGAAGTAGCGCATGGTTAGACCAGTGACCTTGTAGATGGCGGCGGTAGTGTACTCCATTTCGGCAACGATCTGGTTTGAAAAATAAGCAAGGAGGTTAGAAAAGAGGCTAGAAGAGATATGGAAATAAAGAGATGTGCCGTTTGATTTGGTTACCTGAGCGTTAGTCAAACTCGTCATTGGATGGTGAGACCACGAGTGGTGAGCAACGTGGTGCTGAGCGCTGGCGACTGCAGCGAGAGCGTCAGGGTAGTAAATGGTTCTAGGATGCATAAAAAAGGTTTTAGAAGCCATAGCTTTTACAACTCTGAAGTTTACATTGAGTACACTGCAAACCACTTACTGTGACCCGGTAACAAAGAACGTTGCTTTAAGGTTCAAAGCAGACAATCCGTCCATGATGGTGTAAGTGTCATTGACGTGGGTGGTACCGACCAAGTTGACAGATGGCGCATCGTCGTAAGTGAGACCCCATTGGTTTTGGCTGTTACAGTATACAATGTCCGCAGCTCCCCAGGTGCCACTAGTTGTGCGGGTGCATTGGGCATCGGGCTGTATAAGGAGGTTAGAAAACTGTGAGTGATGGCAGCAAGTATTGAGAATCGCTCGAAATGTAACATTACCCAGTAGCAGGTTGTGGTTGGGTTGGCAGTATAAGTCACGGTCGAGTACTGGATGTACTTGCTCGGTGCATAGTTCAAAATTGCAGCAGGTACGACAGCATTGACGTAGGCTAATGCGTTGGTGACAATTGCTATTGAAACACGAAAAATCATCCAGTTAGAACAAGTAAAAATTTTGAGACAAGTTTTTAAAAGTATGAAACAAACTGCCACAACGATTTCCTCATGACTTACGATCGTTCAAATAAGACCCAGTAATCATCAAAGTCTCATCAGCACTTGGGTATGCCTATCAAACACGGTGCTGTTAGTAAACCTCGTTTCCGCGGGTTTCAACACGCACACCCAAAAACACGTTCCAGAGCAGATCCACCTAGATCGGAACATGATCCGACACAATCCAACACATTAAAACACAATAAGACACTTACAGCGGGTTGAGGGGGCACAGTGTTTGTCGGACTGAATGGACCAGATGGGACGACCGATGCAACAGGCGATGCTACAACACCACTCTTGACGGGAGCAGGAGTAGCACTCTTGACAGGTGTAGTTGTAGTGGTCTTCTTAGTCGTTGCACCGAAACCAGCACCCCGAGCAATACGGACTTTGGAAATGTCTCCATTGTAGTTGTAGAATAGGATTCCAACAACCGCGACTAGCAGCGCCAATAAGAGATTCTTATTGAGAGCCATGGTTTCTCTTGTCCTGATGCAGGTAGTAACGTACTGGTCTACTACGACTAAAGGTCAATGACGTTTGGGCCAACAAGGATGAAAATGAAAACCCAAGTTCTTCGATCTTGATGGTTGACGCGCGCCGAAAAAAGTCGTAAAAGGTTTACCAATGAACGGAGGGAGCGATGCGATGCACATCTACGAAGCAATTATAAGCGTGTGTTCGTAGCATCCTTGTACGCGTTTATCCACATAAATCCAAAATCCATCATCCGAACTTCCGATTTCTCATCCCCACACAACAAAACTCCCAAAACATGTTCCCCCATCTACGCACCCTCTACCAAACACTAGCCACACTCCCATCGAGCTTCACATCGCTCCTCCACGCTCGCCAAGCTCTACTATCTCGCATCCCAACACAGACTCAAATCCGAGGTTCAAAGTACCCTTCATACGATGGCGACGCTCTGCCTGGATACATCTTGCCACGCACGAGGAGGAAGGGGTCTTGGTATGGCCACAAGCTAAGGGTATGTAATGGTTCTAGTTTTGTTCGCAAAACCATTGGGGACGTTTTCGCAAAAAAAGCGTTGGGCTTGCAAAGCAATGACAAGGTGTTGAAAGAGGACATCAAGCTAATCCATCCATGAATATTCCTGCTTCTCTAGGCGAAATTCTTCCGTATGCGGTTTGGCAAGACGGGCCAACGGGGTAGACGGCCTGGATATGGAAGTCACGATCATATCTTGAGCAAGGCAAACATATAGTAATAGTAGTAGTAAAAGATATCTTTCCACGTATATATATACAAACTAGCATTATCCAAAACCATCACACCACGGGCCACGTATCACTCAAGTTACAAGTGCTGCACCATCATACCCAGCGCACCAAGTCCTTTTTCTATCATATCAGACACGGCTCTATCAAATCTCTATCTCATCGAGCAACACCACCCTTAACCTGCAACCCACTCAACAATGGCTGGAACCCACTCGCAATACGCTGCAACCGACTCTCCAACCTTGCTCTCGTATCCCGTTCACTCAGCACCTCCTCCTTAACCTTCCTCATATCCTCTCTCAGTCTCACAACCTCATCACCCCTCGACGACGCTTCTTTAGCAAGCTCGGCCATACGGCGTCCGTGCAACTCAGACTCTTTACTCAGCTCTCCTACACGTGCGGTAGCGCGTTCCAGTGAATGTGCGGCGGACGCGTATTGTTGATGCAGACGAGCGAATTTAGGGTGGAAGGAGCGTGGATGTGGGTGTATTATTGACGTGTTGTTGTGTTGGGGTGATGAGCATCCAGCTGCTTCGACGAGGATGGATGGATCGGTGACAGAGCAGAGGCCAATGATTGCTTGGTACTGTCGCTCATAGTCTTGGAGGGCGGTGACGAGTTCGATTTGATTGTGTTCTAGTTCTTTGGCTTCCTTTTCTAAGCGGCCAAACATCTTTTGCTTGTCTTTGGCACGTTTAAGGTTTTCGCGTAGGGAATTGTTTTCTTCCTTGAGTTGGCGTGCTTGTTCGACATGTTCTGCCAAAAGTTCATTCAGAGTTAAGACCACTATTTTTTTGTCATGGCATCACTAAAACAGATTTGACTCACCTTCAAGCACAGTATTAAGCTGCCCCAATTTAGCCTGCGTCTCATCATTCTCTCTCAGCAGCATGGCCATATCCGAGGAATTACCACCACCATTGGCAGCCGCAACACCTTGCCCACCATTCTTGTATCTCGCAATCTCATCCTTCAAAGTCCTGACAAGCTCAGCAGCCTTCTTATTCTTGAGCCTCTCATCCTCCACTTTGGACTCAGCATCATCTCTAGCCCGTCGTGCAGCCAACACAGCTTCAGATCCAACACCACCAGAAGCTTCAGCCAATGCAAGCGCGTTCTTGAGTCGAGAATTATCAGCTCTCCAGTCCTCCAATTCTTGTTTCAGGGTTGCGATATAATCTCCCTTTGTGGTATCGTCAAATACAGCTGTATCAGTAGTCTCATCTTGCTGGTCTTGGTTGCTATTGCTGCCGTTACGACGACTACGTTTCAACCTCAAGATTTCAGCTCTCGCACCCTCCAGCTCCACACAAATACGTTCCACATGCATCCGTTTCTCATCCTCTATGGCTCTCAGCGTCAAATCCGTCTCCTCTCTCAACATGAGACTCTCAGTCTTGATGCGTCGGATTCGATCGCTGATACATTTCGATTCATCGTTGAGTGCTGCACATGCGGTGATTACTGTTGCGATTGCGGATGTCACGTCAGAGAGGACCGACACGACTGGTGTGTTATTCGATGTGGTTGCGAGTCGTCTCATGGTGGTTAGCGGCGACAGCAGAGATACGAGTGGGGGACCGAGATCTGACAGCGGGAAGGCTGAATCAGCGGGTGGGAGACTTGCAGTGATAGTTTTGATGCGTGCCATCTCGGTATCGATTGAATGGACGAGTATCCCACTATCTTCATTGCTGTTACTATTATTGGGAACACCACCAGACACGACCTTCCTAGTCAGCTCCCGTTCAACTTCCAGCAACCGCCGATTCTCCTTTCGCAGAATCTCGTTCTGTTCCATCATAGCCGCCATCTCTTTAGCCTGTCGCGAGCTCTTCATGGAAAGTTCATGGTAGCTCCTTTGTAGAATGTCGTATGCGTTGGCTTCAATCATAGCGTTCGTTACATTTGCATTGGCTGATACTGCTTGTGCTTGTTTGGCTGTTGATGCGGCAGATGCAACGGATGCCGCCAGTTGTTCTCGTAGGGTATCACAATCTGATTCTAGTTGGGCGACTCGTGCCTTTAGGAATCCGTCTGAGCGTTGCGTCAAATCAGTACCTGGCTGTATCGAGTTGCTCTGCTTACTGCCTGTGGTATTACTCGTAACATTACTGGTGGTTGATTTCTGTCTCGGGACCGGTATGACTATACTACGAGCTTTAGCCCTCCGTTGCTCCCCCTCTAAAGCTTTAACTCGATCCACCAACGCAAACACCACCCCTTCAGATGCAGCAGGAACCTCACCGACCTGCTGCCTCAAATGTATATTCTCCTTTTCCAGCTCGACCTGCATTCTCAGCTGCTTGTTTTCACGATCTAGATGATGGAGCTGCCGTTTCATAATCTCGGGATCTTCGTCTATTGGTGGTGGTGGTACTGCATACGGAGACGTGGATCGTGATATTGGGAGTACGGTTTCACCATCTGTGCGTCGAGGAGGTGATGTAAATATAGCAGATGGATTGGGCCGGGATGGTGAAGGTGGTCTGCTGGCAGTCTGAAGGGTTTGTGGTGTGATAGATCGTAACGGCACATCCATACTAATATTATTCGGCCGAGTCAGCATCTGCGTATGTATCGGCACCAAAAGCGGTTCAGTACTATGTATCTTGAATTTAATAGGCACAGGAACTCCTTCCTCGTCGTGTTTAATATCACTTTCAATCTCAGTCAATGTACTGCTAATGTGCTGGGCGGCTTCGACCAATTGTTCTGCCAGCCTTTTCTGGGATTCCAGAGTCGATGCAGACTTTACAATGTGGTTTGACGTGGCAGATGGAGTAGGTATGGTGGTTGTATGGTGTTCCCTCTTTGCGGATGAGGTTGAAAAAGATGGTTTTAGACTTGATGCTTTTGTGCTAGTTCTGGACTTTGATGCAGCCGGTTTCGATAGATCTTGCGTCAGTGCGGATGCCGAGACACTTGATTTGGTTGCCTCTCTCATCGCCACGTCAAAGAAAGGTGTGCTGGTTGAGGGAATAGCTTTCTGAAAAAATGTTGAGAATTGTCGCAGAGTGAAACAGCGGTGAAGAACACGTTCAACACGGATTACGTGGTGCTGCCAGCATTGCAATCGCATTGTATCGCGTGAAAATTTTACAAAGACGCTGTGTGGGTATACAAAAGGCAGGCCAAAAAACGGGATCGACAGTATGAACATCTACGACAGTAGTAATCTAGATTCAAATGCTATAATATTATATGCAGAAGTACAAAAATGCAGATTGTACAAAGTAGTCACTGATTGGTAGCAGATCTATGCTGATGGTCGACGTCCAGTAGCAACTACAAATCTCAGAATATCCTTCCCATAAACAAACGCCAGGAATCCAGATAATGATTCATAGCGCCTCCACCTATACGGAATACTAACGACGTTTTCCATATACCCTTTGTGCCTCATCAGGAATTTTGACATTCCTGGAAGGACTTGATCAGAGATATTTACAACCTGTACTTCAACAAACCCAACATCTTCTAAATTCCTCTTATATACATCCTCACTAATCAGATTGTCCATAGGTACACCAGCCAAGATACAGAATAGATTCACGACACAGCGATTCCAGAATGACGATTGTGCACCTGGCCCGATAATGATATCCCCAATAGCTAGCCTACCACCTTTACGTAACATTCCATATGTAATGGCGAGCCATGCTTTACGGGTATTGTAGTGGTATGCCGAGTCTAGTGACAGTGCAGCATCAAACTGCTCTGGCTTTACAGGTACGGCGGATTTATATTCATCGCGCCATGTAGATGGATCAGCAGCGTCTCCGATGAGGAAGCTTAGGTTTGGACTCCTGAAACGTGATCGTGCTGCAGAAACATGAGAGGGTTCGAGAGTAACACCTGTTATTGAGAGGTTTGGGTAATTGGTGGATAGCCAGTTGTCTTGGTCGCCACATCCATATCCAAAGTCTAAAACAGAAGGATTATTGTTCATGGGAGGCGAAAAAAACACTTCTTCTAGAACCATACCAACAAGAGTATGAGCTTTCTTCAAGTTGAGCGATTCCACTACTTTTCGCAAGAGACCTAACACCATAAATTGTCAGCTTGATTGCCATTGACTTGTAAGTGATAGCAGCCCTACCTTGGGTAGCTTCCTGGAAAGACATCTCATCACTAGTCCACAATCCCATATTCAACCATAGCGAATCAACCCTCGCATTCAAAACGGCATGATCCAGACCATAGTTGTAGGTTGAAGGCGTGAAAAGATACTCGATTATGCCTCTGAGCACATCAAAGAAGGCTGATTCGACGACAAGGGCGGCAAAGACGATACCACAGCCAAATGTAACGACGTGAGAGTAGTCCAGGTGGTAGTAGATAGCAATGAGGACGAGTCCGAGCGAAATTACAGCCAGTTTAAATGCGTACTGCATGACTTGCATAGTTGAATGACGGTGATTGTTAGCGTTGATCGTGTTTTGATTTTAGCACCCTTTCCAACGGAGATTCTCGAGATAGTTGCCATAAACTCAAAGAAGGTAGCTCTAAATAGCATCGTCGGGGTATAGCTCTTACCTAATAATGGAGGATCCCAGCCGGAAGAGAAAACGGGCGACTAAATCTGAAGCTCCCAAAAAGGTAACTCTTTTTTTGGTTGCCAGAAATGTGTTGAAGCAAAAAAAGTGACGTGCGAACGATGCTTGAATGTTTATTTTATTGATCTTTTTCATATTTAGAACGCCAAACAGATACATGATGACGAGGATCTTGGTGAAGTGCTTGACTCATCAGACATCATTGCTCAAATCACCAACAAAAAACACGAACTCGATCAACCTCATAACCAATCGCTGATCTCTTATGATGTCGAGTCCATTATACCGACTACAGAAACAAGATCACCCAGTGCATTGAGCTCAGAGCCGGTTCAAAAGACTACCAACACGAAAAAGAAGAAACAGACTGTTGTAGTGTCGAGTTTACAAGCTCAACGTGAAGCTCTTCCTGTCTATCAAGGTACTTTAGAGCAAATACAAAAAATTACATGTAGTTGCATGCAAACAATCTAACCCTGCTACGCATCTTCGTCACATTTCAGCAAAGAAACAACTTATGGATGTGGTTGCAGCAAACAAGACCTTGATTGTAATCAGTGAGACTGGATCTGGCAAGACGACTCGTGAGTACACGAAAGAGCTGGGTTTAGGCATTCTTCGTGGGTACCAACCAGGTGTTTTTCCCCACCAGAAATACCACAATTCCTACACGAATCAGGCCTCACCAAACGCGGCATAATAGCAATAACCCAACCTCGTCGAGTAGCAGCAATCTCAATATCCAAACGAGTAGCAGAAGAAACAAACACTACACTGGGTGGTCTCGTCGGATACTCGATACGTTTCGAAGAAGTGTGCTCCCCACAGACCAAAATCAAGTATATGACTGATGGAATGCTGCTACGAGAACTGTTGTCGGACACGCTGTTTAAAAAGTATTCTGCTATTGTCTTGGATGAAGCGCATGAACGGACGCTGAGAACTGATGTGCTGTTTGGGATGGTGAAGAGTATTAGAGAGGTTAGGAAGGATTTGAGAATTATTGTTATGAGTGCGACGCTGGATGCGCAGAAGATGGCGGACTACTTTGAGGAGTACGTATGAGAGGCTTCAATATGGATCCTGTTCACGGTTGATAAGTTTTCCTTTTTTTGTCTCACTCGCATTTTTGCTGTCTTTTATTAGTGCGGTAGTCGTAAACATCCCAGGCCGTCAATACCCAGTCGAAATCTTCCACACAGACGAAAAGCAAGAAGACTATCTAGACGCAGCAGTATCAACAACCCTCCAAACACACGCAAAGTACCCACCAAACGGTGACATTCTCGTATTCCTAACAGGTCAAGAAGAAATTGAATCCGTAACCAACATATTAAATGAAGCATCTCGAGAACTACCGCCTACAGCACTGAAACTGCTCGTCGCACCTATATTTGCTAATTTGCCGACCTGGCAGCAGTCGCAAGTTTTTGAGCCTACTCCGGAGGGACATCGGAAGGTTGTGCTGTCTACTAATATATGCGAAACGAGTATCACATTGTCGGGAGTGAAGTATGTGATTGATACTGGGATGGCCAAGTCTCGTGGATTCAATCCAAAGACAGGTAAACAAGCTTGTTCCTGTTTCATGTTTTTTTTGGTTGGAGTCACTTGCAATAGTGCGCAAAAAGCGTCACGTTCTATCAAAAAATACCTAATATGTTCCTTTTTCACACAGGCTTCGAAGTGCTACGAGTCGAACCAATATCACGCGCATCAGCAAAGCAACGATCAGGTCGTGCAGGTCGTGATTCTCCCGGAATGTGTTTTCGTCTATACACCAAATCAGATTATAGTCTGCTGCCTGAAACAACACCTCCTGAAATCTTGCGAAAGAATCTATCAAGTGTGATATTACTCTTGATGGCTTCTGGAGTATCTAATTTACTCGAATTCAAGTTTTTGGATGCACCGCCGAGAGAAGCTTTGGAGAGGGGGTTGGAGACTTTGTATGCGCTGGGTGCTATTGGTGATGATGGGAAGCTTACTGAATTAGGTAGGCATACTGGGTTGCTTGACAGGCCTTGTTTTTGTTGGCATCATGTCTTATGAGCGCAAAGAAGCAACTGACACGATACTTACATTCTTTGTTTGACTCAAACCCTCTCGTTGTAATAGGAAAATCAATGGCAGAGTTCCCAGTTGACCCTCCATATGCTCGCGTCTTGCTTAAATCCAAAGCAATGAACTGCGTACCTGAAATTATCTCTATTGTCTCCATGCTCAGTGTGGATTCAGTCTTTTTCACACCCCATGATAAACGTGAAGAAGCAACTGCAGCGAGGAAGAAGTTTACTAGCTTTGATGGTATTGTTTGAATACTGTGTTTTGGTTTCTTTTTGCGTCAGTTTCAACTTGATTGAAGGTATTCAACTAAAAGTCTGCTTTTATAATTTAGGTGATCATATAAGTCTCTTGAACGTACTACGAGCATACGACGACGTGAAGAAGAACAAGCAGTGGTGCCTTGATAATTTCGTTAATAGTCGTGCAATGCATCAAGTCACGGTATGTATCATCCTATTATAGACAGACCGTGTTGATCTCTCTTTTGGTTGCTTCCTCATCCTTCAAATGCCTCCTACAAATCAGGATATTCGAACCCAATTGGCCCAATTCTGCCACCGCGCACGTCTCCTCCCAAGCAAAGAAATCACACTACCACAGACAATCAATTCCGAAAACATTCTGAAATGTTTCTTGTCTGGATTCTTTATGAATGCTGCTGTCGCGCATCCGGATGGTAGTTTCAAGACGTTGGTTGGTGGACGTGGTGTTCATGTGCATCCGAGCTCGGTTGTGTTTGGGAAGAAGGTTGGGGGTGTGTTTTATAATGAGTTGGTGAGTTCGGTGATGTTTTGTGGTTTAAGGGATTGCGGTGGGCCGTCCAGGACTTGACTGATTCTCGTTTTGCTTGTCGTTTTTTTTCGTCAAAGGTGCACACGTCAAGACAATATATGAGGAATGTGTCTGTAGTGAATCCAGCATGGTTTGCTGAGGCTGCTCCTCATTACTATGGTCGAAGTTGAGAGATTGGTGGTGTCTCCTTCTAAGGCAATGTTGGAGCTGTACAAAGAGCAGAGCACTGCATCAAATTTCAATATAATAGTTTCAAACCCTCAAAGCCCATCAATTTCATGTTACAGTGCCTCAATGAAAGTAAGTGTCTGAAGAGGAAACGGAAGAGTAAAGAATGAGAAGAATGGAATCATTAGTGAAACAGTTATCATATGTCAGTGTCTCTCTTCTTTCTTACGCTGCAACCAACCGTCGTCAACAGCACCACCAGCATCTAAACGAATTGTAACGTACAAGAGCCTGATCTGACATTCATAATTGGAAAATTGAAGTGTCTTGGAGACGCCTTCCATGACTTTGATTGGTTCAATGTGCTTGATTTTTGGACTAGGAACTGGATTGAAAGGCAAGAAGTTGAAACTCACAAAGGTCTCAGTGAAGGTGTGAGACGAATCACGGATATCCTGCTAGCAAATCAGGTCATGAACATCTATTACCTGCTGCTAATATTCGCTACGACCTAACGACGATTGACTGACCATGCTGATTCACATTAGAGCTTTGAAATAGTATGTGGTTGGCCGCGATACATAGCATTTAAGCCGCGGCGGATTGGCACTTGTGTAAAGTGTGTTCTCTCGCCTTGTGACTGCTATGTGAAGTACATTGTGTTTACTGTTTCTTGGCATAGGTGATTCCTCTTGAAAGCGTTTTAAGCTAAACGATGGGAATCTGATGCTAGTTTCAATGTTTCTCAGTACAATGCAATTGATGTTTTCGATAATGAGTTGCTGAGCCTGTTGAACAGACCACCTTTCAAACACATTCCCAACAGGACAAGAGTGGATAAGGATTGAGGAATGGCACTGACTCCCTCTAATGTGACTTGAGGAAATCAATCTTTTGTGGAAAGACTTACACGGACGACTCCAAAGAGCAAGGACGAGGTCCAATATTTGCCCCGGGTCTCCAGACTCTGCCGATGTCTTCCAGAATAGTCGGCACAGCAGACTGCATCGAAAAGAAGCTTTCTCCAACATCAACTTGGGGGGGGGGGGGGGGTTTGACGTTCTTCGACTACCAAACAAACACCAACTGTTGATGGTAATTGGCAATTTACGGTGTAGATTTTTTGCCCTTGTTTGAGCAAAAGGAAGAGTAAGAAGCCTCAAGACACGACAGTGTAAACCGAACTCTTCTTATTTTCACTATGATCTTGTCCTGTGTAGTGCTCATATTCTCACAAACCACTCCTCTTTCATTGCAACTGTACAGACCCTCGATAATAATCCAGCCGGGCTCTGTCCCACGAACGCCTTCTACCAAGAATTGAACGTTTGAAATGCTTTCTGTTTGGATTCTTCACGGATGCTAATATAACACATCCGGATGGCAATTTCAGGAATTGGTTGGTGGATCTGGTGTACATGTGCATCCGAATCTGTGGTGCTTGGGAAGCAGGTTAGAACCGAGGAGAAGCTGAGATGTGTGAGTGTGTGCATTGGAACCATTACATAAGAGACATCTACTTTTTTTCTCCCTTCTTTGGTCAATTCGTCAACAGACTACATGAGGTAGGTATATGCAGTGAAATTCGGCGGGCGTGGTGAGGCTACTCTCTGCTAGTATGGCGAAAGTTGATCTCAGGTTGCTCCCTTTCTTGGATTGCGGCACGCACTGTCATTGTCAACCAAGCACTTTTACATCATATTAATACAATATGACGCGTAATTGCACAGAACTGTATAATCTCTAGTCGTGAACGCCTGAGCACGCTCAGAACTGTTTTGTAATCGGAACTCCGACTTCTGCGAAACTTGACGTTTCAAACTATCGAGCGTAGCAATAGTCTAAGATGGCCACAGATTCCTACGAGATTGTTTACTTTGAATCACGGGTATGTCATTGACTGTCTTGCCCTCCTACGTTCAAAGTTTGATTGATCAACATCAAACATTCTTAAATGCTCGTTTTATAATAGGCAAGAGCCGAACTATCCCGCTTCATCCTCGCAGTAGCAGGTGCGAAATGGAAGGATACGTACCTAACTCGTGACCAATGGAATCTACAAAAGGATGACAGTCCATGGGGCCAAATGCCATTACTCAAAGAATTTGATGCAAACGGTGCACTCCTTCACACGTTGAGCCAATCACATGCAATTGAGAGATATCTTGCGAGAGAGTTTGGAATGAATGGATCAAGGTTTGTCGTGGCGGTGGTGCTGGATTGATGGTGTTTGGTTGACCTGAAATTGCTTTTGGTAGTTCACGCGAAGCTGCACTCCTTGACTCGATATTCGAGCAGATACTTGATATGAGGTACGTTATATCGAAATAAGTGGGGACTTAGATTATTCTCTTACACTATCAACCAGGGACGCATTTCGTACTTTCCGCATCGCTAAAGCCCAAGGCAAAGGACAGGAAGCTCGAGCCAAATATGACGCCGCTCTATCTTCTGGATTTGCAAAGCATGAAGTGCTGCTGGCGAAGAATGGCGATACGGGGCATTACATTGGCGAAAAGGTCAAGCACGCAAAAAAAAAATGATCGAACTGTGTTAACCTCTCAACCAAATTAGATGTCATATGCAGACCTAGCTGCATATCAGTGTATGGAGCTCATGTCTATGGATGAACCAGAGTTCTTACCAGGGCTTCCACCTGCTGTGAAGAAATTGTTTGATACAGTCCACAGTGGTAAGTTCGCACTTGACAAGAAGCAACCATCTCAAACTTTGATGAATGCTGACAAATTCCATGACCATGTTAGATGAGAGACTCCATGCGTATGTGACGAGTGATATGAGGCCGACAAGCTGGTACATCCAAAACTAGATGTTCTCTTGGTCTGGTATATTCAGTTTGGTCAAATAGTACATTTTACAGATTGTGCATGTGGCAGAGAGCAAATGCAAATGCAAACTAGTCCTTGTTGTCTTATATGAGGCGGTTGCGGTTCTACTAGTCAGCAAGACGTGTTTTAAAAATCTACGGCCCAACCGTTATTTTTAAGAAAGTCTTCGATAGCTTCCTTGACGGCAAGATTTGGAATCAAGTCTGCCTCCCGGAGGGTCTGCCTAGTGAATGGGTCAAACGGACCTAGTTTTCGGATTGTTGATACGATCTCGGTTCTATCATATGTAATGCCAGAGGGCGATATGACAGGATCTGTCATTACTTCAAAAGATATCTTGCCTAGCGCAAAATCGGGGACGACACGTTCCTTGCCGTTTTCATTCGCTGTGGTAAAGACATCAGGTCAGTTCTGCAGCTTTTGCGTAAGCTTCCAATTGACTCTACCTTGAGCAAAGAGACTTGCGATTTGAGATTGTCGTTCATTGTGTATAGTGTTGATCTCCTCTCTTGCCGCTTCTGCACCTTCATCTATATCGTCCTTTGATAATTCTAGCATTCGTTGTCTATCTCGTTCTACGAGGTTTGTCAAGTATTTCAAGAGGTCTGATTCTTCTAGTCTGCGTTTCGAGTCAGCGACTTCCCACGCTTGCTTTTTGGCTTTTCGGTAGGCTGTCGAGATTTCCTAACAGTATCAAGATCAGAAAGGGATCACCAAGTGGAAAGGAACAATATGACTGTTGCTCACTTCAAGATAGGCAACTTTCTGATCAAGGCCCAGTTCCATTGCTCTCCTGAGATGACCGGTAGCTTCAGGGCGTTTTAGTTCCGTCAGAGCCTGTCCCATCAGATAATGGCCCTTGACAGACTTCGGATCAATCTCCAGCGCCTTTTCACAATCAGTGGATACTCTATCGTATACGGCCATTTTCAAATAGCAGAGCGCACGGTTTGTATAGTATGTTGCGATGCCTGGATTCTTGATCTGCCGTCACAATAAGAAGTGTGATGATGTTGGTTGAATGTTGCAACCACAATGACGATCATGATGCTTACAATAGCAGTAGAATACTCTCGTATCGCTTCATCATAGAGCTGGCTGGAGAAGAAGGCTAGGTACTGAATGTGTTGGGAACATGTTTGCAACATTTGAAATGTCATTGTTTGCGATTGTTACCATTGCCAGCCTTCTTGTGCTCATCTGAGGTGGACGTCATTGGACCTCTACGATACAATACAAATAGATTCAACGAGCTCTCAAGCTTCCTCTCTCCCTCACGGCACAACTTTGAAAGTCCTTCGAACGCAGCTGCAAGAAACAGACCCGCACACCACGACCAACCAGACAGGATTACAGACTTGGCGGGACAAAAAATGATTTGATGGATGAAGCTGGCAGCAGCTGGCGGATTGACTGACGTGTTTAGCCCCTTTATAAAAATGGCGGCCTGGATGGCCAAATTGATGAAATTTGCTGACGAATACGTGTTTTCTTGCAATGAATAGCACGGATTCTCGTGTTTTCAACGTTTCATAAGCTGTTGACGCGTTGGAACTACTAACTTTCCCTGCGGCATAGCCGTCAAATTCGACAATGGAACAAAAAGCTTCAATGCTCAACCGGAGTCAAAAATCTGTATTTAACCTAGCCCTTCCACGTGCTTCCTTGTTCTTTCTGGTCGTCGCAAGCTCTATTTTTCTTTCTAATACGTTTCCTCGAGCTTATTGCCTTTGGCAGCTTGTTTACTACTCCAAAAACGAGGAAAGTGACCTAAGGAGGTTAATCTGGACCAGAAAATTGACTGACATCAAGCCTATAGCGTATTAGTAGTAATCCGACGGCACCTTAAGCTGTCCCGAGAATCGCTATTCCAGCCCAACAACGCGTCGGATGTCGACGTTGATGGCCGTTTTTTGGTAAGAAAACGCGAAGAAAGACGCTGTGTGAGCCCAAGGGCAAGTCCTCTGACCCTCTGACGATCAGTTGGTATACTCAATTTGTTGCCTTCCGCCACCGGCGGAACGAACGAAGTTTGGGTGTGATCCTGTCTAGACGACCAATCTGAAAGCTGTCACTGCTCAGACCACGCGTTTTGACGCGTATATTTTAAATTGGGGATCTCGACTTTGCACCGCAATCGCACCATTGGACTGCAAAATGATGTTTGATCAATTGTTTGCCATTTGCCATGTTGAAGAACGTCGAATCATTTGATTTGGTAAGAACGTAGGACGTGCTGTATACGCTAACTACACGAGAAAAACCGCTGCTTCTCTCCTCCAACACCCTGCCAAGGGCGCGTTGCCCCTGTGTTCCAACTTCTAAATTTTCTCACACCAAAACTCTCAACTTGGACAGCTGCATTTGTAGAATCTGACTACGAAAACGACGGACAAGACATGCGTTTCCAGCAAACTCTACTACGTAAGTCATATCTGCACCTCGCTCGTTCAGTTTTGGGATGTTTTGGTGTAGAACTGACTGACTTTTAAAATTACATCTAGTGCAAAAGCAACACACGGTACAAAGCAGAGCGATTCCAGCAACTTATCTTACTCGCCAAGATCTGAGTTTAACGCTTCGGCTTGTAGGAGGAACTGGATAGGAAGGAGAAGGTTGAAAATTCTTATCTGCCAATACGAGACATTGTTGCATCATCGTACATGTCGACAAAAGGTATGCAAACAGATCTGACATGGTTGGAAACTGTGGATTCAACGAGGATCTCGGCTTGCTGCAGTCCAAGTGTTGGAGCGCTTGTTGGTGGCAACACTCAAAAGAAACGCCTTATCACTGTTTTCCACACTCGCTCCAACTAACTTGGATGCGTGCCCCTTTACCACTCCCACATAACACCTCTCCCCTCTTAAGCATGGTTTGATCCGTTAAGTCGCAGCCTCGAGCGACTCCAGAAACGCCAAAACGAAAACGGAACACTACGCGAGTCGTCAGCCATGCAACCCGTCGCACCCCAACAATCAAACAGCAACCAATCGAACGACCACAAGACTCTATCCACATCTATATCGTCATCGCCTGGACTGATTCTTGGATCGCAGGGGTCGATGCATAGTCCTCGACTGCCGTCACAGCAACCATCACAGCAAGGTGTGCCTGCTAATAAGGCTGCACCTGTGGGCCCGACAAAGCAGTCTCCGGCTGCGAATATACCTGGGAATAAGATACGGTCGAGTCATAGGCGGGATGATTCGGATGAGGAGGGTGAGAATGTGAGGCCGCAGGAAGGGCGTGGTGCGACGACGAGAGTCAAGTGATTTTGAATGTGTGTTGTTTCGATACGCGTATGTTTGGCTTTAAAGTATTGTTTAAGAAGATTAGTTTGAAATTGGTGGAAAAAGGAAGACCTATCACATGTTGTCTGTTCGGGGAGGCTGTGTCAATATAATGTATAAAAGTTTTGCATTTCACAACTACTCTTTCGTTTGAAGATCTCAGTAGAAAACCGTTTCAAACATTGGTTACTGTTGCAGACTCTGCTCTATATATACAAGCCAGAAGCAGAACGGCGTCCACCACTGTATAATTAAGTAATTCTATGTTCAGTAGTCATCAGGCCGTCGCCGTCTCGGTGGTGACCGGTTGGGTTTAGCACGTACATCCCTCTCAGATCCACCCAACCTATCCTCTCGCGACCTATTCCTTGCTCTTCCGCCAGCGGTAGCCCAAGGCCGATCACTATTACTACGCTTCGGCAACAAATCACGCTCACGTCTACTCCTAGCCGGTACTTGCAGCTGTGGGTAATCCTGCTGCATATACTCTCCACCACCAGCAGACCACTGCTGGTACGAGTACGGATCCTGTCCAGGATACGTATAGTTAGCATACGGGTCATATCCATACATCTCGACATCGTATTTCGGTATATAGGCATTCTCGGGAGTCTTTCGTCCAGCACTGCGTCCTCTACTTGGTTTTCGTTTCGGGGGTGACACGTCACGGTCTATTGCTTGTCCACGTATCCGCCTCGGAGGTTTACCATCACGGTCTCGAGGTGCGTCTCTCATATCTCTGTCGGGTGTGAATGAGCGACCTGGCTGGCGTGCTATGCGTTCCGGGCTTATACTGGGGTTTCGTTGGCGTTGTATTCGTTGTGGACTTTTACTGCCTCCTCGTTTACGTTGTCGACCTGGTTCTTCTTCTGGCGTTGGCGGTCTCTTCTTAGGAGTATCTGGTCGTCCGTCTCTCATAGCGTCTCCTCGATGACGATCTGATCTCTTTGACCTGTTGGATCTAGACGACTTGTCATCCTTCTCTTTTTCATAGCTGGGTGGCGGTGGTGGTATATCTACTACTATAGATTTATCCTTTTTAGATTCCTCGTCTTCCGGCGACGGGAGTGGGCGTGCGAAACAAAACATCTCATTGTAGTATATACAGCCAATACTAGCAGCAAATAAGAGTCCAAGGAGGGCTACGATTAGCAATGCCAGTTGCTATACATCAGAAAAAGTACGTTAGATTGTAGATTCAATAAAAAAAGGCATGTTTCTATGGGCTCTCCCAAAGTTCGACAAGCTTATCGGCAAGCTTCACCGACGACGATGTGTCACTGTGCGATACAAGATACCACAAGTGGAGTCATTTTCCACCGTTAATCTGGCACAGCACACAGTTCGTCTTTACATTATGGGGCTTCCACCATCCACACACGTTTCTCTAGCTCCCAACTTTTTTTGGACCCCAAAGCAACAACATACCCATATCTCCAGCCCTATAGGACCGAGCTGTATAGCAGCGGGATCTGGCGATGCACCAGGAATCGGACTTGGAGATGGTACCGTCGATGTGAGAATACATGCCCACTGATAACACGAATAGGTTGGAGCACACTCTGTATCATTCATACAAGAGAGTTCCAGTGTCTGGACGGGACCCCATGCGCTAGTAGTAGCCGTCGTGGTACTAGCCATCTCTACCAGTATTTGCACCTCGCCGACCCCAAAAAAGATGTTTGGTGTGAAATGACACTGGCTCATCCTTTCAGGTAACCGTTGAAAAGAAAGAGAGCGTGAACAGTGGCCACAGTCTCCAGGGAAGACTTGTACAGATCAAGGGAACTTCTCTATACGTCCATTTAGTCCTCAGGAATCAGTGCATTACGCGAACCTTCTTCCGCCGCTTTCCAGGTGCGTTGTTTGGTGTAGAGCTCTGCGGTTTTGCACTCAAGCAACATACATAGAAAGAATATGGCATTCTCGAGTCGAATAGATCGTCGTCAATGATGAAAACAATTCCATTCGAGGCGGAAGTTTGTTCGGTAACAAGCGACACGATAAAATTCTGACATGCTGTGTTTTCCTTGCGCAGTCTCCAACAGTCGTTCTGAGATCAAAGATCAAAGATCAATACTGATAATTCAGATCATTACTTAAGGTCTTCTCGGGGTCTTCTAAACGAGCGTCGTTTGCCAAGTTGCAAAAGATCCAAGTCCTCCATCTTCGACCAAACATGAGCAGTGACTGGCAGCACTCACAGTCGGTATAGAGAATCAGAGATAGTGCGTGGTCATGAGTATCCCGAAGCCTCCAATAAATAATCTAGAAGAGAGTCTCAGGAAGCTTGGGTTCAACCAGCATCAGATAACAACATCGTCCACAAGGTTGAAACGAACGTTAACTCCTGCATCAACAGTCAACACTCCCTTAATGAATCCTGTAAAGTCTCCTGGTGATGATGTAGTATTGCTTGGAGTCCATAAAGGACCTAAGAAGTCTGGTAATCCCCCAACATCTGTGAGATGGTGAGTGCTTTGGACATGCAGTGCGTGGAGCACATAGATCTCATCGAAAGAGCACGGTGGACATGTTTGGAATGTGCCGAAATTTGGGAAATCTAGTTGATCTCACCAGTTTCTGTTCTGTGTTATGTTTTCTCTGTAGGCCATTGCAAACGGTGGATTTGACTGAAGATGATGACGATACGGATGGACGACTCAAAAATCAGGATGGTAGTGATGATGACTTTCAAATGCCAGTTCACAAGCTCCCTTCTGCTGGCTCGAAAAAGAGAAAGTCGCCTAAACGAGTTGCAGGTATGAATGGACGTAGTCAAGTACATTAGTTCCACGTACTTATTCTCCTTTTTTTCGCATTGAATAGATAAAGCTCCAACAGCAGATCTTACTGTTACCAAAAAGAAGAAGAGCTTGGATGGATCTGCTGTACCGGCCACAACTACATCTGCACCAAGTACGTTGATCACGATCACAGAAAGAGTTACACTGTATTGTTGACACTCATACGCTTGTAGAAGACTCGGCTTCACCTAACGGACTCGTACTGCTAGTACCTCCAACACCACCAAAAACCACCAAAATAGGTAATACAACAGCTTATGAACATTGGGAGGAAGGATCTGCATTCCCAGCTCAGGAATACGAATTCGATGATGACGCATTCCCTGAGGAAGGAATGTGGCAGACTCCTGTTGTGAAAGTGACTTATGAGACTTCTAACACCGTCAAAGTGAGGCCAATGCAGCAACTCGTCTTTTTTGGTACGAGAGCGGACTGATCTCATGCATTCCTAAATAGGAGCCAACTGTTGAATCGGTTGCTCCACCAAGGCCAGATATAATAACAGCTACCAACCATATGTTGAATCAAAATGGCTTGTCTCCTCAGGTCCATGTTAGGCATCTTTTCACTTTTGTAAGAAGTGTTGTTTAGTGATTTTAGAACAAAACAATCGTAACCATCACTTTCTTTCTATGTAGATGTCACATGATATATTACAGCAAGAACTTGAATTCACTCAAAGAACTTTAGATCATCAGCAAGCGCTTCTCGCTCAAGTCGTTGCGAATCCACATGTTACCGATGCTCAAAAGTCTTTTCAAGTGATTGATCTGATGAAAGAACAGTAATGCAACAGTGCATTCTTGACAGTTTGGTGTAAACCCTGACAATTAACTATCGTTAGGGCTGTATGTAACGATCGGCTGACAGAAATCAAGGAAGCTATTAGACTGACGACTGCAGCTCCTATGGTAAGCTTGCAAATGTATTTTGGTTCAAAGCTTGCAACAGCTTGGCTCACTGTTGCCGCAAACCTCGTAGGAACAGTCTCGAGAAACATCACCAGTACTACCATCAGATGTTAGAGCATCCCCGACTCTATTTTCCCCTCAAAAAGATCATACGGCTGCTCCTCCGATAATCAAGCCTACAATACGTCAAACTAATATAATACCTCAACCGCAGCGGCAACAGCAGCAACTTCCCACTACACCTGATCAGCAGATGCGTTGGGAAGATCCTCCAGCTCCTCCAGCATCCCTAACATTGTCACGACCACCTCATATCGCTCCCCCTACATATGCCATACAGTACGACAGACCGCCATTGCAACATGAAGCATCATGGCAACCACAACCACAGCAGCCTCAGTCATGGTCAAATCAAGAAAACGATATGTCGTTTACTGGTGGAAAGGTCTCGAATCAACAACTGCCACGTCCTTCCATACCGTCTATGAGAGCTCCAGCTTTCATGGATACGACAGGTCCAGCTGAACCAGAACCTGCTCGAGCATCAAAAAGTGGTGAGTGCAGTTGGCTAGAGTTCATTTTTGGTATAGCTATTGATTACTTTTTTTTGGCAAAAAAGGTTCCAAAGGACAATATCCATGGTCGGATGGCGTTTGGAAGGCGCTACGTCAATGGTTCAAATTGGAAAGGTTTCGTGAAAACCAGTTGGAGGCTATAGATGCTACATTGGCTGGAAATGATGTATTTGTCCTCATGGTAATTGTACTGTTTTATCTTCAGGTTTTTTGTTGGTATTGATGTCTGTTTCAAAGGTACCTGACTTTGGTTCATGTCTTTTATAGCCCACTGGTGGCGGGAAGAGTTTATGTTATCAGGTATGAGCGCTGTGTGCTTAAGACGATTATGTTGAATTTGGTCGTTCCATCTAACCCTTTTTTGTAGCTTCCAGCCATCATTTCGAATGGATCGACGTCAGGGATTACAGTAAGTTCCGTGGTCTTTTGGCAGCTATTCTGGAGTGGCAAGCTTACAAAAGACACGTCACTTTTTCTCAGATTGTAATCTCGCCACTGCTCTCACTGATGCAAGACCAATTGCAGCAGCTTCTAAACAAGGAAATACCAGCTTCATGCTTGTCCAGTGCTCAAACGGACGAGCAGAAGCAGTTTACGTATGCTCGTAAGTGTTGTGGAATGTTTTGAAAACTTGAAGGCCATCTCTGAGCGTTTTTTTGCGCAACTCGCAGAACTCTATGATCCGAAGTCTCTTCTAAGGCTACTTTACGTCACGCCGGAGATGATTAATCGCAGTGAAAAGTTTAAGACTGCATTGACAAGACTTTATGAGCAACATCGTCTTGCGAGGTATCCATTTGTGTGGTCGGCTGGCTTTTTTGTAGTAAATCTCAGCTGCGTCGTACTGACGACGTAAATCCTCTAGATTTGTGATTGACGAAGCTCATTGTGTTAGTCAGTGGGGTCATGATTTCCGCCCTGACTATAAGGATTTGGGTGAAATTCGAAGAATTTATCCTGGAGTTCCCATGATGGCATTGACTGCAACTGCCAATGAGAAGGTCAAAAGTATGTACTGTTATGTCCTGTTAATACAGCAGTGAATTCATAACGGCTTGTTTTTTTTTTGTTTCTTTCCAGTGGACGTTATGAATGTATTGCAGATGCAACAATCGAAATGTTTCTCTCAAAGCTTCAATCGAGCCAACCTCATGTGAGCTGTCGAGTTTACCAGTAGTGAAATGAGATCCTAAAAAAACCAGAAATTAACTTGACGAATTTATCATGCTAGATACGAAGTGTTGCCAAAATCTAAAAACACAGATGTTGAGATTGCTGAATTTGTAAATAAGAGGTTTGCTGGCAAGTCTGGGATTGTATATTGCATCTCGAAACGAGCTTGTGAGGAGCTTTCTCAAAAATTGGTAAGGAACTTTCAAATCACCCTATTTGCTAAAGGCTTTTTCCTTCTTGATATTGAAACTTTTTTTGTTGGAATAGAATGCAAAAGGGTTGAGAACCATGCATTACCATGCTGGTATGCACAAGGATGACCGTATGGCGACTCAAGAAAATTGGCTGAAGAATCGAGTACATATCATTGTTGCTACGGTTGCCTTTGGAATGGGTAAGTATATTTGGAGAAGACTGAATCGTTATGTCGTGGAGTTAATGGTCATTTTTTTCGTCGCTGAAAAGGTATCGACAAACCAGATGTCCGATTCGTTGTTCACTACGCCATACCTCAATCGATCGAAGGATATTATCAAGAGACTGGACGAGCTGGTCGAGATGGTCAACAATCTTGTTGTATACTGTACTATGCGTACCGTGATGTCTGGACGGTATAATTTGCATCAGTGATAACCTTTTTCGATTTGCAAGGTGTACTAAAGCGCTTTCCCGTCTCATTAGCACTGGAGCTTGATTGATGGTGGTGATGGAAACAAGGACCAAAAGGATGTGGGTATCGTTGGTTCGGCCTTCCTCCTTTTTTTTATGTGTTAATGCTCTTTTCCAAATGACTATTAAGCGACAACGAAGCAATCTGAGGAATATGATTGCGTATTGTGAGAACAAGATTGAGTGCCGACGTCAACAAGTCTTGCATGTAAGATGCAATTGCCATAAGGCATATTTTTTTGCATTTGGAATCTAACATTCCTTGCTGTCTTGTAGTACTTTGGCGAGAATTTTGATGCCAAATTGTGCAGAAAAACTTGTGACAATTGTATGGCAACACATCGTATCGTTGAACGAGATGTGTCTGATGATGTTCGTAACATTATCGAAATAGGTATGTTGGGCTGAAAAAATTGGTCCTGCATTTGAAGGCAACAATTGATGCTTTTACGTTTCTTGACTAGTTCGTAGAGTTGAACGTGACAATGTAACACTTGCATATTGTTTGGATGTATTTCGAGGAGCCAAACATGGCAAGATTGTACAGGCAGGACATGATAAAGTGAATGGACATGGTGCAGGTATGTTGTGTAGAAAGGTTACTTCGCCGACGTAGCAACAACCCTCATGTGCGTTTTGTTGCTTCCTTTTGAAACAGGCAGCAAAATGACCAAGACAGATGCTGAACGAATCTTTCATCACTTGTTGGTCAAGGACATTATTCGAGAACATTGTGAACGAAACTATAGTGGATTCATCAGTGCATACGTCCATGTAAGCATAATATGATAAAGAAAGTTCGTGCCAGACTTTCGGAAAGACGAATGCTTAATATCTGTCGTTTTTTGGTGCTAGGCTGGACCTCAAGCAAGGACAACCGACTCACCAACATTTACCATGAAGCTCAAATTTGTGGCTGACGAGAAACGTAAAGCCAGTAATGATGGAGCTGAAGATGGTGATGACAATGATACGGATCATGACAATGCAAATGCATCTCGATCAAAGACTGCTGGTGGAGGTGGAGCTTCCAAGAAGCCTGAAAAGCAGACAAGAATGTCTATTGGAGGAGGTGGTTCTAGTGCTGGCAGTTCGAGACGGGCAAAAGGAGCTGCCAATACTTCAGCAGGTTCTGGAATTCGTGAGACTGCTAGTGTTTGTAAGTTGCGTGTGTTGGTTGGACCTTAGAGACAATTGGTTGCTGACTTTTTTACTTGTTTGCATTATAGCCTCATTCTTTCCAGATTTTGTTCCGCCTACCAAGAAGGCAGATACTATGAAACGTGTGAGTTCTATACCTGCCATGCCTAAACCACAATTCAAGTAATTTAATAGTGCGTTTCAATTGTATTATATTGTGTATAACTTTGATATATAATGTGCCTCACCACAAGTAGTTGATTGTACATTTTCAATGGTTGTAGTGTTTTTTATGCCCAAATGTAAACGCTCCCTAAACTCAGGTTTCACTCAAATCAGGGACCAGGAAACTGTTTACGAAGTGGATCTTCATAGATCTAAGTGCTTCGAATTGGCACGAGATAGTGGTGGTTTGCATCTTATGTCATCTGCGACCATCAAACGGAGTTTGATTTTTATGGTGTCACTAACAAACTTCAACAGAGTGGAAGCTTCAAAGGAACATTTTACAAGGTATGAAACGTGTACTTGAGCCTTATCTTGTCGCTTTGCAATGCCATTCAAGCCTTCCAACTAACCTTCATTCCCAAAACCTTCAACATAGATGACCAAATTCTCAGTCAACGTATTATCAGCATCTGATTTACCGACCGTAGGAACTCCAGAATGGAATGCCTACCTAGACGACCAGTTTACGAAGGCAGATGGAATATTCAAGTCGAGTAAAAGCTGGCCTGTAGTTGCGACATCTGAAAAGGATGGTGTTAAAGTCGATGTCAAGAAGAAAGAGAAGGAGGAGATTGATGGTGGAAATTCATGGTGAGATCGATTATTTGTACACACTCTGGTTGCTATATACCAATTACACCATGACCTCTTTTTTGACGAATCCAAACATCGGTCTAACACTATCGACCTAGGTTCCAACGCACATCTCTCCACCCAGACATATCATTCGACACTGCAGTTAAATACCTATATCACGACCACCTTGTCAATGGCAAATTCTACCTGAAAGATTGTGAAGGCGCTGAACTCGTTGAGAAACTATCTGATCAAGCAGACGTGACCTATATCTCATACAAGATTACTGGTCTCGTGTCTTTAATCACTGATCCAAGAGACTTTTGTGAATTGACGTTGAAGAAGCTAGATGGGAAAAAGTTCTCGATTGTGTGTCATCCATTCTTGCATAAGGGTGCGCCTGAGAAGCCAGGTGTGATGCGGAGATCTGTTGGAGTTTCTTGTTTAACTTAGAGTATCATGATGGTGACGGTTTGTTGCGTGATTAGGTCATGTACGAGGAGCATACGTATCATATATTCAAGTCAGTGAAGTTGCTGGAGGCATTGAATGGATTTCCATTCAGCATTCGGACGCTGGGGGCGCTATACCAAGGATTGTTGTAGATGCTAATTTGCCAACGATTTATCCTTTGGTCAGTGTAGTGCACTGTTCTGCCCATTTAGCTGTGCCTTTTTTTGTCTGAATCTGTCTTCATTTCGATCAGGACGTATTTGGTTTCAAGAACTGGGTCAAAACACTTTGAAGGTGGAAACTTTCAAATGTACACCACATGTGCCTAATTGAACCAAGATCAACTAGGAAGGAATAATAGTTCTGATGGTCACATAATACAAATCATCACCACAGTACATTCAATCCTGTTTCGGCATTGATCTTCTTGCTGCTCGGCAACTCAGCTATTACTCCAAGCCTTTCGTGTGTTGTTGAATTGAAGGAAGGGGTTTTGAACATGACCCCTAGTACTGATTTGAAACAAAAAAGAGAGCCCACAATATGTATATACTGAGTCCTCACCATTAGAGAATTACCTGTCTTGCTCTAATATTTGTCCCCTCTAGGCGCTTCAACTATATCCTCACCGTCATCAGCTCTTTCAGATGCCTTTCCATTCGCTTTAGGTTGTGAAAGAGTCGCTAAAAGGTCGGGCAATTTGACAGGATTTGAGGCTGGTAGCAGTTTGCCCCACTACCGTCGCGCTGCTTGCTGTCCGAACATCATTTGAGTATGTGCTTACTGTGACATGGTGTTACTCTTTCAGCCGGTAGCCATTTTTTCGTTGTCAGTAATTGTACCGTCGCTTCATTGGCAAATAAGCAGAACCGACAACAGTCAAATCGAGCCAAAAGCTAAGTATTAAAACTATTATTCTGTTCGGCAGATCACAATAGTACAATCCGTGATCACCACACGACATCCATATCCTTCACAAGCGTAGTCAACCCATCACAATACATCCTATTAACCAAATCCCCATTTCGACATTGATCTAACTGTTCAGCAACCCAGTTGCTAAGCCAAGCTCTGATCAAGTTTGCTTCCATGTTGTTTGTCGCTTCAAGTGTGTGTCGAGCTGCTTGTCGAACTTGTAGGAGTGTGTGGTGGGATGACGAAAGGTGGGAATGAAGGTCTCGATGCAAGTTGGTGATGTAGTGTCTTCGTGCTGTTCGTGCATAGTCTGGCTGTGTTGTAAGGTAGCGGGGAGTTGATGAGGTAGTGTTTGTTGTTAGGATTTTGAAGTGGTTTGATAAAAAGTCCCCAATTCTACGAGAAAATGGTGACGTGTGTGAGAACTCTGTAAGCAAAAACGACACCCCGAATCACGTACGTGCGCTCATAAACAGGTCTATCTGTAAACCCAAGTTCAGCTTGCTCAAATAACTGCTGATACCAATCAAATCCGGACGACTCCAAGCCAGTGGAAACGGATGAGGAAACAATCACTTTCGGTAAGATAGGTAACGGTGTTCTCCTCCACCACGACACGATATGAAGGAGCAGCGAAAGCACCAAGCACCCAGTCAAAGCCAAAGTCAAAGAAGACCATGGCTGATCCACATTCGACGACATGGCAGGCGATGCAGGAGAATTGCTCGAAGCTGCAAATAATACAGGTGAAGAGCTACTCGTTATCATTCCGTCCTGCGTTATCATTGCTTGTGGGGTACCAGAGGCTGTAGTTTCTCGCACGGCTGTTAGAACGGCCAATGCGGTATCAGATAGTCCTTTCATGGCCGCTGACTTGATGAGTGATTTGACCATCGGTGATTTATGGAATTTGACGCCGTAGGTTATTACTAGACGACAAGATGTTGCTGATACCCATGTTATGCAGTATCGCATGTGAGGAGTGAATGCGTCTGCGTACGGCAGCTCGGGTGTTTTGGTCTTGGTTTCAATTACATATACACTACGAGATACCGTCAGTATCAGTGCTAGCAAAAAAGCAATGCAGCTGACATGTACGTACAGGTGTTCTTCTCTTCTGACAATCTTTTGAGTCTCAAAGGTATCAGCTTTGGTGACCTTGACTAAATTGAGGAATGAAACCGACGGTGTGAGCGTCAGGCAAAAAAAAAAAAAACAATTATGACACAGTTTGAACGTACCCATAGGATTGCTAACAGGAATAACATACTTGACCTCCCTCTCCCCAGACTCACTGAATGCTCCGACCACCAGAGCCGTATTACCACGACGAGTATGTAATTTGGCATTAAAGCCCAAGTCAGTAGCTCCAAACAAGAGTTCGAAGAGTCGTCGAGCTGGAAGATTCAATACAGCATCCACTTCACGCTTTTCATGATGTGCGTCAGCAGCGCAGTCACAAGTTTGTTCCGCAGTTGGTGGTGTTATGTTGGAAGGTAGGGCGAATTCTACAGAAACAAAGAAATAATCTTAAACGTGAGTAAGATGATGCAGAGACCGCTCATATCCACATACCATCAGCCAACGCATTAGTTGAACCACTATTCATAATAAGGAGAGTTTTAGATCATAGTGAGGATTTTCCACTTGAAACGGAAATACTGGATTCTCATACCTTGAAAGTTCACCCTTCTTGCTCTGCTCCTTATCGCCACTAGGCTCATCGACAATATCAACACCATCGTCATTCTTTTTAGATGTCTTGTCATCTGCTTTGGTTTGTGATAGTGCAACCAAAAGGTCTGGCAATTTCGCAGGATTTGTCGTGTTGACAGCATTTTGCCATACTAGTTTCATGTTGTTTGCTGTTTTAACATCGTCCCCTCTAAACAGCTTGAATGTGTGCTACATGTAACAAATCATCAGTGGTGGAGGTGTAATGACTTTTTTTGTCATCCAATAGCATACCGTGGCGTCATTAGCATTTACCACCAAAGTAGCATAAAATGGATTTGATTTTCTTGTTATGGAAGTCACATCACGGAATTGAATGACCAGCTATGAAAAATGGAAGTGAGGTTTCAAGAGTTTGCTATTGACAAAAACACAACACGTAACACAACACGACGCATACCACAGTGATGAATCCAACAATATTAGAATGAAAACATATTCGATTCTGTGTCATGAAGATCCGTCCTTGTATCATCACATCTTTCTGAAGTGCACAAGAATAGACTAGGATGATGGTGGAAGTAATCAGCATTCAATATTGGAGGATTACTACAGATGCTTTTACCATCGAGAACATAATCAGTTCTAGGAACTGACTTCAACAATGAATGTAGCTCCTCATTCTTCTTTTCCAGACTGTGATCCGTATAAGCTAGTAAACTAATGCGAAAAAAATGACGTCAAGGTCAAAATGATTCTCAAGGTCTCAAGAGATGACTCACTCTGAACTAGGATTCTTATCTCCCAAATTCGCCTCTCCTTCCTCCGGAACACCGTTTGGAACAACAAGTGGAGTAACTTGTGCCTCCTTATGAAGCTTCTCGCCATCATCGTCAGATTCAGCATCGTCATCCTGTGCTTCATCATTCGTAGCTGCTAATACAACAGATCTCGGTAGACTTGATTCCATGCCTTCTTGTATCAGTGCAGCGGTCTTTGGTCCAACTCCATCATTCTTTTGATCTGAAAGTGCAGCGTGATATTTGGCTGATTGAAATGTTTCAATCCAGTCGATGAAATCTTCTTCCGTTTCTGCTTGTAGCACGAAAGATCTGTGTAATCATTTGTGTGAGTTTCGAAGCAAAAAAAACGAGGAATAGAAACGCATGGAGGTCATCTGTGACTCACTTTCTGGAAGTATACACCTCGAAACAGAACCGGCGTTCAGTATCTTTCGCCATCCGAATATTACACAAGAGCACATTCACAGGACTGGTCGACATGACTATTCCACGATGTTTACCACTAGGCGTTGCAACAGAATACCAAAAATTCCCATTCTTGACCACAAAGTACCGTCTCGTCCAAGTAGGAACAACAAGAGACGACTTCTGTCCGGATCGTTTAAACAAATACCCTTCTTTCTCATACAAATGTGAAGCGACAGTCGAACTGTCAAAGAATGGGGTGCTTGAATGAGCAGGTGATGCAACACTTCGTGGAGTCACGGCTCCTGATGTTGGTGTACCGCTTCCTGATGGTAGTGCTGATGAGTTTGGAGTTGGCGATGTTTGCAGGGATGTCACATCTCCAATGTCTCTGCTAGTAGCAGTGCCTGTACTACTGCCACTTCCATTCGATGCTGGCTTTATAGCTGGTTTACATTTGGAGATGGATTCTTCCTCCATGCCTTTGCGAGCGACTTCCAGTTTGTTGGCGGTGAGTGATACAGGGCTCTAGTGTAAATGTGTTGAGATTCTGGGCTGATATTAGAGCTTTGGGATGTTCTTACATTCGCAAGCCGGGTTTTTAGCCCATCGAGAGCAGGCTTCAAGCCTCGAAACACTTCGAAACTTGTTTCGTAAAAGTCGTTATGAGCAACGGTGGCAATCAGTATCTAAACGGGGAGTTTAAATTTAATCTTGCGCTGTAGCATCAACCACGTCGTTTCTCACAAACCTGGTCAGTCAGCAGGTGATTGAGTGATGACTTGAACAAAATCATCCTGTAAGCCAATTCCAAACATTGATGAATGGCGACCTTTCTGCTTTCGTAGAATTGATAATCATCCTAGTGGAATATATCAGTTACTTGAACTTTGATTTCCAGATACAGCAAGCAACTACGTACTTCTCGTAAAGCGCTCGACTCTTTAGTTTTCAGTATAGCAGCATGTTTAGCACAAGCGGCTTCATACTTTTCCATCTGTTTATCAAAATTTCGTCTAAATTCCTTGATTTCTCGAACATCGTCTCTCAGGAATTGTTGACATGGATCAACAACTTGTTCGTGCAAATCATCCACCTATGTTGTGAAGTGTAAGCACATCTGTCCCATGGTTGCGACTGCTGTAAAAATCAATCTACCAGCTTGGCTCTTAGTGAGGTTTTGGTCTGGAGTGCGTCACTGAACGATCGCAATAAGCCTTCGGTCTCATCTACGACCAAGAGTGTGTTATACGTTTGGCTCAAGTGTAGAAACGGGCCAACACAGGTAAACAATTCTGTACCTCCTAGCCATCCTGCAGTGGAAAAGTTACCAAGCAACTTTGATGTACCAGATATCGTCACATTGTTGTCTATGTCACAAAAGACGAGTCAGGCCGACGTTCAAGTCCAAAGCACACCACGACAAAACACCACTCAGATATCTCCCAAGCAAACTTACGAATAAGTTCATCAGCATATTTCTTAAACCCTTTACACAATCCATCCAACCATTTAGACGCTTCTTCCAATTCATCATCAAACACACACAGTGCAGCTCTGAAAGCAGGTGAATCCTTCAACCCCATTTCTAGAGTAACGTCTGATGTTGCATCGAGAACTAGAGCTGCTGCAGTAGTAGGTGATGCTAATAACGGAGGTGATAGTGGTGTAGGGGAAATATTGGGAATTGCCCTCGGTAAGGACGTGGGCATAGACGTGCTGGCACGTCTTTTACGTGTAGGTAGAGTTCCTGATGGCGTCGGCATCGTTAAATGAGTGTTTATGTACAGGCTTAACTGGAGAGGCAAAGCTGGATGTGTCAAGTTTTCAGCGCAGTCGGATTTGAGTAATAGGGTTTTGTGTGGGAAGCAGGAGGTTTTTTCCACCGTTCGTGTTTTGAGCTCTCTCTGAATTTCTTGATAGCTTCCTTGCTTATGAATTATGAATTGACCATGGTACCTTTCTTGTCACTTTGTCAAGAGTATTGACACACGTCCAGCCAAAGAAACGACGTGTTGATCTCGTCGTCGCCGATAGTTCGTGCACGTTAGTATCCGAGATCTTCAGTCGACGACACGGTTTCATTGGAGGAACTTGTTGGTAGGCAGCTCCGTCTTGCAAAAGCAAACCCGATTATGTAAGCGCTCCAGACATCCCAACTATCGAATCCATCCAATTGATAGTTACTAGAAACAAGGTAAGGGAGAGACAGAAAGTTGAATTTATAAGAGTTCACATTACGGAGAACGAGTGCATCGGTGTCCTTTACCCCTCAAACCCATCTGTTCGGCAAATTGTTCAAACCTTGGACACTACGAAAGTCAAGTGTGAAGTTTGGTGTGGTTGTCAGTTAAACGAGAAGGGATACATGTAACGAAATGCTGAATGCATGTCCGAATACTGCTGCACTCTCTCCCTTCCCTTGTGGATTATTGCAAATGCAAAATTGAAGCGAAACATTTAAGCAACATTTGAGCTAACAACAACTCTCAACTTTTAGATGGCCAACGTAGAAGCTGTCCAAACATATGGCCGAAAGGTAAATAACCTTCTAGTGCTGGGTGTCGTAGCTTGGACGCTATAGGAGTGGTTTGGCTCGGAATCCAAACCAAAGTCGAGACAAGCATGTGGAAGATTTCGCAAGACCCAAAGCAGAATGACGACTCATAACTCGGCGATATTCAGCAAGATGCAGATGAATCCCGAATCGCTCGCCAAGTCAAACCACAAACTAGTGATCCACATCTACTACGAACAACGGTCACAACAATACTCAATCACATCAAATTTACTCACCTCCTTATTAAAATAGAAAACCGCCACAGCTGTAGCTCACTGCAAAAAAGGAAAGGGTCTATTAAAAGTAAATGGATCCCCTATTGAACTAGTAGAACCCGATATTTTACGATACAAGGTCTACGAACCCATCTTGATTGTTGGCAAGGATAAATTCGCCAATGTCGATATTCGTGTCCGAGTCAAAGGTGGGGGGCCCGTGTCTCAAGTATATGGTGAGTTTCTAGAGATGTTTTAGGATGATAGGACTCACCTCTGTCTTCTTGAGGGTTGGCTTTTTTGGCTTCCTGAAACTCATATGACCCTTTCGAGACATTTTTCTAACCATCTTTTCCCAATATTAGCAATGCGTCAAGCAATTGCCAAAGCTATCGTTGCCTACTACCAAAAATTCGTAGATGAAGCATCAAAGACTGAATTGAAGAAGCAATTGATTGCTTACGACCGAACATTGTTGGTCGCTGATCCCAGACGATGTGAACCAAAGAAATTCGGTGGTAATGGTGCTCGTGCAAGATACCAAAAGTCCTACCGATAAGCTTGGTGGTACTTTTTGTTATCGCATCATGTATAGTTTGAATAAACCACAGATTTACTTCCCATACAACGGCAAGTGTGTTTTTGTGCGCGGATTTTGTCGAGTACTTTCTTTTTGTCTCGGGATGATGTTCTAGTGTCAATCAACGTTCTCAAGGATTTGACTGCACTTGTGTTGCGGTGCCTGCTCAAGTTGCTCTGTTCTATTCCGTGTCGCCAGCACAATGTCAAAACGGTTTCTGCCATTTACAAGCAAACAACAAAAAAAGGCTGGTACTCAGAAGTGTCGAACAACTGACACTGATTATCACGACTCAAGTTTAATGATTACCGAATTAACATAACTGTATTATCGAATCTGCTTTATTCTATCTTTTACAGCCTTTGGTGCACCATAATCATCGACCTCGCCACTACCAGACGACAATGACGACAACAACCCTCCAACGCTAGGTGCACCAGCACAGCACCTCTAAACGCAGCAATCTTATCCTTGACACTCCCAGCCTTAGGTAAGATATCTGGACCTGATGTTGTGGTATTAGCAGGTGAGGTTGCAGCTGTGTTGTTGTTACTAATGCTAGAAGATATGTTCGATAGCGTGCTGCTTCTTGTTGTTGTTGTTGTTGTTGTTGTTGTTGTTGTTGTTGTTGTTGTTGTTGTTGTTGTTGTTGTTGTTGTTGTTGTCGTTGGCGATGGTGTTATTGGAGGCTTGTTGATGCTACTGCTTCCTGACGGTCGAGATGGTACAGGATGTAGGTGATGGAGTTGATGTAGTGGTTATTGTAAACGTGGTATTACTATGCAGGTTTCGAGATAGGGTTGACGGGAGAAGCTGTTGACACAGACGGTATGTTACAACTAGTGCTAGTCGAGCCCGTTTTCGGCAGTGAAGATGGCGTCGATACGCTCGTCTGAGGTGATGATTGCATACTGGCTATAATTGGTATGCTTACGCATGTCGTTTTGGGGTATTAGCTGCATCAGGAGGTGCACCAGTTGGATTGAAGGACAAAGGTATGCGGGAACTTCTTTATTCACTGCTAAACATTAATATCATTTGATGTTCACTCTAGTCATCCAATTTATACATGACAATCAAAAACTGATGAAGCAGCATGGATTGATCAAAATATGGCTGAGAGCTGTGACGGCAGAGCCTGAAGTTTTCTTTATCGTCACCTCAAATGACGTATTCGCAAACGATGAATCCTACGCATTTTGGACGAATGCTGCCGAGAGCTTGTCCACCTATGGTATAGAGGCCGCTGTAGGTGATGATCGATCCTGGACTGTGAGTCAAAAACGAGGTGGATGGGCGGTATATGAATAAATTGGGAGCCTACGATATGGAGTGACTCAAGCAGCTATTTGGCACAGAAACTTGACTGAAACGACGTCAACGTAGTGTCAGTAAAAGTGGAACACGATGAACTGTTTGAAGAACCACTTTCCTCGCCCAGAAACAGTCAGATCATGACAATTGACTATTTCGCTCGACGGAACAAAACGCGAACAATAATGATGACAAAAGCCCTAGTGAGCTGCTGGTGCTCATGAGCTCTTGAGCTCTTTGCCGGCCACTTGGCGGGCTCCTCTCCTTGAGATGTGACTGCGAGTGGCTGTGTCTTCGGGTGATGCTGTCTTAACCCATTGTAGGATATGAATGTGGTATATAAATAATGCGTCGTAGTGTATCACGTTTTTCCGAATATAATGCATAGTAATGGACTAAGCCGGTGAATACAATCTCTAATTTAGAAATCGACGCACAAATTTAATGATTGACAAATTAACATAACTCTGTTATCGATTCTGCCACTGCTTTATTCTGTCCTTTACAGCCTTTGGTGCACCATTATCATCGACCTCTCCACTACCAGACGACGATGATGACGATAATCCTCCAACACTTGGTGTACCAGCACCTCCAAACGCAGCAATCTTATCCTTGACACTTCCAGCCTTAGGTAAAATATCCGGACCCGATGTTGCAGTATTAGCGGGTGAGGTTGCTGCTGTGCTGTTGCTACTATTGCTAGAAGATATATTCGATGGGGTGCTGCTTGTTGTTGTAGGTGATGGTGTGGTCGGCGATGGTGTTATTGGAGGCTTGTTGATGTTACTGCTTCCTGACGGTCGAGATGGTATAGATGTAGGTGATGGTGTTGATGTAGTAGTTGTTGTAAACGTGGTGTTGCTATTAGATGGAGCAGCAGGTTTCGATATAGGTTTGACGGGAGAAGCTGTTGACACAGAGGGTATGTTACCACTGGTGCTAGTCGAGCCCGTTTTCGGGAATGAAGATGGTGTCGACACGTTCGTCTGAGGTGATGGTTTAATACTCGGTATAATTGGTACGCTAGATGGTGTAGGCATACTCGTACTCAATCTGGGATCTACATTACTGCTACCGATATTGCCATAAGACAGGTTCGCTCCCATATTTCCCATATTATTGTTGTTATTTAGAGATGAAGACATGTTGGTACCACCCATATTGTTGTTCATACCCATATTAGCACCCATATTCATCGGCATGGTATTCGAGTTCACTGGCATAGAATACGGAATACTACTATTATTATTGTTCGTCGACATGTTAGGCATATAGTTGGGTTGAGGACTTCCACTTCTAACTGGCCCAGTATTCATGCCCGTATTCATACCAGCCATATTAACAGGCGATGGCGATCTCATGGGTAGTTGCATAAAGTTGTTGTTACTTCCCATCACAGATGGCTGACTAGTCACGTTCTTGGATATCACATTTCCACTCAAATCCGTTATCGTTGTTGTTATCATAACACCACCAGTGGGATCTGCTACTGTCTCTATAGTTCGAGTGCCACCGCCTGGTATGCCAATGACTTGTTTCTGTGAGGATAATCCAGCACTACCGAATGAAGTTTGATAGAACTGGTTTTGTTGTTGCATTTGTGGTTGCATCTGCGGCTGCATGTTCGATTGCATCTGTGGCTGCATATTTGATTGCATCTGTGGTTGCATATTTGGTTGCATCTGTGGCTGCATATTTGGTTGCATCTGTGGTGGCATATTGTTCGAAGATGGCATAGATGACGTGTCATTTATACCCAGATTAGACAAATCAGCAGGGAATGTCGAGTTGAATGACTTGAGAGACGAAGCCGATGACTTGTGATTGAGTGACTGCCCCTGTTGTTGTTGTTGTTGTTGTGACAGATCAGGTATGGGTGACGGATTACGCCCTATATTCCCATTGTTCATCATGTTGTTATTATTCATCACATTGGGATTCATGCCCTGCATTCCTCCCATTTGCTGAGGAAACGGATCATTTGCACCAAAGAATTCACTACAGATGAGTAGTTTGTGAGGACAAAAAAATACGGGATACAAGGTCGCTTCGTCTCTGCTCCCGCGACGTTTTTCTCGAATACACAGAGAATGCAACGTACCGAAATATCTCATCAGGAGCACGAAACGAAGTATTAAAGAATGGCATAGGCATCATCATAGGCATTCCCATATTCATTGGCATCCCGCCCATTTGCATATTCATTCCTCCCATTCCTTGCATAGGCTGCATACCCATAGGATTATTAATACCAATTCCATTCATTTGATTATTCATATTCATAGGCTGCTGTTGTTGTTGTTGCTGCATATTTGGGATTCCATTCCCCATTCCATTGTTCATAGGTGTTTGATTTGGATAGAATGGGTTGTATCCTTGCTGTTGCTGTTGTTGTGGCTGCTGCTGCTGTTGAGGGAATGCTCCTCCTTGCTGAGGATTCATGGGATTGAAGTTGGGTGGTGATTGTTGAGGTTGCTGTTGAGGAGCACCACCATTGAATGCTGGATTAGGTGCTACTCCAGGAACCGCACCACCTTTCCTCCATGTATCGTACATTGCACGCTTGTCAGCTATGTGAATAGGTCAAGAGGTTGAGTGCGATTAGCCTATGACATATTAGGGAACTGAGACTGATTGCACGTACAACTAAAAAAAGAGTGGGAAGAACACCATCAGTTTCAATATGAGCAAAATTCATCTTAATTTAAGTCACAGAACTCACTCCTTTAAGACTTCATATGCCTCAGACAAGGTACTAAACTTCTTGGCCGCTTCGTCAGCACGGTACTTGTTCTTGTCAGCTGAAAAGGAATTCCATTGAGCCTTTCAATACTTTTCCATTTACTGAATAGTTCCATTTCACTTACGATGCCATGTGAGTGCTTCCTTTCTATAAGCTGTAAAATGTAGAGGGGCGGTGTGATTTTAATGTTGGGCACGTTTTGGGAATTGTAGGGCACTGGACCGTATAAAGCATGGACTGAATACATTCCAATGATGCTACAAAAGCAATATTTGAAGATTTCGGCGTACCTTTTTTGATGTCATCTTCTGACGCATCGGGTGGCAGATTCTTGATTTAAATATCGAAAATACGTGTTAGTTCATATTGATTGACACACAAGCGAATTTCACCAGCTATATGACACGTACCAGAACTGAATAATAATCGACGACAGTCGCCATTTCTTGTTATGGGCAATGTCTCTTTCCTCTAGTTGGTCAAACCACACAATTCCAACGAATAGCATCAACTGCAGATTCGGATAGTAAGATGCACCTTCTTACACGCATTAATGTATTATCGGACACGTTATTAACCCGTTTTCACTATAGATATGCCTCCTAATTTGGCGCAATCAGTTGGTGAACGAGGACGAGCAAACCTCCGAGTTCTAAAGAGATACGACAAGCATGCCGAAGAGATACTAGACACCTTCTCATATGTAGCCGCATACACTTTTACAGAGGATACTCAAAGCTGGGTAAACAGACATTGTGTCTATGGCCAACATGTCCTCCAAACATTCATCAAACATGGGCAAGCTGACGCTGACCCATACTCGACCTACTAGACGAAACGCGGAATCGAGGGCCCCATGTTTGTGTTTAGACGATCAACATCACCTTATTACGCCATCTTCATCATGAATCGATTGGATCCTGAAAACTTATGGGTCTTGCTGGATGTTGTCTTGGAAGTCGAGCTGATGGAAGAGTTTGTGGTGTACAGGCTAGCTGATGGTTTGGTACAAGGACTATGGATGTTTGAACCTGTTGATCGCACGAGACTAGAAGAATCACTGCAAACGTATGTGTTGTCGCGTCATCTTAATCTCAGTCGTCGCATCAGGCTAACATAGCTGTCGTTGTCCAGATATTGTGCACTGGCATTAACGAAACCGCCGCCGCTACCCATTCAACCAACATCGTCGACAAACGCATCAGCGAGACCTTCAACTACGAGTAAACAACCGCAACAGCCGAAAGGTGGCCAGGACCTGTTAGCCATGCTGCAGCGGGCAGCTTCTGCATCTCCCGTACCATCAGCATCTGTGAGTCTCATACGAAAGTACCGTCGCGACAATGAATGTCTCATTTTTGTGGCTGGTCTGTAGACGGAATCCAAACGAACAGTTTCTTCAACAATAACAAGGCCTAAACGACTACCGAATCTCATCACTGATCTATCACAAATATGGATTTTGGTTGAGGCAATTGGTGGGCCATGCACGCCTGGAAGTCTCGACAAACAAGATTTCGCAAAACGGATTCGGTCGCTTTCTCAGGTATGGCTGGGCATACGGAACGTGAAGTCTTTGGAGGTGCCTAAACACGCGTTTTGATGTTTAGAACAAGGATTTCGTCGACTCATTGTACAGGGCTTACACCCAACCATCCCCAAGTTTGTCGTGAAGTAAGGCCACACTATATAACAAAGCAGCTTTTTAATATATCGCAACATGTAATAAAATACGCTAAAATATTAAAGCCGCACTTTGCATTCCATCACTGAGGTCGACAGAGTGTGGTGGCTGATGTGTTCTAGTCCTAGTTAACCAAGTACAAAATACTGGAAACTGAAATTAAAGTACTTGCTTCTCACGTTACTGGCTGTACTGTTCTTACCACTTGGGGGTCCTTGGCACGTGATTATTCAACTTGTTATTCAAAGCGCTGCAAAACCCCTCGCCAACATACACATTCGCTCGGTAAGGGTAAGGTTGCGTCAATGTTTTGCATTCCTTTAACATATCAATCCCGTAGATGTATCTGCTGCTCAGAACCGAGACTGGTACACCAAAGACAACTTTGGCAAGGATCTATGTTGGAGATGTTGGTAAAGACAGGTCTATAGTAGAAGCGATACTGTCGATTCTTATAAATGTAGGGGACATCCATACCAAGTATGAGCTACGAACGGAAGAAGCAGGGGCTCTAGTACAAGGTACCCAGCTCCATGCAGGAGAATATATTTTGAAGGCCCAGGAAACTGAACAAGCTATAACACCATCACATATGAGGACCCAGCACACCCTATTTCACAAGACTAAGTCATCCGCTACATCGACATCAGGCATATCCACACCAACGACACCAAGTCGATCCAAAGCAGGTCGATCCACACCAATAAAATCTTGTGGAAGCTCATCATTATCCGCAGTAGCACCCAGAGTAGACGCAACAGTCAACGATACAGAATCTACAACTATCGGGGATGCATTAGTAGCCGCAATGACTGCCGTATCGATCACTACACCAGATCAAAAGGCAAATGCAAAGAGGTCGGCTACGTTTAAACTGGAATTGGCACAACGTGACGGAGTCTGTGTTTTGACTGGAGAGGAAGATTCCGATCTACTCATAGGGGCTCATGTAGTTCCGTGGTCATGGCAAGAAAATCACCGTATAGACCAACTGCCCTATTATGTGAAGAGTCTCGCATGGCAGCTACCGAAAAAACTTGATTCTATCGAGAACGGGTTATTGTTACGATGGGATCTGCATGCCAAATTCGATAAGTCTCGTTGGACTTTCTTTAAAGATGAGAAGGGGTGGAGAGTTGTTGTGCTAGCGGAGAGAGTCCCCCTTGGAATCGAGGGAAAATATCTAGAAGTACCGACGGAACCTATTTGGAAGAAACGATTTGTAAAGGAAGAGTTTCTAAGGTTTCACTTCGAAACACGTCCGTCTTTGCACAATGTCAACCGTAAACGTAAATCTGCAGGTGAAAGGGATTATAATGGTAGTTTTGGTTCAGACGAAGACGGCGAAGAAGAGGAAGTGGTGTGTTAAAGCGATGGTGCAATGTACAAAGTATGGGATAGTGTTCATCAAGCCTTTCAACATACTGTAGAAATATAAAGGTACGCCTCTGATACAATAATAGCAATATAGTATTACGAAACTGCATATTGCCCTTCACTTTGCATCGCATCACGCACGCACCCCCACTTTTGACTTTTGGTCAATCGTGCTTTCCGTGTTCAAAGAATGAAGAAGGCTATAGGAGACCAGAAGGTGCTAGACAGAAAGACTCCCAGTAATCCTAGATATGCACACATTAGGTATGCCCGCCCAGACTCTAGCTTTTCCCCTTCATCGAAAAATGCAACATTCAAAACAACCTTATTAACACGCACTTTGCAGGGCGTCTGTATCGACCGGAAGCTCGCTCGCAAACAAAGTCCGGGATATAGAAGCAAAGAAACGAGGTATGATTTACTGGAACTGGTCTATCTGGCACTGGATCTAGTTAAAAAACCGCCAACATTAAAAAACCATTTCGTTATCGCAAAGGAACATTTTCAAACCCAAATTTCTTTGTGACGATTTAGATGGAGAGATTGCTGGAAACGCAGACGAAACATTCAAACGTATATCACCAGCTGTACGTTCCTGTCCTCCTTTAAAAGGCAGGAATCGCAGCCGTCAATATGCTTTTCACTCATCTTTCACACGACCCCTAGTCTCTTGCACGCCTCCTCCTCTCTTCAACAACAGAATATGATCTCGAAGAATACGAACGCCGTCTACATCCATCCTCTACCCCCTCATCGCCACAGATTGCTCCAATCTCGATCGTGCAAGCCATGAAACCACACGCTGGCACCAACAACCCACAAGCACATGGAGTCGCTGACTTGTTGAAACGACCTCCATCTAGTGAACTCTCTAATTCTTTGGATTCATATAGTAATGGTACTAATATGTCATCATCAACAGCAGCAGCAACTTCAGCTGATATCTCAGAGAGTGGGATATTACCATTCTTGTTGTTGGATGTTCGTGATAAGGATGATTATGCTACATGGTAGAGCAGATTATCATGAACTATTACCTTTTTTTGTTGTATGTGTGAAACTCATCCGACATCCTTGATTTCATAGTCACATTGTAACATCTAGTTCATATCCATCGACTACACCAGGACGAACCATGACACAGATTTCACGAACTTTGCTAGCATACAAGTCACCGTCTATTTCTCCCATTATCGTGTATGATACCGATGGTGAATCTCGAGGTCCTGCTACATCTGTCGCCATCTTCTTGTTGGAACGTGGATGGGATAATGTTCGTGTCTTGTCCGGAGGTATGATATAAACCAAAGCAAACGTCAGTGGCGATGCGAGAATCGTATCCCACCATTTTCTTCTACTTCGCAAACAGGTCTAGTAAAATTCACTGAACGCTTCCAAGGCGCAATAATCGGCATCCCACCAAAGCCCAAAGTCGCTCCAATCCTACGTAAATCTTCAGCACCAGCTTCAATCCCCAGCGGCAAAATCGCTCCTGCCGCAGAGGGACAGTCATCCTTGTTTAGTAATACTACCAGCATGGCTCCCACACCAGCAACATCTAAAAGCATCAGCACCTTCTCAATGAAGGCTGTAACGGATAGTCTACCTCGACAATTCGACTTGTATGCACTTAAAGAGGCTGTGGAGTTGGCTGCCTCGTCGGCATCGTGTGCTCCTACTCCTGCCTCGACACGACCGTCTTCTAGAGCTCCTTCTCAGGCCTCGTCGCGATTGACTTCTAGAGCTACGTCGCCAAGGCCTGGACAACGTAGTGCTGTTAGAGTTAGTGGTGGTCTAAGACGATGATGAAGATACGAGGAAGAGGGACAATGGGATAACATATATAGTGATAGTTTGGTGAGGACTTGCATGATTAAGGAAGAACAGTTTAAACAATGGGACATGGAGATACTTTTAAAAATGGCTCGTGCAGAAACAGATGGTTTGGTGACAATGAGGAAAAGTGCGCGTATATATAATTTGCTTACAATATAAAACATGACTAATCTTGAGGAATTCTGATATTTGGCTTGCTTCATATGACGACAGGCGATGTGCGATTTCAAAATTCGACCTGCAAAATGCCAGGTACAAAATTTCGACCTGTTTGCGCGAAAGAAATAGAAATAGTATGGTAGTATACATGTTGTGTGCTTTTTGTTATTCCAGCCTAAGGCGGCCTCCTGCAGACAATAGCCCCGAAGACCTCCTCCTGTTCCAATTTGTAACCACATTACTTTGACTTTATGGTATTACCTTTTTCGACTCTCACTCGGCACAAATCTAAAGCAGTTTTAGCATCGACAGATGGATCATGTTCGTCAAATCCTTGTTGAATGTGTCGGCCCAAGACTTCTCGAGCAAGCACTCTGAGGGAGTATCGCAACGGAAGACCCTTTGGATGAGGAAACACAGCGGCGGTATCAACCACCTTGGTGTGTATCAACTAGCAAAAGCCAAAAAGCGTCAGTTAATCTACCACAATGACATCGAAGCCACCGTCGCCAGCCCTGTTACTTACTCTGAGGGCAATCAAATCATTTTCAAGTCCATGCCCAATAAGAATCGTGTCTTGATCAGCGTATTCACTCAACATGTCATATATGCCATTGAGGTCGTATTGGGCTGTTTCAACAGAGGAAACTCCCGAGAAGCGTGTGTTGTAATCAATGACAGGGTAGCTGGTCTTAACGAGCTCATCAAGTAACACATCATTTGATGCATTAATCACGACGATTCGAGTAACTTCCATTCCAGCAAGAGTATATGACACTAAAATATGAGAATAACTCAACACAGCACCCAAAAAAAACCGCGCGAATGATCCAGTAATCATGTTATTCTGCTTACTTTCACAGTCTAGAGCCAGTACAGCTTGTCTCTTACTCTTCTGATGTGGAGTTGGCAAGCGACGGAATGGAACATAAGCATTCAAATCTGAATAAGCCTTGAGTTTGAATGTGTGAGGGCCTTCAGTGCATCCTGCTGTACCAACGATCTGCTGACAACAGCTATAAAGTCTTCGTGACTGTTCTCCTACGTAAAAGAGAGATGAGGTTAATATTAATGTACGCTGGAAACCAAGAAAGATGGCTCTTTAACAGGGAAATGCTCATTCAGCTTCATACCCCCTGATGGCTTATCCTTATAAGAGTAACCCCAATGATATTTACACTCAGTTGCCAAGGCACTGGTCGGTGCAAATGTTGTTGGAGTGAATTGCACAGTTCGACACCTGTCACACTCTTGCTTTCGAGTCTTCAAAGCGTCGAGAGAGACAGAACTCTGTGTTTCCTCCTCAATGAAATAGCCCATTTCAGCCAGCTTTGCCTTTGGAACACAGTATTGGCTGATACGCTCTAGTAGGACACGAGAGATTCGTGTGAGCAAAATGTCTTTCATCCGGCCCTGGAAGAGAGTTCGCAACAAGGCCTGGACGCTAATTAAACATAGTTCAATCGCATACCAACGTCTACCTTTGTGACCGCAGGCCTTGCCACCCACTCTCCATCTAGCCCAATATCCAATTCATCTACAGCTAAAAAGGGCGCAGGAGAAATGATGTGAGAGCCTGCATTGCTTTCAAGGCTTCTTCAACTCACCAACAGGTCGTGTCTTCAACCTTGCCAACAGAGAAATTCCAGCTCCAACATACGAAGTCTTGGTCGATGTATGATGGAGGAGTTTTTCCTGAGCCAGAGCATGTTCATGAGCAACGTTTGGCAGTTTTCGTACGATTGGCTCATAGATCCGACAAAATTGTGCGTATAGTCCATTCAATACGTTGTTGCGGACCTGCAATACAATTTTTTTAGCTCAAATGTGCCACTATAGTAATCAGTTTAAACATTGTTTCGGACCTTGTGAGGTACTTTACTGGTGTTGTCGAGTGGCACCTGAGGCAATGTTGCGGTCACGGGTGCTACTTTACTTGGTTGTTTTTGTTTCTGCAACGATGGTTTAGATGTAGGAGCAGTAGAGGATGATGATGGTGGTTTAGATGACGACGGCGGTTTAGGTGACGATTCTGGTTTCGATGACGATGATGGTTTAGATGACGATGGCGGCTTCGATGATGGTGGTGATTTAGATGACGGAGGCGAAGACTTGTTGGGCAATCCATTTCGATCTGCTGATTCCTAAAGAACACCACAACACCGTGAGGATCAACGCGCGGAGAGAAAAGGGCATCATCATACCGTCTTATCCGATGTTTTGACGAGAGCCTTAGCTGGTGGACTGTGCACATGAGTATTGACTTGTGTATCATCATCATCTTCGATTAAAATCACTACTGGTTCTTTGGGTTTCTGTACAATAGCAGGTTTGAACACCTCATCACGTTTCAAAGGTGTTGAATCTACGTGCTTGCTACACTCTGGCACCTCCACTGGGGCAACAGTTGTTGGCACATCAGGACAATCGATACTAGGCAGAGATGCTCTAACCCGTTTGACCTGCTGATCATCATCACTGATAACAGGAATTGCCTCGGAATTCATATCTTCATGAGGTCTCTTTGAAGTACTGCCACTGGGTACAACAGGGTCAGTCCGAGATAGATTTCGTCGAGTTTGCGATAGCTGAGCGAGTAGTTCTGCTAGAGATTTACCACCATAGGTAGAGGGAGTATCACTAGATAATGTCGTTGGTCTCGTTATTGGCTGATACTGATTGTAAATCGGGGGCAATGGAGGCATATAATACGGTAAGGGAGGCTGTTGGTTGAGACGATGTGCGAAAGGACATCCCTCTGCAACGCAGGTTTGGTTTGGGCATTGGATATGAGCAAATGCCGACATTCCTATGTGCTCTAAACTCGAGCTTCCTTTTTGATGTTTGTGCTATACGTAAGCAAGGCTTTCCTATGAATCGGTTATGTATACATTAGAATGCAATTCTAGACGGGCTCTTTACGAGATTGGTTTGCTGTACAGCTCGTAATTCACGATTGTTTGAATGTTGAAAGAAAACGCCTACTGTATTGAATAGACAAACACAAGTTGATCTGCCCTGATTTATGTGTAAATCGCATATAAATGTATATCAAACTAGATTCTATTCTTGATTGAGCTGAGTCTCGTTGCGATCTTCTCCCCGTCAACTTCCATAAAACAAAATATCGCACGAGTACCCTCGACTAGACCCAAAAAGGACACAAGGGACAGTTCAATAATATTATATAGAATATGATCACTGCACCTGCCGACGATACTATGGTTTCTCCTCCCAAAAAAGCTGCAATGATGAAGAACGCAGATGCTGCAGACAGTGGCACTGGAGCTCAAGAGACAACAGCCCAATCTACCGCTATGGATGTATCATCAGACACGACTACTACTGCTACTGCTGGTGGTGGTGATGTCGTTGCTGGAGTGCCATCAAAAGGGAGCATTGATGATGTTCCAAGAATGCTCGCTGAAGGCAAGAAGAAGGCTGCTCTATCTGACTGGGATACTTCATTGGACTTGTTGTCAACTGCGGTTGAAATCATGTAGGTTACGCTACATCTTATTGCGTTGGCCAGACTGTTGAAGACAACGTGCTGTTTTGATCTGCGCAGCATATGCTTGCTCTTCATGTATTGCTTGAACAAACCTAACTATCCATCATATTGTGATAGGAATGAAAAATATGGTGAATTAGCCCCGGAATGTGCCGATGCCTACTTCATCTATGGTCAAACTCTCTTGACGGCTGCAGTCAGTCGTGCAAGTGCTCTGGGAGGTTCCAGAACAGACGTTACCGCTGCCCAAGACGAAGTTGAACAAGATGCAAAGATCTTGGAAAGTGGTATGTGGTCATCAACAGTGATTGTTTCATCATTAGAAATCTCATAGTCTAGGTTTCTTCGTCAACACCACCAATGCAATGATGATCTGGCGTTTACTCACAATCTAAACCTACATCGACATCTTCTAGTTCAAGGCAAACCAGCAAGTCACTTTGCCATTGAGGGCGATGATGAAGAATGGGGTGTAGATGGTGAAGAAGACATTGAAGCCGAGGAAGCTGAAGGAGAGGGAGGAGAAGAAGCTACTCCTGCTACCGACGCTTTGCCAGTCGATAGTCAACCACAAGAAGGTGGTGCTGCATCATCAGCTGCTGCTGCTCCAGCCGGTGACAAGGATGATATGGAATTGGCATTCGAAGTCTTGGACATGTGTCGAGTCATCTACACAAAGATGGATACTCCAGAAGCCATGGCCAAATTGGGTGATGTTGAATTGATGTTGGGTGATATCAGTCTTGATGCCGGTATGTTGTTTGAGTTTCGTAATGAACAAAAAAGAACCGCTTCTCGCATAACATGGTTCATAACCACCTCGTCTCGTATTCGTCTCGTATCGCTCACTCGCGTCTTCTTTGCATATTAGGTCACTATAAGGAAGCCATCAAGGAGTATGCAATGGCCATCGCACTCAAACAGATGGTGAATGCTCCTCATCGTGAATTGGCTGAAGCCCACTATAAACTTGCTTTGCCATTGGAATATGAAAATCAATATGACGAAGCCATCAAACAAGTCAGATTGGTAGTCGTCGCTGTCGAACAACGCATTCAACTCTTGAAACAAGAACTCAAAGATGCTGGTGTTGAAGTGGATGCAAAAGGCAAAGGAAAAGTGGATCAAGAAGAAACTGATCCCATCAAATCCGAAATACTTGAAATGGAGGGTGTTTTGGTTGAAATGGCTGAAAAGGTACGATCAAAATCCTGGTGTGATGTCTTTGCTAGAGTTGGCATTCGTCGAAGGAGGAGTGCAAAAAGCCTCCAACATACTGCGCCAATTGTGACCTGAATACCTTCTCATTCGTCGACTCCCTTTCTCTCCAGGTCACCGACTTGATGAGTCAGAAAGCTCAAGCTCGACCAGGCTTCTTGAATGCTGAATCTGAAGAAGCCAAAGGAGATGCATCCACAGGTGAAAAGGTCGCTACTGTCGTAAATGACTTGTCTGGAACCGGATTGATAAAATCGAAAAAGAATGCAAGTATCAGCACTTCAGCACCATCAGCACATACGACTGCTTCAGCTACCAAGCGTAAAGCAGATGGTGATGTCTCTGTTGAAAGTGGGCCAGATGCGGCAAAGAAGGCCAAAACTGATGTCTAAAAATGAAGGAGGCTTTCGAGAATGAAAGATAAATATGTGTTTTGGTGGGGTTTAAAAAACAGTGTAGAAAACTCTTGTACCATAGAAAAAGTAAAAAAGAACAACGACTGTAACATGCAACGGAACGCTGATGTCGTCGGGCCTCCATTAGGAAAGAAAAGACACACGAAAACTGAAAAATGGCTCCTTCGTCTTAAGACACGATCGCAACTGCGACGATTGACAGGTTATTATAAGAAATTTCTATCCTTTTTGTAAATGAAATGAATGCGCTGCTATACATGCAAAGAAAGACCTCAACTTCAAACCAACATATCTTCAACCACCTCTTCAGCTACCCTCTAACCCTACAAGCCTCCCCACTTTTACTATTATGATGGAGCATAAGCAAACAGGAAGGAGACACTCTCTCCATTGTGAGTTCTTCTGATTGCTTCAGCAAAAGTAGCAGATACATCAATGGTATCCAATTTCGGACATAACAGTTTCTTGTACTCGTGCGGGATTGTGTTTGTCACCACGACACCGGCTAGTACCGAGTCGTTGATGATGTTGACTGCTTTTCCTGATAGTACTATACGATTCAGAGGAGGAGTAGGAGGGATGTGAGTCGATGAAACAAATGATGGGTTCATCAGAATCCTCAGTGGTCTTTTTGGCGGCTAGCATCAAGCAAGGTATCAAAAATGGATTATATCAGTATGGCACTCACCACCATGCGTAACCAAAGCATATACTTTGACAGCACCACCATCCATCAATACTTTTGCAGCGAGGCCCAATGTCCCACAAGTATCTGCCATGTCATCTACGAGGATACACACTCGACCACGAACTTCACCGACAAGAGTCATTCGCGATACTTCATTGGCCTTTTTACGTTCCTTGTGAATCAATGCGAAATCGATATCGAGTTTGTCTGCAATGGATGTTGCCCTATGCGTGTAAGGTTAGGAGATGAGAGGAAAGAGGGAGAAAAAAAGAAACCTTCTGGTAAACAATGACGAGACGCCTCGAAACACACAACCCAACTACTACTCTACCACTTCCAACAATATTACTTCATCTCTCTTACCTCTTTGCACCCCCCGCATCCGGCGACACAATAACAGCCGTCTGCCATCCATTGATATGCTCTTTGATATATTTCAACATGCTGGGTTCACCATACAAGTTGTCCACAGGAATGTTGAAGAATCCCTGAATCTGAGACGCATGCAAATCCATTGTGATGACATGGTTGCATCCAGCGATGGTCAACATATTTGCGACGAGCTTGGCAGTGATGGGTGCTCGCGACTTGTCTTTTTTATCAGCACGTGCGTATGGGAATGCGGGTATGACTGCTGTTACTCTGCGGGCGGAAGCTGAGCGACATGCGTTGATCATTATGAGAAGTTCCATTAGGTGGTCGTTGATTTCGTCGCAGCCTGACTATGGGATGGGTGTAAGGTTCGGTGAGATGTAGGAGACGATGGTAGAGTAAAAAAACAAGCGTGGGAGCGAAGAATAACAGAGAGACTGGGTTTGCAAAGCTCGGATTGTATGCAGGCTAGGACGAGCCAAACACCCTCATAGCTTTACCAGAAGAAAGGGAATAGCCGACATTCTTCTTCAACCTCAAGCTAACATTCTCTCCCTTCTTCCACTCTTCCTTCACTGGCCCAAACGACACTTCTACCTACCTGAATGATGTAGACATCTTCATCACGAACAGATTCTCCAATAGTAACAGAAGTTTCTTGATTCGAGTACTTGAGGACCACACATTTAGCCAATTCGAGTCCTAATCGCCTATTTTCCATAACGCATTCCAGTTAAAAACTGTTTATCTCTTGCGCTCAAAAAAATGAATTTTTGTGACAAGCTCCATAAACGACTTAGGAGAAAGGAGGGTAAGCTTACTTTGCTATAAGGCGGGCCAGATCAGGATGTGAGTTCCCTGCAAACAGCTTTATGCTGTTCTGAGTCACATTCGATGCCATATTGGCCTTTGTACGATGTTTGGAAATTGGACGATTGTGCAGATGGGCCATTTGAACTTTGAAGGATAGTTTTTAACTTACAATACGCGCTTTCTATATAGTTATGTACCAAAGAAATACACGAAACGCATCCCAATGTCAGATCAACATCACCAACACAATCCCCCAAAACCGATCGCTCAATCTCCAGGCTTCCACGGCTACGTCCACTCAACCAAACCACTGCAACCAAACATCCCCGAAGTATACGACCCTTCTAATCCACTTTACCGTACATACGGTGCCAGAACTCACTGTGTATCGACTCCAACATTCTTGGAACCTAAGCTGCAGCATCATTATTTCAAGTATTGACGGGTGAAGCATGGCAAGCCCAGCAATCGAAAGGTGTCGCTACATTGGGAAAGACTTTTGGTATTGCTGATATGTCAGCCACCCCAATCGTTTCCCCAAAGGTCGTTGATGAGGTCTTGTTGCGTGATGCTGGAAAGATTCTTGCAAGAGAACGAGTCAATAAAGATGGTGCTCAGTGGTGCTCTATGAATGTTTTTTGGTTTGTAGGTTTGTGAAATAGCTTTGTTTATATCTGCAGCTTCTTTGAATATAGTGTCGTTCTGTAGCTAGGCGCATCGTTTGAGTTTGAGGTTTGAATATGGTCGCATTGACTCTCAATCCTTAATGTTTTGACGCGTCTGAGCTGCAAAAAGGTGGTTAAAAGAACCAAACGCGTGCAGTCAGTGCTAACTTGCTAAATCTTTCAACTTTCGAAAACATCTCAAGTACCGTCATGGCGGCAGTAGCATCCAGTGAATCTATGCCTGGAATGAACGATGAGACTCGTGAGTCCAGTAATGTACCTGGCATCGTTGTTACTGCGAAGCTTCACAATCTAACATTTCGACTTTTAGCTAAAGCTGATCAGGACATGTCTGGATTCTATACGCGATACTTCAAGAGATATGAATTGTTGATTGAATTGTAAGGTGGAACTATCACCATTGAGTTTGCATCTGAATGTGTTGACATTTGATCGGCGTTTTCAACTTAGCAAAAACCTACAACATCCAAGTCAATGTCCGCCAGGGATCTATATCATGCCCTCGCCGGATAATTTGAATGGTATCCACGTTAAAGATGAACGTTGTTGGAAAGCAATGCATAAGAAAAGTCAAGCTGACCTGCTGAACGATGATCAGCCGTCTGAGAAGCAGTCAGTTTGAACTGATGACCGACTGAACTGACCTTCTGTCAATAGAATGGTATGGTTGTCTCTTCATCCACAAGGGATTTTACGCTCGAGGAGTCTTCAAATTCGTTGTCAAGATACCTGAGTCATATCCACAGGTTTGGCTTTCACGATTCGGACATTTGCATACATTTCAAACTCAATTGCAGTTTCAACATTTTAATAGCTGGCACCTTCAGTGACCTTCTTGACTGACATGTTCCACCCATTGATTGACCGATTCGGAAACATGGACATATCCCATCATTTCCCAACATGGAGGCCACGCAAGGACTTAATTTCTCATGTACTCAAATATGTCAAGGAGTGCTTCAAGGAATCGATACTCTCTAAGCTTGATGGTGAGAGAGATATTTGAAGGACACATTTAGAAACTCTGTCCTCAATGACGCTGGACGGTTCCCATAGAAAACTCGGTGCCAAACAAGGACTCACTACATATGTAGGTTTGAATATCACCGTGTCTATTGAGTCCAGGCCCTGTGACTCAGATTCCTTCTCAAATCACCTAGGTTTGTTCACGAAAGACCACTATTCGCTAAATTAGCAGCCCAATGTGCAACGCTATCTGTCTCAGATTCCATTCTGTATGATTCATATTTGCCAAACAATCCCGTCAAGTTTGCTCCCATCCAAGAATCCCAAATCCAAGCCATATTGAAACAGTTGGAAGAGAATAATGTAAGTGTCTCACGTTTGACGAATGTTGGAGAATTGAGTTCTAACATTGCAACATAGTCGTAAATAGAGACTAGAGGTCTGAGAATTGTATAGGACCGGGTGTTGGTTAGCATCAGATATCATTTACAGTATATTCTATTTAAATACACAACAGTCGGCATTGAGTTTACTGTTGCTTTTTGCTATCCTCGACCGCCTTGTTTGGAAGTAGAGTGTATGTTATAGTGGCTCCAGTGACCTGAATACGTAGCCACAGTCAGTACATTTAAACTTTTACTACCAAACCTCTCAGCAATGCCTTACCTCGAAAGCAGCCAGTATCACGACCCAGCTAGGCAACTTTCGTAAACTCACAAGCGTCAAAATGACAAGCGCAAGTGCCAGTCGTCCAGAAATAGTCGACGCGATAAACAACACGTTACGGTCAAACCCTGCCCTGACATAATAATATCCCAGAAGAGATATCAATGCGCCCGACAATGTGAATCCTAGCGACTCTGTTGCAGTAGTGATGTGAGGCGTTTGTTCCTATATGTTGAGTCAAGTGTCACTTGCTTATGGTTCTTGACCAATTCAGACGTCAGAGACCATACCAAATTCAACCTCTCCACCAAGGAAAGAACCTCCTCATGTCTGAGAATCATGTTTGGATCAATTACTAGTATTCCACCTCCAAGAATGATTGACGAGCCCGTCATGATGGTAAGCCCAGAAATTAGGAGCGTTGATACAGATTTGAGCTTGTCCATCTAAAATTGTGCGGTAGAATGTCAGTATTATGGTTCCAATCATGCGAATAAAGACATTGAAACATATAGAACGAGGTGATTTGCGAGTGAAGGATCCCTTTTGCGGTTTGGATGCCGCGCTTTTCAAGAGTATGGACACAATGAGTGATCTGAGTTGAGTTCAATGAGCGTACCGTGATAAAGAGCCTTGCTACAGCTAATTTCTGTCGTAAAATTGTCTCTCGCTAACAAACTGTTGATGAATGAAAGTGTTGGCATCGTTGCGACACGTCAGAGTTTCGGCGTTTTTTCGCGCTGCGAGGCATGGTTTCATGGGCCAAATTGCACGGGCATTCAATTCTGAATATCTTCATCTCTTGCTGCTGTATTGAATACGAAACTTGCTGTACAATTAATATCATCTGGCATTTATCTGGCATGTGTGCTTTCAAGCCTCACGCATCACCCTCTGATGTTTTGATATGGCAGCGTGTATAACAATCAAGAGTAGCGATTCCATTTATCCTCTCTTCAAATCTCTTCCTTAGGTAGGAATCTTGCTCCTCAAGGGCTTTTACAATATCACCTGAGAACACCAGATGACAGTATATCCGTAGTCGAAGCAGAGACACCTTCTCTATACCCTGTCGTTCCTCTAGTGCCTTGAAGAGACTATCACCACAAACACGGTTCACATCATTTCGAGGGTATGTCAACGTTTCTAGCTTGGTCATCCTAACTATGATATCGTGGACTGCTTGGCTACTCCAAGTTTCTACTGACAAAGTGAGCCATTTCAAGTTTGAGAAATGTGCGATAATAAGGTTTATGTCAAATGGTGTGATTTCAATCCATCTTGTTCCTGTAATGCCTTTAAGAGACTGTCACCACAAACGTTCCTAGTGGAGCTGATGGCGTATGAGAGATCCTCTAGCTTTGTCATGCCAACTATTATATCGTGTAGCATTTGCATGTTGGCGGTTTCTACTGTCAACTTGAGCCATGTCAAGTTGGGGCAGTTTGCAAAAATAAGGTTTATGTCGAATGGTGCGTTTCCGTGATATCCACTACCCCTAAAGCTGTGTTGGCAGAGCCTCGATAGTAATACTGCAGGCAAATTCACTTGATTTGCATGTGCAGAGGTGAGATAAATGCTATTTACGTAATCACGTGTGGATGGTGATAAGGAAATGCCCTTGGCATGATCCAATTCTATATTGTATGGAGAGTAGCACTGTTCCTCTTTATCGGATTGATTAAAGCTGTAGAGGCTTGTGGGCCTGGAGGACTTCCACCATAGTCGGTGCATAGCGTGATATCCGTGATACCCACCAGAAGGTTGTTGAGGAGTTGAAGGTAATTACTCAATTGTCTGAGTGCCACAGATTTCAAGACTTTTCGATAGTGAAAGTACTTGATAACTTGCTCTGACATGATAGTAGCTAAATCCTCCCATGTATACGGAGACATCACGGTTATGTTTGGAGATTGCAAAGCAATCACGTCCCATCGTACAGATTCCCGGTTCATCATGTCGGCCTCCTCCGTATCTGGACAATACGACGACTACCTCTCAAAGCTGAGAGTTGTCCCTCTACGTCCTCGTAATGTGTGAGCCCATAACCATGTATATGGACTGAGTCCAGTCCATATACATGGTTGCTGGATTATCCTCTTTGTAAAGGGAGCAAGACCTTTACTGAATACGAGTTGCGGCGATTTGATGGTTAGATCCGTGACGCTTTCGAAAAAGGGTCAATTATATATATCGAGTTTGCGTAAGGGACGAGCCTTCAAGCTGGAATTCCACTTTGATGACTTGACGCCAGCACCAGCACTAGTATCCAGCTCATTGTATAAGATAGGGATTATAATAGAGTTGAATCCCTTGCAGACAATTGCTAACTGACGTAGGCTCTGATGTCTCTTGTCCCTCGCAATGTTTGTGATGATGATGCGGTTTAGGATCTCGTTTGGTAGGCGAAGACCCTTCCAGTTTACATCGTCCATGATGCATTCTATAATTCGGCAACGTTTACACTGACGGAACTTGCTCGTTCTGTTGATTCCGGCCGAGTTCCTTCTGTTGCTTCTTCGTTGGTTGGGTTGGAATCATGATGACCAGTTGATGCAGGAAAAAATACATCGAAGCCGGTATTAGCACAGAGAACAAAAGACGTATTAACGTGCAAAATCAGCAAAATCCCGTAAACATTGCTACGGTTGGTTGGTATGGGAGGGTACTCTTGGTGATCCTCATCATTTCATTAGGTCAACACTTTGGAGACAGTCATAGTCACTATATGATATCCTATGGACAGCGGGCACGACCATAAGCCTCCAGATGCTAGCAGCACACCTTTATTATGGCCACATGGTGGACTTTCTATTCATATTTGCTTCATGTTTACAGCTTTTGGTACGGAATGGCGAATATGAGAACTTGAGAACTAGTAACTAACTCCTGCTCCTTCTAACAAACGTAGCCTTCATTTTTCCACTTGGAGCATCTCTGGGAATAGGACGATCTGCTCTGCATTGGAAGGTTTGTTGGTCATGAATTTGTGTTGGAACATCAGCATCCTGGGAGTAGAAGGCTGATCATCGTTTCTGTTAGGTTCAATGTACAGGCCTCTTCTTTGTCATAGTCGGTTTTCTAGCCATCGTGTTCCATGATGAGGAGGGACATCACGGTGTCGACCTTGACACTCGTAATGGAATGTCGGTTCATGCTACATTGGGCACCCTGTTGCTCTTACTAACTTCAGCACAAGCTGCCATTGGAATCATAATCAAAGTAATACGAAAAAGGCAGTTACCCTTCGATCACATAATCAAACGCATAGCACCATTCCACTCGCATTTTGGTTCCAGTATGATCGTATTCTCATATATTCAGATGATGCTTGGATTTCTCGTATTGTCTGACACGTGTACTGCTGACTGGACTGCGAACTGTTTGAGCCATTTAGCCATGTAAGTTTGCGTGTGAGTTTGACCTTTAAGACCTAGATGCATTGTTTAAACGAAGCTTCAAGCTCACGTTGTGACAACCTTGGCAGGGGATCCTCATTCGTATTCTATGCAGGCTTTTCGATTGCTAGAATGGGAGGCTTCTTAGCTACACCTGGGTTTTCGAATGAGCTTCTAGAGTCCATCGTCATCACCATCTGGGGTATCTTTAATACCTTTATGTTGAACCCAGAGAAGAACAGAGAGAACTGGCAGCACGTGTCGATGGGACTCGTCTTTTGGCTCGGAGGTATCTTGGGATTAATTTTAGAGATCAAGTCGATAAACGCCATGGTTGGACGTATGTGTTGCCTCTTGAATGGTTGACTCTTGCTTTGTGGCACCAAACCTTATTTATTGTATGCTGGTGTTTTTAGGTAAAAACATCGCCCCGGCTCTCGTCATCGTCTTTGTTGGACGCTCCATGTCTTCGCACACACAGCATGGATCACAATTCTTTGTGGACATACATGTTCTGTTTGGACTGCTGCTAATGTCGGGTGGTGTTGTGAGAGTCGTTGAAGTAATGCTGAGGGGTGTACAGGTCGGGGAATTTGCTTTATCGCTTCCACTTGCGACATTATCCAACTTTTTAGTGTTAACTGCTGGAGTTTCGTTTATTTGTGGTACGTCTGTCTTCTCTGTATTTGATACGAACAACCAATTGATGCATCCCTTAACACCTTACTCCCTCGCTTTGCAGCAACACATCAGAGCCTAATCAATATGGAGCCGTTATTTGATAGCACCGCATTGTCAAACATAATAGTGGCCTCGGGCTTAGCCCTGACTGGATTTGCTTTTTTGCTGGTTGGAATTGCGTCAAATCGACTGACGCTTGATGCAGAGACCTCTGCTACAAATTATCAACCTCTCAACGGCGACCGAGCTCCAAAGTCAGAAGATATTCCGCTGAATTGGGTGTCTACTGACTTGCCGACAAATCAGCGGCACAGTTTCGATGGAGAGGCAGATTAAAGCTTTTCGAGTACTCGTCCTGTAAATATCATTGCTCATTGTGAAAAATAGTACACTGTATCAAGAAAAATGGCTCTTTTTCGGAAATCCTTGCAGAAGGAAGTTTTCGCTTTGGCTCTGCTCGTTGTTCCTTTGTCGTGATCGTTGATCAAGCAACAAACCACAAGAAGCAACCAACATCTTGGACAGTTCTGTAACCACGATGCTGACCCTCAAGGTTCTTGAAGCGCCCAGCAATGCCGGGAGACTTACGGATTTCATATTCTGCTATCCTGATTGGAACCGGGGTTGAATCAGAAGCATGCTGGGGTCTTTGTAAAACTTAATTCAAAAAGCGCCACTCAAAAGAGTTCAACGTTATAAGAATGGATCCCTTATATGTTGTAATTCCGTCGGTGAGTCCGATGTATATTTTGTCATTTCTCGCTCAAACTTACTTGAGGACTCAATCGTTGCTTGTCCCGCTAGATTGCTGGCTCATTACTCACTGGAGCTGCCATATTTCTCAATGTTCAAAGTTATTGGTTAGCTTCATTAGTTCAGGCTTTACGTTGTAAGAGAAAATGCTGACGTCAAAACGGTTTTTATGGCTCTTAGCCATTTGGGCTAATGGATTCCCACAACTCTCAACCATGCTGCTGAGTGACAAGGAGAGCCAAAAAGCCTTTGTCGCTTGTCATGGTGGTGGCCTCGCTTGGTATGGAGAGTCTGTAATTTGCACCAAACGAAACGAAAGCCCTTGATCTGCCAAACTTATCTAAATCCTCGAACTCCTCCAGTTCAAGTTCCGTCCCCTGGATATCAGGCCTTGTTTGTCACCACCATGTACACGTCCCTTTCTGCCATGGTGCTCTTTTCGATCTTGGTAAAGTAAACCATTCAAAGGTTTCCCAACTCAAGTCTAAAGTACCCATACACAATTTTCCTAGTTCGGAGCGGTCCTTGTCAATCACAATTCATTGGTTCGCCTCAGCATCAGGGTATCAACGGACGCTGATTTCATTAAACGCGTCAACCGGGTTTGTGTCGTCCTTTATCTCTTGGCCGTCGTCGTGATGACACCGTATTTCACGAATATTGACATCTCTGTGAAACATCAGTGGGTATGTTGCATTTGAGATACTGGTCATTGTCACGAGTGATTTGCTCCTCTTCCGTTGCTCTTAATTAATCGAGTTCAAAAAAAAAGATCACCTTCGAGAACATTGTTTACATATAGATCTTTGCGAATATTATCGGTAAGCCTTGAGTACGAGCTTGTTGGTGTGTTGCCATTGACAGACTTTCTTCAACTCTACTCGCTGCTATAAGAAGGAAGAATTTTTGGAGTTTCCCTGCGCCTGTCACTCAAAGCCATTGATCTTGACTAGATGCTTGGAACCGAGTCCTTGGCAGTTCTTTGCGATACCTTGTTGGTGGAGAGAATCTTGACCGCCAAATCACAATTGACAAGTACGTCACCAACGACATTGCAAGCATCAAACAAGAAACTTACCAGAAATCAATGTTGTGTTGTGAACACAGAACTAACGTCGTTCTGGGCCATGTACTTTTGCATTTGATGAGTGTCTCTTTGAACGTCATAGTCAAACTGCTGATTGTGTAGTAAGTGTTTGGGGGGTTCCGTGTCCCTCGCGTTGGGTTGAAAACTAACAAACTCTTCTGGCTGACCTCGTCAGTTCGTCGTCTCCAGTTTAATTTTGATGGACTAATATCTGTTTTGACTATGAGCTTAAGAGCTTGTGGTATGGAAGTTGTGAGAGCTACTTGGTGTTTGGTTTGCCGCATATTTACCATACCGTGTTTTTCTAGCAAATTTGACCTTTGGAACATCAGTCAAACTAGGAACTGGAGCAGCGAAACTGGGCACTGGCCTTTCCGCACCACCGGAACTTAGTGAAGTGAAGGGTGTCAAGAACACTGTAGAGCCCTGTTGAAAAGACACACAGGCGACGAATTATAATTGCATATTAAACTCTGAAGAGCAACATGGAAGTATGAGCACTGATACGATCTTCAAGGTAACGCCTGGCTATTGTTGTCGCTAATATTTGTGCGAACTTTGTCAAACGCGATCATTCGAATCCACAGGCCACAGTGCGTCATCTAGACTTCAAGACATCAGTTTTGATTCAGAGGACAGTCTTTGACATGTATCTTCCCTCTTGCGTTTGGCGTTCCAAAACAGTTGGCGACATCAGCGACAAAGCTTCTTGTTTTATTTGATTGGTTGTTTGCCGCATGGAGCCGCTTCTAAAGGTAAGCGATTGGATCTATGGCGAGGCTTTCATTCTCCTCTGAGCTCTTCTTTGCAATCAAAATGACTGGGTTTTGAGTTTCAAAAGTCTAAAATGTCCAATCAATTTTGATTCCAAACTCTTGTCAAATAATCTAAGGGATTTCTCCCTTATGAACAGGTCTATGACGTGCGACTAGATAGGCCACGAACAGCCGCTCGTATTGGAGCATTGTCCCTCCATTCAACACATTTGCAGTTTGTCCCAAATGACGGCGCGTCTGGAGAACTGACTGTGAGCCAACCCCATATTGAACAAGAGCTACTTTATCCACAGTTTGGACTCATTACTTGAATTAATCAACCTAGATCACGTACTGCTCCATCTCATCCATTGACAAGAAGATCGCCACGTTCTCGAATGCAACTACACACTACCCAATCTTCATATACACAAAAAGCTTCTTGAATGCTAGATTCTACTTGCTACGTGATCAGGATTCTCAAGATGCTTTCTCGATCTTGACTAAATTCATCAATGTTGGCAAGTTTTGTGTTATCTGGCAGTGTGTGGTGTATAGCGAAACATGTTTCAACTGACACTCTGAATCATCTTAGCTTCATTGGATCAATTGTATGCCTTTACGTACAGACGAGCAGTCACTTACTCTGAAGATGGATGGTCCGTGTTTGATCCTGAAAGGGAGTACAAGCGGATGGGTGTTGGCTCAAGAACAGATGCTTGGCGATGGTCCAAAGTCAATGAGCACTACGAGGTATGCTGCTTGATCCATTACAGTCATCTCAGGGTGCCGCACGCTTCATCAATTTAAATCATACTCAAACTAGTTCTCGTCAACATATCCAAAACTGCTCGTTGTACCAAATAAGATTAGTGACAACGTTCTGAAACATACAGCCAAGTTCAGAAGTAAAGCTAGAATACCAGCATTGAGTTATCTGCACCGACACAATATGGTATAACCTTGTTGCAGACACTCCTTGTGGTAAAGAAATTCAACCTCAAGTTCTATTATAATAGGTGTCGATAACACGATCAAGTCAGCCGATGGTAGGCCTTCGAAACAATAGATCAGTACAAGATGAGAAACTGGTTGAATGTATATTTGGATCTGGACTACTACCACTCGAATCTGGACGATACAATTTGATTATTGATGCTCGTCCTGCTATGAACGTGGCAGGTCAAACTGCTATGGGAGCTGGAACAGAATCAACAGAGAATTATCGTGGATGTCGCCTAGAGTTGATGAATATTGAAAACATTCATGTGATCAGAGATAGTATGAACAAGTTGATTGATGGTACGTTGGTCTATGCCGAATCCCCGATTAATCCTTTTTTGGTCGATCAACATATTCACTTCGTATTTGCTATCTAGTGGTATCATCTTCAGATGGAATGGTGTCGAGAGATCGATTAGACAGAACTAACTGGCTCAGGCATATACGGAATTTGATTGATGCATCTTTAAAAGTGGTTCAACATGTGCACCTGTATAATGCGCATGTCCTAGTGCACTGCAGGTAACCTCTCGAATCTATTGTTTGTCAGTGAATGTGGTCTAGGTTGATGTGACGGGACAAAACACTTACTGCAGTGAAATCATTCTGCTTTTTGGCGCATCATGGACTGACAGTGCATTACTTTTGTAGTGACGGATGGGATAGAACAGCTCAGTTAACGTCACTAGCTCAAATATGTCTTGATCCATATTATCGAACAATCAGAGGATTTGCAGTCCTTGTAGAAAAAGAATGGTGCTCCTTTGGTCACAAATTCCGTGATCGATGTGGTCACTTATGTATGGATGCTTCTCATGGTGGTGCTTCAGAAGGAGACACATCATCTGGCAGCTCGAATTCATCAGGAAACCCCTTCCAACAAGTTTCCAAATCAGCAGCGAATTCTATAGCTGGTAGTATGCGGGGTCTGATGTCGTCATCCAAGACTCGCATGAGTAGTAGTATGCTGTCGACATCTGTATCAGTTGATGGATTGAGTTCCTTATATACGAATGGATCCACGTCGCTATTGGCATCTGGACGGTCTGGATCTGCGACTAGTGTCAGCAATCTCAATACCACCTATAATGCCAATCTACCGTCTGAAAAGAGTGTGAATAGACAGACAGCACATCCTAAGGAATGCTGTCCGACGTTTGTGCAATTCTTGGATTGCTTGTATCAGATATGGACACAATTCCCAACCCACTTTGAGTATTCTGATAAGTTATTAGTTGTGCTTGCTGAACATGCATATTCATGTCAGTTTGGTAACTTTATATTGTGAGTATTTGGGTTGCAATAGGCAAATGTGCTTGGTCACCTTCTTCTTTGCTATAGTTCATGCGTCAAAACGAACTCACACTGTGCTTTGTAGTAACTGTGAACGAGAACGTAATACCTTTGGTATACCCAACCCGGACAACACTGGCTATTTATCACTTCAAGAATCATCGCATTCAGTCTGGTCCCATATATTATCTAATGAAACCGAGTTTAAGAACTCCTCATACGTGGCCTCTTCATCATCCTCTAATAACTCTGTACAATATGGTGCTGGTGGTGGAACAATTGGATTGAACGGTGAACCTGGAACCGTCAGTCCCGATGGCGACATCTTGTATCCGTCCTCCAGTAATCTACGCTTCTTCTCGGGTCTGTATGCTCGAGATGGAGAGAATCAAGTCGAAGTGAACGAACGGGTGGAAACTGTTACAAAAGAGGCGGGTCTTGGCATACCATCAGCTTGGAGTCCTGCAGCAATGTTAGATTCGCTTGCTGGTCTATCAGTCAAATCTTCACAACAAGCAGTAATAGTAAAACCGCAGGAGATTCAATTGTCGAGTATCGAAGACGCTGGTGGGAAGGAACTGAAACCTGTTAGGGCAATAGACTGGGATCCGTTGACATCATAATACCATTTAAATCACTCACACGTAACAAATATTCATAGAAAGCACACAAATACACTTTAGCATCATGCCAGATATCACCCTTTCTGCACGCTTTGCACGAATTCCGTTCCCCTGATTTCTTGGCTTAAACCTTTTGACTTTGCAGGTTGCCGTTTTCCAAACATCTCAAAAAACACGTAGTGACCTAGGAACTATGGCATTATCTAATATAAGTCGTGAGATCAGAAGAAGTAAGTGTCTGTTCTTCCCGTTCTTCAATGGGTTTGGTGGTTGCGTGAACGTGATTTCTGGCATTCGGGGGTTTCACCATTTGGACTATAAGAAAACTGAATTTCTGCCGTTGAAAGCTAATTGTTAAAGCTAATTGTCTCAATAGCCTTCCAATCTATCAACTCCAAGGAACACAGCGAGCTTACCATTTGGCAAGCTTTTTGAGACATTTACATTCAACAACATCGTTATTTTAACAAATTGCTACCAAACGATAGGGTAAAGGACGAGAAAGAGTATGTCAAGTCCGCAAAGTCTTCTACCCAGCAAAAGAAAGCAGGTACGTTGGTTTCTCAAACCCAAATAATCTAGGGTGACATTTTGCGGAACGGATTCCACAACCGAAGTCGCAATTTGATCTGATATTTGCTCTATGTTACTCATTCTAAACTCTATAATAGCCTCAACGTATATGCAGAAATGGGCGAAGAAGGAACATGAAGACATTGCAGATATTACGGACAAGTTTTCTCAAGTTCTTGCTAAATTGGGTGATACGGAGCTGGAGGTATTTAGCGAATATCATTTACAACAGCGTCTTATTGATCCTGTTTTAACCGTGTTGTTTCATTTTAATAGTACTGTGACAATTACACCGCTTATCGTAAGACAGTAAAGGAGATTCTCAGACGTGAAGTGAGTGGTTGACATCAGCTTTAAGTTGCAATTTGCATAAGTGTCTTGTTTTCTTTGCTTGCTGACACTTCAAATCCCCATCTCAACAGGATGCCATGTACAATCTTCGTCAAAAGAGAAACAAGGCCCAACGTACCTACGAAACATTGGCCAAGAACGGGAAATCACACGATGTAGAAAGGGACGAAATGACTGCTGTGCAGATTCAGCTTGAAGAAGTGCAGGCCGAGTCAGAAGGCTTCAAGAGAAAAGTGCTTAAAGACGCGATACATTTGCAGATGGATGCGCTTGCTGATTTGGCCCAACAGATGTTGATTATTTCTACGTATGGCAAATATCTCGCTGGTAAGCATGTCGAAAGGCCGTGTTGTGGTGATGCAAGGTATCTCAAAGTTTTTTTCTCTCGTCGTCTAGATCAAATCCCACAGGGCAATCTAGAGCCTCGTCAACCACTCCCTAAATACCAAGGAGCACCAACGACTGCGGCTATAATGTCAGACTTCAAATCTGCCATGGTTGACCACAGAATCTCTCATCCCGCCGTTCAAGGAGCTTCACTGCCAAAGTGAGATTTTCGAATGAATTGCGAATGAATTTTCACCTAAATGAATTCATACCTGACTCATTCCCCTTGTTAATAGGACGCCAGCATTCGATGGCTTGCCAGCCATGTTCAAAGACACCGAAGATGACGAGCCAGGGACATTGGGACGCGCTGGTACCGGCAATGGATCTCAATTTACACCACCAATGTCACCTAAAGCAGACAAGGGCAAAACGCCCAAAAGATAGTGTATTCTTGGTTGATTAAATTCCTGTGATAATCTAGTACTTTGACATGCGTCAAGCAGCACAACATTTTTTGTAAGAAACAACCCTCGTTTCGTCTGCTCCAAATACAACTATGTGTTTCAATTATGTGGTATGTACATGTTTGGTAATGGATTCGAAAAGGATGGAGCTAGACCATTTGTCGAGACACGGAGACGGTCCTTCCCAAAGTGCTACCTTGCATGGAGTGGCTGGGAGCCCTGGGACTTACTGGTGCAGTCTCACTGATGCCGAATCCTTGTACCTCGTCCTTCAACGAGATGGAAAAGAGAAGATTCGCCATTGCACGTAAACTCAGCGTCAGAATGGTCATTTGGGCATCAAATAGGACTTCGTAAGTGGTGCTAGTCATGAGATGATGTGAGAAATGTGATTTTTTTTTGGCCAAACAACTCATTACTCACAACATGAGCAAAAACCTACAAGGTAACCGCACTGTTAGCAACGTTAATGATTGTAGAAGCTCTACTCATGTCTCCTACTTTAATGTCACATCAGTAAACAAGGACACCCAGATAGATCCATACACGGCCAAGAATGTCCGAAATTTGGCTTGCCTTGCCGTACACGTAACTGTCTTGCTATTCCCGACAAGAGTGTTAAGAGCATTCACAGCCTTCACCACCTTGGCAAGGAGAGACAAATCACAGAATATTGCAAGCAACTCCGTTGCAAAGATCAGAGTAAAGCATAGAGGCTCCCACATCCCATGAAACATGAATGAAGCTGTCCAAGGGGTAGGATTGTTCCAGTTGTGTGCGAGTAGAAGGTAGAATGGTGTCAGAACGAAGATTGGAAGGATGTATAGGACGGTGCAGTATTGGTTGAATCGGTCGGGATTGGGCGATTTGCTCCATGTGGCGTAGAGTCTGCAAAGAGATGTGTGTACGAGCGATGAGAGTCCGTACTACAGGTGAGTGGGGTTTCAAGTGTCAGGAAACGAAAATGGTTGAGACAATGGAAGCAACACTATGTGTTTCAAGCTTACCATGATCAATATAAACATGATGAACGAGAGCACAATGGTAGCCTGCAATGCCAATAAGTCGTGGGCTCCATTGTATCCCGTCAGAGTAATGGTGATGAATGATGCGATAAACATTAGCAGCGCGAGGAATTTCTGTCTTTCTTGGTCATTATATAGAATCGTCTTGTAGTTTAACGGCAGTCCGTAGTTCCACAGAGCTTCGATAAAATTAAATTCAGTTAAGTAAACATGAGGGTATGCATAGAAGATGGCAAAGGGCTACTTTGAACATTCACGAGCAGACCGATTCCACTGATGACATTTCCCAGTATCTATGGGGGAAATGTTACTCGATGCACATGTTGTACGTCGTCTTCATCAAATATCGTACCACTTGAGTGATAGATGCGCTCATAGCTGTCTCCGAACTCCTGGCTCCTCTGGAATTTGGAAAACTATTCAATAAAGTTTTAGTTGCCGCAGTTACCTTCAATCACAAGAGGAATTCCCTTACGGAATAGCGATCGAGGGAGATGCGTAATGGATGCTATGAGCTACACAGAGAAAATTCAAACCACGAACATTCATGATGTGTTTCTGTAGTTGTCGCTGTCGCAATTTGTTGAAGTGATGAAGATACCGTTTTGCTTACATCTCCCAGAGTAGAAGTGACGAATATGACATAATTCACTTGAGCTGACAGGGTGTGGTGATGTTCAGTGTATTCGATCGTTCAATAAAGTTTGTCGCGTCTTTGACATTCGTTGAGAGTTGAAAAATGTTGAAGCGATGAACAACCAACTGCTGGAGCTCACGAGGCGTATTAAGGAGCTCCAGGCTGGGAATTTGGCCTTAATAAATCAAGATGGTACCATAGATGCAGTCGTAAGTCTCGTACAGCATTGGGTTGACACGATGCGAGAATCTAACCAGTTCCATAACAATAGGTGGCAACCATTGCCAATTCACCGTCCCGATTCGAACGTCAACTGGCCGTCAAGCTGCTGATTCTCACCATATACGCATCGCCGAGTCCAGCAGGCTTGGATCTTACGACATCTCTGTCATCATTAATTGATAAAAACCGGATTGGTCTATATGAAGTACTGCATGCTATTATCAAGCATGCGAGAGCCAGTCAGATACGTGACGATTGGAGAGTAGTAATATCTATTCGTGCCTTTGGGGATGCATTGGCGAAGCATGTCCTACATCAAGACACGGTTTCTGATGTCGCATTCTTGAAAGTCGCCACTCAGGTTTTTAAATTGCAACGAGACTCGCTTGGGTATTATTTCGGTGATGTGATGAATGTATTTGAGTCTCAGACTTCACAGGTACGTTGAACCTTAGGCCTTGGAAACTACGTGTAAGCCAGTTGTGACGTTTTTAAAGTTGGTTGATGTAGGAACGAGGTCCCATCCCCTAATTAGACGCAAGTGTTTTGAGGTCGTAAGACGCATAGCTGAGATCAATCCCACCAACCTGGTATGGATTTCGTTCGTTCTGACGATCATGAGATTGACAATGCTGACTTTTGCTAGTCCAGTGCAGTGAAAGCTTTCTCAGCATACCTTGAAGTTTGCTATAAAAGTTCTTTTCAAATGTGGTGGTCGGCTATATCAGACGAAGACTACACTGAGATTACCTTTGACCATCCTCCGAACCAAGAACAACAGGACGAGTGGAAGACTGCAGACAGAGAGAGTCTACGACACGTTCTATATACTATTGGATTAGCCATACGGTCTTGCTTGATAGCTCGAGATGTCGAAGTTATAGGAGTGTTGCAGGAACTTGAAGCGAAACAAGGTAAATCGAAAAATGGTGATTTTTTTGCATCTTTGAATCTCATCTTCACCAAATGCAGCTATCCTGGCAAGGCGAGATCTGGCATTGGACTTGCTGACATTAAATACAGATCATGATGGACGTCTAATGGAATTCATGAATCTCGTCCAAGCAATCCACTTTGCATTGAAAACGGAAGTGGGCGCTTCGGTCGCCAAGTAAGCACAACTTCCTTACTACCACTTTATCGCAATACGCGCACAAACTGAAAATCATTCTATCTGCTGTAGATCCCTGCCACTTCTCTCACGTTGTTTGGCAACATGTACGCCTCACGATATGTTTGTTACATACGCCAACATGCTATCATATTCATCGTCCAGTATGGTTGATTTCTTGCTATCAGAAGAGACTGCTTTTCTGGAATTCTTGATCAAGTACTTGAGGTTTGCGTTGGAGGATATGAAAGGACTGACTGACACGTGTCTGTCGAGGTGTATTGATATAGATGAGATTGAGACCATGTTGAGATCCGTACGTACATCATTGATGACGCTCAGTTCACATGGTGAGGTCGCATTTGACGCGTCGCTCCTTCTTCTTCGTTTGGAGAAGATCTGCGACAAGCTGGAATGATCAGCGGCCTGAATGTGCCTGCATCTGTAAATTCACGTGTAACTCGCGCGTTAAATATATTTCTTTATTGTATTTATTGCTAATTATATAATCGTAACTATGTTCCTTCTTCACGTTCTGTTGGAAAACGGTCGGAGTTCCATTTAGTCATTTAGTCGTGACTACAAAGCAACTTCGAGAACTGCCACAAATTGAACGGCAACTGACAACTCTGGACTATCTTAGAAGAGTCTTGAACATCCTCTTACTGTATCCAAGGCGAAGTTGTTCTTGTCATCATGGTATGTGAAAGACGCGCTTGCTACGTGGTTTAAGCCAAATCGATTTATTTGATTGTCGTTGTCGATTGGTTTTGATATGGAGACCGCCAATTCATTTCAATGAATGAACTTGAAAGAATTGTTCCGTAAAATATGTGATTCCAATCTTGTTTGATGTTGAATTGGTCAATTGCACGTTGTGACATTTTGTCACAAAACACGTTTTTCTTTGGAATGATCGTGAACGTACCAAAACAGCATCCACACACCAGCTGAATGATTTTGGACATTGGAATTTTGCCGTAAAGCACGTTTCAAGTTCCTGAACTGATCTACAAGGAACTCGCTCTCACCAACCTCCATATCTTTCTAGTGCGGGATCTTCGGTATACAAACTTATCTGATCGAACGAGACCGCAAATACATCGTTGACGCTCTCCTCAATGGTCTTGCAAGATTGGAATACCGAGGATATGACTCGTCAGTCTTTGGTTGTACAGGTCGAATCTTTCGTCCAAATCACTAAAACCCACTCCAATCATCGTATAGCGCTGGCTTATGTATTGACGGAGACAATGATGAGACCCTCGTTTATCGTGAAGTTGGAAAGGTTGTGAATCTTCGTGCCACAATCGCCAAAGATGCGAAATTGAACCTTGACAAGACTTTCATGGTTCAATGTGGAATGGCACACACCCGTTGGGGTAAGAGGTGAAGAAATTAAGATCTTGAAAATCTCTAATCGTTTGTCCCTATGCAAAACAGCTACCCATGGACCACCAAGTGTCCGCAATTGTCACCCTCACTCCAGCGACCCAACGAATGAGTTCATGGTAGTTCACAATGGTATCATTACGAATTACAAGGACCTAAAGACATTCTTGGAACGGCGATACGGTGAAAACTCATTCACTTCTGAAACTGATACTGAATGTGTTGCAAAAGTGAGGTGTCGGTTCGAAGGTGATTAGTTTTCATGGAATTAACTAAGATTTCCCTCCATTTTAGCTATGCAAATACGTCTACGATCAACAAAAGCAAGCTGGTGTATCAATGAGCTTTACCAAACTTGTCAAGGCTGTTTGTTCTCAGTTGGTACGTAGTCACTCTCTACCTGTTCAAAAGCTTATAATGTTGCTAACAACTGTTTGCTTTACCTAGGAAGGAGCCTTTGCATTCATCTTCAAGTCTTCCAAACACTTCCCAGGAGAATTGGTCGCTTGTCGTCGAGGCTCTCCCTTACTCCTTGGTGTGAAAACAACCAGGAAACTCAAGGTCGACTTTGTTGATGTCGAAGTTGAAACAGACATGGCTTCCTGTACGTTAGCATATCTCAGAACTTTTCATTGTGATCAATTCTGCGCTTTGTGGCTGACGGACGTTCAACTATCCTAGTGGACACGGCTGCCAATGGTTTCTTGGGTGTTGAAGCTCCTCGCTTACGACGAACACAATCCAGAGCCTTCATGGCTGAAGATGGAAACCCAGAACCTATCGAATTCTTGTTGTCTTCTGATGCTTCCGCCATCATTGAACATACCAAACGAGTTTTATATCTCGAAGACGATGATATTGCTCACATTCATGACGGAGGTATGTAAAGAGTTGATTTCTCTGATTCTTTCCTCTTGATGATCTGACGCAAATGATCTCCAAATTTACAGAACTTCAAATTCATCGATTGCGTCGAGATGACACAATGTCTGCCATTCGTCCCCTGGTTGAATTGGAACAAGAATTGGAAGCCATCCAAAAGGTTTGTCCAACCGTGCTTCAGCACTTTGTCCTACCGTGCTTCAGACCTTCATTTTGCTGCTTGTTTTGCTGAGAAGTATCGTTTTGTAGGGATCTTTCGCTCACTTCATGCAAAAGGAAGTCTTTGAACAACCCGAGTCTGTTGTCAATACTATGAGAGGTCGTGTGAACTTTGATACCTACCGGTAAGTGTACTCTGATCATTACTCGTATTGGCTAAACAGATTGGTCGTGTGACGCTGGCGGTTACATGTATAGAAACAGCATTCAACTCCTCGGTGGTCTCTTTTTTGACCAACCGTTTCGTTACTTTCTAGAGTCATATTGGGTGGCCTTCGATCTCAATTGTCAAATATTCGACGAAGTCGACGAATCATATTCTGTGCTTGTGGTACTTCGTATCACAGTTGTGTCGCGGTAAGAAATGATTCTCAAGCTTGCTCGTCTGTCTGTTCTCGTCACAGCTCATCGCTTTTTTTCTTATCACATATTTCCAATTAGACTCGAGCTTTGTTTGCTGAATTAGTTGAAGTGCCTGTAAGTGTGGAGCTGGCTTCTGCATTCCTCGATGAACGTCTCCCAGTATTCCGTGATGATGTCTGCATATTCGTTTCCCAATCAGGTAGGCAGAAATCGGTTGCTTTTGTTGCACCGGCAAAACACTGACATATTTTTCAAACACTTGCTTCAAATAGGTGAAACAAAAGATACCCTCCTTGCTCTCGCATACTGCAAAGAACGAGGTGCATTGTGCCTAGGTGTTTGTAACACTGTCGGTTCTACCATCTCTCGTGAAACTCATTGCGGTGTTCACATAAACGCTGGACCTGAAATCTCTGTCGCTTCAACCAAGGTAATCAATTACCCGTCATGTTTTCTTATATCTTCAGCATATTTATGATCAACGTGAAACTAATTGGACCATATATAGGCCTACACATCTCAATTCATTGCCTTGACAATGATTGCTCTTCAACTATCTGAAGATCGTCTTGACAAGCAAGCACGACGAACCGAAATCATTGATGGATTGGCTGCTCTCTCTTCAAATATTCGAAAAGTGTTGGCTTTGGAACCTGATATCAAAAAGTACGCTACTGAATACGGAAAGCATGAAAACTTGATCTTGTTGGGTCGTGGATATCAAGGAGCTACTGTATTAGAAGGTCAGTATTTTGATGTCTTTTGGAAATTGTCCTATTTGCAGACAACAAAGACTCTAAAACCATTGCTCTTCGAAATTTAGGTGCTTTGAAGATCAAGGAAGTCTCGTACATTCACGCTGAAGGTATCTTGGCTGGCGAATTGAAGCATGGTCCTTTGGCTCTTATTGATGCCCTCATGCCAATCATAATGTGAGTTTTGATTGTTTACCCGTCTTCATGTTCCCATCCAGTCACCAATACTCAAACCAACACTTTTCACAACGCAGGGTGATGACCAAGGATCGACACTACGACGACAACATGAACGCCTTCAAACAAGTCACTGCCCGAGAAGGCAAACCCTTGTTGATTATATCTGAAACAGACAAGAACAGTGAATTCGCTCCATTCAACTCGTTACGTGTTCCCACTACCGTTGACTGCTTACAAGCTGTATTGAATGTGGTTCCTTTACAACTATTGTCATACCACGTTGCTGTCAACAAGAAGATCAACCCTGACAATCCAAGGTGAGTGCTGATGAAGTGTTTTAGGTCGTCAAGAATGAAATTAACGATTCTTCAACTCTTCGTTCTTAAGAAACCTGGCCAAGAGTGTCACTACTCAATAGAGTCCCATCGAAGGAAGGAAACAAAATAGAGGAGTAATTATAAAAAAGAAGAGAGAATCAGAATCGAGTCACTCGTTTGTATACATTTCGTCGTTTCAAAATATATCTGCATTTTTTAAAGAGAAATACGCGATAGTCTTTTATTGCACAGAGCAGTTTGAGATCGTGGACATCTTGTCGCGCGGGAAACGAAGGAACGCCATTGTGTCTTGGTTGACGGAGTTCGCAGAAGCTGACAGCTCAAATTTTAGCACGTCCAATCCTAACCGCAACAGGCAGATCGTATCAAGAATGAGCTCATCGGGAGCATTCATTGTCTCTTTGGCAACTACAGAAGATGAATTGTCAACGATGAGAAACATTAGACTGAAAGTGTTTGCTGAAGAACAGGTTGACAAGTTTGGTTTTCTGCACAGATCCAATGCAAGCGATCAATCTCAATTCATCTTACTCTTATATTTCTATAGGGATACCCTCCAGAAGGAGAATTCGACGACTACGACACTCACACATTCACCAAATATTTCCTATGTCATCCAGCAGACAAGGATGCAGCATCATCAAGCCTGGGAACATCACGACTCGTAAAGAAGACTACGATACGAGCTGATGATGATCCAAAAATCATCAAGTATTGGATTGGCAGGCTAGCAGTACTATCGTCTGCAAGGGGGTTAGGACTTGGGAAGCGGTTGCTGCGAGCCGCTGAAGAGTACTTTATAAAGAATGTGCTTGATACGATACGTGTTGCAGATGGACAGAAAGTCTCGTTGTATCTGGAAGCTCAGGTGGATAAAAGAGGGTTTTATGAGTCGCTTGGGTATACTGCTGACACTGGAGAGACGTATTTGGATGGACATATATTGCATTTGTTGATGCACAAAGACATTCAAATATTAAAATGAGGAGAGTTGACTCCGCGATACTACGTCGAACCTCATGTGAACAATGTACATGTATACAATATGATATGACATAAATTCTAAAATCTTATATGAATGTGCATATCCTTGCAGATGCTTTTCTGCTTGACTTTGATTCAGTATTCCTCACATTGTGGGTATTCCTCAGACACGCTTAGCAATATCGTCTTCAACGCCCAACATCTCCTCACCGACAATGTTCTTACGACCTTGTCCTTTGAGCGTTGCTGTATTGTGTGCAGCTGCCACGAGCCATCTGGTGCAAAAAAGTTCGAGGTCAGCACACAAAAATGGCTGTAACTCCAAAACATTCTGCTGATTGCAAAACCGTGATTTCGTACCTCTTACGACGACGTCGTCCTTCAAGAAACACCATGGCTTCATCATAGCTCTGAGGAATGACAGCTTTCAGAGGACTTGCAGAGTCCTTTGCCACTCCAAAAGTTAGATGAAACTCGTTTGACGTGTCTCGCGTTCCTTGAAGTGGGTCAATGATATCGATCTTGACCTAAGTACAACAGATCATCAGTCTCGTGGAAGATGGAGGAACTATGAAAGTGTCTATGACAATGCAAACCTCACCTTGATTTGGAAGCTTCTACTAGGAGCTCCCGGTGAATAAACAACAAGACTCGACATCGACAACAGCGCTCCAATGTGTACTGGTCGGAGGAATGATATATCATCCAAGCAGATGAAAAATGGTGCTGATCGCGCAAAAATTAACGCATTCGCGAATGCTGGAAAAGAATTTTTAGCGTTTTGTTGTTGTGGTCCGACTACTTTTGTTTTAGAATTCCTTGCTTACTTACCTAATTCGTATGCAGACTGCATTAAGAATCCTCCAAACACATTTCCATGAATATTCCTTTCGGATGGGTGACATATGACGACTTTTGAAATTTCAGTTTCGTCCATGAATATGACGTTTTCTGGTTTCTGATCCGAGAACTGGAAACGTCAATGTTTGAGAGACAAGCGACACGTAATAATCAGTTCGATATCAACAACAAAAAAAAGTTTAAATCACCTTCTTAGATTGCAAGTGCAGGTCATGCACTAGCACCATCTCTTCCACTGACGGTGGCAACTTTGTAAGTGCAGTTGAAGCGGCTACTTGTTTGCGAGCTTTTGCTTCAGCACCAGACTGAAAGAGTCTTCGTTCTTCATCAGTTTCCAGTTTCAATCCATTTCTGGACGGGGCAAACGTGTGAACATTCAGCGAGAATCAGCTTCAAGAAGAGTGTGCCAATCTTACATCTGAGCAGCTTTGCCAGTCACAGGATCTCGAGCCACCATGATAAACTTGGCTGCGAGTATGGGGTTGCTCTCAATGTTTTCCGGCAGCACATTCTCAGAGCCTGGTGGTGGTGCTCCGGTTGGTAACGAATCGACTGTTATTGATACCTCAAGTGAGCTGCTTCCAACAAATGTCACAAATCCACTCATTCGGATATCTTGATCAGGCGGTATTCGTTGTAACATGTCAATACGATCCACCGATGCTGTCACTCTAAAAACATGGAAGGGTGTTGAGTCTGTTGAGGTATAGATGCGCTTCTTTGAATGCTTTAGACAAACAAGCTAAACAACTGACATTGTGGGAGGCACCGTATCCTTGTTACCATCATCAGCATGCAAATAAGCGATTGAGCCAGCCAGAGCATCTAAATCCTCTAATATCTTGCTGATACGGATTGTACCAAATGCGTTGATGTATTCTTCCCGTACTGCTGGGTCTGTCTTGAATCGCAAGTAGTCTGTCATCCAAGCTCGTATTAGTTAGACAGTCTTTTGAATATGAAAGCAGACATCCCTACCTGCAACATAAGAATCATGCATCTTCTTGCTTTTTAGACGTGGCACAGTTGTCGTCGTTGTTGAAGCTCCAGTTGGTTTGTCAAGGTTGAGATTACGATTCATCCATAACCGATAAGTCAAACTGTTTCTGCTTTTAAACGGCGGCAAAACAGAAAACAGCTTTTGGGTTGTATTCTTATTGTCTGGGGGAGTTGCATTCTTATTGTCAGAGGGAGAAGAACTAGTATCTTGTTTTGCTGATGTCGATGTCTTGTCGTTTGAGGTGCTTGACAGTCGGGACTGTACGAGATTCAGATGGCATATATTACATGGCGAGATACGCCTGATGACACGACTTTTTGCCACGAATGACATCCAGCCTACTGAAAGATAAATGAAGCAAGTTTTTGGTCAGTCATTTCAATCCCGCGCGACAACGCACTGCAGGCCAACTACTAGCGATATCTGACACGATGACTTACCTTGTAAAATGGCACAGAATGGTGTGCCGGCTCGTCCTCAGTTCAAGACCTCCTTTAGTGGGAACACGCGAAAACAAGTTTGGAGCATGATGAAAATATAGGCATTCAGATCATGAGCTCTCGTTTATAACGTAATTTACGCAGCAATTATAATCCAGCAGACATTCGTTCGCAGTTCCAAGCCCGTTGACCGTCTCAAATTTGGTGTGTGCGCCTGTTTAGCGAAAACTTTACAAAATCGTACCCAATCCGTTCGGCTACTGATTACATCTTGAAGAAATAGCGAAAGTTGAGAAAACTGATACCAGGAACACTTTCGGACCTGCTCTTGGATTACCTGAACGATTAGATCAGGCTGTGAGCTAAATTGCAAATTCAAGGAACTTTGACAACTTGTTCAAGCACCGTCAGGCTCTTGTTCAAGCACCGTCAGGTTTAGTCATGAATGCATCCACATGTACCAGGAAGATATCTATATTCTGGTCTTCAATTTTTACAGACACAACGCTCATTGGGACTGGCACCCAGTTTTTAGGCTCAATTTGCCTTCCCTTCCAACTGAATTGACACTCCTTTCCTAGTTTTGACAAGCGTAAAGCCAAGACAGACCCCCAAAACTATTGACTTGACATGCGTCTTCAAGCTAGTACGCACGCGGTTAGCTCCTGCGTCCTGGATCTGCCATGCGATTCGCGAAGTGGACAATAAATTCTTGCACTCGGATTAACCAATCCAATCGACTTCCGCAAAGGAGCCTTCTTTTTCTCTTTTTAGATTCGAGGCTAGGCTAGGAGTGCCACTTGACCTTGTACACCATCGCACCATCGATTTCAAACTTTCCTAAAAACACCGACACTTTTACCAACTTCTTTCCTGACTTCAAATCGATCCGATCTACATCTAAACATTCAAATGGCTTCAGCTGGACACTGTAAGTAGCCGTGCCATGGTGACGTTGATGCATTCTTGCTTACTATCACGTTCTGGACTGGTGTAACTTTGCCACGACAACCAAGCTAAAGCTGTTTTTCTCGCTTTTAGCAATCTACCTTGCTTTCATCGAAGTATGCTCTTGCTTATTCGTCACAGTTAGCCTCATATGTCCTCCTGATTCCAGCTTTTGGTGCTTCGAATGCAATACACGCAAAACAAGACTGACACGTTGTTCTCTATAGAACGGTGATGATGCCGCATTAAAGGCATTCTTGCCATCAATGGCCAAAGTTGATGGAATCACCACCGCTTCCATCGTCAAGAAGGCCTTCGAAAATGGCGCAAAATCTTCTCATGTTTTGTTGCAACAGTTTGCAACTGACGCCCAGCTGAAGGCCTTTATGGTATGTCAGTGTTTTTATAATGCAACGCCAGATTTCCAATTCGCCAGCTTGTCGTTTTCCAGGGTTTATGTTTCATGTCCCGCGAAAAATGTTTGGGACGACGCAAAATCAATAAACTCACATATCACATCATGTTGTAGCCCAAAGCTGCTGCCTTCTACGCAGCCTTCAAGCCATGGTTGGCTGGTGGTAACACTCTCTTGTACGTCCTCCTTGTGTTTTATCCCGTTGAATGTGTTCTCGAAGACTGTTTCACATTGCCACCTCCAAACTCACACACCATCCCCCATTCTCAAGGCACCGTGACGACAAAGCTGCCCCAGCAGCCGGCGACGTCCTCTCGATCGGTGTAATCCTCGCCAAGCCTGGCACCCCCGAACCAAAAGCCGAAGACTACGCCCACATCCAACACGTAATGGCCAAAGTACCTGGATACAAGCGATTCGCTTTCTACATCAATTCCGAAAACCCTCGTGCTGCAGTATCCATATCTGTGTTTGACAATCTCGCAACTATTGCTACTGTCGCTGCTGATCCAGAGATTGTTGCCCTTCAAAAGACTGTTCATGAGGTACGTGTCTTTTCGAGTATTACGGATTTGTTGTGTTGAGTGCATGCTGACGGTTGCGACATAGGCCGCTGAAAGTGAAGGAACATTCGTTGGTATGTACCTTGGAACGTCTTGTTATAGCATCTCATTGGAAGAAAGCTCACCATTACATTTTCGTCACCAGGTCAAGCGATTGAAGCCATCATCAACTAGAGATACATGTCTCGAACTATCCACCTAGTTTGTCTTGTCTGGTTGTTTCCATGAGCCCGTGGTCTCTATAGATGTCAACAATATAGAACATTGACCCACCAAACAACTTTCGTGTCGTGTATGCGTTTTAGAAAGCTTATACTGAATTTTAAAAGAAGATATGACTAAGTGCGGTAAAAAGCAGTGACATTTACAAATGCGTTGCGTAAAGAAAAAGGGACTGAAAACTGTCCCATTCCAAAAACTCGACGAGCTTAAATCATGCCTCCTTATCAGTTTCCTTAGCCGTCAGGCCCAACATTCTCAGGAAACTAAAAAAGAGTAGATGGAGCAGAATTAACGCAATTGATCAAACTTTGAAACAAACAAAAACAGGGGAAAAGGGTGGGATTCACAGAAGGGACAAAGAGATATGTATATGTCATCAATGTTGTACAGAAGGGCCCCCAGATGTAAAATCAAGTAAAAGATAATATATTACGTACGCGCTGCTCACGGTCAGTCCCAGATAAAACCATGACGAAATCTATGAACGTAGAGAAGAATGCTCTGTCAAAGAGTACAACAGGATGATTCAACAAAGAATGCATTGAAGTAGTCGTACGTACCGAGAATATCGAAAAGGCCGGCCTGGTAGACGATATCGGAGCAACACCTCGACCACCACTTCCTGATTTACTGACAGTCCTACTCTTTTCAGACACAGCGGCGGCGGCGGCAGCAGCAGCGGCACTACGTGCTTCTTCCAAAAGTTTCCTGCTGTGTGCCACCTCAACTTCCAAACTCTTGATTCTGGCATTCAATGAAGAGATCTCGAGACTTGATTCATCCATAGATTGTTTTGATTTGGTTGACAGAGCACGTAATTCATCTCGTTCTTGTGTCAGCTGGACTAGATCTTGATTTATAGCTGCGTTTTGAGATGTAAGGCGTTGTATGTCTGATGCTCCTTCTTCCGATCTCTTCTTTTCAATGTCTCGTTCCTATATGATTTGAGTCAGCGTGCTTTGATGAAATTGTGGGGGCAAGTAAACAAACGCACACGAAAGTAAGTGAATGTGAGATCTGGTCGCACTTTGACAAACGCACCTTTCTGACAATGTCCATTTCTTCATTCAACCTCTTGCATTTATCCTTCCACTCTTCCACATCCTTTACAAACGCATCAACTCTTGATCTGGAATCCACCAATTCACTCTTTATCATGTCAACCTGCTGAGTCGATCGCTCAACCATTGCTTTATATGATTCGATTTCTCTCAGAGCCGATGTATGTTTCTCAGTCCATGAATTGATTTCGGCGGTATGTGCTGCTTTTAATGCTTCAGTGTTGCTATTGTCGTTGTTGGCTGGTGTTGATGTTGGAATTGCGGGTAGTGCGTGGGTTTCCAGATTGGTCAATGTTGATTTCAATGCTTCTAGCTGTGCGTTCGTTTGCACAGCAGCAGCAATCTCGGCCTAGCAATGAATACTCAATTAGAATGGCGGTCTAAGACGACGATTTTATTTGCCACCAACCTCGACTTTTTTGTTCATGGTATCCAGTTTCTTCCTGTTGAGTGTCCTACGAGGTGCAATGGTGTCAGTATACCAAAGCCTCTTGTAAAGAGACGCTGATGCTTTGACATACATCTTGGAAGGATCTCCCTCGACAGGTTGAACGACGGCAGTTGAAGCTGCAGGGTTGATGCCATCCACTAATACAACAATCTTTCCTGAAACCTTCTGGTACAGAACTAGGGGGAAAGTGCAAGAGTCAAACGCGAACACGGAGAACCGTATACATGGTACAATGCATACCAGATTGACCATCGTCTGTCATGATATCAATACCAAATTCCAAAATATCGCCCGTCTTGAGCTCATGCGGACTAGATTCTTGTCCTTCCTCACTCAACCGCACCCCATTCACGAACGTTCCGTTTGAACTCTTGGCGTCTTTTATATACACCTTGAGTAGTAGTGTTAGTATAACACGTGTGAAGAGTATGTGAAGTAAGCGAGCTCTACCTTGCCACGATCAAACCAGACTTCAGCATGTGTTCGTGATAGTACTTTTGAGTCGAATATTCCATTGCCGGCCTCAGCGGGTGCCTTTGGCCCGAGTTTTCTACCAATCTTTATAGGTTCAAACAAGTCCAACTTTTTCGCATCAAACGTATCGTTGAGCGGTTCAATGACAAGACTAGAGAAGGTGAAGGGTCAGTTGAATGATGAATAGAGCTGGTTGAAAATACGGATTGGATCTGTAGAAATCCGTAACAGAACGCATCCCTCCCGCTTTCAATAGTCAACACGACGATTAAGTGATCAACTTACGTTGGAACTTGTTCAAGAGCCTGTTTGTTGGTGGTAAACTGCTTCATCTGTTGGCGGTGCATCGCGCTCAACGTCGACGGATTATTGGCACTTGGGGTGGGCATCTTGACTGTTGATCTTGAATGTTGTTGATTTTGGTGAGATCATATTCACGGTGTCTTTGAACTAGGTCCCTTAATACAACAAGACGCGATGCTAGCTGTATAATACTATATTACTTATAGAATTCGGCGTTTTTCTCGTGTGAATCTCGCGGTGGTGGTGAAAATCGATTTAGCCTAGGAACACCTACATTTTTGGCAAAGATTTCGCGTTCTGTGGCGATTTTATCTGTACATCAGATTTATACAATGTACTGATTCCTCAAACACGCCGCTTCTTGAGGCTTCTTGACAAAACAAGTTGGTTGCCATCGTCACTCATCCTAAACATAATCCTAAACTGACATCATTGGCTGAACTAGAAGTGGTTTATAGACGAAATATAGGAGTAACGACCGCTTCATTGCCATTGGTAAGTGCTATCTCCTTGTTGATTCTGCTCCGGAATCCCTATTGACATCACAGAGCTCACATCCATCAAACCCGCTAGAAAAAAACGAGTTTTACCAAGGCAACGTATATACAAGATGGTCACCCAGGATCATCAACACAATGATTTTGATCATATGAATGAGCACACAGGGCCTGATTGTCAATCTTGTCCTTTGGTTGCCATTGAAGATCTCTCGTCAATCATCAATCGCCAACAGCAACAGCCAGCATTCAAACAAGAAGAACAATATAATAATAGCACTAATATCATACAGCAACCATCTCTTTTTCTCAAAAGAACATATTCTCAAAACTATACGTTGCCAAACACTCCCAATAGTAACAGTAGTACATCCCCTATTCCTCAAGATCAACAAGAGCTACCAAAGAAGTGTGGTAAACGACGCAAGACATGCCAAGCTTGTCTGCCTTGTAGGAAGAGCCATGTCTCTTGTGACTCGGCACGACCGTGCTCAAGATGTATAAAGAAGGGGTGTGAAGACTCTTGTGTCGATGCTACTCCAAAGAAGCCTACAGTACAACAAGCGTGCGCTGGATGCCCATTGCTCCCATCGTCATTGACTAGGGATGCTGTCGGAACAGTCAAGATTGCTCAAAACCAGTATGGGAAGCTAGAAGCTCAAATCGTTCCAGTGAGTTTTGACACGTGTGCTGTCAAGAAGTGGAGTTTCGTTCGGACGTTCAGTTGACGTTTTCGCCATGTCGCACGTTCAACTCATGTCTCTTCCTCTGCTTTAGGCACGAAGGGCTCAATTGCAACCACTGCTCCCACTACCAAGTATGCTGTATCAGTCGCCTCCTAGATTACAACAACAGCAGCAACAACAGTACGTATTACCAAACATAATACCGAGAAACAACATACGACCAAACATGCAACCAATGCCCAATATCGCACCAAACATGCTACCGTCGTTGCCACCACAATATCTTCCGGCGGATATGACACAACCGTCATCCAATATACAGACAATAGAACAGATACTAGAACAACTGCAACAACAACACCTACAGCAACAATCTACGCAAATACCATCTATAACACCTCCTATAACACCACCGTCTACAATGACATCATCCGCATCAACAACGACAATGAATCTCCCATCCGCATTCATAAACAACTTGCCAGGAAATCAAGGTCAAGCTGTCAATATCTACAATTTTGACGAGACTCTAGATAAGTTATTACTAGATGTAGAAGACTTGGGAGAGCCGTGTGCAGCCGGTGGAAGGTGTGATACGTGTCCGATGGCTGCATTAGAAGATTACCTGTTGAATCTCAATAATAGCGAGGAGAATAATTGTTATACTGCTGATGCTGACTCGGGCATTGTCTTGTTTGATGATGTGTTCACGTCTTGGGATGGTGGCAAAACATCATAAAAAGGAACTTTGGGGTTGAGCAAGATATAATAGAACAAGTGTATGATTTCTTTCTCTTTCTTTGTACAGATTTGAGAATATACAAACAGTAAAACGGTATATGAAACAATGGTTAGGTTGAATCTTATTGTCGTCATTGACCAACGTGTCTTGTACATGAGGGAGCTCAGAAGATAGTCGACCCGCTGTGACTTCGTGATGACCACATCCGTATGCAAGATGGCTACACGTCAGAATACCACTTTGTCACGGTACTATGAAGCTTCTTTGTCAAAAGTTTATAAAATATATGAGCAGGAACTGGCTCACAAACTAATCGAGTTCAAACATGCGGTTGAGCTGTAGAACGTGTTTCTGTTCCCCGGTCATTAAAAAGCTATCTCTTCATGAACCAGACGCTCTAGTCGTTCAAAATGGAAAATCCGTCGCAGACCGATCTGCTAGTACGCCTTCCGATATGTGTTGATGGAGCGACCGTGCCCTTAATGCTCACGGAGGTGGAGCCTAATGAGTGTCCAGATGAACTTTTAGATCTCCATAACATACTAGAGACTGTGAGTACCGTTGCGATGTTTCATTCTCTTGAAGCTCTTCACACGAGAATTCAAACTTCTGACGTCGCTGAGTTCATGTATCTTCAACGTCTCCCTAGGCCTTAAACGAGAGTTTGTCTGAGAATCTTAAGTAGTTGTCGCGATGAATCCGGTAGCCGTGGGGTTTCGAGGAAAGGATTTCTGTTGCAGCATTTCCATAAAGAGCGACACACAGAACTAGTGGCGATAAAGACACGAAAAGACAGCGACGAGACGTCCGACGAGGTATGGATACTCTTCGTTTGGTACCAGCCATTTTAGTAGAGATATTCGAACTTTGAGCATATTCGGACGAACAGAACTGCAGCAATTGAAGTGTGTTTTAACGTGATTTCAGATTTTGCAGTGAGTACAACGTTGAACAATTTATATTTATTCTCTTAAAACGCGTCCTTGTGACATTTTTTGACAGTGGCAATGTGTGCTTTGTCAGGAGCGGAATTCGAAAAAGACACTACTTAAGCAAACGCCTGTCGGGAAAATTCCTGACATTGGAAAAACATGAGGATGAGGGCAGACTGCTCTGCTGGGGTTCCCCCAGGCAAGAGGAAGACTCCAGTTGCGGTGAGCTACCTGATACTGCTGGTGTTGTGTGGAGAAATCCGGGCTCCTCATGGTATCTTCAGGACGGGATGGTAGATACTTGGTTTGCAATTTATTGCAAATTCAGACAACGTCTTCAAGTCTATGAGTCAAAGTCGGTACTGGCAAGTCTTGCGAAATGGGGTATCCGGTACTACTGCCGGTAGGGAGCAACAGGTTTAATCCGTCTCCGACTTCGTTACGTCGCAACTTTACATTTTTGTGAAGAGACTCGCTGCCTGTGCTTATGGGTGTTTAATGAGGGCACGAGTGGTAAATAGATCTTTTTTGAGGTCTATTGTAGCTACAATAGCTTTGATCTAGCAGTTAAGCGCCACTTGGGTGATAATGGGCCGACGACCAGTTCCCAGCCTGGTGTGAAAAACACAGAGGATCACCAATAGAAGCATCAATAAAATGGAATTGTTACTCAATATACGTAATATATTTGCTATTATAACTACATACGTATCTTCTTGGCCTCTTGTTGATAGTAGACCACAAGTTGAGAAATCAAGATGTTGTTTATAACTCAACAGGATGTTGCAAAACACTAAATCTAGGAGCGGGATTCGATTCATTGATGCCCTTAAAAGGCAAAGCCTCTACCGCATTACCTCGCCAATCGTTCCTTAAACCGTAAAGCGCATTTCTTGCAGGAAGACCATTTTATCAAGGCGCAATAGAAGATCACAGTCCACCTCTACCACAGTCATCAGCGAGATATTCTTTATTTGAAAGAATCCGTTGGTCCGGATTCCCACTAGTGAGCATTGGTTGAAATGGACGTCTCGCGCTGTCGACCACCAAAGAGAATCGTCTTCCTGCTCAGGCTGACTCTGGTATTCGACTGGTCTGGCGTTCGTCTCGTTTGATAGTGTATACGCTTCAGCACAAACGTCAACGTCCGACACAACCTCGCGGATGAGCGCATTGCTATGATAGAACAAGTTTATGATTCATTGTGCAGTCGGACAATATACAAGCAGTATAACAACGTATACAAAAGATCCAGTTTTTAACGGTGCTGTTGCGCCCTGGGATCGTTTCCGTCGTTCCATGCAATGTCACGAGCTGTATATTGTACCAAAGGGACGTCATAAGGTAAGCGAATTGGAATGCGAACGATGTTTGACTGGCTCTTATAGGGCTGACCGTTTGGGATATTAAGCCAGAGTGATTCTGGAAGTGCTACGGGAGTAGTGTTGACCATTGTGACTTCGTTGATGCCAGCGTCCTTAGTAGAAAGTGTCGTGTAGAAAGTGTCGTTGGTAACTCTCTCTGATTCGAGTCCTCATTCACGTTTCTCTTACCTCGAAGAGCTGTGGATAAACCAGGACCCCCAATTCAAACGACCTTATAAACAGCTGGCTCTTGTCCTTTTCCAGCGATCCCCAGGCAGCTTTAGACAGATTGTGCGAGCCAAGATAGTGCCATGCGATACTACCAGCTCCATTCACTCGTGTATATGTTTTGATATGTGGCATAGCAGTATATCGACCTTGATCGCGGGACTGCCAGCGATGCAATATTGGTTGAAGGTAATTTCGTTGCTTAGACCAGTTCTAAGATGATCAACAAAACCGATTGATTCTCGAATGGCGAAGCTCTTCAACAAATGGACATACCTCTCCGCTTAGCCGCACAGATTCACCACCATCAACACCTTCAAGACTGGAAAAGTGGAGAGAGTTCACTCCGATGATATACAGACAGAAACGTACTCGAGAGAGCAATCATCATATTGGAAATTGGCCCACCTTGTAAGAATGTCTTCTACAGTTGGATACACCAACTTCAAATCCGGAAGACGAGAGGCCTGCTTTGCTAAAATACCACTGTTCAACGTAGTAGATTGTGACAAGGCCCTGCGGAAAGTTTCCTTCAGCCATTCATCGTTGCTGCCAAGTGATCCCATAGAAGAGTACTGAGCAATAATGCTTCCTTCAGCTTCAGACCTAAGAAAGATAAAGCAGGGGTTTTAGCTTTCATAGCTCTGCAACCAAAAAGACGGACCCACCCAACATCCTTAAGCACATTTGCCATCCTCCCAATACCCCATTTGTGCAAATCACCGTTTTTATGACGACCTGGTATACTTCCAATGAGCACAGCTCGACAGGGGCTTAAATCATACTCCTTGATTAGTTTACACCATGACGGTAGTACCGTTTTATATGAGTCGGCTTCGAAATATGAAATCAAATCCCGCTCTAAAGAATAAACAGAAGGAGGCAGAATCAGATACTTTGTTTTCGAAGTGCCACTTCACAAAGTCTGACCCGCAAATCAACACACTAGTTATCATACCAAAGCGAGAAGCTGCTTGCCCAGCACTTTTCCGCTTGAGAGGTGGCGAGATCCAAGCTCCTTGCGATTTATTAGTCCAGTCGCGAGAGATCATGTTTGCAGTGTGTATAACGATACGAAGAGTGTCATCTTGAAACTGAAGTACCATTGCCTTTGTGTGATGAGTGCCTACATTCAATCACCAAACAAAAAGTAAATAAATACATCGAGCATCATGCATCGCCGGATACCAAACCTGCCGTAAGCATCAGGAACCTCAGCTCGTCTAACCTTCACATTGTCACCCCAGCTCCTCGGATCAGGCTCAACATTCCTCATCCCATGAATGATGTATATAGGCACATGTCTTGATTCAACTGGAATCTGGTTCATAAACCAGTCGAGTTCAAACATAAAGTTGAGTTGAAGCACTCGTTGCAATGGTCCATTCATTGACAAGATATCTCGTAATGAGGGACAAGCTCTGTTCGTCCAGCTTGGGAGATCTCGAATACGTAATAGACGGAGTCCCGAGTCTGCTACGCCTTCCAATGCTTGACGAAGTGGCATTGTAGGTGTTGGAGCTACGACTGCGGTGCTGTTGTTGTCGGCAGGTGGTAAATCCAAATGAATGTCCAAATGTGTATTGATTTCCTATTTAAATATGATGTGAAATGTCAGTTCCTCATGATGTTCCTTCTGCATGAAGCTTTGCTGTCAAAGTCCCAAAAATCAAACCTCAGATGCGACACTTGACTGGCATATTGGACACGTCACTAGACTGAAAAGAGAATAGATCTTAGACTTTGCTATCGTATTACGACAGATCTCGTATTCTTCATCAACAAAACACACAAGTTCTCGAGAAACCTTACTCATTTGATTCTGACTGTTTTGGTCTTTTGGTTTCTGAAACCAGAATAAGATCGTCATCATCTGCTACCCGTCGCTTTCCGTTAGAAGAACTCATGGTGATTTCCTTTTCTTAGTAGCGTGGTGCAATGCTTCGTCGAGCTATTTGGGCGTTCTTGAGTTGTTGAGCGTCGAATTCGACAGTGACTCTAATTTCGAGCTTTCAGACGAGCAACCAAAATAAACAAGGAAGCTTAAACTCTCATCTGAAACCATATTTCTGATATTTCTCAAAATGCTCTCTTTCTACAAGTAGCAAATCTTCAAGAATACACTGTTTATACAAATTTTGATCTAGTCCTCACCAGTATAACATTGTCGTCATTTTTCAGCAATCGTTTACTTCTATTCGTGCTCATTGCTGTTAGTCGTCCTATCAGATGCTGCTAAGATGATTCAAGGTACGATCAGTTGGCAGTCACTGACGAGAGTCTTGAAAGAACTGACAGGGAAAACACATTTCCATGTCCGATTTGTACATGTAGTTCTGCAGGTTTCAGAGTTAATCTATTTCAAATTAGTTCACAATAAAATATTCACTGGAGCACCATCTTCATGCGCTCACTCATAGACGACTGTTGTAACTCAAATAAGGAAGATCAAGACCCTTCCCATCTAGTTCTTCATGATCGTCGATACCAAGCCATCTGAGGACAGTTGGCGCCAAATCCACTGCTGATACATCCCTTCTACTCTCTCTATCACCCACACGATACGGACTGGCGATTGTCTTGATTTCGTGCCCCTTGATCCACGCAACCAAAAAGTATTCTCGTTCATGCTCATGCTTTCCGCCATGACCACCTTCATCAAGATGTCCATGATCTGTGGTGAGTAATATCTATGTGTGGTTTCTTCGTTGGTATGGTACATTGGGGTTGATTGGAGGCTCTGCCCAGCATACCAGCCAATGTTCTGATGCAGGCCGCGAGTTGACTGCATCCATCAGTTGTGCTACACATCCGTCAGCAATTTGAATGGCTCTAAATTAGAGAGTTTCCTTGTGAGTTTCTGTAACAAGAATAACAATGGGTAATCAAAGAGCAATTTCATTGTACAACACCTTGAGTATTTCGGCGAAAGTGCACCATAACCATGCCCAGCGATATCGACCACACCAACGTATGCGAAACTGACGTCTGGCGGTGATGATGACCGTATCCTATCCGCAACAACCTTGGTGCATATAGGATCGATCTAGAAATGCGAAAAATGAGACAGGGCCTTGCGTGTAAAATGATGTTGGACATAAGACAGTTTGAGGGAAACTACCTTATTGTAGGTATGATGGGTCTCACCATCAAAGTTGCTCTTTTGCACCAAGTCACTAAATAGCGGCCCTCCTTCAGCTTCCGTAAACGTTCCCAATGGAGGCCAAGACAGACCAGCGTGTGCTGAGCGTCCCGATTTCACTGCACGTGTCAAAACGTCCGGGTACTCTTGATAACGGTTATCAAAGAATTTGTTCTCAAATACACCGTGTTTTTCAGGAACCGTGCCCGTCATGAGAGTGCTCCATCCCGGTCCTGATAATGTCTTTTCCTCTGCAGTAGTAGGCCAGTAAAGATGATGGGACAGCCCATCCTCAAACAATTGGGAAATGTTTGGAGCAATGTCACAATTTACACGATCGAAGCGCAATCCATCGATGCCAATGATGAGGACTTTTGGTGTCTATGGGGCACATCAACAATTTAAGAATTAGTAAGAGAAATCAAGACGGGTCCATTTTCGAAGGTGGGGTTCAAAACCTTCACGCACCATCCCAACAAGCAACACAAGTCAACCAATTCAAGTTTACTCTTTGGAAGATTTGGAAGATTACCGGAATTGCACCTTCAACAAGGCAAAAAAGCACCTTCAGCCCTCTATCCTTCCAAGTAATTCCAAAGCTCTCCGCGTAGCTAACAAAGTTAAAACGATAAAGCACACGAATACAACATGGATCCAAACAGTTGGACTGAAAAGGTATGAGATTCCTGTGATTCCGTAGCTTCTACTTCGTGCATTTCATAACCTCAATCACACCTTCTTTTAATAGGACGCCATTCCTCGTGAACTTGCGTCGAAAGACCTGGTCTTTATCTCTCAGTACACCCAGATCTCGGATGAACGAAAGCTCAAGGACCATATATACTCAGTATGGCGTGAAGCAACCAACAAATTCCACGTCTATGGTTGCATCCGAGGTTTGTTCCCTTGCAAGAACGTGTTGTACCAAAACAGCAAGATCTCACCACTCCGAATCTCCTTTTTACCTGGCCCTTAGACCTCAAATTCCTGTCTCCTTGGATTCGTGAAGATCCGTCTTATATGAAGCTGATTGAACGCAAAGATCTCAAGCAGATGAAGCTACTTGATGCCGGTTGTGCTTTTGGGCAAGATGCACGTCAACTCATTCTTGATGGCCTACCAGCAGAAAATATCACATGCGTTGATGTGGTTGACTCTTACTGGAACATGGGACTGAAGCGTGAGTTTCGCCAACGATGAATGCACTGCAAGTCGCTAATCAACCACAATTGATTCCAAATACTAGTGTTTATGGACGAAAATACACTCAAAGTACGATTCTTGGCTGGCAACTTTGCCGCCACGAATGATACGGATGAACTTGCTGTAAATCTAGATACTCTAGGTTTGACTGGATTTGATTACGTCGTCAGTGATGCAGGTAAGCGGACGTCCTTGCATTCACCAGTACCGTTTAGCAATGAGACGTCATAAGCTTGAAACTTCAAATACGGATAAACACTCAATCAATCCCTTAAAGTCCTGCATGTCTTGTCCAAGGAACAACAACGCAACTATCTGGCTCGAGCTAAACGTGCGCTCAAGCCATCTGGTACTCTTTTTGGTCGTTGTGCTGGACACATGAATGCTCAGATTTGGGCACCAACGCCCGATCGAAAGAATCTTCGATATCTGAACTCTCAAGATAGTTTGAAGGCTTTGCTTGACGAGCTAGGCTACAAGGACATCTCAGTCAAGGCCGTTGAAGGATCTGATTTTACAAACAGGATTCAACGTGCTGAAGAGGATGGTCCTTTGACAGAAGATGAAAAGAAACAAGTCGAGGGGCGAAGGCTTCTCTTCTTCCATGCTGCGGCGTAGAAGAGCCAGTATTTGCAAAATGTCTCATATTGTCCATTGTAGTTACCTGAAAACAATGTCTATTAGCAGCACCGCTTAGAGGACACCGTTCCCAATGTCTTTGAATACAACATGGCTGTAATGAGTAATATCGCGATCACTCCGCTTCTGATATGATTTAATTCACGCAGTTGGGCGACTGGACCAACCTGCCCTCAAAAATCGAAGTGACTCACATCGGTTGTGTTTGGTACCATGTTACGGTTTACACCGGAGCTTGTTCCATTTCTCAATGCTCGCAGTTTTGGAGTCCAAAAATCTTATCAAAATTAGTAAAGACACGTCGGCCCATGTCATAAAAACCTTCTCATTTTTGTCCACGAAACCACTAGGAAACATAGCAAGTCAACAAGCAGTTCAACTTTATTCCAGGAAGAGCTGGAATAAGACCGGAATAGCACCGTAAACAAGCAGACGACAGATCCAATACTCCCTCGGCGTCCAAGTGATTCCAAGGCTTTCCGCGTCACCAAACAACGTTCGAACATTCCACCTATGGATCCAAACGCATGGCATGAAAAAGTATGAGATTCTAGTGATTTTTCACTTCCGTTTCGTGTATTCCATGTACAGAAGCCTGTTCTCGTCATTGCTATGCTTCCATTCTATGTACATTTACATTTGCGGAATCTAACATTACAACATCGCTCGTCGTACACCAGGACGCAGCTCCTCGTGAATTAACCTCCAGCGAGTTGGTCTTCATCTCTCAGTACACCAAGATATCTGACGAACAAAAGCTTAAGGACCACATATACTCCATATGGCGTGAAGCTACTGGCAAATTCCACGTGTATCGATGTATCCGAGGTTTGTCGCGTCTCACCGTAATTTATACGAATGTCACACTCAGAATCTGGCTCTCATCTCTTCAATCCTTCTCTGATGCTTAGACTTTGTATTCTTGACACCTTCAATTCGTCATCATCCGTCGTATATCGACCTGATTGAACGCAAAGATCTAAAGGAACTGAGACTCCTTGATGCAGGATGTGCATTTGGTCAAGATGCTCGCCAGCTCATTCTTGATGGCCTACCAGCAGAAAACATTACATGTGTTGATGTCGTTGATTCATATTGGAACTTGGGATTGAAGAGTTAGTTCGCTGAAGTTTATTTGTCAGACAATGAAAGTGCTGTAACTCACGGAATTGACCACAACCTTTTACAAATAATAGTGTTTATGGACGAAGATACCTTGAAAGTACGTTTCTTGGCTGGCAACTTTGCAGCCACGAATGATACGGACGAAGCGGCAGTGAATCTAGAAACCCTAGGATTGACGGGCTTTGATTACGTCGTCAGTGATGCAGGTAAGCGACAGTAGACCTTGAGCTTCTACTAGCTTTGTAAGGGAAGCCCTGTTTAACGTCAACCATTATCTTATGTAGTCTTGCACGTCTTGTCCAAGGAACAACAACACAACTATCTGGCTCGTGCTAGACGCGCTCTGAAGCCATCTGCAGGCATTCTATTTGGTCGTTGTGTTGGAAATGTAACTGCTCAGACATGGGGACAAACACCAGACCGAAAAGATATTCGATGGTTGAATAGTCAAGAATCTCTACAGGCTTTGCTTGAAGAATTGGGATACAAGGATATCTCAGTCAAAATGATTGAACGACCAGACACTGCAAGTAGGATTCAGCATGCTGAAAAGAAGTCTCGATTGACGGAGGATCAAAAGAAGGAAATTGAGGGACAAATCATCCTGTTTTTCCATGCCACAGTTTAAAAGAGCATGTATATAACAAAATCTCATGGTGTTTGCTGTCTGTCCGTTGTAGCTATCTGATTTCAAAAGAATACTCATTTACGTGTTGTTAACATGTCACTCGACTGATTTCTGATCCACGATGACAGCAATCCCTTCAATTGCTGATAAAATGCGACAGAGCTACCTCAGGCACGCTAATTCGATATATGTGATGAACTAAAGCTTCCTGTGTTACAACACTTTTAGACATTTTGTATCCACGTTTGCGCATAGAGAAAAGTCGAAAATGGCAGCTCAAGCATCGGCTCCTAATCTCACGCTGAACTCGCTCTTGAATGTGGAAAACAAGATATGCCTCGTTAGTAAGTCTTCAACTGTTTTTCCAGTCAGCTATGTGAACTAACATTTTGCATCTTGAAAAACAGCTGGAGGAGGAACTGGAATTGGAAAGGTATCCAGTGGAAGCTGATCGCAAGCAGCTCGCTCAACCGGAATGATTGAACGAACCTCTTGCGGTTAATGATTTAGCGAAGGTGCAATACATTCAATGTGCTGACCAGTTTGAATTACATTGAATTAGATGATAACAGCTGGATTAGTACAGAATGGAGCAAAAGGTAATTCAAAGCTCGTGCACGATTACGTCCGTGCTACTTCAATTCGAGCTCCTTTTGGACTGGGAAGCGAGAACCCCACGCGAAAAGTTGGCTATTCGCCTCACTGACCCGCTTTGTATATTAGTCTACATTGCTTCACGTAAACGAGACGTCATTGACGCTACTGCCAAGGAAATAAACGATATGGGTGGACGAGGAGTCTGTATTCCTCTTACAGCGAATCTCGAGACCAAGGCTGGATGTGAGGCACTAGCTAATGAGATCAAGAAGTGTGAAAACGTGCTTCATGTCCTAGTCAATAACAGTGGAATCACATGGGGAGCGTAAGAAACATATGATTGGGTGTATGACTCAAACCGTTACAACGAATGCTTAACTTTTTCGTCGTTGTTAGCCCAATGACAGATTTCCCAGAGAAGGGTTGGGATCAATTGTATGCTGTAAACGTGAAGGGTATCTTTTACCTTACTGCCTTCTTACTGCCTCTGCTTGAGAAGGCCGCAAACGGAAACTTTGATCCTGCTAAAGGTAGGCCTGTGCGGTGTTTGGAACTACCCAGCAAGTTCGCTACTGATTCCAATCTCTCCGTGTCGTTCTAGTTATCAACATAAGTTCTGCCGGTGGTGTCATGGCCGGAGATATTGAAGCTGGAGGACTTGGTCAAGCTGGAACAGGTTTGCTTTACGACATTTTCTAGGCAGACGTGTCAGCCATCTAACCAGAACATACATTTTCTATACTACTAGGAACTCCTTCATATAGTAGTTCCAAAGCTGCTGTCAACCATCTTACTAGAACTATGGCACTAACGTTGTCGAAAAAGTTCATTCAAGTAAATTGTATTGCTCCAGGTTTATTCCCATCTCGCATGAGCAGCTTTGCCCTTAAACAAGAGGGGGCTGCCGAAAGATTCGATGCTTCTCAACCAATGAAGCGGATTGGAGCCACTGAGGATATGGCCGGCTTAGCTCTCTTCTTGTCGTCAAAGGCATCAGCACACATCACCGTGAGTGGATGGTTTTTCCCTCTCTGCGTCCTCTGTCGTCAATAACACTCCTTCTATTATACAGGGACAAGTGTTTGTACTCGATGGTGGTCAAAGTGTCACGGCGAGTGGCCGAATGTAACAAGTTTGAGCAATACACATTCTTTACACGAGCAACCCAACTACCGACAAGTTAATAACGTGAAACAGTTTACGATGATCCCAGACACGTTTTGGCATGTCTTATAGTAGCATCTGGCCAAGATAACGCGTAATATTGATATACATTGCATTTGACACACAGCCGTTTTACCAGTTGGAAGCATGAGTCCAGTCATGATATGATGTCCAACGAAAACGTGCATGCGAAAAAAGCCTTGTAATCTCGCGGTTAGTATAGAATGTCACCTGGCGTGTTTTTCCTTTGCATTTTCGTTAGTTGCCATCAAGTAATTCGCAAACACGCTCGTGACAAGAAAACCTTTACAAAAGTACCTTCAACTACACCAGGACATCAATTCCAAGTAAGTATACGCTCCACGATCCATTCATTCTACTATTCAAACGGCTCCCCCGTCTCTTGTCAGCGGTTGATCCAAATGTCAACAAAAATGGGAATGATTGGACGATGGATAGATCTGATAGGACACTCTATTCGAAAGATATAAATACTGACGAATGCTTGTATTAATGTATGTAGTATGCCTAAAGCCGCCGTTGTCAAGAAAACTAAAGCCGCAAAGAAGAACAGTAAGTCATCAAAACGAGAAATGTGGGTTTTGGTTGGTGTTGATGATCGTGTTGATGATCAATCGAAACGAAAAGATGTGTTGTTTTGAATATTTATATTTATCGGGATTTGATGAGACCTGTATTATGCATCGGTCATGAAAAAATGCACTAAGGAGCGGTGGGAGAGGGACTGGTGACATGATCGAACCAATGGATCGATGACTTGACGACGTACCGGCATCGCCTAACTTGAGAGGCATCTGCCAGATGCTTACAGTGATTTAATGGGCCAAGATCTCGCGGGAACAATGGCTGAACTGCTTTTGGAATGACTTCACAATTCATAAACATTGACACCCAACTTTTTTCTAACTATTTTAGCCAACTCGGCTGACGCCAAACGGGTCTCTCCATACAACAGTACGTCGATGCATCCATTATATAGTTTGCCTTGCCCGTTTCACGCATTCCTTGTCGATTTTCCTTCACCTCACGTGCTTCACACCTCTATTAGTGTTTATCAAAACTGAATTGGCTTCCGTAAAGGCAGAATTCCCAACATTGACCCATCGTGAGGCTTTCAAGGTACGAAAGAGAATGTTGTCGCATTCTATTCTGTTATGCAATGCGAGCGATTTCTGTGCTTCTAACACCTTTCTCACAATGGAACATTAGAAGGCTGCTGGTAATTGGAGCAACTCTCCCGAGAATCCCAAGAACCAGTCTTAATTGATGATCAAACGAACATACTTGTATATAGTTGTGTGGTATATCAGAGCAAACGCTCCAAACTTGCTTAGCTTTTATATAAAGTTATTATAAAGACTCTGTGCCTCTGTCTTGCATGTTCGATTGCGTCGTTAATCGCTCACCATCGCAGGCCATCTTGAACTGACAAAGCTCTAGCGTAGGAAGCCACTTAGAAACACAAGTAATTGACATGTAGAAACCATCGAATTGCATCTTATTTCTTTAAAATTCGACGTGTTTACTGAGTGATCGACGTTGCATCTTTCGCGAAATTGACACTTCAAACTCGTAAAAACTCTCAGGAGACTTTGCGTCATATTTAACTAGACAAACTCAACCAAAGAGGTGTACAAGTAAGTCAATCATGCTATTACGAGTTTATTATTCGCATATTGAGCTCCTTTTCAATGAAACGAACTACTTAATTTAACTTCACATCTGTTGATTATAATGACATACGTGATCTCGAGTCTAACATAGTGTTTAATAGTAAACTGATTATGCCTAAAGCTGAATCTGTAAAGAAATCTGGCAAAAAGGTCGTAGGTATGAAATACGTCTCCCTTGTTACGCTGACATACGTCATTGAACGTGTGGTCTCATGATGAAGCCACTTGATTTACAGCTTTTCTATCAATACTGACAATGATTAAATGTCTCTTGATGATCATAGGTCAAAAACGTGGTATTAGGTAATGTATAGACCCAATAAAGTGTAAGCTTGTCGATGGATACTTAAGAAATCCATAATATTGCAGTGCATATAATCGGTATATGAAGGAACAACTTCCAATCGTGAAAGCTGAACATCTTGGACTTGATCACAAGGCAGCATTCAAAGTGAGTACTCAATACGAGCTGCCAAAGAGGTTGTGCATGTTGATGACCTGTCAACATTTTTTGATTTAGATGGTCGCCACCAACTGGAAGCTCCATAAAGAACAGCAGCTACAGGCTGCTGCTGAAGAATAACACGAATGATACCTCATAGCTTGCATTATTCTGAATCGTTGGCCTTGTCTATGGAGGGAGAAGGAGAGGGGATGTGTAAAGTGTAGTCGCTGCTGCTTATAATATAAATTACTGACAAAGCCTCTTAACGCTACGATGTGTTCAAAATTCCGTTCCGTTCTGGCCGACGTTGTCTCTGCACTTACAGTCCTCTTGCAGTCGGTTGGTCCTGTCTCGCAACTTTTCGACGACGAGCAACGTCGGCTCCAAGCAAACATGAAGGACGAAATCAGAAACGTCACTGGCAGATTCTTTGTCGTGGTTATTAACATCTTAGATGGCCTCTCACTAGCTGCCTTGAATGCCTTGGTTTTTGTATTTGCCCTCGTTTTGGCACCGATCTTGTTCCTGCTCTCGTTGGTATCCTTCACCAAGTATATACCCATAAATAACAAAAATTACCCACTATCTTACATGACTCGAGGCAATACAATCTCGTATAAACCGGTTTGGGATGAGCTCACCCCAACATTAAAGTCGAACCCCAACGTGAATTTCTCGCTCGCAGAACTATTGATGCAAGCTTGTGCTGCATCTTATAGCTCTGATTTGGTCATGAAACAGTTGATCCATGCGTCTTGGGAGCTACAAGTCGAGTCTGTTATCTGTGGTGGTAGAGAAACCAATGTTTGTGTACTATATTCAATCCATTACAAGTGTCTGTTTATAGTATTCAAAGGCAAGGAGCTCTTTGATCTCGATGGTGTAAGTGCACATCATTGTCCTCTCTTGAATTGTTGGGTGTGTCGGTACAACCACCGTTTGACACTGACAATTTCCCAATAGTGGCTCATGGAATTGACACCTACAAAGATCAGCTCAGATGGACAACAACTGTCTCGTGGCATGGTACATGAACCAGCATACTCGCTTCTGGAACTGGCATCTCCAGCATCATATAATACCAACCAGCAAAGGCGACGTCAAATCTGGGAGAGTGATCGAGCTCGATATACATATGTCAATGGAGCTCAAGAAGTATTCGTACCTCCCAATCATGATACTTCAAATACTCCACGATTGACTGAAGCGTTGATCTGGACGATCGAGGAGGTGCTCAAGGAGGAGTTTGGATATTCTGGTGATCGACGCTGGAATCAACCTCCTCCAACTATCTGGATTACTGGTCACGGATTAGGTGATGAGCGCGGCAAAACTGAATCCGATTGGACTTGCACCAACTCAATTAACTTGGAACAATCCATCAATTAGGTGGTACCCTCGCCACTCTGTTTCTCACCCACATCAAGTCTTGTAGTCTAGGTGGTAGTGGTAAAGAGGAAGTCTATGGATGGTCTGACACCGTACAAGGAGCCTACACGTTTGGAGCCATGAAACCAGGAGATTCAGATTTGGCAGCATCGATATCAGAATGCTTAGCAAGATCTCACGTTGTCTTGCATCGATTGACGGTCGCGAATGATTCATTGCCATATCTGCCACCATCCAATAATTTTATTCGAACTCTATACAAGCTTGGGAAACGTATATATACAGGTCACGGTAGTTTGGATTCTCTCCCTTCGTCGTTATTAGACTTTGAACATCCTGGAAAGGCTCTTGTTATGGGGTATGCCAAACGTATAGGATACGCGCCACGTAATGGTATATATGCAATCACTCGAGACGCCATATCATGGACGCTCGAAACTCCTTATTGTCTCGTCGACCCTATATACAGAGGCTCCATCAAGAACATGAGTATCGGTTTTGTGACTGGATCTACTGTAAAGGATGTCTTTGCTGCTCTCTTGTATCGAACTATTTTATACGACAGCACTCCTCAATCATATTTAGATCGAATCAGGCAAGCCAAAGCCGTCTCTGGATCCATCGTTGCCCCACCTGGACAAAAAACTCGTATTATAAAGACCGTTACTGATATCAACGAAGCTGGCTCTGTCGCTTCATACACTTCTGCATCATATATCCAACGTCCTCGAGCAGGGGAATCCCAACAACAGAGAGTCGTGGCACCAACTCCTGGAGGACAAACACCATCAGTCACATCATCACAACGTATGATGCCTCCTTTGGCTGCATCTGCTGAACCCATTGATCGACAAAGTATGACACACAGTATGGTGTCTTCTCCTGAAAGGGCTTCTGCACCATTACGAGTGGTACGTGTTTCCAGGAACCCGCAACCTGTCTCGGATGCTGGATATAGTGTACAACGATAGATAGGTGAATAGTTGTCGGTAGCTGAGTAGAGTATGATAGCTAGGTTGTAGTCTTGTATATGCAAAGTGAGTGTAAAAAGCAATATAATGTATTCAGTCGGTTCTACCGGGTTGTGTACAGTTTGGGCCTCTTGCGGGTGTGTTGGTTACAGGCATCAGTCGATTCAGGCTCTTCTTCAGACTCAGACTCGTCCTTTGAGAGTTCCAATATCTCTGAAGTCTTCTCCGTCCCATCCAACAGGTGCGTAGACTCGGCAAAGGATTCCATATGTCACAAGTAGTGAAGAGTTAGTGAATCGACCACAACGAGAAAACCAAACAAGTTCCTACATCAGAAAAGATAGATATGGACCTCTCTAGCTTTTCGGGCTGGTATCGCCTCAAGTCCCACAGTATATAGCAAATGAGAAACCATCACACCCAATTGTCTTTGTGTTGAGGCATCGATAATGGACTACCCGTTTACACAAGCAGAACAAACTTCTGTTTTAAGATTATCCATGTCAGAACGAGCAGTATCTTGATGGCAAACATAACAGTTGAGGTCAGAGGAAGCATTTCGTGATGAGAAGTGTGGAGAGTGTGTGCAGAGGATCAAGTAGCGAGAAAAGCACGTTTAAATAGTGTAAGAATGGAGGGGTTTTCTCCGCTCAGGCGATAACAAACTGACCATGTTCACAGGTTCAGTTTAATCACTAAACCAAATAAATCCAAGACAATCCGGCGCATACCCAAAGCTTTCCAAACCACACAGTATTCCCACCCTATGGCTGGCCTCCAAGAAGAGCTCCCATTGGCCAAAACCACGATAGAACCAGTCTCAAACGATGAACTGGTCGACTTTCGTTCGAAATGGATCAATGAAGTTCTAGATAACAAGAAAGGAAATAGTAGGACTCTCGCGGTTTCATCTTCGTCTGTATCGTCGTCGGATGGGGACAGTGCAGCTCTTGTACTTGCTGCAGTCGATGGCAAATCACGACATCAGACGAAATCTGGTAAAGTTGGTAAAGTCAAAGAGAACGAACAGCCCGTCATATCAAAAGTAGACAAAGTGCTGGATCCTGTAAGTGGTAAGACGTACGCAGCTTCGGTAGCATCTACGTCGTCTTCATCGAGAAAGGGGGACTCGAAACCCGTAATGCCACAACAGACCATACCACAACAGCAACATTCTGTGCATAGTACAGCACCACTACAGCAATCATCACCAAAAGAATCTGAAGCGCTGATACTCTTTGGACAAGCTTCTCAGTTTGAACGGCAGGGTAATTTAAATCAGGCCCTTTTGCTGTTTAGACAAGCTAGTCGCATGTATCCGGATGTAGAGAGAGCTTATAGGCAGGTGTTATACCAGGAAGCGGCTTCTGGAAGTAGTAGCAGTAGTAATGCAGGTGCTGTCACTTCAAGAGAGACCGCTGATAATTTCGAAAGTACGCAATTGTCGCAATAGTAGCATGACCTGAACACTGCTCACGCCCTCACCATTCATAGCATATTACGGTGGTCTCGACGAAAACTCTGCAGATTTAACCTTTGACGCTATAGACATGATTGTCGACATAGCATCACGAGAAGGTGTCAAATTCACCCCCAAGCACAAACTAAGAAAGCCGCCACTCTTCCAAAAGCTGCCTGGAGAACTAGTAACGCAAATTCTGCAACATTGTGTGCTTTATGATATTGGTTCCCTATGCTCGATATCGCTTGTATGTAAAAAGTTTCTGATTCAGGTGCGGGAGAGATCATTATGGCGGTTTGTCGGTGAACGAACGTTTTTGAAGCCTGCAAATGTGGGGTTGGTTGGTGTACCGAGCTTGATGCACGAAGTTGGTGAGCGATATGGTGATGATTGGTTGAGAATGTTTGTGGATAAGCCGAGAGTTAGGACTGATGGTGTCTTTATATCCAGAATCAATTATGGTACGTGTTGGGCTTGCATTCAAAACAATCCGAATATCTCACCGACATCTTTTTTTAGTTCGACAAGGTTATGGTGAGGCATGGAATCAACCCATACACGTAGTTTCATATTACAGGTACCTACGGTTTCTTCCCAGGTCTGGTATCTGCTACGCATGGATGACGACCTTAGAACCATCCCAAGTAGTCAAAGTCTTGAACAACCAGTCTCGAAAAGAGAAGGGATTCATGGTGGGCGCATACCGTGTCACTGAGATGGATGGTGCATGTCATATATTCTGTCGCATGAAGGATTATGAACGTCCAAGAACAACGTTTGAGTATTCTCTGACTTTGACTAGTACAAAGGTAACCAGTGTTGGAGAAGGAATGTAGTAGAGCTGAGATACTGACATTCTCCATCTAATAGAGAGGACGACATAATAAACTTGGATGGATTTCATATCACATGCATAATGGAGAGACTAAAGAGAATGCCAGTGAAGTTCCATTGAAAACGTTGAGGCCATTCATGTTTTCTAAAGTCAGGTCGTATCTGGTGGCACCCTCGATTGAACAGCCAAAGAATGTCATCGTCTAATAGCAGTAGTGTAATGTGTAATACATAGTATAATACGTCATCTTTCTTGTCATTGGATTCGCTCATTGGTAGTTGCCCGAGCGACTTTGCGATTTACTCTTGGGAACACGTCAACGCGGTCTGCTCGTTTCAAATAACCCTTATCTACATTTTTGGCGAAGTAATCAGCGAGAGGACGACGAAAACGACAGCAAGAGAAGATGCCAAATCAAAAGATAATGAATCTTACTAAAATATGTGATTCTTACTTGTTTTCGGTATATTTCGGTCGGTCTCCGTCAGGGCGACCAATCCGGCGATAATGACGCTCGGTTGTTTGGAAGGCGTTGGATGGACCATTCAAATGTCAGCACTACGACAACACGTTCATACGATTGGCATAAGCGTTCGCGAGGTTGATGTTTAAGCTAATGAGCAGCCGAATGTCAATGATTAATCTATTCGTCAATGCAAGTGCGTTTTGATACATTTGGAAACAATTACAATTCTCTTTGCGATACGTTCCGAAGAGCCAAGATAGTTGGACTCAACAAGAGCCTCAACCCCCCATCTTCCTCTTCTTTCAAACATTCAGTGACTCGAGACACCAATACTGGAATCAAGCTTCCTTGTGCTAAAGACGAACTTTGCACTAGCTGTTGGGGCATCATGACTAATGAGTGCATAAATGAAATCAGCCCCGATTTGTAGATTAGGTCTTTAATGATTGTTGGTATGGATGTTGTGGTGATCATGAACTATGTGGTAGTGACAAAATAAGATAGGTGAGACCTGCTTATTTTATCAGAAGGATTAAAAGTACTGACCTCTAGTATCAGCTTCTGAGAATTGGCATCACAGAATGTCGATGAAAAGAATGACATCAAGTTTTCGAATACGTGGCGTCTCTTGTACACACGATAATCCTTTAATCGTATTTTTTGGTTAGGATACAGACCCAAGAGGTATAATGCGCGGCAATCTCGATGCTTTCACCTGTTCTGTTTTCAAACCATTCACAAGCACTCGTAGCATCCAAGACCGTTCTCTACGACAATCATCCGATCCAGAAAAGAAGAGTTCGTAATACATTGGTACATCCTAGTAACGTTTTCACATGTCGGTAAGACTTCGGGCGGAAAAAAATCGTCTAATACTCGAACATTATGTAGTTGTCACACTGACCTCTAAATCAACAACAGCACGCTGCAGCCAATATCTGTTAATCAATGGAAACAAGCTGCTTTCTGGCTTCAGCATCAAGGGAAGAGACAAGGCGACAAAGAGTGCTGAAACGGTAGGTACTCGATATGATGTATCTGGAATGGCATTCTTCAGTCCATCAAGAATGAGTTTGATTTGATTACGTTCTTTGAATATTGATAGCTAAAGTGTGGCAGGAAAAAGGTTGAGATTTTGCACTGCGAAAAACAAGACGGCCCAGATGACCAACAATTACCTCTAAGGAAGCTCTGACAATCGACAACACAAAACCACCAATCTTTCGAACAGACAAGTCTGTACTAGCTAATGTCATCACTGCCAATCCAACAGCTCCAGACTCAACAGCCCGTCGTATAGCACATCCTCCTTCTTGCACCTCTGCCGCCAAAGCACTGACTATAAACATGGCATCATATGCATCCGTACTCTCATTGTTTCCATTCACATCAAATCCTCGAATAGTCCTGTCCATTAACGCAACATCAATCCCCCCAGCCCAGAATCCTCCAGAGCCCCATTGCAAAAGATGAGAAGTCAATGATATGTCATTCGATTCATACAATTCGAATATATCTCGAATTACTAGATCTCCTGTTTCGGTTGTGGCTTTATATGCATTTAGTAGTACCGGTATGTGCACGATTTTGCAGTGCTGGTGAGGGACTAGTTGGATTATAGAGAATATGAGTTTCAGTGTGGCGATTCGAAAACGGCTATTAGGGGAAGCTAGAATATCGGGCTTCACAATATTCGTCATGATTATCGGGAGGAGAGTTATCTTTATACGAGGAATCAAGGATGTGATGAGTGTGATCAGACCACTAGAGGGGTTTGACAAGGCTTTTTCCAGCCATACTTCGATATCTACTTGTGACAAGTCAAGCTTTACGTGACTGTTTAGGCTGTCTGCAAGACCAACACAAACTGTGTCCATTTGTTGCGATGCGAGTGATGCGACACTGTTGATCGTATCAATAGCGATTTGACCAAGGACATCCATGGTACACGTCCGTTTCAATATACTCCAGTACGTGTTCAACCATAGCAATGCATCTTGGGGTGATGCTCGACTACGGTCTGGTACTGACTTGATATCGTACTTGTCTGCAAAGACTCTAGTGACGAACTCCAGTACGCTAATATCAGCACTTCCTTCTTCATACCCTTCATTTCCTTGAATCCGATTCAACAATTCCCGTTTCCGTGATTTACGGCTTGTTTTGTCAAATCTTTTTACTAGCTGTTTCATTTCCGAATCAATGGTTGGCTTCCATCCATCAGTGTCAACAGCACACATCAGTAAAGCAAGATATACAAGCGAATGCGTTGCAGCACATTCTTCAATTATAGCTTTGATGGTACTTGTGTTCTGGGATTCAATAATCGCCATCACTACTTTGAGACTAGCATTGTTCATTGCGAATATATGACGGATTGAATCACTACTCAGGGCCTTAGTTACGTCCATAACTAGATCCTTGGATGAGACTAGACATTCTTCTAGTAATCCTACAATCGTGGAAGCCATGTCATCATCTTGGCCAATACGCGATATGACTTGTTGTAGTAGATCTCGTGTCGGTGGTAGGAGACGAAACGAGATAGCTGATGCTACTAGCTTGATTATACTAGAATCGGGAGTTACTTCTAGCTTTACTTTAGTCAAGATGGGTGTAATTATTGATGGTGATAGATGAGCTTTCAGAGCCAAAAAAGATGGAAACACTAGATCCGATGGAGCATTGCTTGTTAGCGCTGCTGGAAGCACTGAGACAAGCCTTTCTCTGTAAGCGTCAATGTGGGCTTTGGCTGAAGGTAGCAGCTTGTTGATTATCATTGTCAGCCCTAGATGAAAGCATATTCGATTTAAGGGCTAAACCAGGGAAAAAAAGCTCTCCGATATGGCTCCATACCTTCACAGTTGACACCTTCGGTGAGATATATATTTTGAACAATAGCATGTTTCAATATCATATCACACACTACTTGATTTCCAGCAGCTAATTCTACCAGCTGATCAAGCACAGTTACTACATCCTGCTTTCTTGACAATTCAAGAAGCGTCTGATTGACTAGCGACACAATCACATTACCAGTGACTCGAGCCTGGAAATTCGGTATTACATTTCGAGTCGACAATATATGATGGAGCAAGAATGATAATGGTAGTTTGGTATATAATGCCGTTGGAATGACACTCGTGGTTGGGTTTTGAAGAATGGCAAGCATTGTACGCCATACATCGTCATCTTCAGTAGCATGTACGAGTTTTGCCTTCTTCTTACGTGGTTTCGATTCAGCTTTATCGACTTGATCAACCTGCATACTATTTTCAGAGTATAATCCAAGAGTTTCGACTAGCCGGCTCTTAATAGTATCTGACTTGACGAGATCGACGACCTGCGTGATATAATCAGTACACGTTTGCGTAGCCCAAAAGACACGGATCATAAACAAGACCATGAAATCACTGATTTCAGTTGTTGCGGTAGCACTATCAGCTAGGCAAACAAGACCTGGTGATAAAGGGTACTCCTGCGCTTGTCGTCCTTTCGCACCTGATAATCTTAAGCTGGTTTCTGACATGCCAGCTTCAGCAGCCTGAATCGTGCTTTGAAACAATTCAGCTACTTGGTACATGTTCTTCATACCGAGACACAATGCCGAGTCCAGGAACTTGACGAGATGAGATTGCTGCTCTTTCGGTGCTTCATCAAGACATGACAGTAATATCGATACTTGGGTGGGATGGTTTTGGAATAAGAAGGATGACATTAAGAGATTACCGATTAGTCTACGTGTCTCTCGTTTTAACGTGGTTTTGGATATAAACAGATTCAAGAATGTTCCTAAATGAGAGCATCCGTCTGCAGCTGGTGTTGATGTCTGTCGATTCCACCATTTGAATGATGCATGCAAATCACTCAACAACCCAACAACATGCTGAGCTAGATCAACTGGCAGAGCAGTCATATCAACTGGTACTAGCTTCCCATAATCAAATCTCGATTCGGCGACACTAGATGGGAATTGACGACCATATCCTCTAAATAGTTTGAGTGATACTCCCAACAATAGTTTCGAAGCTTCTTCTTCCGCGTCTATAGACACATCTCCAAGAGCCTCCACCTTGACTGATGATGTATCAGACAAAGCCTGATGATGCATCGCAATTACAGCTTGGAAGTCAGGTACGCGCCGTCTCACTTCATCAGTGACGTTCGTACCCCATTCATGCCATGCTGCACTAGTTGTTCCTGCTAGAGATGCACACTTTTGTGCCATGTCTTGAAGGACACCCAGCTTTTGAAGGGATAAAGCTAGCACTGATGCAGTCGTGTACTTGACTAGACATACAGGATGCTGTATGCCTCGTGATATAAACAGTCTAGTTAGTGGCAGTGGCAGGATGTTATCACATGTGGTTTGTACAGGTGGTGGTATCGACGTATCGAATCGAGGAATGGGGAGTGATATTATGCGAGTAGCTAGTGACATGATGGCCAACCATTTGGACGATGGTCGTGGGTCGAAAGATGCTGTAGATGGCGAGCTCCAAAATCTACAATAAATCAATGATGCTGTCAGCATCACGGTTTTTGGCGGCACAATTAAGATTTTTCGATGGCAACACATGTTCACTTCATCCATAAAGGCTTACTCTGATACAAGCTCTGGACACGCCTGCATTATATCCAGCAGCAATTGAGCTTGTTGAGCATCTTCTGCAGGTTTCAGCATATTCAAAAAGCGCGACAACGTCTTGTTCTGAATGCCACCTGAATTCTTTGTCGATCCCGGCTCCGCTTGCACTGGGTACCATCCATTTGTTTCATGACATATACCAATACCAGGTTGAGTACATAGATGCTGTAGGAATGTATTTACGAGATCGGAGATGGTGGCTGTTTGGTCTGCGACGGCTTCTTTTCGTGTATACAGTCTTGAGAGCTAAACAACGTTGCATTGTCAGTTTGTATCCTGGGAAATTCAATGTAATGCTCATTACCTGTTCAAGCACAAAGTTGTTAAAGAACCCCATGTTCATGTACTTTGGGACATCCGATGCATCCACCAAATCACGTCGCAATACTGTCAACACGTAGCTGATTGTCTAAGAAGAGCAGGATATACTTTAGAGTTGAAAATGGGAGCAAAAAAGAGAAAGTTTAACAGGATCAAATGGCAGATGATCTTACCTCATACGAGTCTGATGTCATTCCTCTGAAGATGGACGAGACCAAGTCTTTGATTTCCAAAATGGACTTTTTAGCAGTTGCATCACCATGCTCCAAGAACGAAAGCAGGAACCTTATATACAGAGATCGTACGTCTAAGATGAAAAGGGTATTACTCAATACGATTCAAGCCTACGCGTTTTTTTTTGTTGCGCCTACCTTCAACGCGAGCTTTCTTCTGATTATCCTGATCACTTGACTTTCGAACGTCCAGGAGTTTCGGAAGCGTCTTAAGAAAGAAACGAGTCAGAAGGCTAAAAACGGACTTTTTGCTGTATATCCATCATGAGTACCTTCATGGTAAAGTTGAAGTTTGTCACGATATCTCTAGCCATACCACCACCAAGTGATATCACAGACACCAGTAGCTTCAGCATAGCTTGCTCAATAGTATGTTTTCCGGATGCAAGTCCTCTTTGTACAACTTTCATGCATTCTTGAGCCACAGTTCGAGCGATTGTCAGTGACGATGATTTTGACTCAGTAACCATTCGAGCAGCTGGGATCAGATACGACAGTAGAGTCGGAATGTATGTTTCCAATTTAGAAATTTGATGCTAAAGGTTGGATCAATGATGAAAAAGTCAGTAACAATTTCATATCACCGTTTTTTTTGCTTGAATGTCGCAAAAGTCACTTGCAGTTTGTTGCCATTCCCAAATGCGAAACACGTCCGTAGCATCTGGAGATACTTTCAGGTAAGCTCTAAGCAGATCTCCCTCAGCGGATACCGTGGCATCGACGCGTTTCTCAGCTACTCGAATACAACTTTTTGTGAATCTTGCCAGTCCCAAATGCAAGATTTCCACATTGTCTGAAGCGAGAATAGCAGCTAGGTCTTCTATTGTGAGGACTGGCTCAGGCTGCTTCGCTGCAGGAGCTTCTTCAGCTGCGGGACTCTTGCCCTTGGACATTTTTGTCAGTGATTTGTTCGTTGACGGTGTTGACAGTGCACCGGTCGCTTCAGTCTGTTTAGCAGAGGGAGTCGATCAGTACTTAGAAATCAACTGGATGCACCGGATACACTGGAAGAAACACGTCGAACTGCCGCTGATCGTCTCCAATCATCAACTTTTGAACTTTTCGATTCTTTGACACTTTGACACGGTAGCTCGTTCTGCGTCACGTTTCAACTTATGGTTCCTAGTTAAAATTCGTCAGCCTCTTCCCAAAGCTCTCCAAGTTCCTCGCTCTGGCGTCTACCACTTCCAAAACTACCAAAAACCGAGCAAACATCAAGACCTTATAAGAATTTCCCAACAATGAGTGTACTAACACCACCAGACTCATTCGGGATAGTAGAACGTGGCCTCTTTAGATCCAACATGTTCAACTCTTCGTCATTCAGCTTTATAAAACCACTGGGACTGAAAACGTGTTTGGTCCTATCGACAGACCCTCCATCTCGAAGCTTATTGGGATTCTTTGAAGACTGTGGAACTAAATTCGTGCATCTGGGATCGCATCCGAACAGCAGGTCCTTGGGCTGGAGACCTGTCAGTGAAGAACTCATCAAGGACGGGTTGGAACTTATACTCGACAAGGCAAACTACCCTGTTTTGGTCATGTGCACGTAAGATGGCGCTGGATTGAGGCTCATTTGGACGTTATTGCTGCACTCTATGGCGTCAGTGTGTCTGTTGTTGGAATGTTGCAAGGATGCTCACACACAATTTTGCTATCTAGTTCTGGGATACACGAGACTGGTATCTTTGTTGGCTGTCTGAGGAAGTTACAACGCTGGAATTTCAACTCTATCGTTGTGGAGGTATGCCATCACGTAGCTTTGTGCATATTATTATCCTCCTTGACATTGTTTGTTTGCTTGTAGTACCGAAGCTTTGCCGGAAACAAGGCACGATACGTGAATGAGCAGTTCATAGAGCTCTTTGATCTGGATTTGGTTACAATACCTCAGAATCAACCACTCTGGTTTCTTGATCAGCAACGAACTATGGTAAGGCTGCAAGAGTTCAACGCACGGACGCTCAGCAGATCCCGGGAACTTTGTATCCTGACCGATGAATCGTGTTGCTAACACACACAATGCTCTTATGAACAGGCCGAGGAAGACGAAGAAGCCCTACGATCATCCCGCACATCCATGTCTTCAACGTCAACCGGTCTTCCTCCTTCAATGCCCGACATATTATGGAGACGGGCCTCAGCTTCTCGAATCAGGCTTGGATCCAACATGTCGTCAAGGCGAACGTCTAATTTAGGAGTTCCTATGTTTCCCAGCTCCAGTATAAGCCCGAAGAATGGTTCGCCTATAAGTAGTGGGCCACCGTCTTCTGGCTTCTTCTGATGTAGTTACATCTGTGCGTTTGTACATATTGGATATTTATAAAGCTAGCATTTGCATCATCAGGTCTGTATACTGTGATATATGCGCCCATCATGCTGTACAGAGATAATGTAAAAGAGGATATTATTATGATTCAAAACCTATTACTACATGATAGAAAGCCTCCATGCCAATCCACGTACAATTAACACTTCACAACGAGCGAGGAACCTCCACAAACCACATCCTCTACGTAAACTATCCATAAACCCAACGACTACGTTGTCGAAGCCTTGGATTTGCAAACCGGGTATCTCCCGCATCCGCAGCTGCATACCAGTCCGCAAACATTCCTCCAAGCAACGTATCCATCTTTTTAGTAACATCACCACGACTCAACCCTTCCCACGCCTGTGCGATCTGCCAGAACTTTTGCACGAGATCCCTGACAGAGAGCAACAACCTGTATTCTACAGCATCCACCAATTTACATAGTGACTTTAGCGTTTCTTTCTCAATGCAAGTGTTGGCGTTACCGGACATGTTGAAGTTAGTGGTTGCTATAATGTCAGTGCTTAGTGAGACAAGTGTTTTGTATGATTGGCCCTTATAATGTGCGAATGGAACTGGATGTACTCACCAAAGTAGATATTGCACAAGAGCGGGAGCGTCAAGTACAAGTCAACCACAGCAGTCAACAGTACCCATTCTTCGCCATCCTTGGTCTCTTGAGGTCGATTCTGCTCGTCAGGATTCCAATGGATATTTCGAATATCAGGTGCCAAGTACTCGTAATGGGACCCTTCTGTCGATTTCATATGCATGCGAAGACTTTCAGCTCGTCTTTCGGCCACACTCTTTTTATATGCCGACTGCTCCACTAGCTCAGATGCTGGTTCTTTTCCTTTGCTAGTCTCAGCACCAGATGTGTCTCCTTCTTCTCATTGAAGATATTTAGTTCATGTCTACAGTGAAATCAAGTTTCCAATCGCTCACCGGCAGTAACATCATCCACTTGGTTGTTGATGGTGCGACCATCATCTAAGAGCTCGGATTTACACTGTGCACAAAACTCGGCGGTATTGACATTGAAAAAGATCACTCCTCTGGCATTCTCCACACACTTTTTGCATCGATATTCCGGACAGTACAAATCACACAAATCACAGGAATTCATTGCAGTGACATCGTACAGACTTCCTTCCTTAACTCGATCCAAATTAGTCCAAATCCGTGGACGTGGAATATATGGATGTTGCGATAGTTGGAAGGTCTGGTCAAGTACTTGGGATCTTTTGTATATGAACTCTGATGCATACTGCGTCAGCAAAAAAGAAGTCAGTGCTAAAAAAGCTTGGAAACGCAATTACGAATCACACACCTGAAAGAATAACATATTTTCTTCTTGCGACGGTAGTCCATGCTCCTGTGCCGGCAGGGAAATCCCTCTGAATTCACACATAAAGAAGATTGGAGACCTTGCATCACGTAGCAAACTATTTGTGAATCGAAGAATTCGCTCCCATAAAACTCTCTCTTCAGCATGAGTCGAGTGATCATAACGGGACTGAATGCCTTCGATAATGGTTTCTTTTTGCTGGTCCAGTCCAGATGATGTATAGAATACCATTCTCAACATGACTTGATGTAGTACTAGTCGATGGTATCCTTGGAAGGCCATCCACTGCTTCATGCTATAGGAATTAAGAGAAGTTAGGGAGACAATCAAATTCCTGCCCTAATGCAATCCGTTTTACCTAAAATAGCTTGGACAAGCTTGCTTGAACTTGTTGAGAAAGTTCGACGATATACTGTCCCGAACCATGCCTCCAAGTGCCTCTTTGAAGTATCCCGAGTACATGCCAATCGTCTGCTTAAACACGCGGTCTGTTTCTTCGTCAGACATGATGCTCAATGGCGCCGAATGCTCATCATTCAAGGCCTCTGGATGCTCCTGAAGCACAGTGACGAAGCTTTCCAAGGGGGGAGAGCCGTCAAACAAGAAATGCTTTTGCCACAGTCTTGATAGGCCGTCGTGATCAATATCGGTAGACGGACCTATATGGTTTGACATGATTAGTATCGTGATGCGAAAAAGAAGATAGGCACACAATGATGCATACCACTAGTCATTAGATCATATATGACATTTACATTCCTTTGCATTTGCATGTTCATACCATGGCTCTCGGCGACAAGCAAGACACGGAATTGCGTTCGTACAGTTGTCGCTCTTCCACTGTAATTGTCGAGTTTGTCTTGAAGTGTATTGGTAAGAGTAGATAGCGGCCGTCCTACGCGGAAGTGCGGAAATTGTAAATAGCCAATAGAGGCTAAAGCAGAAAAAGTCGTTGTTGACAAGCACATACCCCAAACAACAGACAATCCGTCATAGTACTTGATCAAATCAACACCGTCTCTTGTCAACTGGAGCAGTTCGTTAACGAGAGCCTGAATAGCGGGAGTTTCCAAAGACGGGGCTTCTCCTTCTGCCTGTTTGGTCTTGACCAAAGTCCAAATGAAGTAAATCTCTCCAGTAAGACGGTCAACATACTCATCCATTTGCCCTCGCTGGCGTATTATCTATGAAGGCAGCCGAGAGAGTGCTATCAGAGCTTCGTAAAGTGGGGTTGCCAAACAACGATGCATAAGCACTTTATACTTACGTCCACCGCCTTTTTCAGGCCGTCCACAATAGGAGTAACCAGTGGGAACGCAACCTAGTATTAGAAGCAGTCATTTGAGATATACGGACCTTTGAAATATTGATTGTCTGGAAAAACGTACAGATGTAACAGTGGATGTGACAACTAATCCAGTCGAAATGAAATCCAACACTAGCGACAATCTGCTAGTCGACATCTCAACACCTGACGCGGAATGATTTAGGTCACTCAATTCAGCAGCAAAAGTCCGAAGCTCTGGTCTCTTTGTGCTTCCATTTGGAGGCGTTTCAAGAATAACCTAATGTTGTTGAGAAATTTGAATAGGTAGAAGAGCGATAAAGAAATTCTTCAGAAGAAGGCTTCTTCAACATGGACATCATTTAAAACGATTCACTTACTTTGGACACAATACCATCAAACTTGCTCTGAGGGATAGCCTCAAACTTTGACAAAGTGCATTGCCCCATGTTTTGGTTTCGTATATATAGTCTAGTAGGTGCAGCGTACAGCTGTTGACCTTATCGACCTTGTGAGGAATACTAGAGCGGTTGGTGAACCTAGTTCAACGACTTTCACGATTGCCTTGAAGAGAATTGTTTGTATCAGCCTCTAAACAACCTCTTTTATGACGGAGGCGTAAAAAATGACGCAAACGCGTAATGACGAAGGACCGGAGCACATGCGACAATGAAAACTTTAAATTCACGAGTTTAGTGAGCAACAACTTCGTTTTTCGGGGCCAAAATGTTGTTTTAGATTTGAAAGCACTACAAAATGACACTACTACAACAACTAGTACTCTCGAGTGGTGTGTTTCTGAGTCATCAGAGGATCTATGGATGGACAGAGATACATTCTAATCACGAGACAGAGAGGAAGATCAAGAATAAGTCTTACAAGTTTGCTTTAAGCATCATATGGTTTTCCGATGGGGTGAAGTCCGACTTTCCCAACTCCTGGCCAGGGGTTACTAATATCAGGCCCACTAGAAGAACCAAAGTCTAAATTGAATGTTTGGAGTTGTGTGAGCGGCGAGATTCAATCGAAAAGTGCAGCACAGTTTTTCACTTGCTTACGAACTGTAGCAGAACCAGAGCCACCTGTTAGAAACATGACATTTGGTTAGTGATGCGGTGATAGACTCAAAATCAGAACTCGAGTTTGTATTCCACCTGAAGAAACGTTCATTCCGGAAGTCATGTCAGCAATATCGGCAAGGTCATTGGCATCAAAAATGGAATTAATCGCAAAACCAGCTCCCCAGTGAAGTGGTGACGTTAACCAAAGGAGAGTATGACGAATAGCAATTCCAGCAATCTTTCCTTCAACCGTAGGCATGATTGTATTGCTTTGTTGGGTATTGGAGTTGTGATCTGTTTGATTTCCGAGATTCTACTCGGAAGTTGTTATCTCATTTGTTTTTGTGTACGATGGAAGTTTAGTCACAATAAAATGTCGCACATGAAGTGCTTTGACTGTTTGCCTCCTGGGTATGCTTTTCTGGCTGGAGGCGTAAAACCGTGCTTGGAGGCGTAACCCTCAAAACACCCTGTAGCACACATCGCACTTGACGCGTAAAGGAAATTTCAACAACACAAGCAATCATAATGGTATCAGCAGCTAATGCAGCATGCCTATTGACTGGGTGAGTTTTGAAGGGTGTGCTCTGATTTCCCCCTTATCTTTCTGACCAAAATTGGTTGCACTAACTAGATTGACCTCATTGGACAACAAGTCATATCAAGTCGGGCAAGATTCGCACTCTTATTTATGTTGAAATCAAACTCAATCTTGATATGGTAACAGGAAATTATCACTTTGGTTGCTCCTGATTGTCTGTGGGCTGGTTTGTTCAAGACAGGCAGGAAAGACTTTCCATACGTCTTGTATCAAGGATTTACCAGTAATGTAAGCACAGAATAATGAATTCAAATTGACTTCCAATTCCAAAGTCGTCTGACATTTGTGTATTTAGGACGGTGTACTGGCGTACATGAACTCTAAAAAGTTTCCCAAGGGTAGTGTAGGCCAGGGTTGAAACTCGCACGCACACCGTACGAAAATGTGAAGCTTATTTTCCCATCATTTCCAGGGTTATCCACTATCTTTCAAGACGCCTTCAAGCTCAAGGAACGCATTGCCAGGGAACCTCTGCAAGGAGGCTTTATGACTATGGCCTTGATCAAGTGTGCTACTGGTGTTATTGATCTGCCCAAGATGCTGGATGAGAATCTACTTCTGCATGTGCCAGAACTGTCCCGCAGTTCAGCATATGAGGGGTTGACTGCTTCAACTTACACGAATTTGCAAACCTGCACCTGTTGAGTGTTGTCATCACGAAAGTATCGAAACATGGATTTTTAACTTACAGCATACTTTCGAACATAGATTCTTCAGTCCCTGCCAACGCTCAGTCTTCGCCAGAGCAAGAGCCAAGAAAGGCAATCGATGTCCACCACAAGGGAGAGTCAACTGGAATTTCTGTCCTGCATATTATAACCACTGAAGTTTGCTCGACTTGGGCAAAGCAAAGCTGAAACCAAGGATGTTGTTAGGGCTGGAACACTGTGGCGATTGGTTGATACGATTTGTGATATGTGGATGTAATTTTAACTGGGCATAATTTAATCAGAATGATTAAAAAACCCAAATTCCTGTTGCATTTACTTTGAGTTCTTCGAATGCTGCGTCCTTTCTTTTCACTTAAGAGGTTGAATTCAGAGTTTGCGTCCAACAGCGGAAACAGCACGAACTTTGCTATATTGCTGGAATTGTATATTGTTTATGGCTTGCTGTAGCTTAGAAAAGACGTAGTCTCTTGTAGATGTTTGATCCCTGAGATTCCAGTTCACTTGCGCTGGACGCAATCGCGTTCTGCTTCAATTGAACGGCAACGAAGAGAGGATCTTATATTGTATTAGCCTTCTTGTTCTCAAGAGACAATATCTCTCTATCCGGATTGTTTCGTTTGGAAATCGCCATAGCCTCGAATTCACACCCCAAACACAACAAAACAAAAAACTCGAAATCCAACAAGAGACTGCAGGATTGAGTCGGATGTGATAGATCTGCTATGATGGTACTCTGAAAAGGTATGTAGGCTCATTTTCTAATCTGTTCACTTATTCTGAACTTCGTTTTCATTGGCGGCAACCACACCAAGGTGACGTGCAACGCATACAGAGGTGAAACAGCCAGCCAAGAACGAAGACGTCTTCACTCCAACTATTTCAATCATCATCATGCACAAGCATTGTGCAGTTCCTTTCGTGGTAGAAAGGTCTGCATCGCTATCGTTGAGAACCGACAAATTTTGCTTTTGTTTAGCAATAGAGAGCATGGTTACAACTAGAATTATCAGATTCTCTTTGGTGCACTATTGCACTGCCGGTCACTTGATACACTCTGTTGGGTCATTGGGTATTGTTGTGCGTAAATGGGCTATGCTGTTGGGTCACGTATTGGGTCAGCTGGCTCAATACCAGTAGGCACCAGTTCTGCCCCCAGCAGGCACCATGCACATCATGAGACCAGTGGGCACCAGCAGGTGCAGCTTGGAGTTTGACCTGGGGCTGTTGACACTGGCAGGCAACCAGAAGGCACCAGAGGAAGGAGACCTCGATACTTGCAAGCAAGTATTCACGATTGATTAAACGTAACAATTCAGATATCTCTCTAAGACGATTTCCGTCACATTAGGTTCTATGTATCGGATTCTCGTTCGTCTACTATTTGTTTCCAACGTGGATCTTATCATGGTCTCATCTACGATTGTATCATTTTCCTATGTGCATACGTCCCAAACATATATGAAATGCATGTTGCCCCACCAATGTGCGTGTCTCTGGAATCGTGTCTTCCGTTATTCCATATGTACGCGTGTTGATTCAGCAAATCGGGTCAGGAATCATGTCTGCGTTCTATAAGTTCTATCTTGCCAACCTCCGGTATATCTTATGAGGGTCCAGCCGAAGGACGTGCTGAACTCGCGTCGCAGAATATTCACGAATTCACAAATCAAGCTTTCACATTCACTCTTTCAGGGACGAAATCAGCGACGAGGTCAGGCTACTAAGCCATCAATAGTAGCTATTTCTTCTTAGCTTGTGGTCGAACCGTCCTCAACGGATGAGCTTTAAACCAAAAAAACTATGAAGATCAAACTTGTTTCTTTCGAGGACGTGCCGTATGAGAAGAAGCTTGGACGGGATATAATTGTAGATGGTTTCAAGTACAGAAACCCTGGCTTTACCTACTTCCTGTACGTGACAACTGTGTAAAAGCCAGTACATCACTCCAAAAAACTGACATTTTGACTGCGGTAGGTCGCACTATCATGCCGATCATTACCAGGTAGAACTTTCCTTTTAATGGATGCCATGATGAATCATGGATGCGGCCATACTGAAATGATGCCGATTCAAAGTGCCAAAGTGGCGCTGACGAAGATTGAACGTTTTTGCTAAATATTCGCCTATTCAATGTAGGGAATAACTGGCAAAACGTGGGACGTTGGAGTGATTTATTGTGGTCCCATTACAGCCTCCCTTCTGATCAACGTAATGCAGGTTCCAGCTCAATATGTAAAAGCTCTAGAACCCGATATACCGCATCCACTACCAAACGACCAAGGAACAGTCACTCTAATGGACGCAAATCACTGCCCAGGAGCGAACGTAATGTTATTCGAGCTCAAGGATGGACGAAACTACCTCCATGTTGGTGATTTCCGCTATGACTCGACATTACCATATCGATCTCCAGGATGGAAACGAGTATCAGCAGTGCAAATCGATGAACTCTTCCTCGACACGACGTATTGTAGACCTAAGCATACGTTTCCGAAACAAGATGTCGTCGTTAGTGAAATAGGGAGACTTGTATCCGAATACGTTAAAGCTGATGCTCAGACTAATGATAAAACGCTATTCGTAATCGCAACGTATACTATCGGAAAAGAAAAAGTCTTGCATGAGATTGCAAAAACTTTAAAATGCAAAGTCTTCGTCACAAAAGAAAAGCTTGACATCCTGAAACTACTAGACCTTGAATATATTGATATCTTTACACTTGATCCACGATCTAGCCAGGTGAATATAGTGTCGTGGAACCAAATAGGTGAAATGGCACCAGGTGGATGGAGATTCTTGCCCAACTGGGATTATTGTCAACAGTATTATGATTGGCATAACTCTTTGCATCCTGACTCGCCGTACACTCGGCTCATAGGTAAGTGTGCTGTTATCCGCTGTATTCTTCAATGTTCTCACTACATCTATGATCACAAGGTTTGGTGCCTACGGGTTGGACGTGGGAACTCTCGAAAACACTTTCACCCTCTTCCCTATATACGAGATCTTACAAGGAACCGTTCACCATCCACCAAATACCATATAGTGAGCACTCTAGCTTTGAAGAGCTCCGAGATTGTGTCAAATATGTACGACCGGCAAGAGTGGTGCCTACTGTGTTGGGAAGTAAGGCTGCAACTATAGAGGGCTACTTCAAGGATTTAGTAGATACGAAACGAGCGAAACAGAAAGGTTTCCAGTCCTTGTTTGGTAGTAGTAGTAGTGTGATTCGCTCTTCGTCGCCTGTAATTGCTACCAATGTTGAGGATGACGCGGATGATGAACCCACTGTGTTAGAAGTAGAAGAAGAGACACCAATCACGTCTATAGCAGTAATACCAACACAGCAGAATCAAGCTGAAAACGCTGTATCATGTCCATGCTGCAACAAAGTAGTGCCTGAAAAGGATATCAACGCACATTTGGACTCGTGTTTGAACAACAAGCTCGATACAATAGAGCCATCATCATCTGCCCCCAAGGTAATAGATAAACGTAAACATGCAGAGCCTATAGATAATCAATCTGCCACGAAAAGGAAGAAGACGAATGTACCCAAAGGGCAGACGACTCTGTCTTCGTTTTTCTCGTCACCACCTAAGAGTCAAAAGTAGTATAGTATGCGAAAGCTCTGTAGTTACATAGGCCTCAAATGTACACTTGCAAATATAACTTAATCGGTACATGAATGAGCACAACGGATGTGCGAAACGACATTACTTGACGAGTCGCAAATAAGCTGGAAAGGGAAACAACGTATAGAGCGTGAGTTTGGAATCGCAAGTGAGCAAAAAACGATTGTCAACCCCCCCTTACCAAAGAACAACCCTCCAAATGCACAAAACAAAGGCACCAGAGTCCTAAAAAGCTCCCAGTTGATTCCTACAAAAGCAAAATAAGCGTCAGACGTTCAAGGATGAAGATAAACGACACGGCTCCCAAACAAACCTTCTAACTGTGTCCGCAGATTTGCAACTTCCGAATCCACACGAGAAGCAGCTTCCCGTACTTTTAACTCTTGCGAGGCTTGCTCATCCCTTATCCTCCCCTTCTCTAAACTCATTTCCAGACGGACAGAAGACTGCACTCGTCTTAATTCCTCGTATACTCGTCTCCGTCTAGATCAAAGTAATTGCCACGTCAGCTTCCCATCCTGAACTATACTAATTTGCTACTTACAATTTGTCGGCCTCAGCTGACAGCCGTTGCGTATCAGCCCTCAGAATAGCGTATTGGTTTTGTTCCAGCAGCTGAAGCTCTGTTCGCACTTGAGCGAAATCGACTTTGGTTTGGTAGTGCGATTTCTCCATTTCGGATTTAAGGACCATGTTTTTCGTTATGTTTGTCACGCTAGATAGATAGGAATAGAATAGGTAGATGAGGGCATGTTTGGCTATGTTCAAATCGTTGAAGACTTACGACTCATGCACGACGTCATTGAGACTTGTCATTATCGCCTCAGCTCGTTCCCTTTCAAAAGACTCGCCTATTGATATGACATTTTGTTAGATGAGATTCGTGGTCTGCGTCATTTGGCGAAAAGGTCAACTCGTTGCGATCTATTGATCAAACACACATCACAGCACAGCACAGCACAGCACAGCAGAAGATACATGTAGGTCGACCTGAAAGCACTAAGGCTGCACATTCCGTGTCTCTGGACTCCCTTCCATATTATACAAGAGCAAGTAAACTACGACATTTGATATTAAACGTACTTTCAAGGCGGTTCACGAAGCGATATGTATCGAAATTATAGCTCGAATTAGTCGAATAAAAGGCGGCACCTCGAATCCGATGGGTTGCTCGAATGACTCTGGCTGCGTTCATCGTGGTTTGGATAAAAGTTCAAACGTTTCAGGAGTTTGGAAGATTTCAGTGATGCGAATTCGAAGTGCAACACCAGAAGAATCCGATTCCGAACGTTTTCACGTGTTTTGAGAGAGGAAATGTGGTATATTTGCTATGTTACAGGTTATAGAGAGGCAATTATTGAAAATACGCACAATAGATTCTAGCTATTAGACAGCCGTCTTCTTGAAGGCCAATGCATAAGCTGCTAAGGCAGCATCCTTGGCGGCTTTATGATCAACGATGGGCTTGACATATCCAAGTTTCTCAACTCCTTTGACACCAAGTGCACTAGTTGGGTCATGAATAGCCTTACCCTTCAAGGACGCCAATTCTGGTACGTACTTCCTAATGAATTTGCCTATCCAGTTCATCGTTTAGCCAAGACATCAAGTAAAACCTTTGCGAAAGCAGCTCACCATCGGGATCAAACTTCTCACTCTGAAGTAGCGGATTGAATATTCGAAAGTAGGGCTGCGAGTCGGTGCCTGTGGAGGCAGCCTGGTAAAATATCAAGCAAGCACAGCGTCAGTAGAGAGAGAAAACTGGAAAGAAAATCAATTACCCACCCATTGCCATCCACCATTGTTGGAGGCCAAATCAGCATCAATGAGATGCTCGTGGAAGTAATTTTCGCCCCTCTTCCAGTTTATGAGGAGATCTTTGGCCAAGAATGATGCCACAATCATTCGGGCACGGTTATGCATCCACTGAGGAGGGGAGAGCTGAGAAATAGGGAGCATCGAAAGAGAGTACTTTACTTACCCCAGTTTCATTCAACTGCCTCATACCAGCATCCACTATTGGAAACCCAGTACGACCCTGTTAGGAGAAGAACCAAAATAAGTAAAGACAGCAATTGTATATATCAATCACCGTCAACACCAACCTGGCACCAAGCTCTAAACGCTTCCTCATCATCCTTCCATACAATCTTGTGCCCTTCAGGTTTGAAACTCTTGTTCATACAGACTCGAGGAAACGCAACCAATACTTGTCGGTAGAACTCTCGCCATATAATCTCGGAGATCCAAGTGGAAGGGCCTTTTTGGCCTGCCAGCTTGTTTCCATTGGCAGCCATTGCTTTTTCAAGGCACTGACGCGCCGAGATCAAGCCTGACGCGAGGTATGGGCTCAGGGCTGACGTTCCATCCATAAACGTCTTGTCACGGTCGTCCCCATACTTTGTAATCTTGGTGTTTACAAAGTTGGTGAGCCGAGATTGAGCGTGGGCTTCTGAGGCTGGGAATGCTTCTTTGGCACGCTAGTAAGTTGGAAGAACGGAGAGAGTGAAACTCAGTATCTCGCCATAAACCATCTCTGCCAGGGACTTACAGCTGCTTTAGCGTCGTCCAGGCGGAAATCTGGATGGAAGCTTGGGACTTTGAGATGGTCGGCTACCAAGGCCGATATGTCTTCAGATAGAGAAGGCATTACTGAAGGTGCTGGCTTCAACTTCAAGAGCATCTTCTTAGACTCCTAATAGTTTTTAAGATCGAGTCAGCAGTAGGAAGGGAAGGGGGTCAAACTACACAGTAGCGCTTACTACATAGGCAATCCACGAGTTCTTGAATGGCGTAAACACAGTATAATCTTTTCCTTCTTTCGTTTTCACTAATCCTGGCCTAACTACACACTGGTCGTGACACGGAAGGACATTAATGCCCATGGTAGCCAGTTCAGTCTGTACTTTGGCATCTCTTCTAGATTCATTCACTTCGTATTCGATATTGTACCAGAGTTCAGAGGCTTTAAAGTCGGTACATGTCTGTTTCACCATTTGAATGACATCCGTTTTTGTAGGAACTTCTTTAATCAGTAGAGGAATACCCAATGATGATAAAGTGGTAGAGAGTGATTGCAATGCTCGAAAACAAAAGTCCACTTTAATGGGAGCTACCAAATGATTCTTCCATTCTTGTGGCGAGACAATGAAGAGAGCAACCAGTGGCAAAGATAGTTTCAATGCTGACTGGCTGGCGGCAAAGAGAGCAGTGTTGTCCTACAGATAGATCGGCGTCAGTTTAAAGTTTGAATCAACACAATTTTGATGGATGCAGTAGTTCACCAATGTCCTCAGATCCGTTCGAAACCACATCAATATAGACTTTCCATCAGCTATAACAGGGCCCTTGAGCTTCTTTTGAGGCTGCGATTCCTCAGAATCCTGGACAGGAGCAGCCCTCTTGCTCGACGTTGACATTTTCATGTAAAACGGCGACTGATTTGGCCGGCTTGGTATCTGTAAAGGATCAGGATGAATCCTTTTGAAGTAATTACGTATATGTAGTGTCGCTGCCAGTGGTTCTTTTGACCCGAAACGCTGAAAAGCGTGATTTTGCAAATGTGTAAACCTGGAAGTAGATAACGACAAGATCGACAACCGTTCCAGATATTTTAATCCCCGGAAACGCCATTTTACACGCTCTAACGCGAGATATGATCGCAGAATTCCATTTACGCCGACGTTCTATCACAGATTGGACTCTCGCTCGCTCGCAAGCAAACTTCACAATTCGAGCATTTCGAGGCGACTGAAGAGTAAAGGGCCATAAACATGTCAGATATAGGGCGGTACATACTCGCATTCATCGCTGTCATGGACATTGGGCCAGGTAAATGTTGCTTTGCACCAGCAGCAGACGCAGCTGGTGTAGCCGAACTTAACCTGTTTAACAAGGTATTACAAGAAATAACAATCTCACGAACTTTTTCAAGGTCTTCTGCATATCTTGTATCAGGACTCTGGCGCAGGTGACTTGCTGCTGGTTCAACATTCAAGCGTTCAATGATGGATCACTCAAGAAACACCGTCATAGGCTCTGTGGCCGGAATGAATCTCATGTATCCTAACTACAAGGACCTGGTCTATTTGCTTGGCGGCATTGGAATATCCCAAGTCGCCAGTGGAGTCAACAACTTGATGATTGTCAGTAGCGATGATGACAAGTATGTCAAACGTGCTCTGTACTTCAACCTATTCAAAGCTATTGGAGGAGTATTCATGCACTGGTTTAAACCTACGACTAAACCAATACCAAACCGGAGGAAGGCCTATATTAGTGTTGTGGTTACTGCTGTAGCTCTTTACAGCATGCAGAGAGAGGAAGAGAAGAAGTCAGAGAAGTGAATTCTATGTATTTAACAAGAATGTTAGTTTCGTCTATACTGAGGTTGATTTTGGTCGAGAAATGATTGGTGAAAGCTCATTGTTGGCTGAACGCCTCATCGCGGATTGCTATGTCTTAAATGCAGCGCATTCTAGATTGAAATTCAGTCCAGAACTACCGCCAGTCTACGTGGATCCGCCACTGTCTATGATAAAACATTAATGCTGGCGTTGACCAAGTTGCTGTTCCTTTGCGTAGCTCACACCTAAATAGAGAGGTACGTATTCAGCTGAAATATGTTTCGTTGTCGGTCGTTCCTGCTATTGTATTGTCCCTAAATCAAAACATCTCTACCTAGCAAAGTATGTTTGTCGCCTACAAGGCATAAGAAGAAATGAAACTCTTATGGCCATTCCTCGTAATTCCGTGTCATCAAACCCATACATCGTATTATTTACCAACACCATGGCTCGTAAATGCCAGTGACATCAAAATCAAAGGCGACTCAATCTACCAATGGCTCTGAGGGCCTTCCTATCAAGCTAGTAGAATACATTAACGTCTGCGATAAGACTCTAGGTCGAATGTCCTAGGCTTGTAAAACTCTCAACGCCTAGTTGAGCCTAGTAGTAGATCACGATAAAGACCTTAACGTTGAGACGGGTCTGGTACGGGCATAGGCCAATATCATACAACTTGAAGAGGTAAACTACCTGAAGGTAGCTTCACTCGAGACGTATTTAGCGTCATAAAGGATTTGACCGTCAAGGCCACACGAATAGTTGATCTATTCAATTACGCACGTCGTGGCTAGAAAAACCAAGAAGCTTAAGGTGAAATCAATCTCAGAACCAAAACCTGCTCCGACTGCTGATGAAACAGTTTCGAAAAAGTACATTTCGTAATATGTAGTCGTCGCTCGAAAAAATAACAATGATAAAATAATAATAATAATGGGCGAGAACACGCGTCAGCCAGAATGGTAAGACTATACTATTTTAACTCTCAAACAATCATATACAAAGCATTTCAACTACTCCTTGTACAAAATATACATGTTGCAGACTCGATCACCATTCAAGCTTTTCATCTCCACATGATGAGCCTGTCGCAGCAGGGATGATGATATGACCTGCAGCTTTCTCACGTTCCAGATGTTCATTGACCCATTTTTGAATGATACCTTGATAATACATAACGCCAGATTCTCGAGTTGGATGCCTGCATTCAAGACCAAAGTCAATACATTCAAAACAAGCCAATGCTATCGGTGACTTACAGGACACCAGTATCATAAATGCCAAGATTCAGGTTTTTCTGTACGGCGACACAGAGGTCATAGTCCTTCAAATAACAAAAAAAAACCGAAAAGTTACGATCACAGCGGTTATCCCATTATTCATCCCATCCACATTTTACCATACCTCTTGATCAACTTGCAACACATACTTCAAAAACGCTGCAATCGTTTCTTCAGTTGTACTACTTCGAGCAAAAACTTCAGTCACCATCCTTGTCCTAGTTGGACCAAGTGGTATAGCTGGAGGAGAAGAGCGAGTCCGATAAGTGAAAGAAGAGCGGAAACAATACCTTGTTGAGTGCTAAACTTACCTCGTTGAGTAGTAAATACTGGCGAATAGGTGTTGATTGCAAAGTTTGGGAACATACACAACCATAGACCAGGCGATTCTCCTGATGATGTTTTTGATCGAGTAGCTTTGCGTTCAACATGATGTTCGGAATAGTTGTGATGGTTGTCTATTTGGTATGTCTTGATTTCAAAGTCTTCGCTCAAGGTAGGGTGAACGATTGTGCAGTGATAGCACTGTAGTAGAGAGGATATATTAGGTGTGATAAATGAGCGACACGGAAAACTATAATATCGTAAATCATGATATGCGAAGCACTTGCCTCCTGGAAACCATCAACAAATGTCTTATAGTTGAAGTCAAACTCACGTACAATCGTCGAGTGGCTGTGTGACAAAAAAGCTGTTAAAATCACTTCATCTCAAACATGTCTCCAACAATTTATACTTACTAATGATAGTTCTCAAAATCAGTACTCTTGAACTTATCCGCAAGACCTTGAAAATGTTCTTCGAATGGTACAACCTTTTCAGACGGAGCAGACAAGTTGACAAATATAAATCCAGCATCCGTGACATGTATTCGAATAGGAAACAAGCTGAATTGAGTCTTGTCAAAGCTTGTGACTTTATCGAATGATGGTGCTTTGACCAAGGCACCAGAAGTATTATAGGACCATCCATGATAGCGGCAGCCGAGTACAGTTGAAGAGCCAGATTCCTTTTGGACCACGGGTGCAGCACGATGTCGACAAACTATTCTCAGAGAATCATGAGTGACACAAGGTCGACCAAGAAAATTGTAGGTCCAATCAAAGGATCGCTGGAGCGAGGATAAGAGCCAGCTGACCTCACTGCCTTGACCTCACAAACACAACTCACCATTCATAAATCCACGGACCAAACCATCTTCACCGAGAATCAAGATGATGGGATATCCTCCCAAATCAAGTGAGTGGTAGTCACCAGCCTTCACAAATCGTGAGCGATGTGCAGCATACAACCATTTGGAAGCAAAGATTGCTCGTTTTTCAAGTTCGAAATGTTGGGCGTCATGATACCATTTGGCTGGCAGAGTATTCTATGAAAAGTATGATTATTTTAGGATTTAGATTTCAATTTATATGCAAGATAAAATGCTGTATGCAAAAACTGCAATGTCAGCAGACTCACTTGCAAAGAAGGGTTTGATGTCAGGGACGGCGAAGAGTCAGATGTAGAGGCCATGGAAACCTTGAGAATCCGTATATATTTGTATCCGTTGAACTATGGGTCGCTACACTTGGAAGTCAAGATGTATTATAGCGAACGGAGCTTTGTGCTACTCACTTTTGTGGTGTGAGTGGTTGAACACGTTTGAGGCTCAGGAAATGCCGCTCACCTACCAGCATGTTTGCGGGAGGAAACCCATCATAAATGATAATTATTAATTATATAATTATTGTTGAGTCGACGAGTCGACATTGTTGCAAACCCTATCATCCCACACAAACCGTCATCCCAATTTATTAGAGTATGTGAGGAGACTAAACATACTACTAAAGAGTACTAAAGTTGCAGTGTTACCACTTGAAGTCCTCGCCGCAAGTGTCACAGTCCTCAGCTTCAGGTGCTACAGTTGCAGCAGGCAAAATTATATGACCTGCAGCTTTTTCACGTGCTTTATGTTCATTAACCCATTGTCGGACGATGCTTTGGTAAAAAATTACTCCTGATTCGCGAGTTGGATGTCTACATGAAAGAAACAAAATCGAACGAATGAATCGAATGAAAGAAACAGGAAATCAGCTTTGATTCCGTAACAGGACGTACAAGGTGCCGGTATGATAAATCCCAAGATTCAAGTTCCTTTGTGCGATCAGGCAGAGGTCGCAATCCTAGATCGTCGAGGATGAATGTCGTGTTATGCAACAACAACAAAAACGAATCCTTACGACGAATGGCACCTACCTCTTGATCAACTTGATTCCCATACTTTAAAAACTCTGCAATAGTCTCCTCTGACGTAGTCTTTCGAGCAAACACCTCTACAACCATTCGTGTCCTGGTTGGCCCCAGCGGTATTGCTCTTTGAGTACTAAATATTGGCGAGTAACAATTCAAGGCAAAGTTGGGCAGCATAAAGAGCCATAAACCCTCTGACTCTCCAGACGCTGTTTTGCTGCGTGATGCTTTGCGTTCGACGTGGTGTTCACAAAAGTTGTGAAGATTTTCGATTTTATACGTCTTGATGTCAAAGTCTTTGCTCAGACCAGGATGCGCGATTGCACAGTGATAGCACTAGAAGTGGTAGAGTGTGAGATTGTGATGACGCCGAGATTGTAAGATTGCAATGAAGTAGTGGCAAAAAGAAGCGAAAGAATTGGGTCTACGAATGAGTGTTCAACGAAACACCAGTAGAGTTACCACCAATCACGTTACCTCCTGGAATCCATCGACAAAGGTCTTGTAGTTGAAATCAAACTCGCGTGAAAACGTTGAATGACTACAGGTTTGGAATCTTGTAAGTTCACGACCAACGACGAGGAAAGACCAGATAAAGCGAGAAATGCAGCTTCTTACAATTGATAGTCCGCAAAGTCAATACGTTTCAGCTTCTCATCAAGTCCTTCGAAATGTTCCTCGAACGGCACTACCGTCTCATGCGGAGCAGCTAAGTTAACAAATATGAAGCCAGAGTCCATTACATGTACACGAACAGGGAACAAGCTCAATTGAGACTTGTCAAAACCCTCTACATCTTCGAAGGAAGGAGCTTTCACTAGTTGACCGAAGCAATTATAGGACCATCCGTGATAGCGGCACCCTAGGACGGTTGAAGATCCGGACTCCTTGTGCACTACAAGACCGGCTCGGTGCCTACAAACTGTGTCATGGAGCAACGGTTGATCAGAAGTGTGACTGATGCATAGTCATCGATTACACACACCGTTCATAAACCCACGCATCACACCGTCTGGGCCCAGGATTAAGAAGATAGGATAGCCTCCCAAATCGAGTGAAAAGTAGTCCCCAGGTTTCTCAAATCGTGAGCGGTGGGCAGCGTACAACCATTTTTGTGCAAAGATTGATCGTTTTTCAAGTTCGAAATGATCTGAATCGTGAAACCATTTGGCTGGCAGAGTTTGCTATCGATTTGAAGATGTTGTATGTATGAGAATGACTGTAAAATAATTGCTCCACAATGCAAAAACCTCAAAGCTTACCTGCAAGATGGGTTTGGAAGGCGTTTCCTTGCTGTCCCTTGTTGGGGAGGTGGATGAAACTGGCGGAGTCATATTATCTTGAATCTCGGTATGTTATCTACCGGATCTCCGTCTTATGAGACACAGTTTACCAGGTCGAGGCAAAGCAGCAAGTTTCGAGTTTGGGGTTTTGTGGGTTTAAGGTCGCAGGAGCAGACTACATGCCTTCTGACATAAATAAACAGGAGTTATAAACCACGATATGTGGAATATTTAAGCATATGACGCGTGCGTGTGCCAGTTCAGCAGAGTACATGGCATCGATCGTGGATTATTCAAACAAAACTTACAAAACCGGTTTCTATCTCCAAAGCGGTGCGAACAAGGCAAACGATGGCGTTCGTGAGTTCGTGCTCAATATAAACGTCAATTGACTTTACTTTACTGTGAATCGCGCACTGTTCTGCATTGCAACTTGGTTGCAACTTGTTGCTTCGTAAACACTGACGCACCGTTCCATTCTTTTTTGTAGATACGTCGAACACTACGTACCTAGTCAAGTTGGTTCTCATAATCACTTATAGATAGCTGGCCTCGTATCCCATCCTTAAAATACTTGATTCTGCCACGTACCGACTTTACAATCTTTCCAACAAATCCCAACCAATCCCATCTTCGACAAGACTACCGCACATACGCACAGTTGGAGCCCGGTACAGATTTAATAACTACCGATGGCCACCAGCGATGCGCCAAAGCTTCCGGAAAAGCGTTATCTTCTCGTTTGGATTCACGGCTTCATGGGGTATAACAGGACAATCGATCTGCTTTGAATCAACTGACCAAACATTCATACGTTCCATAGATCGGACGAGAGCTTTGATTCCTTCCCGTTGGACGTATTGAGATCCTTGCGCGATAGTTATGGTCTTGTTGGGATAGAAGCACGGGTCTTTCCACAGTTTGAAACTCACGGTGATCCAGAAAAGGCTGTCGTGAAACTCATAAACTGGTTATTACTACATGCAACAACTGCCGAATATGATGGTGTTTTGCTACTCGCACATTCGATGGGTGGTATGTTGCAAAATGCTCAACTTTGCAGCAGGCCAGTGGCAGTTCACCACAGACTCACAGTTCGCTATTACATGTAGGACTCATGGCCTGTGACGCATATAGACAACTATATAGAGTCAACACCAAAGCTAAAGTGCAAAGCAGGAGCGAATGGCTCTTCGATACAGCCAAGAACGCAGGCCAATTCGTCCTTGAACGAGGAATGGCCGTCGCCGATGTAGTTCGCATGCCAGTACGATTGATTGAACATATCAACGTCCCCAAATTCGTTGACGATATAAATAGAGAAATGGATTCCGACGATAGATGGGCTGAAGAGGGTGAAATCCGATTTCCGATAAAAGTCGAGCATGGCGACCTAGTGGTATTGCATGACTCAAATACCACTGAGCCTGCCATATCATTAGAGTCTACTATATCGGAAGCCCTTTCATCCGGTGAATGGATGTTTGTACTAAGTCCAGATGGTGACGAGTTTAGAATGGTGCCTTGTATCCGTGCTCAGAATGACGGGGATATCTCGCCTACTCTAGTATCGGAACAAATCCATGAGTTGAAACAAGCATTGGGTGAGTGATCTACTATGCTGATTTTCTTGTTTTGTTTCTACCTTATGACAACTGGACTTAATTGTCTTCATGATGTTGCAGGAGATTATGTGTATATAGTGAAATTGGGTCAAAATGGTATATTAAGACTATGTAAAGCTGCTGAGAGACCACGGTTGAACGAAGAAGAGTTGACTCAATGGTGGGCGAATCTGTGGAAGCACGACGGTAACGGCAATAAAAGCAATACTATCAGTGAACGTGCCGAATCCAAGAAGCCAAACCCAGCTTCATATGGAAGAGCACCACCACCCTTACCTCGACGAGAAGAAGATACAAAGACTCTTAGTATCGAGACCACTATGGCGAGTAGTGGCAACACCGAAACACCGCCTGAAAGTAGTCTTACACCAATAACTGGCTTCACCGACGATATGGGCAGTGTCAGATCAGAATCATCGAGAATTGTCGACGTGAATTCCATCCAAGGTGATAAAGAGACCATGTTTTCAGCACCGCCAACTCCCATACCTAGAGACTCGATGGCTGGCTCGTCTAGACCAACATCCATGGCTGATTCCTCTCGACGTACTTCTTATGCTGATTCAGCAAGACGAGCAGATTCTATTAGTGACCTGAATCCTCGAGACCTCGTAAACATTGTGGGCATTGTATGTTTCGACTCGCCTTTCTTTGGGCTTCACCGCGCAATCTACCACAAAGCTGCAGGAGAGCGTATTGTATCATTTGCTACTGAGGTTATACCCTCTGCTGTGCGTGAGATTCCAGGAGCTATTCCCAGGGCTATTGGTGAAATGATTCCTCAGAAGATTGCAGGATTCTCGATGCCATGGTACGTTTTCAATCGCTGCTTTGAAGGTGTACTCAATGCCCAAGTTCTTCTCAATCTTTTTCTTTCACCAGGAAATACACTGAAGTTAATACTCCAGACGCCGTGGAAGTCGCCAAGGACGGATTCTCAATGGGCAAAGTCGTAACCTTGCCAGCTGATGGTAGCGATGCTATAATGATTCGTGATGATCCAACATGGAGGAATTCAACATCATCACTTGGCAGTCGTCCAATGTCTAGTGGTTCATTGGATGAACCATCTGGACTACCACCACCACCATTACCGAAACGTGCATCATTAGCTGATGTTGCTGAAGAAATCACTGGTATTGATATAATAGTGTCACCAACATTATCTTCATCTTCAGCTTCGTCATCCGCTGTACCAAGTAGTTCTTCACAGGTGCTTATGGCAAAGGACACCGATGGTGCTGTTAGACCTATGCAGAGACTCCGTACGGCAGGAAACAACGTCAAGAATGCATTGGTTGCTTCAGGTTAGCGGCATGAGTAGAGCTTCCCGGTGGCTTTTTTTGACTGAAGTCTTCTTCCTAGGAAAATCAATGTGGTCTGAAACACGAGAAACAGTCGTCCACACCGACTGGAGGCCTATAACGACTACTGTGCTCGGAGTAGGCGCAATTGCTGGTGCATCTGTTATCGCTCCTGCGCTGGTCGGTGCTTCGATTGGAACCGCTATCGTGCAGAAAGTTGCCGTCATAGTAGCATTGAAATACGGTGACGCAGCAAGAGCTCATCTTCAATTCTTGTATCCATTGTTTGGCGGATCTTCGGTGAGTACCTGTCTCAGTATGCGCAGGGCAAACCTGAACATTCTCCAATAAAGCATCGTCTTTGTTTGTACTTGTAGGATCTGGCTAGTCGGATAGATGATGTGATTTTAGAGGTTGAGAACGGTCACCTCAAAGGATTCCGTGTCTTCTTTGTCGAGGTATTAGCTAGATTATCGTGAGACCGTTTTTGCGCATTAGTGTTAACACATCTACCCTATGCCACTAGTTGCCAGAATCAGAAGGACCACCCAAAACAGTAGGAAATCCGGCCCCTTCAAAAATCGATGCCATTGTGCAAAAACATATGCACAAGACAGACAAACACCCAGCTGTCGCACCAGCAGCTCAAAGAAGGACATTTGTTGCTACTCCACCACAGAAATACGCACATCTCTTCCGATCTGTTGAGACCGAATCCAAAGATGAGATACACGGCCATATGAATATGTTTAGTCGTGAATTGAATCCTGGACATTATTGGAATTTGGTGAATTCCTCGGCAGAAGAGATTGCTCAGGTGTTGAGGAAATCGGCACCTGTTGCTGCTTCGTAGTTTGATTTATGATTTGATTTATGATCTGATGTACATAGCAAGATATAATACAAGATGGTTGCTGAACGAGACGTGTATGCTTGGATTTTAAGAAGAAAACGAATATCGCGTTTGATCGTGTGTTGGTCTGCTTGCTGCAGTTGCTGCGTTTTTTTTTTGCAACATTTTTTTTGATCAAACAAGCTTAAGGAACTACTCCAGAGCAGCCAGCCATGAGCGGACAGGCAGACCAGACAGAGGAACACATCATATCAGCAGATGACATTCTTGTCAAGCTTCCACATCCCCAACAAGATGCTGAGATGCAAGGTGTTGAAGAAGACAAACCAAACTTTCCAGCACTTAAACCACAAGATTTAATGGTATGTCCTGACTATCTTGTATTGAATTTGTTGTATAGAGTCGCTCTCGGTTGAGATATTGAGGAAGGGAACGAGATGATATTAATCAAAGAGTCAAGCACTGAAAAAAAAACTTGTTGATGCTTTTATTGAAACTGATTCCCTTCAATGCGAGAGAGCATATAAGATCATTTATGAGCAATGTTATTGCTGTTAAAGATGAACTATTAGCATAAGCTAATCCTTCTCTGTTGGACTCTTTTTGTTAGAGTGGCAAAAAGGAGACTCGACGAGTCTTGATACCTCCTCATCGATTGACACCGTTAAAGAAGAACTGGATGCAGATATACACGCCGCTAGTGGAGAACATGAAGCTGCAAGTTAGGATGAATCTGAAGGCTAGAGCTGTTGAACTGAGAGTAAGGCATTAACGAGGTACACGAGAGGCTTTTTTTGCTGACATGGTTTCTGTTGTCCTTAGACGTGCCCAGAGACTGAGGAGACAGGTGCTCTACAGAAAGGAGCTGATTTCGTCAAGGCTTTCAGTCTTGGATTTGAGATTGATGTATGTGGTAGATGTGTTTGAAGCTGTACCTGTATTCGTTATCTCCGCTATTTGCATCAGTAGCTCATCCAACTCACCATATTCATCGCATGTAGGATGCCCTGGCTCTGCTCAGACTAGACGACATATACATTGACACATTTGAAATCAAGGATGTCAAAACCCTACATGGCGACCATCTCTCGCGAGCCATTGGCCGAATAGTGGGCAAGGACGGCAAAACACGATTCGCCATTGAAAACGCTTCGAGAACACGTATCGTGGTAGCAGATTCCAAGATTCATATCTTGGGATCGTTTGGAAATATCAAGATTGCTCGAGATGCTGTTGTGAATCTCATATTGGGTGCTAGTCCGGGAAAGGTGTATTCGCATTTGAGGATTGTGGGAGCTCGTATGAAGGAGGTATGGACATGTTTTTTTTTTTTTGTTGTTGGTTTTGTTAACTGACTGTGTTTTACGCTTGTTAGAGGTTCTGAATGTGAATGCTAGTAATGAAATGCTCTTCTTCATCTTTGTATATACACGTATTTCAACAATTATATAATTGGTGTCCATTCTTTGGGATTTGCTGCGACACTTTCTTGTTTTGTCCAAGTCATATTCACGAGACTCGCAAGACTGATTCGACCTTCGCAGAGGCCACAAGACCCATCTATGACGAGGATCGGCCACAGACACGTATTGGAAGAGGTGACATAAATTCCGTCCCCCCAGAAGGTGAGTTTTTAGTATTCGTCCGTTTCTCAGCATTAAAAATAGTGCTGAATCTAGGCAAAATGATTTCATAGATCCATTGATTTCTGCAGTGGCATCAAAATTCGGAGATTGCAGTGGAAATCGCAATTGTTTTAGGCTAACGACCAAACGTTGATTTTCAACCTTCGCAGGCAGTGTGTTGCCACAGCTGTCGTGTCGGAGTGTTTTCGCATTACCATGAATACTGGATCTGTATCATTAAATTTGGCATGCTTGCCCGCTGTCTGATTAGTATTCCGTGGTAGAGCAGGTTGTCGAAACTTGAAGCACAAAATTTCTTGACAGACTCTGTATTTCAATCAAGTAATACACCAACAATCAACGAGAGAGAGAGAGAAATTAGATGTGTAGTAACAGCGAACCGACGTGCTCATTTAGTTCGAGCAGTCAGATTAGGAAACCACCTTTTAATCTTGGTCCACAAGCCATTTTCGTTTCCATCCATCGAGGCAAAGGAGGCGACGTGGTAATTGGGACCTTGAATTTCACCAAAGTAGAAAAAGAAACAAGAGATGCGATGCATCCAACAAAAAAAGACAAACAGAAGATGTGTCGCAACGACATTCGATGCCATCCTCTATTTCCCATCATCCAATACACACAGCTGATACAAGATCTAATGAATGCATGAGATTTGATTAGAACTCAGGCGTTTAACGGAGCGATATCCACTTTGAGATCGAAAAAAAATAAGGCAAAAAAAAAACCTTGGAAGCTTCACTCGATGCACGGTCTTTCCCAACCAATCAAACGCCACTTACTTTCTAACTCCTAATGATGGAGAGATATGATGCATCATCATCTCCAGCCCTCCCTTTTCACTCATCCCCTATGATGTTTTGAGTTTGATGCATGTCAAGAATTTCAGAGCTCGATCAACGATCAACCGACTGAAACCGAAAATAACCAGGAAAATAAATTAGATTTCGCTGCGTATATCCGTTTCTCACGTAATTGCACCTCAGGAACGTTGGCCAGTTGCTCAATGTGCGTCGTGAGTCTTCGAAATTCATTCTCCACAACCAAACTCAATTTTCCACAGGATTCGAGCACGGGGTCGACATTTTAAGCCTGTAAATCATCAGGATGCATGAGAATACACGTAACTTCATACCTAGCTGTCCGCGATCTGGGCTTTCACGTGGCATTGAAAACCCTTTTGAGTTCCGCTCAAATTGAATTTGTCGCTGTAGACTTAAGCAATTACAACAATGGCCGACGAGGCAAGTCGTTATCAATTTCACATGCATTTTTACTGTATCCTAACTGCCTTTGTACTTTAATAGAAGGTGTATTCTGTACCTGAGTTGGCTCCTTTTATAAAAACGACTGGTGTTTCAATCGAGCTGCCTGGAACGAAGGAAAATGGATTTTCTGGTACGTTTTCTTCTCTTGGAACTTACAGGCCCTAGTCCTCGTCGGTCATGCATCGTGGTGACGTGAAATCGCGCTTCAAAATGCATGAGATTTGACCCCCTTTCATAATATTTTTGCCTCAAACCACAACCAATGTTTCATGCTTCATCATGTTCTTTGTTTGCAATGGATCGCTCTTCCTTTCGTATTGTGCATCTCTTGAGTTGGTTGCTAACTTCCCTCTCTCAACCCCACAAACACAGGCATCTATCGATCTGCACTCTTGCCAAACAAACTAGTTCACGGCTGGAGCGATTGTAAAACAATCTATGAAGCTTTCGAGTCTGGTTGTGCAAAGGCGGGCAAGGATGCTCCTTGTCTCGGTCACAAGGAACGCCAAGTTAGCAATGGTGTCGTTACTTGGACTGGCTATGTATATCAATCTTGGGCAGAAGTCGGGCGTCGTCGTCTAGAATTCGGAGCTGGATTGCAAGAGATCCGTGCTAGTATCGTCAAGGCTGACGTAAATGACAAGTGGCCTGTTGGTATCTATGCCATCAACAGGTATCCATGTTTTGCTCTAGAGCTTTTCTTGCTGCCAGTTGCTAACACAAGCTTATTTTGCAGACCAGAATGGTATATCACCGACCACGCCGTCCACGCATACTCAAACATGACAGTCGCACTCTTTGACACATTGGGGCCAGATTCAGTCACCTACATCATCAATCACGCCAACTTGAGTGTCGTAGTATGCAGTATCGAACGAGTACCAAACTTGTTGGCTGTCGCTTCTCGATGTCCAAGTCTCAAATGCATCGTGTCTATGGACTCGTTGACTAACCCAGGAGTCATTCCTCAACCTGGGTCTCTGTTGAAACAGTGGGCTGCTGAAAAGGGAATTACCTTGTTGGGCTTTGGTGAAGTTGAGGCTTTGGGTCGTGCTCATCCTCATCCTTTACGCAAGCCTGCTCCTGAGGATATCGCTACCTTGTGTTATAGTAAGTTTTGCATACTTCACTCCTTGATCATCATGGTTTTTTTGTGCTGACCCAGCCTCTTTCTGGAAAAATAGCTTCTGGAACTACAGGCAATCCAAGTAAGTGATTTTCGTCAATGAGTGTCATTGACGCCGATTGGAAACTCACATTGTTGTTCCGTATCTCTAGAGTAAGAGGAGACTTCATCCGAAGGCGACGAATGTCAGATTTTAGCGCATTGTTTCACTTGCTGAGAGGCCAACAAAACACAATATCACTCTAGGGGCGCAATCGTCACTCATGATAACTTTATTTCATCTGCACATGCTCTACAAATCATTGGTATTGACTTTTCAGCTGGTCAGCGATACATTTCATACTTGCCTCTGGCGCATATCTATGACAGAAACAATTTGGTCGGTGCTACTCGTGGTGGTTGTGTAATTGGTTTCTCCCGTGGTGATGGTATGTACCCGTTGAAGGCAGTTTTCAGAGTATCACGGTAGACTCTGTAGGTTTTTTTTGTGGCATCCAAAACAAACCAACATTTTCCAATAGTCGCATTACTCTTTGCCGACATTGCCGAATTCAAACCCCACATATTCGCATCCGTACCTCGTCTCCTCAACCGTCTACACGCAGCCATCATGAATGCAACTGTAAACTCTAATTCAAAAGTGACTTCAACTCTTTTCAAAATGGCACTTGATGCCAAAACTGCCAATTTGAACAATCATGGTACTTTAACACATTCATTGTGGGATCGGTTGGTGTTTGCCAAAGTCAAGAATCTTTTGGGAGGAAACGTCAAACTCATTACGAGTGGAAGTGCACCGATTTCTGGTGAAGTCTTGACCTTCCTTCGAGTTGTGTTTAGTTGTGAGGTTGTGGAAGGATGGGGAGCAACTGAGGTGAGTCCTGAAGGTATAGCGGAATGCTCCTCTTGTAATACCCATGTTTTTTTGGTGTTCTCATAGACCGCTGCCTCTGGAACAGTCAACTTGCAAACTGATTACACTTCTGGCGGAAAGATTGGTGCCATCATTCCTTGGTATATTGTATAACAACACCTATTCCCATTGCCGCAAAAGTTGATAACACAGATCTGTGATTGCATAGCTCTGAAATTCGATTGGCTGACATTCCTGAAATGAAGTATACTTCAACGGACAAGCCCTTCCCCAGAGGTGAAATCCTCATACGTGGTCCTAACGTGTTCCAGGGCTACTACAAGGATGTTGAAAAGACCAAGGAAGCTCTTGTTGATGGATGGTGAGTCGAGATGAGATTGTTCGTTTTTGTGGTCAACTGATATGTTCTCGTTGTAATGTTAGGTACTACACTGGAGACGTTGGTGCTATTGATGAGAAGGGTCGCTTGCAAATCGTTGATCGGTATGACAGTATCGAGATTTTACCTTTGTGCTCATATCTGACACTGTCCTATCCTGAACTTTAGACGCAAGCATATTTTCAAGTTGGTAAGTACCGTCTGTATTGACAGGCAGTTCCTGCGTATTTTGACAGGAATGCTAAATCTTTTCTGGAATGTTCATAGGCTCAAGGAGAGGTGAGCGCAAAAGACACCATGTTGCTGTTCGCTCAATACATAGCTTACATTGTTTTCTCCCACTAGTACGTTGCTCCAGAGAAGCTAGAAAACATTTTCTTGCAAAGTGACTACATCATGCAATGCTTCGTGTGGGGTGATTCTCTCCAAGTATGCGTGCTATGGTTACGTTCTTTACCACCTTTTTCCTCACATCAAACACAACACCCACACGATTAGAACTGTTTGGTAGCTGTGATTGTACCAGAAGCAGAAACTTCCATGAAACTTGCCATGGAAAAAGGATGGCTCCCTAAAGGAACACCTATTCCAGCTCTTGGTGTTCAATCCGATGGCTATGTTGCCTTGAGTCGTGATGCTCGATACAAGCAACTTGTGTTGGCTGATATGCAAAAGGTGAGTTCTTTGATTGGAGATTACGAAGCAGTGTTGTACGAATCGTGATCTATGAATTGGATATGTCCTTTTTGTGTTTTAGCTTTTTTGCTCCTTTCCTAACCTTTACACTATTTGCACAGTTGGCCAAAAAGTACAAACTCTCAGGCTTTGAGATTCCCAAGGACGTTTTCGTAACCCCTGAAATGATGTCCATTGACAATGGATTGTTGACACCTACTCTCAAAGTTATGAGAAATGTTGCAGCTGTAAGTTTTGGCTTGCTCGAGTCAAAGTTTCCGGGAAGACAGAACAACTGATACGCGTGTTTTGAATGAAAATAGGAAAAGTTCCGTCCTCACATTGATGAGATGTATGGTAAAATAAATGCATCTGCCAAGGTTGAAGATTTGGGCAAACTGTAAAAGAAGTTGATTTTGGTGTCTGATTTCAAACATTATAAACTTTTTCGTGTCGTGTGAAGTAAAAAGCAACGAGTTTTTTGTTTTGCGCTTTGCAGTAGTACAGTAGTATATTGGAAAGGTTCTAATATGCGACGATTGAAAAAAAGGGGACATGAGTCGACATGCACAAGAAGTGTTGAAATCTCAGCCAAGCTTTCAGGAGCCATGAGGGCCACATTAAGGCTCGTGCCAAACATCAAAGCTGCTATAGGCACTCCAGTAGCTATAGAACTAGATGGTTCCAGGTGTATCATCGGAAGGAGCAGTGTAAGTCAACTTCTCGCCCTGTGTTGTTAGTGTTTGTTTAAAGATCGGGTTTGGCCAAAGGAGATGTGGACACGTCCATACATAAATCGTATCTGCTCAGCAGTAGATATGACTTTGGATCTCGCTCTAGGGCTTCTACTAACTTGAAATGCACTGTCTGACCCAACATCACGTTTTTTTCAGATCCGATTGTCGGTGGTAATAAACGATGCTAGCATATCAAGAGAACACGCTCAGATTGCCTTCAAACAAGATACACAGTCGTATACTATAAAGGATATGGGTAGTACGAATGGGGTAAGCTTGTGTAGAATCCAAAATTATTGCTTCTTTTGACTTTGGCAGGAAAGCAACGACCTAATAACATCAATTTTAGGTCGCCATCAACAATATCAGAATATATGCCATGACTGAAGTCCCGCTCTCATTTGGAGACATGATTGTATTTGGCCCTGGCCTCATGTATCCCCAAGGAAGTGAGATTTCAACCATCTACCCGCACACATATACATATAGATTCGAACAGTATCAACAAGAACAGCAACAACCGCAGCCAAATCCACCTGTACCGAGTATACAACAGTCAAGCAGCTTGAAGCGACGACGTGACGACGACGACGAAGGAGACGATATCACGCAAAAGATCAAAGGAACAGCACCAACGAAAACCACATCAGACGATGAATTCTTCCAAAATGAATTATGCTGCCCGATATGTATAGGATTGTATAGTAACCCCGTCATGCTACCATGTGGACATTCGTTTTGTGAGGTGTGCTTGAAGACATGGATAGATGGACAGACCAAAAAGTGTTGTCCGACCTGTCGAGCAGCCGTGTCAAGGAAATCTTTGCCAATCCGGAATCATGCTTTGCGCAGTACTGTGGAGGCCTGGAAGGCTAAAAAGAAGACATAAGCGATGTTGTGGACATGATGAAGGGCGGGGAGTATGGGGATGTCGTAGAGAGCTTTTGCTATTGTAAGATAAGTTTGATTCGGTTTCGCATGTATGATTAGCACGTGTATTTTGTCAATGCCTCGTATCATATGAAAACACTCTTGTAAAGGAGAGATGGTTCGACGGCAGGCAGGGTAAGAGACAAGGTTGCATGTTGCAACGTAGTAGCCAGTGACAGTGTGCCGCCGTTAAGGTCGAGATCTGGGCTTTCGTCCGGCCTTCACCAGCAAGAATTCTTTACACATGTGATACTTTCCTGTGGAGAACCGCAGCTTCTTCGACGTGATTCGGTACCATATCCTGATGCCGATGCGGAAGGAAAAAGTTAATTGCTCGGGCTATTACGTCCTCGTGTCGACACAATAGTCTTATATCCTGAGAAAGTGGAGTTTCAATTTCTGACTTTCTTGACAACACAACATCCACCAAAAAAGGGCAGAGAGGCAGGGAGAGATAGATTTGGTATGTGCTTCTAAGATGTCATCCATCAGGTATGTGGATGCTTGCTTGTCAGCTTTCTGCAATCGAGAAATCCAAGTTGTTTCAATACTAATTTTTGAATTCGTCGTTACAACCCAGTTTCATACCAACTCAACATTCCACCCACATCAATCTATCTAGATTTTTGTCCATCGTGAATGAATGCGCTGCCTCCTCCTTGCTGTAGCCACCCCACGCTAATCATGTTCATCAACACTCCCAACACAAAGAGCGGTTTGATCTCTTCCCCAATAGTTGGCACCGGTCTTCACGAGCGTGGACCGACATCAAACTATCTCCCAGCTGTACGGCCCCGGTACAGCTGTAGGCAGAGCTTTGCTAAACTCCACCTTCAGGTGGTTGGCACATGCATCCATCCGTCATTGGACGAGCGACGTTGCAAATGTGATGCACCCAAGTAACAGCATATCGACGGAAAAGCCACGTCGGCAGGAAATGGGTACCTGCGAAATGGGTGGTGCCTTTACTGTAGCCTTTTTACTCTCTGGAGTGGCACACTGAAGTTTAACGAGACCGGCTCTGACTGATTTCGATCGGCTTTGAAGCTCAAGGGCAAAAGGAAGTTTTTCGCCTTTTAGACGTCTAGAATTATGTGTCGTTTTACTGTGTCTTTGCTGTACTTGATGCTAATTCATTGTCTTGGCTGTTTAGGTCTTGCGCCTTCTGAAACTCCTCTTATAACTCGTTCTATCGAGTCCAGCTCGCCACCGTGCCAATGTGGCCATAGCCAGTTCCTGAAAAACACAGAGGAGCACCTACATAGACGGATGAGCAAAAGTTTGGTCGCAACCATTTGTATCTTTTTATGGTGAATAAAAAGCAAGCATATATGAACCATTTATTGACTTGCTGCCCTTCTAAGGAGATCGAGTTGTTCTGTCCGCTTGCGCCGAGAAACTGCAATCTTGAAAATACATATCAAAAACAGATCCCTGCGGTTTTGCAACAATTGAAGCCTAGGGAAAGATAGCGCGGTATGTGCTCAGCTAAACTTGCCCATCCTTGTGTAATTCTCCTCTCGCATTGTCGCTCATCACCACATCTTTTCGCTAGATCTGTTTGACCACCTCGTGATAAGAGGAATTCTTGAAGCTAGATTTCGCATCTCTATTAGCTCGTATAAATAATCTTTACCTGACGATGGCTCGTAAAGCCAAAAAACTGAAGGTGACATCAACATCAACGTCAAATCCTCCTCCAGCGACAACTAATGGAATAGCATCAAGTGGCACTTTAGAAGGTCTTCCCATCGAATTAGTAGAATACGTATTACATTACTCGAACGATAAGACTCTAGGACGTATGGCTCGGGCCTGTAAAACTCTGAACGCTATGGTCGTCCCAACACTCTACGAGTGTATTAAAGAAATAGACCAGGATGAATCTCACAAAACCTTTGAGATGGGTCTTGGAAGATCATGGACCAATGTCATCAGACGAAGAGCAAAGCTACCTGATGGCAGTTTCACACAACACGTATTTAGGGTTATAAAGGATTTGACAATCAAGGCTAGCCACAACTTTTGGGTGGATAAGATGGATGAGCTTGTATCGTTGACTGAGCTTCGCATCTTTACACTCAACCCGCCGACGAAGAAGTTGCATGTCCCACCCACAGTGACCGATTTATCCATTGATTACACTCATGACGAACGAGGGCTTAAAACTGTCGTGCCCACTTTAAATAGGATTAGACGTCTGAACTTTGCCGGACCATTTGACGACAATATGGAATATTTTAGTGGGTTTCTTGACAATCTACAACTAGAAGAACTCACAATAACTTGTACGAAATCGTGGGGACTTGCAAAAATTACTCCCGCGATATGGAACCACTTGAACGTCAGCAGGTTGAAGGTTGTTCGCATAACTCATTGTCTGGTGAGTATCGGCGAGAACTTGCTAGGGAATCTAACTCATCTAGAACTTCACGATCTTGAATTGGAGGACTTTACATATTCTCAGACAGAACTCAAAGTATTTATAGCAATCGACGTATCGGGACTGTCTTTGGAAGTAGTCAATACCATCATCGAGAATAATAGAGGCCTAGAGAAACTGTCATTAACTCGCGCAGACGTTATCGTAAACGTAACCGATAGCCCCATCTTTAATCAACTGCCAACCACTCTAAAAGCCTTATATGTACCGCCGTTAATGGCGCAGAACTATGGCTTGCAGGAATTCCTGGAGGCTCGAGGACATCAACTCGAAGAATTAGGTATCGAATTTGGGGCCGGATATAACGAGATAGACCCATCTTTCATAGCTCATCACTGTCCCAATCTTATCAAACTGGTGTTGGAGTCTGGATGTCGTGATAAATGGAGCATTTATAGTGTCATCTCCTCGCTTTATAACTTGGCGAATCTGGAATTCTCCGTGGGTAAGATAACCCTCTTGTCGGCGGAACTGAATGAAGCAGTTGAAGCTAGACAGCAGAATAATGGCAAGGACCTAGTCATTGAAGCCTCTATCTTTTGTTTATGTGGGGATCTCAAAGTGGATGCTAAGAACTCATTCGTTTTCAAAACAATGATACGAGATTCTGTCTCTTTAAACATGTGGTATCGGTATCGAATGTGATGCATTATGTCATCGTCATAATGCATCTAGTTGAAATTGTATTCAGTCTCGATTTTAGTGTGTATATGTACAAGGATAAAGAAACAAACGTCTTGCAGACAAGAAGATGGCAACATAGCCGAAATTTGCAAATATAGTTCAACCCAAATCTAGAAAATATGCTGTTTTCCAGACAGAAACATGAAAAAATCGTCAAGGTCGTAGGCAACGGATCACCAACACTTGCATTGAATTGATGGGACATGCAATGAACTAGAGATTAATAGAACTAAGTTATTCGCCGTCCAATTCCAAAAGCAATTTGAAAGCAGTGTTTGCCACGCTTTGCCGGTTCACAATATCAGCATCTCCGATAACGGGTGAGTGCATAACGTGTGATTGTTGGAATTGAAGATTGCAGATTCAAATGTTGTCCAAAATAAGACATTCCTTTCTAGTCGAGGAAAAAGGTAAGCCAACGAATGTGGTGATGCGTGAAATGCAATGGATTTTGTCACCAAATATAGGAGTGGTGGAGAGATAAAAGTCAGTGACCGCCTATGATTTAAGATTTTGACGCAGAATGAATTTGACAGCAGACCAGGCGCTAGAAGCTTACTGAGACGATCCGATACTGCATTCAATTTGAAATGTCTTATTATTCGATACCTAGAGTCGTCGGGAAAACTGGTGTGCGTTTGCTGTCTATGCTGTCCGTTTTGAAAACGTGCACAGTAACACAGTGGTGTGCGAGGAACAAGGTAATATTTCCATCCTCAATGCATTTACGGCTACAGAGGAAACTTAATTCTTTCTGTTACGCCGCCAAGGACATCAGTCGCGAGTACGAGCGGAACCACGAACAAGCTTTTAATCAAAGACCTTAACGTCGAGTACACACTCGAAAGTTTCATTGGAATGAGCGAAAAAAGGTACAAAGGCATTGTATACCTCCTCGGTATGAGTACCAATAATTGTTGCCTTCTTGGCCGATGTAAGCAATTTCAAAGGCTCTCCAATAGTGTCGATTGGAGTTTCACACTATAGCTTGTAACTGCCCTCAGACTCCTTGTGGACAAACTGATTGGTGTATCGAATACTGGTTGATTTCGGCTACTAAATCCAACGAAGTTTTAGCACTTGTTGGCATGCTTTCCGTTCAGACGCATACTTTTAGCCTATACGCTACCTTGTACCATATCGTTCCCACTTCCAAAAAGCCAAAATAGTCCATGTGATGATGCATGCCGCCCAAAAATCAACTGATTCCGATCGGATTCCTGTGATGCTTCTGATCTTGCCAACAGTAGATTGTCGAGTAGATGCCTCGACTTTGGGAGCAATGCCATCCATTTCGTGCTGGGTGTGAAGTCCGTTTTGTACCAGCAAGTAATCGCGTTCAACCACTATGGCTTCAGTTGACAAACCTAGAGTATTGGGATGGTTCAGATTGGATAATGAACCAAGCATGTTCCCTACCAACAGACAGTGAAAGTACTGTTGATTGAAACATCATGCAGTCACTTGAATTTGTGCAAGATAGATGGTTCACCCTAACTAACAGTCCTTCCAGGCTCGATGACCATTACTTTTGATGTTGATTGATTGTACGTGCCATGGTAAAAGATACGGTCCTAGCACCGTCAGATAATATTCAAACTTGTAAATGCATAATAAAAACACGTCCAAACCCCACATTTGCCCCCACATAACGCGATGTTCGGTTCCAGCATCACAATCCGCAATTTTTTGAAATTCCTTGGAGCCCACAGAGCAAGGAGCGAGAGATAGATAACCTTTTCAGTTAAAGAGGGTACGTGCTCTTACCAATTCCCCAGTATCTCAGATGCTAACCCTCTGAATCCCATCCACAGCGTGCATTTCAAACGCACACCTTTTATCGTCCTTGTCAAGGCAGGATCTGGACAGGAGAACAATCAAACAGAATCCACTTGACCATTTCTTCCTCGTACGCTCGTATACATACACGCTCGGAACGTCCGTCTTCCCATCTGCTCTACCTCTTGAAGGTGAAAAACTGAGGCATCAAACTTCCCAGAATCAACATTGGAACATTGAAGCTGAACTACCGTATTTGATAGATACGCCATACACGAAATTATCCACACGCAAATTATAAATGGGGGCTCTGTTTTCGAAACTGCTGTTAAGGCTATGGGGTACCAAAGAAGTCAGGATATTGATCTTGGGATTGGACGGAGCTGGAAAGACTACCATCTTGTACAGATTACAGATTGGTGAAGTTGTAACTACCATACCCACTATCGGTATGTCTATCAATGTCTGCTCAAATCCATTGAACGATTTCCCGTAAAACTTGCCTTGTTTTGGTCGTAAACAACCACACTAACACCATTATTACCCCCAGGCTTCAACGTAGAAACAGTAACATACAAAAACATCAAATTCCAAGTCTGGGATCTCGGCGGCCAGACCTCCATCCGACCATACTGGAGATGCTATTACGCAAACACGGACGCCGTCATATATGTTGTGGATTCAGTCGACAGGGAACGCATGCACACATCAAAGGAAGAGTTGATGGCCATGCTGGAAGAAGAGGAATTGTCGAATGCTGCGTTGCTCGTGTTGGCAAACAAACAGGATATGGAGGGCGCCATGTCGCATGCTGAAGTGTCTGAGGCTCTGGGGTTGGGTGATTTGAAGCACCGGACGTGGACTATATTCAAATGTAGTGCAAAGACGGGAGAAGGGTTGACGGAGGGGCTCGATTGGCTGGTTAATGTTATTCAAGGGGGTGGTAAAAAGTAGGGTGAGAGATAGATGATTTATAGGGTGTTTTTGGGTAATTCCCTTTCTAGCATTAGCAAGCAGAGGTAGAAGTGGAGGGGGAACATATTATATTGAGCTGTGACGTTGTCAACAACGACTCCCTTCCCAAGGAAAAACTTATTTAGTTATTCTGTGTAGTTGATTTTCTGAAAGGTTATACAATAATCAACGAAACTCCGATTGTTATGAGTGTTTTATATACTTTTATACATCATGTTTCTTCTCCTCCAATCCAAAAGGCCCCCTATCTAACATCTATTTACACATATACACAAGATACCTTCATTCCTTCCCCATCCGCCTACAACTAACTAGTAACACTCACTACTGATCACCTCGACCTAGCAACAGATCCGACGACGATATCGACATCTTATTGAATTCAACCTGTGCACCGCTTAGGTTGAGCATTTGACCAAATGGCGGTGTAGGTCTAGGCGATGCTGGTGGGTTCACCATCATCATACCATTTGATGTCACGCTACCCGCCAAGGGAGATTGCGAATACATTCTGGGCGATCCTACGACAAACTGCTGTTGCTGCTGCTGTTGTTGCATATCCACCATTGACGAAAACGTGGCTGGAAAGGGTATCGGTACAGGCATTGAAGGGGGTCCCATACCATACGGATGATGGTTGTGATGACTTAATAGTGTTGATACTGGTAATGGTGGTGATGTGATGAGCGATGCTGGAGCTCCTTGGATCATTATTCCCATAGCATTCATTACTGGTGGTTGTGGTTGTTGTTGCTGCTGTTGCTGCGGCGCTTGTCCAGACGATGCCATTGGGAGATTGCCATTACTACTGTTATTGCTACTTGGATTGCTATTTACACCCATCATCATGGATATCGAAGGAGATCTGGATCGTAATGGTGGGAATAGTTGTTGTGATAGTGTTGGAGATGGGAGCATTGGCGCTCCTGGACTCAGTGATCTTGTCGATGAGTTGTTTCCTGATGGTGAGGATGGCATACGATGGTGTCGCTTGTAGGGCTCAAATCGGTCATCCATAGACACTGAGGGCATGGGTACAATTGGATTAGAAATATTCATGATGCAGTGCAAATGACTTTTTTTCGTCAACATGATCGACCAAGAACATACTCTTCCGTTTCCCACGTCTCTCCAGATTTATCGGAGACATGTGTCCAATTACAAGATTCACAGGTGACATAGCAGGCGATGAAGTTATCATATCTTGGTGCTTGGATGATATAAACTGAGTAAAGAAACGAGCAGGTAAGCCAAAAAACAACGCTACGCGCGGATTGTCTCTTGAGTATCAACACTCACTTGATTCTCTGGATTGAGTCGAGAAGAGTTTGATATATATGCAGCTGGTGATCGTAATTGCGAATTGGGGATGGGTGATACACGAACAGCATGTGGAATGGCCAATTCCTGAGAATTACAAACATGGCCATGAGTTTGCCATCCACAAACGCACAAAAAAAAGGAAGAGTAGCTTACCGGAAAGTCATCCAATGACATGAGCGTTCCATTTCCAGCACTAGCAACCGATTCCGGTGAATCTGGTGCTGTACTAGATACAATTGAAGGAACGATACTGCCTATGCTCTTCATACTATTATTCGTACTATTCATCATCATACTAGCATTGGGACCATCCGACGTGGTACCACTAGTAAAAGTAGGTACAACACCAACCATCCCACCATCTTCAGCATCATTATCAAACTTGAGCGGCGGTATCTGCTTAAACAACGACGTAGTCACCCGTTCATGAGCAATCTCCTTTTCAAAAGGCGCAGTCTCATCACGTAATAAACTAGCTATTCTATTCATTGATTGTCGTCCTGATGCTGATGATGATGTATCGGATGCGCTCATGGGTACATCGCCAGATAGTGAGGATCTTCGTAATTGAGTGACGAGAAAACCACCTGGAGTATCGGGATCTCGAAATCTCTGTGCAGTGGATCGTATTGGGGTACCTGGATCCTGTCTAGAGAATTTGCGAGGAGGTACAAGTGGTGGTCGTCCTTGGCCCGACGAGTCCATAGGAGATGTGGTTCCACTCGATGAAGTAGAGTCTCTATGCATTGCAGTGCTGCTTGTTATATGAAGCATACTACGAGATTTACGTCTTGATGAATCTGATTCACCATCAGATGAGGATGTTGTTGATGTGGTATCATCGTCATCGTCTGCCATAGAAGTCCTCATGCTTCTCCAATTGCGAAATGAATGTGGTTTGCGAATGCGACGAGTGTGGCTATTATTTCTGGGAGTACCATGAGATGACTGTTGCTGCTGCTCGGAATCACTATTCATTCCATTGTTGTCCACATCTGATGAGTCGGTTCCGCTGTCAGAATGGTTGCGGGATGTGCGTCGTCTGTTTGATGGCAATCTCTCCGACCTAACAGAATGAGAGGCCATCATCGAACCTAGAAAACAATAACGTATATAGTGAGCTTCTTTCTTTCCTCTTCTTCTTCTTCTCTCATAGGTCACCGTCTTGTTCCCGTGATTTGAAAGTTTGAGGGAAGTTTGAGTCGTTCAAGCTGCATATAGTGGACAAATTGACGAGTTACTGCTACCAAAACACGTTCGAATTAGCATATACCACGTCCGTAGGTGCCATATAGTCGTTGTTCTTCTTTCAAATTGCTCAACATTTGCATGCCTGCTTTAAGCGGCACCTGAAGCTTATAGAGGTTTGGATTCGGCGTCCCGGCATAATCTGTATTTGTATCTGTTCGGTAAGTCAACACTTCTATGTTTCGTTATGTTCTTTCTTCATCATCGCAAGCTCACAATTCCAAACGTCAAACTTCGTAGGTCTGCCACGTCATTCACTATGAGGAGAGGACCAGGAATAGCTGGTCTGCAAAGACAACAGAAAGCTAAGGTCAGTTTGACCCTCTTTTTCTGGTTAGACGTCATGTTTTACACGTATCGGGTTGACATTTGTAGGAGCAATTCAAGGAAGTTGGAGAACAGCTTGCTGCTCAACAACTGGAACAGGCACGATGATTTCAGATTATACGCCGGTACACGTCTACCCGTGAACTTACTTGGACTTCATGGTAATAGATGAAGTCACAACTTGGAGTCTTCAAATCAAACCTCGAAGAATTCGCCAAAAAGTACAGAAAGGATATCAACAAGGATCCTGTCTTTCGAATGCATTTTCAAAAAATGTGTACAAATATTGGAGTGGATCCTCTTGCATGTACGTCCATCTTGTGAATCAAACCATGAGTTGGAGTTTATCAATTGACAACTACCTATTTTCTATTTTTTTCGCTGTAGCAAACAAGGGATTCTGGGCCGAAGTATTAGGATTCGGTGACTTTTACTATGAGCTGGGTGTCCAAATCGCTGAAGTCTGTTTGACGACTCGGGATTCGAACGGAGGATTGATTGAGATCAAGGAATTGAAGAGGCTCGTGGATCGTATGAGAGGGAGGAGCGCGCAAGATATTACAGAGTAAGATATTATTTATCGCGAATACGATTGGTCGGTGTGATGACAGCTACGTCATTGAGAGGCCAGTCCTCCTTTTTGCTCGTCCTCACCACTCTTCAAAACTTTTAGAGACGACATACTACGCAGCATCAAGAACCTCAAAACTCTCGGAAACGGATTTGAGGTAGTCTCAATTGGTCCCCAAAAGTTCATATCATCTGTTCCTCGTGAACTCAATGTGGACTTTACTTCTGTGCTTGGTGTTGCTCAAACTACCGGATTTGTTACTCTTGATATACTCAAGGCGGAACTGGGATGGGATATGAATAGAGCTCAACGAGTGCTGGTAAGCGCTATGGTTATATCGATCACACTCTGGTTTGGCTGCAATTGACTCTTAGATTTTCCTAGGATGATTTGGTCAAGGACGGCGTATGCTGGGTGGATACACAAGCTCCAAGGATTGAATACTGGATGGCTTCCTTCTTGACGATATGATGATGTGAGACGAGACATATAAGGTTAGGCTCTTTTATATGGCGGGGTTTAATAGATTTTTTGCCGTAGGCAAATATTGCTGCCCTCACAATGTGCATATGTATCATATGTATCAGTTGTACCACTGTATTATAAATCTGATGCCAAAAATGTGCTTTTCTGGTGTAATCGCTGAGAAGTATCGGCCCTCCGTGAACCAGTAGTTTTTGCCCATTGTTTGCAAACAGATTGCACTGAACACGACACACTACCCAGCATGAAATTCCCTGAACGCTCTCGGTCGCACGCTCTGGTTCCAAAAGGTCATATCATTTTTTCCCAATGAACCCGAATGTGGCCTTCACGATAGAACTTGCTGTTGCCTTTACCTACTGGGTGTGTAATATTGATATCATGAAGTCAGAACCTGTGTGGCATGTTGTGAGAGCTCAATGAGAGCAGCTATGATCTATAAGCACCTGTTTGGTAATTTTTTCCTGATATTATACTTGTCGGCTTTCATAGGATGATTTGGTCAAGGATAGGCCCTGTTCGGTGGATACGCTGGCTAGCTCCAAGGAACTAAAACTGGAACAAGTCTTTTTTGCGATTGATGATGTGAGACGAGCCGTAAAGATCGGGTTCGATAATTTTGAGTTTCTTTTGCTGTAGTCTTCAACTGCAATCTCGAAATATTTCCCCAAAAACGTACAGAATGGACAACAGCAGCGAATCGTATTTTTTGAATGGTATTTTGAAAAGATGGGCTCAAATATTGGAACGGATTCTTGCTTACACGTCCGTCTTGTGAATCAGCACGCTGCTATAGCGCTAAACCATTGATACTCTTCCTTTTATCGCCGTAGAGGGTGCAAAAATCGCTCAGCTGTGTCTGACTCTTCGGCATTCGAATGGGAGGACGGATTGAGATCAAGCAGACCTGATAGATTGTCGGGAGGAAGGTAACCCAGCCGTTAGAAGTGAGCTTTTTCTGTCAATGATGGAGTGTGTCGAGCCAGACAATGCTGAGAGAAGCATGAGGAGACATATTTGTCTGGTTTTTCCCTGTTTTTTAAACATCCTTTCATTAGCGAGTAACATTACTACGCAGCAAGACAAACCTCACTACCGTAAGAGCCCGTTTTGAAGTAGTCTCACTCGGCATATCAGATTGTCATATCATGTGTTCCTCGTGAAGTCAATGTGGACTTGACTTCTTGGTGTTGCTCAAGCTATCGCATTCGTTGTTGTTGATAAACTTACATCAGAGATCTGGGAGATTCGTTACTTGATTTGCTCCTATCGGGGATGTGATGTTGATAGAGCTGATTGTACGCTGTTGCTTCGTAGATTCTTCAATTTTTTTGCTGGGCTGACTTTATTTGACATTCCTAAGACATCTTGGTGTATGTTAAGTGGATGCACAGGCTCCAGTGATTCAATACTGGACCGAATCCTTCTTGAATATATCATGATGTGAGACGAGGCATGAAAGGGCAAGTTGGATATGAGAGTAAAACGTGTTCGTTTTTTTACGCCAGCCCTACATATCATGTCTAAACTGCCTCCATAAACTTCACCCGTCACAAAATCATAAACCGCTAATGTACATAATATATGTCTTTGTTTCTCTCATTTCAAAATTACAAACACTCTCTCCTCTTAATATTGTTCACACACAACATCTTTCATTCTCCCTTTATAATATATAATTCAAAGCTAATCAAACAGCAACACCTCTTTCACAATTTCTTCGCTTGTGATCATGACTGACGGATTACATCAACAACTTCAGTCTTATCCACACTTGATAATGCAGCAAATCCAGCAAATAACTGATTTAGATCCTGAGTTGCGAAATATGCTATTTGACCATGTTGTCTGACTTCTGGCAATTGTGAGAAGCATGTTAAATGATACATGGCGTCATCCTTTGAGAAGGCTAGTGTGCCTTCCGTTCTTTCCATGCAGCCAAGACAGATACGATCATCTCCAACAGCACTACAAAAGGAAGAGAGAAGAGACGGTGTTAGTGGCAAATGGTCTGTTTGGAAACACCAAAACAGGTGCCAAGAGACACAAAACAAGCGTTACGGGCAAAGTACGTACATTCGAGCGACTGAATATCCTTGTGGAGCTGTTCTCAATCTTGTTGTTGGTGTCATTACTCGAACACCTTGTTGTGGTTGCAGTTGTTGTTGACCTTCTTGTGGAAAGTACATCCCGAGTCGTTGTAGTTGTGACTGTTGCTGAACTGCTTCTGGTGTTCCACCTGCTGCTGCTGCTTCTCTTAGTCTATTTAACTGCTGAATTTGACCGTCTAGGCGGGATTGAAGTTCTCGTGTTCGTTGTAACTGTGCTTCCATTGAAGTGCGTCTAGCTGCATTAGTTGCTGCTCCACCAACAATATCTTGCATGGGAGCAAACTGGGGGATTTGAGGCATGGGCAATGGATTGTTGAGATTCATAGGTGGACGAGCAAAGACGCTTGGCTCTACCGTCAAACCAGGTTCTACTGGTTGTGCTGGTGGTATTCTACGTGGCGTATTATTGTTTAGATGGGGAGGAGGGGGCATTTGGAACCTCCACCCACCTGCTAACGAGAAAAATAAGGAAAGTGTCTCAGACGAATCGTCACAAAACTGCGAATGGCAAAAACTGTACTGCAAAACAAGAACGAACCTGGAGGTTCCCAACCATCAAGCCTTGGTGGAGCATCTGATACCCTTCTATTCCTTAGGTGAAATGGAGATGGAACAACCATACGTTGAGGAGTAGGCGTTTGCTTTGCTTTGAGACGGTCCTTTTCAACTTGGACCTGTTGAAGAGCTTTACGTTTCTTGTAGTCTTCCTTTTCCTCATTTGCTCCAAACTCCTCAACTATGGTATCAACAATGTTGCGGAGTAGGAGATTTGGAATGGGTTCACCAACAACTATGACGGAGGAAGAGAATGTCAGAGAAGTGTATTGTGGTGATATGTTGGACAAAATTCTTCCTTAGACCTTACCGATTGCACGACATTGAGGGCAGGTTTTCTGTTAGATCAAGTGGATGGTGTTGAAATGTTAGTTGAAGAGAGATAATTGTTTGTCGCAGTGAAGGCATGAACATCACAAAAACACACCTTGTTCTTCATCCAGTCCGACAAACAAGGCGAAGCACAAAAAGAGTGACCACAGGATATGACCATCCCACAGACAATAAACTCAAAGCATATACTATACGTGTAGGAAGGGTAGTTGGAGTCTGACGGACATGTCAAACATAAATGCACACATACCTGCAGGTCATATCTTCTTGAGCCCGACTCATTGCTTCGAGTTTAGCCTGCACTGGCGCTTTACCTTTAGCCTTCGATGCGTTCACCGATGATTCACATTCATCTCCTTCGTCGTCGATGGCTGGATTTGCTGCCTGACATGGTGCCTTGTCAGGAGTAAAGAATTCATCAATTTCATCATCAGGTGCATCACAATCAAAGGGACCAGCAATTTTGGGCTTCCTTGTCGTAGGAGCAGCCTTGCTCAAATGATTTGATGTTCGACGACTGAGTGTTGGTTTGGGAATATCATTCGGAGAGTCAAGCAATATTGGTGATTCTTCTCTAGATCGAGCATTACCGTTATTATTGCTATTCCTACTACCATGATTATTGAGAATCTCATCGAGTTCGGCACTACTATCCCGAACTTCAAAGACAGGAATATCTTCATCTAGAGCCTGATCATGGAATCTCCCTCCCCCCCGACGCTTGACAGGAGGTTTTGGTCGCGGAGCTGCAGGTGCTTTGACAGTCCCTCTAGTCTTGCGTGCTACTGGTGCACGTCGAGGTTCAGGTTCAGATGATGATTCTGTTGTTAATGATGCAACGACTCTGGCATTACGACGTTCGGGATTCATGTATTTTGAGATTACATTGCTGCGGATGGGTCGACCACGTCCACCATTGACTTCTACGATCTCGGACGAGTCCTCGACTACAATTGGCTGAGCTGGCTGACGTGAGGACGCCCGTGTTGATCGTCCGAGGGCATTGTCTGATGATACGTCAATAACAGGATTGGGCGCATCTATTTCTTCTTCGTCGTCATCGTCTATTATGGTAGCTCTAGCTCGTTTCCGGGGTTGATTGGCACCTGTAGGCATGCTTTCGACAGCGAGTTCGAGAGCGAGTTTATAATGGTAGATAGTTGATGTGGGATCAATGGGGTTGTTGGGAGCTACAGCACCTAGTAGCAAACGAATGGGTACATCAGTGGGAAGCTTTCCAACCACATCTGCTCGATTTTGGTCATTTGAAATACTTACCAGGGGCAATGCTTAGTTTGTCTCCTACTTTGCAAGGAACTTCTTCGTTTGGCACTATCCTTATACCATTCAAAGCAACCTATCATAGTGATTAAGATGCAAGTTAGGATCGGGAAATATCATGATCACGAATGTAACATGTTTGGCGACAAATGTCGTCAGTTGAAACAAGACAAGAGGAGGCTGACTACTGAGCAACAGTCTGAATGAACGAATACAGCAATACATACTCCGTTTGTCGAGTCGAGGTCTACCAGTAAGAATCCAGCTGGAGGTATATACTGGATTTTTAGATGTTCACGGGAGATAGACGAGTCCTTGATAGCTACAGCAACTCTTGCACTGCTCCGACCAATATACGTATCTCCTGCTATAGGAATTACGGCAGGAGGTGCCTCTTGGTCTGCAGCTAGCTCTACGAGATTCCCTGTTTGAAATCTTAGCACTGGTCTGGCAGCCATTCAACGATCAAAGCGTCCTTCTCAACAAGCTGACTTGAGCTCCCTAATGTATGCAGAGTAAGCGTCCCGTCTTGAGCCTTCCTTTGTGCTTGGGAGGTTTGGTATCAGGTCGATGTTGTTCTTGAGTAGGGTATCGTGACTTGCTGGCAAGACGAGTGGAGAGCAAACGTAACTTTTGTAGGCGACGGACTGTGACCAGTAACAACATATGTTCGATTTTGAACTGCCGCTTCCTGCGCATCACGCGTCAAGTATTACTACGCCTTCACATTCGGTTGTTTGATATTTCTTGCACCAAACCAAAGATCAAGACTTTGAAGTCGCTAAAAAGGGCTTTTATATATGTGCTTGAGGCGAAAATCTTTGTCCTTCACTTGCTTCTTGTGGCTCAAACCAGCTAAACTCTGCATTTTAACATGTTTTTTTTTTGTGCAAAAATCTCAACGAGCTGTACCATTTGATCATTTATTGCTAATTGTTTCAGGTAAGTCTGAAGCATTCAATGCATTCATGTTCTTAACGCAGTTCTACGTCTTGTTCCATAGGCTTTCAAGGATGCCAGCTGTTGAATTTGACGAGTTTGAAGCTGATGATATAGAAGATGAACCAAGCGACGATGACCAAGTAGTTGACGACGATCAAGTAGATCTCGATGACGAAATCGATCAAGAGGATGACGACGACGATAGTATAGACGGCCCAATACCTCATCGTCCTCTTGACATCTTTCTGCAAAAACCAACATCAACAGCAGAAGATAAACAAATAACACAGGGCAGTAACGACGCCAATACAGTCGCAGAAGCATCAAATAAACCGAAACCAACAAAAAAGGTGATTGACAACAAGTCAGTCAAACTTTTGAAGAAAGCAAACGACTTGACAGGTGTCGTCTACTTTTCTCGCATCCCACCATTCATGACTCCCGCAAAGCTCAAATCCCTTATAATCCCACACGGAGCCCTCGGCCGTATCTTTCTCGTCAAGGAGTCAGCCAGTATAGCAGCAAAACGTAAAAAATACCGTCACAACAAACGAACCAACTATGTAGAAGGATGGGTGGAATTCCAATCTAAAAAGGAGGCTAAACGGGCTGTAGAGTTGCTGAACGGACAACGGGTAGATAATCGTAAACGATCGAGATATCATGATGATTTGTGGAGTTGCAAGTATCTTAAAAAGTTCAAGTGGGCTGATTTGACGGAGCAAATGTCGTATGAGAAGGCTGTTAGGGAGCAAAAGATACGTGTCGAGATGAGCCATGCAAAGAGAGAGAATAAGCACTATATGAGGAATGTCGCTACTGCTAAAATGGTGGAAGCTATACAGGAACGAAAGACAAAGAAGAGGAAGATGGAAGAAGATGCTGATACTACTGGTGCTACTACAGTAACAAACACAGCAGATACCAATGCCCCTGTATCGAACGATGCAGCAATAACCTCCATCCGCCGCCGGTTCAAACAACGTAAAATTATCGACTCGGAGGCTCTAGATGATGGCACAAAGACAACTCCAGGTGTCAAGATGACATACACACCAGAAATGGAAGCTAAGAAGAAGGTGGTGCTATCAAAACTCTTTGCTGCATCATCATAAGAAGTATGTATAGACTTTGTTTTGCATGCTACAGTTATTTACACAATGCTCTTTCTGCCTAAATACATATAAACGATGCTGAGAAGGATATGTTTTATCGTGTTCTCAGCATGTCTTTTAGTGTTTCCAGGTCTATATCCTTCCATTTGTCGCCATCCTCCTTTGCGGGTTCTACAAAGATTTTTTGTGTTAGAGGTCAAGTGTATCTGTGTCCTAGCGTGGACGGCCTTACCATCAATATCACCAGTTTGAGGCAACTCATTTGCTGGCAGATACATATCTAAATCGTTTGTGAGCACAAAGATCAGACTCTCGCAGGCAATACCATAGCAGGAATTCATTACCATCATCCTCAAGCTTCTCCTTTGCCCATTCATCATCAACCACATCAATAAGTCTTCGTTTCCCATGCAGCATGATCGAATACGACGAATCTGACTTGGAGCTCTACGACATACACAAACATCACCATACCACACAAATGTTGATGATGCCAAAACACACTTTTACCCAAGAAGGACCCCTCAGAGCACCACGTTCTTCAACAGCAGTCTTGATATTCGTCAGCGATTCAAATAATGGCCTTATGTTTGTAGTGCTTGCATTACTCTTGACATCGTGCGAAGGCGATATTTCTCTTGGTGCTGCTATTCGTTCAACAACTAGCGTTCGTTGCCGGAAATCGGGCTGCACTCTGGGAGCGCCTGGAGCAGGACGCAGCTGATTTGTTGGTTGATCTGGAGTTTCCATTGTCTTCGTGTTGTTGGGTAACTTTGTTTAAGCTTTTGGTACTGAGTGATTCAAGAATTTCGACGAGGACGCGGACCACGCGGACTCTTCATTCTTTCGCAAACATTCAAAAAATCATTCTGTTGAATTCAAACGTGTTACTCTTATAGTCTACTGTATCTGATCACGACAAGAGGTATGTGCTGCTGACGATGAACTTCCAAACGTTCGTGTTTCCTCACAGTTTCGCACCATTCGATAGGTCAAAAGTAGTCTCAACCGACATTCCTACATTCAAATACCACTCCAATTCCATACAATCCCTAGTCCGCTCCGTGATTCCTCAAACTTGAACACCACCTGATTACCAAGCACTCTCCTCTTCACATAGATCCATCCCACTAACCGCTCTAACCAACCAACAATGGCCAAATCAACCACTAAGAAAGCTAAATCTGCCCTCGAAGTAGCACCACCAACCAAAACCGTCGACAACGACGAACAAGTTGTCGTTAATGAAGAACAAGTTGCAAGCACCACCCGCACCAGTCCTAATGGTCCTCAAGCCGATGCTACTACTCAGACACCTACCAACCAAGAACGTTCCTGGGAGTTTGAAGAGTGTATCGTCATGTAAAATGTTTGTGATGTGATCTCTTTGGACGTGTTCGTTCTAGTTGAAATCGCGTATGTCAGATAAGCATAATAAAATAATACAAGTTACAGTATAACCTCCGTCATGTGTCGAGCGAGTTGAGTCAATCTTCCTCAAAAAGTTCAAGAAACTTCATACCCGAAAACAAGACGATCATGGTAAGTGCGGAAGACTTTGCAAGCTTTCACCTTATTAAATTCATCGCTAACATTAATATGCAGCCTCTAATAGCTGCCACCGCAGCTCTCCCAATCGTAGACATCTCGCCATTTCTGCCAAATGCCTCACTGGAAGATAAAGCTAGGAAACCTATCATCGCAAAGGAGATGTTCCATGCATGCAGGTGTGCTTGACAAGGAATGAGTTTCTGATGTGGAAACAATAGACTGGAAACAAACTCTACATTTAGGGATGTCGGCTTCATGTACATATGCGGGCACGGGATCGATTCGAAAGTCGTCAATGGCGTTCAAGATTACGCTCGTGAATTTTTTGGATTGCCAACTGGTGCGTGGTGGAATTGTGTGGCCTTTTGAAGCGATTTCTGATGTCTGATACGCATTGATTTGTAGAGGAGAAGGAAAAGATCCATATCTCCAACTCTGATATGGCAAGAGGGTACCAGATGCTTGGACAAAATATCACAAAGTACAAGAAGGTGAGCCATTGCCGCACCTGCTGGAACGAAATGGAGTACAGGAGCTTCAGTCGTAGAATGTATCATCGTCTTGATTACTAAACTTTGAACCTTTTACATTTAGGACTGGCACGAAGGAATAGACTCATACGCAGAACTATCACCAGACCACACCTTGAACAAGATGGGAATCAAAACCCTCACTGGGAAAAACCAATGGCCTGCTCAACCAGCCGGATTCAAAAACGCCTACCTCGATTACGTCGAACAGTGTAAAGTCCTGGGAATGGCCATCATGCAAGCTATGGCAATGAGTTTGGGACTTGATGAACACTATTTCGATAAAATTATGACTGATTCGTTCTGGTGTATGAGGATTATTGGGTATCCGCCGTTGACTGAAGGGCTGGCTAAGGATGGGGAAGTTGGAATGAGTTGTGGTGAACATTGTGGTGTGTTTAAGATCAATCCTATTCTGCACATGAATCTTTTTTTTTTGTTAACGCGAAGGGTCTCTGCACAGATTATGGATGCTTGACTATACTCAACACGGATTCAACAACAGGTGCGCTACAAGTGCTGAGCAAGGAGGGCGAGTGGATTGATGCGAACCCTGTGCCGGGCTGTTTTGTCATGTAAGCACATCAGTCAAGGGTCCCTGAAGAATACAGAAGATTGAACCAGATTTCGATCATATAGCAACATAGGAGACATGCTCAACAATCTCACCAACGACATGTAAGAACCCCTCATTGCTTCATTAGCCAGTATGCCAATATGTAACAGTCGTTTGCTCTTAACAGGTACAAATCAACCCTCCACAGAGTAATCCACACCAAATCATCATACCGTGTCAGCATCCCCTTCTTCTTTGAACCACATTTCGATGCTCTTATCGAACCAATACCTAAATGTGTGAAGGAGACAGATGGCATCCCACATCATAAGCCAGTTATTTACGGTAATCATTTGTTGTCGAAAGTATCGAATAACTTTGATGTGTCTGCTGCTGGCTCTGCATCGTTGTAAGTAAAGCTTTCGCTGGATCTAATAAACAACTCATGTAATTCTCAGCCGAATAAGAGCAGTTTGGCAAAGTAACAACTTTGCAAACAGGCACATACACATATTTTTACTTTTTAAATTGAATAGCAGAGCGTTGGTATTAAAAAGAGAGAGAGATAACGGCTCAGAAGAAAATTATGGCGTAATACATCAAAAAAAGTTAAGCGTTTGAGATAAAGTGAGTTTAGACAGGGACGACAGCAGTGGCGGCAGTGGCGGCAGTAGCTTGGCGGACCAACGAGTACATGAAGTAACCAGTCATGCCCATCCAAGCCCATAACGTGAAGAGCGAGAAGGCAAATACGGCGCCGGTTTTGGCACAGAAGTTGCCCACTACACAGAAAAACAAAGTGAAAGGTTAGGCTTTCAAGCATATGCCAACCAGGAGGATTCAAGACGCAGCGTCCAAGCACAGTGGGTATTCAATCATGGCTCTTCAAATGTTCGTGTAACGACGAGAAAAAACCAAAGTCAACGTATTTCCCAAACACTTACAGACACCATATGGATCATAGATACCAGTAGCGCATACACCAGCTCCAGCAGAAGCAGTACAGGCAGCCCAGAAGACTAGGTATGTCAAGATACCGAAGATTTGGAGTCCCTTTCTATGTTAAAATGATCACGAATGTGAGCGTTTCCGTCGTCCTGGTTAAATAGAAACAAAAGGACGTACCTGACAAAAGGTGATTGGTTGACAAACAAGTTAGCCCAGGCATTATGGACGGCTGGAACAGCAAAGTAGGCAATCATGAAGATGGATAGCAACCAGGTCGTGACACCGGTAAAGAGAATGAAGTTGGCACCCATGCCGACGGCGAAGCTGACTGAAGATGCGCCGACTGCGAATCTGCAAGCAAAAAACCGATGAATCCCTTGGTGAATACATGTAACACGTGTGGTGTAGCAACGTACACAATGAGAGACAAGATGAAAATCGCAACCCAAAAGATGACTGGCAAGTGGCTACTGCCGGCAGTAGTTGCAGCGCCCATTGTAGGCATGGAGAATTTTGGCATGGCGAATTTGGCCTATATAGTAAAAAACAATACGATTGGTGAGTCACGGTCACCTAGAGGAGCATTACACACATGCAACGAATTATTTTCATGTTAACGAATGCAAGATACGTGCTCCACATATCAATCCATCCCCAAAGTATAAATCAACCACCCAAGGGCCCAAAAAAACGCATGTGTGTGACCAGTGTTCAAGATAACGTGAATGCACATCGAGATGCTGCTTCCCGCGCATCGAATCACCATAATATCCGTCGTTTACCATACATGAAATAAGAGTCTCGAGTCTCATAATTCAGAAACGTACCTTGGGCGGTTCTCCAACAGGTACTACTGCCGGAGCTTCGGCAGGTGTAGCAACGAGCATTGGAGTGGTGGCAGGGACCTCTACGGTAGCAGCTTCAGGCATCGTATCTAAAGAATATTAAGGGAGGTTTTGATATCGTCTGGTTCTTGATGTATATCGTATTGTGTTTGAGATTTGCGTTTTAACTTTGTTTTCTTGTGCAGGGGTTGTGTATCCACAGCCACCCAGCCACTCTTCGTGATTTACATCATTTGATTTACACTGCCATGTTTCGGATGTTTTGTTTGACAGACTCGTGAACGATTGAAATGATTTTATAGTGGATGTATTTTTGATTACTACAGATTGCTGTTTATGAATGAATTTTTTTGCACAAGATGGGTGGTTGTTTTAAATATCACGTCAAAAACAAGCAAGGAACAGCGTTATTACAATCTCGAGGTTTTGCGGACTAGATCGAATATGAAGAAGAAGCTAGCAGACAAGGAGTAATTATTAGAATTATCCACCCACTGATACGGGAACAAGTGCAACCAAACTCAACGAAAGACTCACGTCATAAACATCCAACCAGCAAGACAAATAAAAGCAAATGCGAAAACAGCTGAATTGTTTCTGCATTCATAGAGTCCCTGGTCCTGATAATAGCATACAGCTTCACCGGATATAGCAGCTGCGGCGGACCAAAACACCAAATAGATGAGAATAGAGAAGATGAGGATTGTCTTTTTGGCAACACGAGGGACTCGGACGAGCATTCGAGAGAATCCTCTTTGCATTGACACAAACCAAAAGTAGAGGACGTAGAAGCCACTGATTAGCCAGGTTGTTCTAAAAACACAAAGAGGAGCAATTTAGAGGTGGGAAGGATGTGCAATCAATGGCGATTAACCAGGAATACATACACAGACACAAAGATCAAGAAGCCTCGTGATGGAGACGATGCACCAAGACTAACAGCCAAACCCCAGCAAATCAAACTGCAAATCCACATAACACACCAGAAGAGCACCACAGTTGGTTTTCGAACAGGAATTGTTTCCTCCTGCAGTGCTACTGGCCTAGCAATGACGCCAAAAAAATATGTTATAGTCTAGTGAGTATGCGCGTAAAGTGGAGAAACCTGCACCATCATGATCATGCCATTGCAACACATTCCCAAGCATGATCACAGCTTACTTGACATTCGGATCCATCGTATTAGGAACTGCCACCGCAGTTTGCTGATTTCCAGCCATTCCGTATGACATTGGTTGACTCGATGGTGCAGGTGCGTTGGTTTGCATGGCACCTGGAGGAGGAGATCCATTTACAGGCGGATAGAATTGTTGAGGTTGTTGGGCGGTCTGTATGGGTGGGACTTGGTTTGGCTGGGCTGCGTTTACATTGGGAGGTGCGGTTGCTGCACCGAATGTGCCTGGTGGTGGTGCAGTGTAGGTAGCTGGTAAGGGAAAGCGTTCACCGAGATCTACTTCTTGCGGCGCTGTCGCATGTGCAGGTGCGAATGAGAATCCTGTTGCCATTGTTTGGTCGTTTTGGACCTTGTTGTTGTGATTGTTGGGTTTGGTAAAGTTTGGAAGCATGAGACGAGTCCCGCTTTTCAGAAAATGGAGGAAAGGAGGCAGGGCTTAGAATTGATTTTTTACGTGTTGAAATCAGACATCTGGTGTTGACGTGCCTTGGAATGTCCTCCTATTATCAGATTTCAAGTACAGATCTGAAACCTGCGGGAATGACTGTAAATTCCTCCCTCATGATTGTTGCGATCGCTCCATCTAAACATGTAAATCAATTCTCGAAAGTTCAAAACACTCGAAATTAGATCCATCGTCCACCGTAGCTTCCGAACGAACGTGCGAGCTCATCGGTTCAACTGATTTTACAAAAGCAAGCATCATCACACAGACCAAAAACCAGCATTCAAGCTTATAACCAAACGAGCCATGGTCATGGACTACAAATTCAAGAGCGTATACGGTGAAATTGAGGGCGCCGTCCTTGTTATCTACCTCAATCGCCCTCAGATTCTGAATGCGTGGAACTTGGACTTGCAAGAAGACCTCATCAAATGTGTAAACCAATTCGACCAAGATGATTCGTTAAAGTGAGTTTCTGTGCCGGTTTGGGATGCGGCTGCAAATTGTTGTATTCGATTTGGGAGGTCGTGATGCAAAAGAGCTTGGAGACAAACGTCATCAACATTTTGGAACATATTTGCGGGTTTGCTAACAATCCTCTGCATAGAGTCGCTATTGTTACCGGAACTGGACGTGCATTCTGTGCTGGTGCTGATCTGTCTTTGGGAGACTTCTCGTCAAAGGAACATGTTGTTGGACGAGGATTAGCTGAAGCCCGTGACGGTGGTGGACAAGCTAGTCTTACGATCTACCGTTGTCGCAAGCCCATCATTGCTGCAATCAACGGACCTGCTGTTGGTGCGTTATTGCTGAAGAGTTATGTATTTTTTTGTTGAATACGTATTAATGCCTGTTTGGATGTGCTTGTAGGTGTCGGTATCACTCATACCCTCCCCATGGACATCCGTATTGCATACAAGGATGCCAAAGTCGGATTCGTGTTTGTGAGGTAAATTCGAAACACCCAACCCAGTCTTTAAACGCTCCCCCCTAATACTCACTGTCCCTTCTCAACAGACGTGGTGTCGTCCCCGAAGCAGTCTCCACATACTTCCTTCCCCGTCTCGTCGGCCACTCCAAGGCCGTGCGTTTGATGATGATGGGACAAGTCCTGCCAGCATCGCATCCATTATACAGCGACCTCTTCACCGAGCTCACTGATACTCCCGAGGGAGCACTCATCCGTGCCAAGGAACTCGCACATGAGATGGCGTCCATGAACTCGTCAGTGTCTATGGCGATGGTTAAGGCATTGTTGTGGCATGGTACTGAGACACCTGAAGAACAGCATTTGCTTGATTCTAAGGGTATGTTTTCGTTGGGGAACAGTATTGATGGCAAGGAGGGTGTTGCTAGTTTTATGCAGAAGAGACAGGTCAAGTTCCAAGGTGTGTGTCTTGTGTGGTTTGGCAAATTAGTGTAGGGCTGTCAATGATCTGTTTTTTTTTGCTAAATTAGGCACCGTCACTAAGGACATGCCTGTGTTTTACCCTGTAAATATGAATTGAGATTCCGTTTGTTTCATTCGAGTTCCTTTTGAAATGTTTTGGGAAAGAAACCAACCTTGGCTTTTTCCTTATAGTGGTGGACTCACCCTGACGTCTTATTGAAAGAAAGACGCTCCACTCGTGAAAGCAAAATGTAGAAACCCCTTTCTTCACTCATCTTTCGCAACTTAAAAAAATATAAACTCATAGTTTCAAACATCAACGTCTTGTGTTTTTATTTATTTAGAGGAAGAGGTGGATAGACTGTTTCAAACAATAACGGGATTACAGTCTAGATGGTCGTACACTAACATCCGGCGTTGTCCACCAAGGGTAGAACGATGGCAGGTCGCGTTGGACGCTTCCCTTGAAGTCAACTAATACAAACAAAAGTAAGGTCAGGTAAAATACACCTACAACTGAAGCTAACAAACTCACCTGGTCGTTTCTCCATAAACGATCTCGTCCCCTCCAAACTATCAACACCTCGTCCAGTATGGTACAACACTCTGGAATCAAGCAAATGTTGTCCCTCAGGTGTCGAAGCACCTCTCCACGTTAATCCTTTCGTCAACGCGATCGACACCATAGAGTTCTCTTTTGCGATTTCTTGAGCCAGTTCCAAGGCTCGTGGTAGCACGTCTTCAGGCTTGTCTACAATGTCTGAGAAGAGGTCTTCCAACCATGGGTGTGAAGCAGGGAGGACACGACCGGTGAGGACTACAGAGAGCGCGCGGGAGTGGCCGATGAGACGGGGGAGGAAGTATGAGGAGTTTGCTTCCATTACTATGCCGCGTCTGTGTGAATGGCGTGAGCTTATGGTGGCGATTCGCTGATTGGGAAGCTTCTGTTTACCTGACAAAGACAAATCCTATCTTAGCGTCTTTGCATGCAATTCGTATATCCATGGGTAAGGTCATACTGCGGCGAAAACAAAGAATGTTAGGTTGGGATATCGCAAAGTCATTCATGAGAGGTTTCGTACGTTATTCCAACACCAACAGCTGAACCCTGAATAGCAGCTATAATGGGCTTTCGACACCTGGTGTGGATGATGGTTGCGATTTGCCCACCACCATCTCGGGCATCTTTGGAAGATGATCCTGCGAATGAACAAGTATGTGAGGTTTGCTTCAACTGTGACGCTTTTTGTTGAACTTTACCTTGACCACGAGTCTTTTCATTGGTGAAATCTCCTTGTCGGAAATCAGCACCGGTGCAGAAATGCTTTCCGTTGGCAGCGATGATGACGCACTATAGGTGTGGAGGATATCATTGTAAGCGTTTGTCGTTCCACAGGCAGCTTCAAGTCCATGTATCAGATTCAATTTCCCATGGACGGTTAGACATAAGATCAGTACGTCTACTTGATGCATCATCCTCACGATACGGTACTTTGGTGTTTAGCAGCATACCTTGACTCTGTCATCAGCATCCAACATTGGGAAGACATCTCTCAAAGCACCACCAAGGTAAGCGTCCATAGCATTTCCTGAATAGTAAAGAACAGCATTTTAAGCAACGATGCGGTTGCTACATTGTACTAGCGCAGCGACTACGGAAAACCAAACACAATTCGTCCAACTTTTCCCTAAACATACCTTCATTTGGTCTATTAAGAGTCACGATGGCTACAGAGCCAACTAGCTCGAACGTCAGAGTCTTGAATTTGCTATAGTCTGTCATCGTTTCCCTAGGAGCGACTGGTGCGAAACTTGTCTGTAAAAGTAGTTGTGAACGTAAGGTCGTACAACAGGCAGTTCCATGCAACATAGGTCATTGCACGGTTCTTCCGACTTGGATAACTCGACACATAGCAAGATAACTGGGAATATACAATAATGGCTACTACGTACTCGACAGCACACTTGCCTCCGTCCAACTTCCAGCAAATTAAAGTATCTTTGGATGGGAATGTGGCCATTATACACTTGAACAGACCTGAACGGTATGTACCGAGGCAGCCTGGAGTGCGATTCACGTCTGGTAGTCGGCTTGCGTGCATGATGCCTGGCGTGAATATATTCATCGGCTTTAGATGTGACATTAATGTTACAGTGTCAACATTCAAACCCAACATACCTAACTCATAACTCATACAATAGGCTTAACGCATGGACCAACATAATGAGCGATGAACTAGTTGAATGCTTTGGTGCCCTTGATCGTGATGACAGGGTTAAAGTCATTGTCGTTACGGGGTAACATGCTGTTTGTTACTGTTGCCAACGTAGAAAGGAGCTTTGTTAACCCTTTCGTTCTTCTATTCTCAGATCTGGACGAGCTTTCTGTGCTGGTGCTGATCTCCAAAATGGATTGGGTGCAAGAAACGCTCCTGGAGAACGAAGTATGTATTGCTTGAACTGCTACAAAAGTCATTTCCTCTGAATCGAACGCTGATTCTATGCTGTTAGCTCACCGTGACACTGGTGGCCAGACCACATGTGCAATCATCAACACTCGCAAGCCTGTGATTGCTGCCATCAATGGACCAGCTGTAAGCGAATGATCCTTTAGTTACAGCTTGTTGATACTCTTTGTCTGATATGGTGCTTTTGCATCTAGGTTGGAGTTGGAATCACGATGTGTCTTCCAATGGATTTCAGAATCACTCACAAGGCCAACAAGATTGGATTTGTGTTTGTGCGAAGAGGAATTGTCCCTGAAGCTGCCAGTACCTTGTATGGTCTCTAGAACCATCAGTAGACCACCGCATATTGATTAATAACTTGCTTTCTACACAGTTACCTGCCACGATTGATTGGCTATAGCAGAACGATGCGTCTTTTCATGGGAGGACAGGTAAAGAATTACCGACCAAAAAAACGAAGGTCAATCTTAAAATATTGAACCGATTGAATGTAGATCCACCTCGGAAACTCGCCACTCCTCAAGAACTTGTTCACAGAAGTCACAGATACTCCCGAGCAAGTTCTCCCAGCAGCCCTCGCTCTCGCTCGAGAGATCGGTAAAGAAAACTCAGCTACCTCCATGGCCATGATCAAGACATTGATTTGGAGAAACCCAGGATCTCCAGAGGAAACGCATTTGCTTGATTCCAAGGCCATGTTTACATTGGGTAATGGACCAGATGCAAAAGAAGGTGTAGACAGTTTCTTGGAGAAGAGAGATGCCAAGTTTACTCAGAGTGTGAAGGATATGCCTGCTTTCCTGCCTGTGAGTCTTGCGTCGCAGTGTTGGAATTTAACCGTTGCTAACTGTTTTGCACTTGCTCTAGTGGTGGGAGTCTGTTGATATTAGTTCTCCAAAACTATAAATCAGCTCGTTTATAAAATAAAAATTGTCGTTACGATACGGTTCTATATGCCTCAAAAGCTTCGAGGCCAGCAGATGGAAGCTAGGTGCATTTGAGAGCAAGATCACGTCAGTTCTCGCAGCCCGATGTACTTGAGTTGAGAATTTAAACGCAAAGACATGTTTCTTAGATGCATTTTGGTGGGTTTCAGTCCTAAACTAGTCGATGAAAACACACGTCCAAACATACCTCTCTTTTTTTCAACACACAAACCAGAGCAAAGATGGCTGGAAGAATATTGTTTATGAGAGGGTTGAGGACATCATCGACCCCAACGTTTTCAGCAGCCCGCAATACATCCATCCCATCCTTCCTCAGTGCAGCAACAGCCAGCTATCTGCCCAAAAATGCAGCACCACCCCCAATACAGATGCGAGCAAGCTCCTTCACCAACAAAACAGCCAGCCAGTCTTACAGATCATCCGTATCCTCCGCATCATCGCCACGATGCTCGCTCTCATCACCACCAGGCTCCTTCATGAGAGGCATCTCGTCCACATCAACCCACAACACAACCAACGCTGCCAAAGCAATCTCTAGCAGAGGTGTCGGTGGATCCAATACAAAGTCTGTATCATCCAGTTCCGGAAAAGCGACAGGCGAAAGCGTTACTGGAACTGCTGCATCTGGAATGGATGATGGAAAAGGTCGTGAAGATGGTCAAGACATGAACTTTATTGATAGAGGTGGGGGTCTGGATCCGGGTGGCGGTAATTATAGCAACACCAAACAGGCCGGTAATAATAGTGCTGGTTATAGTAGTAGTAGTAGTGGCAGTAGTAGTAGTAGCAACAGTAGTAGTAAGCAGGCTGAACAAGAAGAACAGGCTCAAGCTGCTCAAGCATATGGACTAGGCCTCCTAGACGCAGCTGTTAGAGCATCCGCATCCAAGAGTACTGGTGCTTCAAGATCATCATCTGGAGGGCCACCATCATCATCATCATCAGGCAATTCACCACCAAACAAGGACGATGACTTGGAATACGATGAAAGACCAGAACCTGCTCGAGATCCGCTTCTAGAAGAAGAAGAACGAAAAAGAACTAAACAGGCATCGCTCTTCCTGCTGGTTTGCTCGGGACTCGCTGCTCTAGGTACTTTTGTCATTCTTGGAATGCCTAGTCCAGATGATAAACCTGTTGCTGGTGAAAGTATGCTTGGAGGCTACCATAGGAGAGCTAAAGGTGCCGTGCGCGGATGGTATCTGGTATGTCTGTTTGCGTTGATAAAGGGTTGGAGGAGATGAACCCTGACGCAATTTGTAAATATTAGAGCTTCAGTGATCCTATAAGTGATAAGCTGCTACCCGATCCACTACCAGAACCTTATCAGCGCCCATACACTATGGTTATTGCATTGAATGATGCGCTTATACACTCAACGTGGGATGTAAGTCAACAAAAAAACGTATGGTAAGTTGCTCCAATGACTCACACATCAAATTTTTTGTAGAAGGACAATGGATGGAGAGCGGGCAAGAGACCCCATGTAGATTGGTTCTTGTCATACATGTCTCAGTTCTATGAAATAGTCGTGTTTACCTCTGGAATGCCACATGTAAGCCAAAAAACAATCGGTTGAATTTTTGGAAAGCGTCAGTTCTCAACTTTCCTCTTTCGACTCAGGTGGCACATCCAATAATAGAGAAACTGGATCCATATCGATTCATCATGTATCGACTGTATCGAGACTCGACTCGATTCATAGACAATAAGTTTGTCAAGGACTTGTCTGTGCTGAATCGAGATTTGGGCAAGACCATTATCATTGATATCAATCCAGATAGTTATTCTCTGCAACCGGATAATGCCATACCGATAAAGAAGTGGACGGGTGAAGCTGATGATATGGAGCTGTTACGGCTGATTCCCTTCCTTGAAGGTATGCGTTGGCAATATCTTGCCCTTTTTCTCCCATTGGTGTTCACTCTATTGTATGCTCACACACCTTGTCTCCATTCTCTCAAATAGCTCTAGCAATGTCGGGCGCTCCAGATGTCCGTCCCGTCCTCCGTTCCTACCAAGGAAAAGATATACCAGCAGCCTGGGCATCATACCAAGCCCGTCTTCGAGAAGAATTCGAACAAAAACGTAAAGCTACTGCTGCTGCCAACCGTACAACGATCGGTAGTATCTTGTCTTCACTTTTTGGAGGTGGAACTCGAGTAGCACCATCATCATTAGACGCCAATCCAGTCGATATCCTTCAACAACAAGCTCGTGAGATGAGAGAACAATTTTGGAGAGAGCAGGAAGGCATGAAGGAACAAATGGAGGCTCAACGTAAAATAGAAGAAAAGGAGATGGAGAGACAGTTAGAAGCTATGAAGGCGAAGAAGCTTTCACTATGGGAATTCATGGTGTGTGATAGGAGTATCCTTCGCTTTTTCTGGTTACCAGAAAAGACTTTGTGGGAGATTTTTGAATTAATTTTGAAATCTTCTGGTTTTTATAGGCTACCACTCAGCAACCACCTCAACAACACCCCACACCAAACAGTCACAGTTAAAAAACGCTTGTTTTTTTCAAACCAAATAACATTTCATTTTCTCAAAAGCTATCATGTGTTCACTTTTGCGAAATGCGAAAGTAGAGGCAGACGGTACTACGCAGCTAGTGTTGATGCCGTAGTACGTCCTCCATATCCATATCTCGACGAAGTTTGGGCAAGACTGTCAATACGTCAATCCAGATGGTTACTCTCCCATATTGGTAATGCCATTCGTGAGGCCGACGATATGGAGATGATTTCCCTTGGAGACACTACCACTAGCTCATACTGACGTCATCGTTGACTAAACCAATAACAATGTGTTTACTCTACTTGCAGCCTCTGTAAAGATGTTACATGTACCTTCTTCGATAATGGCTTCGTTTGGATTGAAAACCTTCCTCGAAACTCGAGGAGGCCAACTCGAAGAACTGGGTAAAGAATTCCAAGACGCCTATAACGACATAGATGCAGCCTATATAGCCCACCATTGTCTCAACCTTACGAAGCTCTCTTCGAGAGTCGAACCACGAGTCTGGGAGCCTGTCCGATATCATATCCTCGCGACATGGCTTGACCTATCTAGAGTGCCGCTCTAGTCGCTTGAACTTGATGACAGCTGAATCGAATAGAGCTGCTGAGTCCAGACAGCAAAGTAATGGCAAGGTTGTGCACATGTCTGGAGGTGTTAGCGGGATCTACACGCATAAAGGAGGGCTATCCTGGAACTTTATTACGAATGTCTTTCGAGAGTGTGTCAACTCGAGAGTCTGCTATGAGAATAGGGCAGTCGTATAGGCATGTAGTGAGTTGATATTATAGGCAGTCTTCAGTTAGATATAGAGAATGATAAGGAAGGAAACGCAACTATGTAAGAATGTAAGAATAACCAATTTGCAATAAAACAGCCATATATTTGCACTCGAATGACACTTCCAGGAAAATTTTCATCCGTGCTTTTAAGCCTTTCAACACGTCGATTTGAGCAAACTTCAAGTGGTGGTAACCACGTTCAAAACCATCTTAAACTGCTTCAAAGCAAACATTTTGAAATTGTTAAAAAGGGCTTCAGGACATTCAGTGGGCTTAATAGTCTTGATCGACCGAAAACATCATAGTCAAAGCATCCTAAAGAATTGACATTGACACACAATGGCAGCCGCTACAGCTGTCAGAGTAGCACCCAATGAGAAAACACTGGCCCTTTTTATAGGTGGTGAGCCGTACATATGGTCGCAATCCGACGAGGATTCAAGTTTGACGCTTCAAGCTTGTTTGCCACGAAACACCAAGGCAAAAGACGTCCAAGTCGATTATTCTGATGATCACGTAGTAGTGACGATACTTGAGAGTAATGTCCGTGTACAGGTCAGCTTCTTTTTCTGCAACATTTGGATTTTTTTGTTGACACGTCTTGCACGTCTTAATGCCAGCTGCATTTACAGCTGAAGAAATCACGAAAGCATTCGCATGTAAACTACTATTTTGCTCACGCTTCTCGTTAATTCGTCAGGGAAAGCTATATGGTTCGATCAACAAGCACGATCTAGTTTGGCAATTGGAAACCACTCCCAAAGATGGTAGAAGAGTCTTGACTGTTAACATGGAAAAGCTGGTTGAAACAAGATGGCCTGTAAGATTGACAGATTGTACTTTAGACCAAGTTCCTAGCTAACATTCTTTATTTTACATAGACGCTGATAGTAGAACCAATCAATGGCAATATCGATCCACATTCTCTGTATCTATTAGCCGAAGGAGATCTAGCCAGTGCCCGAATCTCAACAAACCAGGCTGAATCGCTGCAGTTTAACATTGACGCACTCGCCAAACTGACAAAAGCAGCAGAACAAGACAACATCCCCGCTATACTACGATTAGCTGCATGGTATCAATTTGGCGCTGAAGCATCGAATGCCATTCCTGTGAAGAAAGACTTGGAAAAGGGGTTTGAATTACATTTGAAGGCCGCTGAATTAGGAAACTGTGAAGCTTGTTACATAGTAGGATGCTCGTTCGCCAACATATCAGGTGACAGTATCAAAGTATCGTATCCTGATGCTATAGTATGGTGGACGAATTGCCTGAACTATGATGATCACTTGGCTGATCATTCTCGAGCTTTGTATGTGTCAGCGGCATGGCAGGCAGGGCTCTTGCTGCTAAAAGGTGGCGATAAGCTCGGAGATCCAGCACCCGAGAAGGCTCTTACGTATTGGAAGATATCTGGGAGTCAGGGCCATCCGCCATCCATGTATAATATAGGACTGTTGCTTATGAATGGATGGGGGACCGCAACTACTGACGTTGCGGCTGGCGTGAAATTAATTGCTTCGGCGGTCAGTATAGATCCCAGCAAGGTCCTTACACTTCCACCTCAACTTGAAGGTATCCACTGCTGGTTTTATCTCACAATCCGATCAAATTTGTCTCAGTGTGCTGAACTGACACTCGCATACGCTCCCATAGGTCTGACTCCTGTAGAGCTCGAGAAACTGATAGAAATGGCGCGAGAGAACAAGGAAGAGCTCGTTCATGTGCTCGTTGATAAAGTGAAGGCTGAACAAAAAGCTGCTGAAGACAAGACACTGAAAAAGAAGAAGAAGAGGAAGTCTTCAAAGAAAGTACGTGCAGATTACACGTTTTCAATCTCAACCAGGGTATCTGAAGGTAGATATGTCGTGATGGTCTGTATGTGTGACTCAATTGTCTTCCTTTAGGTGGATCAAACTGGTCTTTCCACGACTACTATTGTGGTTGGAGTTGTAGGAGTAGTTGCACTCACTGCAGCAGTGGGATACCTCGCTTATCGTTATGGCGAACGCCGTACCTCATAAGAGTGCTTGGGTGCATTTTGTTACATTTTCTGCCGCTTATACTTAAATTCACGTCGCATTCATTGTTCTAGCTACAAAATACACGCGTTACTGCATCCGAATCCCGTGTTTTCTGTGTTGTTCTTTTCGAGCATGTTCTGTGACTGTGTCGCCTTCTTGTTCCAGTGTATCGTCAAGATATGTACTGTTAGAAAAGCAAGTGGATTAGAATAGCAGATGGGTGCAGCAGCTTCCAGTACTGACACTCAACCAGAGAATATCGAGCCGGTTGAAGTAGTATTACCTCGCTCTTCTCATCCAGCAAGAACAGCAACGCACTCGACACGGCCACCAGTTTCAGAACAGGAAAGAAGAGTGTCAGAGAGAGTAGCAAACATCCACAATAGGAGACTTGAAGGTATGTATTCTTTCCTCTCTTGTCAGCTTGTCATAGCCGTCTCGTAGCTTTTTGTAATCAAACAGCATCACATCATTTGATTAACGCCAAAACCTTCCATTTATCTAGCTCAAGGACGAGCAACTCAGTCTCTGGATACAATGAGTAGGCGTCCATACTCACGATTCACGCCTCTGGCACGAGCCGATCCGTCAAATGCTGCTAGAAGCAACAATATCACCAACAATGACGGCAGCCACAATGGCTTTATGAGTAGTTTGAGGTCTCGAGCATCATCGATAGCAGGATCGATACGAAACTTCCTGCATCCATCAGGTGCTACGGACATTCTTCAGACTATTATACCCAATATCGCCAACGTCAACAACCCAAACAGATCACGACCACAGCAACCAATAGATGTAGAACAGCAACAAGCACCCACCGTCCCAATACTCGATGCGATTCCGCAACCACCACCACTACCACCAATGTCATATCTTATGGATACGCCACGTATACCGGTAAACAACGTGACTGAACCGCAGCAAGTCAATGAAACAGCTGCAAACCATACTACAACCGATACTCCTACAGGCACCAGAACCATCCCAATTCTGGTAATAGGTATACGTCAAGCAGGACCAGCACCTGAGACTCGTGAAGAGACAAATGGTGCGGTCAACAATAGTAGGTCATTGATTGCTTCAACTCTCGCTCGTATCTTATTGAATCGACGACGACCTGCTACCGATAATGCTACAACACCTGCAATCGCAGCATCGACACCCACTACAACAACCGCAGACGATACTGCTACTCCCGCTCCTGATGTCATCAATCCAATAGGTGGAGGTGCTAGTGCACCAGCAGCAGAACCAGCCACTGGAACCGCACCAATGCCAGAAGCTGCACGACGTCCGGCTACCTATATCATATATATACTGGCAGGAAATATTGAGTTACCAGCAGGTGTGAATCCAGCGTCCTTGGGACTAAACAACTTGACATTCCAAGGAGCTGACGGTACAAACCAGGATAATCTCTTTGGAAATCTCTTTGGAGAGGCTGCCAACGTCGCTGCAGCTGGAAATGAAGCTACTGGACAAAACGACACGGGAGCAGCAGGAGTCAATATAAATAATACAGATAATACTCCAGCACCTCTACCAGAAGGTCAACCATTGCCTGCTGGTTTGATGGCCCTGCTGAGTCGAGCATTACGAGATGGCGCAAATCCAGCTGCTGCAAACTTGGGACGAGAAGGTGCTGGCTATGAAGACTTTATTAGGTTGGCGGAGTTATTGGGACCAGCACGAGCACGGCACGCAGATATCAGAGACGTAGACTCGCAATTACCCATTCTTATATATAAAAGTAATAGTAATGTTGGTAGTAGTGAGAATACGATTGTCGTGGACGAGGAAGATAAGAAAGAAGACGAAAATGAAGCCGACTGGATGGACGTCGATGAAGCATTAGCAAAAGCAACTCCAGTTACTACTATGGATGCTGCTACTACCACAACCCCCATAACTCCAGCACAACAAGCAGCATTTGACCAATTGAAAAAGGTGCAAGTGTCTGATTTGCTTGCTGGAACAGCTGACCGATGCTGTATATGTCTCGAAGACTATGAAGACGATGATGAAATACGCTTAGGAAAATGCCGTCATGGATTCCATAAACCATGCTTTGATAAATGGATTACGGAAAGTGTGAATTCTTGTCCTGTATGTAAGTCTCAGGCAGTTGATATTGTGCATGCTCCAAACCTCCCAGCAGCACCAGTAGCAGCAGGTGGCGCTTTGGGAGGACCGGGACCAGGATTGATTGCATTGCTGCGCGATCCTAATATTGGCGGTGGATTGACGCCATTGAGTCAAGCCGGGAATAGTAATATAAGGTGGTTCTTGGGCGGTGCTGGTGCAGGTGTTGGTCGGTGATAAAAATGGGTAGATGAGATGATTTGGTAGCAATGCTTTTTAGTATAGGCAAACGACCCATAGCATAAAACTCCCCTTTTTCAATATACAAAGAAATTTTCATAAGCAGTCACAGCTTTTCGTTCAAGTCGTTTTTGTTCAAGCCTCGTCAAAGGCGGGGGGTTTATCAGAAACCCAAGAGCTTACATTCAAACCAGAATTATATTTGTTGGCATATGTGTTCGCAGACAGTACTATACATGTGGTGGTGAGACGACACCGTTTAATCTTCTCTATACTTTAAATCTTCCAACGAGTTCCCGGTAAAGATCTTTACATAAACATCAGTACCATGGCCGTCCATGGACTGTACTTGGACCGAGCCTCCCCAATAATTCGCATAGACGCGACTCATGGGGAGCCCGAGTCCTAAATGGAGAAGTGGTGGCACCACTTCTCCAATTCTAGCAGCTAGTTGAGGGACATGATTAAAATTTAGAAACTTTTGTTTCGAGGTAGACGAGTACGACCATATGTGTTCCAAGAGAGATTTCGGTATTCCACCTGCTTGATCTGATATACGGAATGTGAGGGATGACGGTGATGCGCCTATTGTGACCCTGATTGGCGGGAGTGGTGGAGTTACGGATACGTAATCGGATGGCCATTCGGTATTATCGGTTGACGAGCTGTTATCTTCGTTGTGTTTTCGTGGCGTTGAGTGATATGGATGGTGTTGTTGTTTAACATGTTTATGATCGTGATGGCGGTGGTTGTCGTCTCCCAATGGATGCAGTTGGCCGTATAGTCCAACATCGTCTTCATCGTCTACTGCATCGTAATTAATTTCTACACGTTCGATACCGGCGCTACCGTGTACTACTGTTCCTTTACCACCACGCATGCCTTCCAGACCAGCTACTGACGCATCGTCGTCTGCTGCTGCTGGGACATCGTTTACTCTACTATATCCTGCTTCTATTATATCCCGTGGAGCCCAATGTTCTATACTACCTCTAACAGCGTTTTTAAGCAGCTCGTACATGATGTATTCGACATGATCAGGCACATATGTGAAACTAGCATCTGCAGCACCGTCGATTTCGACTTCGGGCGGCACAATCTTGAAAGCATCTGCAAACAAGGTTCTGGCTAGTTTGGCACATTTGGCTACAGTTTGTCCAGCATGTACATTTGTATCCACTATACCTATATATCCAGGATGCTCTTGTCGTGTTCCATCGTATACAGCAGATAGCGTTATATGCTGTTCAGCCAAAACCCGTCGCCCTATACGCGACCGAAGCATTTCATTCATGAAACGATCGGCCACCCTAGCATCTAAATGTGCCGATGATTCCGTAATTCCCATAGCTAGTTGCGGAATCACCACCAAGTGTTCCTTGAGTTGGGATTGCACCAGTGCACAAAACCGTCGATTCTCATCCAGACTAGTAATTTCTTTTACGGCTCTAAAGAATTCAAAGGCTCTCCAATACAGTCCGTATACGTGGGATATATGTGGGTTGGTTCCTACTATAAATGGCAGCGACTGGAAATCTGCGATACGGTGGGCTAGCCTCACTGATAATTCATGGCGAACATAGTTTGCAGACCGGATCAGTTTGTCAGATGTCAGCGTCCGGCCAAAGACTGTAAGCTGCCTTAAAGTGACTCTCTTTGCATCCTGGGCAACATACGAGTCTAATACTCGATTGTGGTAGAAGCTTGGATGGTTTACAGGCTCCTCCCTATTAGAAAATCCTCGTCGTGGATGGGCAAATAGCTGGCATCTGGTACAAACCTGAATGCTTCTTCGTCTCATTGCTAGAATTTGAAACATTTTATCAAACACATTTTTTTTTCGAAGTTCAGAGTGGTTTCAGGTTGAGCTCGAGACTTGAATCCAAGGGTGGCCTACCAGTCTCGACGCGTGAATACACGTAAATACTTGAATCTTGGTATACAATTCGAACTTTTGACAAGAATGATTCGACCTCTAAGAGTGGACGGTCAAGATGGGTAGCGGATCAAGACAATGATCGAGAAACTATAATATTCTACATTATTTTTTATGGAGCGCACATAAAATGTCGACATGCATTAATGTCTCACCAACTCCAAGGCTTCACAAATCAGCTTAACCGCGCATCCTACCCCCATTACTATTCCTCTTGTTAGATCCACTCTAACAAATGCCATGAAAAGCAAGGAGAAATCATACTTGCTTTATATCTCAAGGCCATGCTCTACAAATTACTACGGTGCATTCCTACTCCCATTCGTTCAGCTCTTCGAATACGTTACCGGTCGCAAGATCCCTCCAGAAAGTCCTATCATCAGGTTCATACCATCAATAACACTAGGTTTCCGCTCTGTTTTACTACACGCACTATCATGAAGTTTCGGGCTTGCAAACATCGACATTAAACCAATGCTGGCAACATGAAAAAATGACGTGAAGGTGTGACCATCACTGGCTTGATGTAATGTGATGTAGTGTAATGTAATGGATTCACTCTTTTCTGCGTTTCTTTAGTGTCAAACGTGTAAAGAGGCTGAAAACTGAAAGAGACAAACATTGGGTAAAACTAACGGAGCCATGCGAAATGAAATATCAAAATCAGAGAGTCAGATATACCAACAGCGAATTATTTAACGTTTCTTTGGCTCCTCTCTCACAAACAACAGAAATGCTTCCCAAATCTTTGTCAAGTCTCCAAACCACGACAAACTGTTGGAATCTTGACTCGACTTTGCATGGGAAATCAAGGGGAAAAGGCAGTTAATCGTTTGCTTAGACACACTAATAGACAGTGAGCGGCCCCGTGCTAGTCCTATAGCCGTAATTGTGTGTGAGAAATCAAGTCAAAATTTCGTTGCCGCAATATGTGACATTTAAATGATGAAACCCATACGAAAAAGCACAAGGCAAGGATCATCATGAGCTTTACTATCAATTAATACGTCTCTTAACCAGTCTCGCTGCCTTGCCTTGGAGTCCTCTGTGATGTTCCGTTTGTAGGCGAAGAGTGCACGAAGCGCATGACAGATTGTAACAGACGCACAACCGGAGGAGGTTAATAGCATTATTCGTTCTATACAAGTACGTATTCATTACCACCTTTTCTCCACGTCTCTCCTCTAATATCACGATTTTTGGACTTTCGTAACATCGCTGTTTGCATGCAGGAAATGCAGTGCTGTCAACGAATGTGGTTCTCATATTACATTTTTTCTTTTGTGCTGATAGTCGGATTCGTCTGGTAGCCATGCCTTCTAGCAAAAAGACCAAGAGCGATGCATCAACTTCGAAATCTGCTCTAGCGTTCGACAGAGACAATAACAATACTGCTGAAACAAAAGATGAATTGGAGGGGCTCCCTATCGAATTGATGGAACAGATATTGCACTACTCGGACGAAAAGACTATGGGGCGTATGTCTCGGGCCTGTAAATCTCTAAATGCAATGTGGTTCCTATTCTCTACGAATGTGTAATAGCATCACAAGTAGACGGGTACGATGCTGAAGCCGAGAAGCCCCGTCTAGGAAATAAATGGTTGACTTATATCAACCAAAGGGTGGACCTTCCTGGAGGTAGTTTTACTCAAGACGTACTAATCGTCGTAACAGATTTGGAGATTGCCAATACAGCGCCAAGCTCTTGGGTAGATAGACTGGATGATCTTATATCCCTTTCCCGGCTGGAATTCTCAATGGAGTCGCTTATAATAGGGAATATGAAAATTCCCCCAACTGTCACAGAACTTTCGATTCGGAGCCTCAGGAAACTCCCAAAGCCCGAACGAGACCTGAAGAATATCATACCGGCTGTAAATAATGTAAAACGGCTAGTATTCAGCGAAATATCTAGCTTCAGGGCTACGTATGTTGCAGATTTCCTCACACATGTCAAATTGGAGGAAATCAAAATAGGTGGTCAATGTGGATGGTCCGGTGCCGATATTCCCGACTTCACCGATATTTGTACAAACCACCTTGACTTTACCAGACTGAAGATAGTCCGCCTAGAGTGTGGTCGCTTGGATCTCGCTGCACCTTTGGACTGGGATCTTACTCATTTAGAGCTACAAGTAGTCCATTTGTCGGAAGACTTTATGTATTCAGGATCACGGCTGAAAGTATTTAACGCAAATTTTGGAACCGGATTACCTATCGAGGCAGTAAAAACCATCATCCAGAATAATACGGGGCTAGACACGTTGTCATTGCACCTTCACGAAGTCATAACCAATAACGTCCTCCTTGATCAATTTCCCACCGATCTGAAAGTGCTTTATATACGCTCTGATACGATTCGTGAGTTTGTATTTAGGGAATTCTTAGCAGCTCAAGGGCATCAACTGGAAGAACTGGGCATCGAATTTGACGACGACAAGAACGACATAAATCCAGATTTTATAGCTCATCATTGCCCAAACCTTACCAAACTGACTCTTGCTAGTAACGTACATGAGAAATGGCACTTATATAGTGTCATCTCCTCGCTCCACAAACTGACACAACTACAGTGTGATGTCCCTCGTCTCAAGCTCATGTCAGCCGACATGAATGAAGCAGCTCGAGCTAGACAGCAGGCCAATGCCAAGGGACTACATGTAGAAATGAATATCGGGATATTGAATGGGGATGTGAAGGGAGAGGGAGAGCCAAAGACTCGGGCCAGGCGGTCCATTGAAGTCGCATTCAGGAATTTTGTCACGATTAAGGTGAATTATTTTCGTAGATGGTGAAAGAGCAATCGTGTAGTAGGATATGATTGAAGTGTCGTAGAGATTTTCGTTCGTAGCAATATAGTAATATAGTATCCATTCCAAGTCATGTTGCGGTGTGTTTCGCTTGGGTCCTTGATAATGATGCGCATTGTAAATAACAATGCTTGCCTTATGCATGACGGGTTGCCTTGACCAAATCACAGACTGCACTCAAAATACGAACAATTTGTGAATTTCCAATAAACAAGACATTTGTACGACCTCCTGATAGGTTCTTGTCGGGTTTCCTAATATTCCTCCTCCCATTCATTAAGCTACTTGTACACATCGCAATCACTATAACGTTGCTTCCTTCTCAACTTCATTTTGAACTCCACCATTGTCAGCGCACCACCATCCCAAATCTCAGGGAGAGGTTCTAAGATTTTATATCTAATCTCGAAGTAATCTCTTCCTGTGCACTCTGTATAACACCCACCACACCAGCTGCTGTGTTTTGCGTCAATTTCGTCAAAAGTCGAATTTCGTGTAATTTATATCTCAATGAAGGCACATCCCTTGAGCGACCGGCACTCACGATGTAGGAATACATCAGAGTTTGGCTTCTGTTTCATCTAGACGCATTATATGGATAGTATCAAGTCTTGATTTGGATTCGATTCGAACTCTTGCTGAAAATTATTGAGGGACTGGACCTGTTGGAATCGTACACAAGCTTTCCGGAATTCATTATATTTGCCGTGCTGGCTTAACAGTTGGCTTGCGGGTTACATTACAATATAACAAGCACATTACATCGAAAAGTTAACTAGATTTTCTGTGTTTTTTTTGGACGAAAAGCAATATATATTTTCAACTGCGAATGACATTTGAGGTTTTCAAGAATTGATTTGCAAAAGTCTGTGGCATTTCGACAAAGTGAATCTTTACTATCACTCATGATGCCAATGAGATAGCGAATACTACAAAATTACGTGACTCTTAACGAGATTGTCCAGTCTGCTGCTCGGGGTATCCGCGTTTGCTTTGGATTCTATCTACGTTCACTATTTAACGAATTTGACGTGAATGACGAAGCTGATGAAGGCGATGAAGCTCCTCGGCACGCGTCTCTATAATAGTTCTGCATAAAGATCAATATTTAGGACGTGTCCAACTTCACAGTCGCATCCTGCAGGTCGGAATTCGATGATTTATAACTGATTGATCAACATTGACGAGCTCACTGTATAGCCATGAACAGCTGGGGAGATGCCAACACGCCCAATGGCAAATCAGTCACGCTATTTATAGTCGGAGCAGCCTACCAGGTATGGGAATGTGTGCATTCCGGTTTGAGGATATGGAGCAATTGCTAGATCCCCGCATAATCACTAATCTCAAACATCTCATTACTAAATAGGACGTTATTCTGCATACAGACAAGTAAATCTGACCTTCTTCCCCATTCGTCTCATCGTGACTCAACGAGCTTAACACATAATCAAACACTTGCATTTGTGTCCAGATATCCTCAAGAGGATTCAAAATACAGGGCTTCTGCTGTCACTAGACGCAGAGGTGGAAATGGAGGCAATACTCTATGTGTGCTGAATCAAGTGAGTTTGTTTATTTGGTTTGCTATTTGATGGTGTGAAGCTAAACCCTCGTTATCTAGTATCGTCGAGTAAAGTCAAAAACAGGTACGCATTGATCATATTATTCAAGTAGTTCTGATGGTTCTGATCTCTTCTTTCTTCTTTAGGTGTTGATGTAGATCTAGGGTTAGAATTCATTGGAGTGTTCGCTGGTGACAGAGCGAATGCTGAAAAGACTAAGTGAGAACAACAAGAAAATCAGGCCCAGCTAAAGATTTATGAACTCACAGTGTTTTTATCTCACATATAGTTCTGTTGTCATGGACTTGACGAAACGTGTAGGAATATCACTATCGCAATCCATATTCAGAGGCAACCAATACGAAACACCCACAGCCTGGATCATCTCCACTCCAGATTCACGAACCGTCATCAACTATAACGAAGTGCCGGAAATGACTGCTTCCGAGTTCATTGAGAGATTGGGACCTGTGTTGGATGCGAGGTAAATACTTGGTCAAGGCTCAGAAGTGTACCAGCATATTCACCAAGGTTTTTATGTCACGCAGATCAGCAGTTGGAGGATACAAGGGCTGGTTTCACTTTGAAGGAAGGAATGTCGTAGAAGTAGAAGCAATGGTCCAATGGTTGGAGAAGACATATAGAGGATCGAAAACACTCACATTGACGATATCTATTGAATTCGAGAAACCTGATCGAGGGGGTCTGGAGAGATTGCTACCATTAGCGGATGTCGCCTTCTTTTCGAGGATTTATGCTGAAAGTACTGGGTTTGCAAATGCTCCTACTGGATTTCTGGACAATGTGAGGCGGCAATGTAAACCGAGGTCAGTAGGCACCATAGTTGCACTTTGTTGAAAGGTTTTTTTGGCAACTTCAATCTGATAAACCAAAGCTCTTCGCTTATTAACAATTTGACACCTTAGTGCGATCCTATATGTGATGTGGGGCAGTAAGGGTGCATATGGCCTAGTCAACGATTACAAGACAGTACCACGCACCTTCCATGCCCCTGCTCTCCCAATCACCAAACCTGTAGACACTATCGGAGCAGGAGACACGTTTATCGCTGGTGTCATTATTGGATTGGCTTGTAAAGACGCTACACCTGAAGAAGCAGCTGTGTTGGCATCGGCATTAGCGGGTACGAAATGCGCCCAGACAGGATTCGATGGATTGTCGACCAAACTCGTGTTGTGATATGCAATACTGTTGTTGTGAGATTGGTGTACTAGTGTTGTATTATCATTTTGCCTGCTGCAGCAAGAGAGCCATATATACATATCATTGAGATTTCACTGGTCAAGGTGGTATTCGTGTCGTAGTCGAGTTCGTATTGGACTTGTCGATGGTTTTACCCATTCTTTGGAATCACCTAATCGTGGTTTGCTATCACAGGATTCTTGTAGGATCTTTTCAACGTCAGCTGTGTCTACCACACGAGGAGTATGCAGCCATGTATCATAGAACTTCATTCGAAGTTTGTGCTGCAAGTTGGTTCGAGTCGGTTGGCCATCGTTCAGGTAGACGTAGTTGGGGGAATACCCTCCGGCTCTCCAGAATCGGGACGGATGCTCAAACTGACTGGCTGTGCTCGGATCACCTTGTTTGGTAGGTGCTGGTGGCTTCTCTGGTTTGTCGAAAGTCGCCTGTGATACTTGATACAACTCAATCAGGATTTTTACGCACGAGGCGATTACAGCGGTTTGCGATACTACTGAATGTCGTTGATTTGTTGTTGTAAGTCGTTCTATTTTGGTGAAGGCGTCCTCATACGCCTTTTGTAGGATGGGTGTTGTTTCGATTTTGTGGTGTGGGATGCTATCAACCAGGGCCAGAGCTTCTTCCATAACGTGATATATATCATTTTCCTGCTTTATAGGTGGCTGCGTCATGACAACATCACTGCCTTTCCGTTCATGAGTCCTTAAAAACAAGTCAGCTTGTTCACTCTCCAGCAATTCATAGCAACCAGTGGGTATCACGTCGTGTTCGACCTCTTTACTAAACCATACTTTGCATCCGATGAGCCAGTCGTATCTCTCAAAGCGTGAAGAGTTCGCTGATGCGTGTTTCTCAGTTTCCAATTTCACTAGGACATGAGAGTTCGTGCCACCACTGCCGATGATGGTTTTAATGAGGGATGCTAATGTACATTTGCCATTGAATGGACCATATGTGACTTCGAGGTACCGTACAATTACTTGAGAGGAGGTGTACATCGTGTCCTTGGCTGTTTGACTAACATGAATCAACTTTTTGTTGCTAGCGCAGCAATTCTCAAACTGTGAACTTAGAGTTCAGCCATGGTCGTTTCAGGGGTGATCAGACGAGTATCACGCAGGAGAATCGCTTTGCTTTTGATTCTGCTTGGCTGTTTCGTGTGGGTTGCTTCAATGGGAGTCTTCATCAATGTGTTCCAGAATGCGGATGAGAAGAAGTCCTTTCCTCTGTCATGTAAGCAAGAGATCAAGTTCTTATTTAAAGCTAAATCTGTTTGTAATTTCCTTCTTTGCCTTCTCTTTTAGCATGGAGTGATGGCACATATAACGTGTCTTCAGCCGAACGCTACGCTATTTGGAATCTGGTGTGGCATCGAGTGAGCTATGGTGATCAGTATCCTCAGCCAGTAGATCCTGCTGGAACACCACGTACAGATCTATTAGCTACGCTAGCGCTACTGCCACTCCCAAAAGCACCAGTCCCGACACGATGTACGAATGTATACCCGCTACAGCACCAATTACAGAGATACATGCCACTAGTTAAACACCGGCCACGTCTATACCTCGCCCTAGATGTCAAAGACTATGCTGACGGCCTACCACTCGTGCTAGCACAACTTATTCGACTGTCACGGCTCCTAACACCTGAAGGCCTTGCGAGTGAAGAATCACGGAAAGCCACACATTTATTTACATCGCCATTCAAGCATCCGAATAATCTAGACGGTACAAACATCTTCATATCAGTGTACGAGTCAGATTCGACAGATGATACCGCTAGAATCGCCATGTCGTGGTACACTGCATTGTCGATATTGGGAATACCGTGTCGGGTGGTTGTAAATGGTGTTTCGAGAAGTGGGATTCCGAATCGGATAGAGTTTTTAGCGGAGGTGCGGAATCGGGTGCTGGATCCGCTGGTAGAGTTGTGGAGACAGGGAGATGAATTTGATCGTGTTGTTATTTTGAATGACGTTGTGTTTTGTGCTGAGGTATGTGTGTGAACACTTACATAATCTGGTCTTGCGTCATTGCTTTTCGCACTCGTTGCGAAAATTCTTTAGATTTGTTTCAAGTCGAACGAGATGCCTCAGTAATCTTACCTCTGTGATCCTCAAATACAGGATATTCTAGAGCTGATATTCCAGTCCATGCAGCAAGACTCATCTATAACATGTGGTTTGGACTATTTCGAAACTGGATTTTACGACATGTACGTTTTTCACACGGTTGGTGTACTGTGTACTGTTGGTGTGTCATTCGACTCTTTACTCGAATTCTGAATCTCTCACTCGTTGTCTTTTTTAGCTGGGTCGCTCGAGACATTGACGGCCAAGAATTTAGAAAGCAACCATGGGATGCATTTGTCCCAACACCCGAATCAGCATCCAGGCTATCACGCGGCCTACCATTCCAAGCTCAGTGCTGTTTTAATGGTGTCGCAGTATACGTTGCCAAACCATTAGCAACGCGACAAGTACAGTTTAGAAGGTCTGAGAAAGGGACTGAATGTGCCGCTAGTGAGTGTAGTTTGATATGTAACGATTTGGCGAGGGAGGGGTATGGACGTGTGTTGGTAAGTCCTGACCATTGTAGTAGGGTATCTATATTTTTTGGCTCATGTATTTCCAAAAACCAGGTCGTACCTCGCGTCAGATTTGCATACGACACCCGCACATACGGCAAAGTATGGAATATGACGAAAGTACTATGGGATATAACATCGCTCACTTCTTCATGGTCAACATTTGTGCCATTCAACCAAGAGCGGATACGGAGTTGGAAGGATGGTCCGACGTCTGTGCTTTGCAAAGGATTGGAAGGTAACGGGCATGAACCAGATACGGATGGTATATGGCAGAAACTTGAGTATCGGCATAGTGTGTATAGGGAGGAGATGCGGTTGGGTGATTACTTGGTTTCGTTGGTTTGAATGGAATTTGTGGAACATTGTGAAATTGCTAGAAGGGCGTTTGATTATGTGAACACTTGTAAAAGTTACTATGTCTATGTAAATGCGGGCTTGTAAAGAACTTATATCTGTGAAATGTAAATAGATCATATGTAGGAGACACGCGTGGGACGTGGTCTTTCCTAGTTCGTAGTTCAGCCATAACCAAAACTGCATTTGGTTTATCTGGCGTGCCCATCACTATATTCAGTTACAGATA